TTTTTTCTCCCCCCCCCCCCCCCCCCCCCCTTTTTCTTTTGTTTTAGAGGGGTATCCCTTACCTTAGCGAGGCTAGAGACGGGCTAGGTCAGGGGTAACCAGATCACATAAACTTGCGATTTGCATGTCTCTCTACCTTATCCACGGCTCTGAATAGTGCGAGTAATCGATTTTGGATGGATTAGGTTGTGGAGTTGTTAGAGAGAGGTATGATGAGATATGAAATGTATCGATCGATTAATTGATTATGTGTGGAGACTCGAGAGGAATAATGTATACCTCCAGCTGTGAGAATGAATAGGAAGAACTATTACTTTATTCTATTCATCTATATTCTAGGTATTGAAAAGCCCCCATCTCATGTATACAAAACCTCAGTGGTCGAATACATACCATCTCGCGCCACTAAACAATCCTACTTCGCTGCGTTCAACTCCCGCAGATCCGCCTTCTCCTGCCTCACCACTCTCGCCTTCTCCTCCTTCTCCTTCCTCTCCCTCCGCCATCTCGGCCCTTTCTTCATAATTATCAACAGCATCGGGGCGAACGCGATGAACAGCAGCGCGAGGAAGGTATATGCCCAACCATATCCGATGGCGTTCACGAGCGGGAGCAGGATCGCCGAGAAGACAGCGCCGATCTCACAGCGGACGACGTTATTCGCCGCGGTGGCGATGGAGGGCTTGCCGGGATAGATGTCCACCATCAGCACGTTCATGATCTGGAAGGTGGACGTGAGTCCGTAGCCGGCGAGGAAGAGCACGATGATGGGGCCCGCGAGGTTGACGTTCGCGACGAGGAGCCAGCCGTAGATGATGAGGAAGGCGCCGGCGAGGAAGAAGAGCGGGAAGGCGACTTGGAGCCGTGCCTTTTCGATGGGGAAGTTGGTGAGGTCTTGTCGCCGGTTGCGCACCACGGGCATCCCGAGCTTCTTGGCGTGCCGTCGGTAGTTCCAGTCGATGAGTCTGCCGGCTGTGAAGGCTGATACGAGACTCCCCGCTCCGACAGGGATGAACATTAAGGAGATCTGGACTTGGTTGAAATGGTAATGCTTAGCGAAAGCATCTGATGCGCCAGTACTGTTGAAGCAGGTAATTAGCATGAAGCTCAAGCCTCAAAGCAAGGAAACTCACCCGACAGCGTAGAAGCAACCCGTTCCCAATCCAGTAGCGATGAGGATAACAGCGCTCTCAAGATCCAGCAGAACCTTCAAGGTCGAAAGAGGATTTGGGACCCGAAATCTATTCTTTTTCTGAAGCTCGTCACGCTTAGTCTCGTCTACAGTAAATCCCGCCCGGGCTCTGTTCCTGTGCCGTATTTTGTCGGAAATGTTCGTTGACCAGATAGGTGGTGGGATGGAGCCATTGTCAACGACATTCCGACAAGTCTCCGGCATGAAGAGGATGAGCGGGATGAAGACGGCAGAGGAGAAGATGAGGAGGAACCAGAACACCCAATGCCATCCAGCATACTGTCCAATGAGACCACCCAAGATAGGAGAGATCATCGGGCCGAGGATACCTCCTAGGGAAGCCCAGGCAATATAAGTCCCACGCTCGGCGGACGTGATCATGTCCCCTACAACTCCATTGGAGAGAGCCACGGTGCCCGACGAGCCAGCGGCTTGCAGCATTCGCAGGACGAGAAGCGCGGCGTAGCTGTCTTGAAGTGCCAGTCCAATGTTTGCGCCCGTGAAGATAACATAGCAGACTATGTACATTGGCCTCCGACCCGAGCGATCAGCCATGTCCGCTATAAAAGCAGGGGCGAGCCCCTGGATGACCTGCGTGACTCTTCAGCGAGTATTCTTTCAGTATTCTTTCAAGGGCAAATAAGAGCATACCAGGAACACAGTAACGGTGATGTTGATTTTGGAGTTCGTCACATTGAGATCGTTTGCAATTGTATTCAACGAGGGATCTAATAATCTGTCAGTTTCTGGATGCATGGACGTGGAAATTATATCCTCACAGTATATTGCGGTAGCCATCGGCGAGAAGAGAGAAGCCAACGATGCAGTGAGAACAATCGCTTTCTTCTGTGCAGGCTTCAAGATGCTGTAATCCTCCCCCGCGGGGGCGGGCTGCTCAGTTGGCGGTTCAGCTGGAAGTTCTGCATGATCGTCGTCGTCGTTCTGACGTGAGGCTATTCCCGATTTCTCTTCATGCTTTGAATCTTCGGGCGACGCATCTGTACGTGCTATCGCAGATTGTTTCTCATCTTCTGTCGAGCTGCTGCCGCTGGTCTCGACACCGTTCGCCATAAATAAACAAACAAAGCAAGAATGGCAAAAGGGTGGCTTGTAACTTGTTTGTCAATCAAAAACAGCGTTTCAATCCGATTCCACAGCTCTGATATTCAATTAAGCGTGCTCTGTAGAATATCTGGCACGACATCTATCTGGATTCGAGTTTTATTTTTATATCAACAGGATTGTGGATTCTTATATATGAACCTCATCGGCGGGCCCCTTAACTCCGGGCGGCCGGGGCTTAGTGGCCGCCGATGCCAAGACTCCCCGCTGGAGACCCCGTGATCCACTCTCCACATTCGGTAATCTGCCCCTAAATGAACCTCTAAGATGCCAAAAACTCACAAATAAGTTATAAAAATCTTGGTAATGTTTCTTTTCTATTGTCAAGTTGTGATCCAGACAGGATATCATGTAGGTGTCCTTACATCTTATCAGTACTCTTAAAGAGCTCCAGGAACTGACCAAGCAGGTTGAAGTGAACTGGCTATTGCGCAGAAGCGGAATTGAGCATGGCACTTTGGTGACAATCATCAATTGGTTCAGGAATCCAGAGCCTTGGTAGTTTTCTCAGAATGCGAAGGGGTATTGATTAAGAAGGCAAAAGGTGATAATCATCATCCCAAGGGATTAGAGCCACGTCAAACATCAAAAGATAACCATCAAAGCAACCCCTCAACTGCCCACCATCCATATTCCAAAACCACTCAAACGATCAAATCAATTACACCAGCCACTTCGCAAACCACGACAGAGCTTGCACCTTCGCCTCCTCCGCGCTCTTCATCTGCCCCTCGTCCTTCGGATCCGCCCTCACCGCAAACCCATGCTTCGCACCCGGCATAATGACAACTTCATTCACCACATCCTCCTTCCCCTCCAACACCCTCTTAATCTCCCTCACCATCTCAACCTTAATCCCCAGATCCACATCCCCAATCGCGATCGACAGCGGCTTCCTCACCTTATCCCAATCATCCGGAAACTTCATCTTACTTGGATGCGCCGTGAACCCCGCCGTCACCAGGCCCTCTTCCTGACACAGCAGCGTCGTGTACTTACCGCCCCAGCAGAAGCCCGCCGAGCCGACTTTCAAATCCTTGGTCTCCGGGTCCGACTTCAGCGCTTCGTGGAAAGCGGTGATCTTGGGTCGTACGGCGGACTCGCCGTTGTATAGCAGGAAGGGGATCGCGGCGGCGATGACCTGGAGCAGCCAGATAGGCTTGCGGAAGAGGGTGGTGAAGATGGAAGGCGAAGGCGCGAGGAAACTCTCCATGGCGTGCATATCGGACACCGAAGGGATATGTCCTGGGAAAATATTAGCATGCGCCTCCTCTCACGCATTAAGATCTCGGGGACGGAAATCAGGCGCATAGATACGTACCGTTCATGAAGTTGGGGAGGTAGACGAGAAACCCGCCCTCCTTGGCATAGCTGTCGGCCAAGAGTCGCGAATTGGAGATTTCCCACCCGAAAATGTCGGGGATCATGACGATTAGCCCTTTGGGAGCTTTTTCAGGGCGCGCGACGTAGGTGGGCAGGCCGTGGATCGTGGTGACCGTGCCAGTTGGGGTGCCGCTCTTGACAGAGCCCGAGAGGCAATCAGGGCAGGTGATGCCGGACATCTTGATGCTGAAAATCGATATTGAATATATGCGTGTGTCTCTGGATTGAAGATCCTATTAAGATATCACAATTGTATTCTTGTTTTGAGGAAACAGGATCGAACTCACAATATCAAGTATCTGTCTGGATATTATACCAGCCTATCAGAAGATATCGGCGAAAAAAGCTCCGACTGCATACGCAAAATCCGCAATCACCGCACCGGCGAGTTGACGACCGACTGGATCTAAAAACCCTTGTTATGATGACTTACAAGTATCAAGAGTAATCCAAATCAATTACATTCCAAAACTCTGCATTGGTATCAAGCAACGCACCCACTTCTTTTCCCCTTGTATTTGTATATCTTGCTTCAAATACGAGGCGGAATATACTGTGAGGCCTGAGGCATTAAGGACAAGCTTTATGACAGGAGTGGAGTGAGTGGTTAAGGTTAGATATACCTGCACACCTCCGTGCCTGAATCCAAATGCTAATTCGACCACCTCCAAGAATAAAGCTTCGACAACCATTCGAGTCCATTGCTGTGATGTGTATACATTGCTCACTTCGGACGCATTGCTCGGTTTGTATGCACTACTTAGTTTGCACACTCCACCTGGTTCGTAAATAAAACTACAGAGTGCCTTCGTGAGTGAGGAGAAGCGACAGGACGCAAATATGTTTGAGGATTGCCTGGGAAGGGAATGGCACACCTACGTAGCCAGGTGAGCTTCAAACACTCCCTCAGGGGATGTGTTTCTTTTTGACGAAATCCCATCATCGTTTGGTCGCTAGTCTTACTGACCACTCTGCGACTCCTGCACTATCTCCTCAAATACCCCTTACCTCGACGACCATCTCATCCCGAACTAGCAGTAATGCTCTTCAAGATTTATCCCCAGCTAATCTGCTATCTCCATTGTTAGCTCAACAATTATAGCTACTGTCAATCTGCCATCTCTGGTTCATGCTGTTCTGGAAATGCAGAAGGAGCAAATCTTTGGCGTAATTGACTAGAATACAACTCCTTGTCCCTAACCTTTGAAGCAATAAATTCGGCCACGCCAGTACTCCAGTATGCTGACACAGATCGATCAAATTCGGTATTGGAATCTTCGGGTTTGGCGAACCTCCGCCTAATATGTGTGAGATACAGGTTATAGAGCCCCTTCGGACTGTCCAATGCAGACAAGTACCAGTAGCTCCCGAGTTCCCAGCCTTTCCGCATTAATCGCGTAGATGGGATATCACCCTTTCCAAGCGACCGTTCTTCCGTTTCAAAGGCTTCTAAGAACTCCGAATGCACACTGCTGTAAGCTTCGAGGTGTTTGCCATCGAGACCATCTAGCGAACAACTAGTCAACCAATATGGTGGATGTTGCATCTCTATCGGTCGAGCGCAGGCCCACTCGAGGTCAATCATTGCTGTAATATGCCAGTTGCTGTCGACGAAGATATTACTCTGGTGGATATCAGTAAGCGTTAGAACAAATGGTCCATGACGTAGATCGCGATTTGTAAAGTGCCGGAGGAGAGCTCGCATTATAGTCAACGCTGAGAGTTGCTCTTGGCCGTCTAATGTGTTGTGCATCGAATTAGGCATATACCGTATACGATTATCATGATACGCAAGGATATCCGACAGGTACGCGTCTACAGTAGAATACGTCAGATCCCTTGGGATATCTGTCGGAATGCCAAGATTCTCCAGCTGCTGGACTGTACATGTAAGGGGCCGATTTGTGAGACTCAAAACACCGTGATCATCTATCGTCAGAGACCCTATGCGTGGAAAAGTAAATCGATCCAATGACAATATGATTCGAGATAAGTCCCTAAAGAGATTGGCCCTTCGGTCCTGGTCGTGCCGTAGCGTCTCCCAAGATTCGGATAGCATCTTGCCCTTTTCCACGCAGTCCACAATTAGATATCCAACCTCTAGGTTATGGGGCGATTGGCGGCCAATGTATCGAGAGGGAACCGAGCGACCGAGTAGCCATGATGCTCCCCGTCGGAAGAACCATGAAATTCGGGTCAATATGGGTGCATTTTCGGGAGCGGTGAACTAATAGAAATTCAGTTAGCATAAGCTCTAGAAGCGGGGAAGGATATAGTTCAGCCTCAGTTGCGTACACTCTGACCTCCAGAAAAGCCGAAGCCTCTTAAGCAGGGTATTGGAACGGCGGGACAGTTGCTCTGGATCCATATGTAAGTTGCGACCTCACAACGGAGCTTCTCCTCTGCGTTGCCGGGATGCCGCAACTCGCCGACCTTGTACGGTAGGGGGAACCTGATGAACACTTTCTTTGGGCAGGATTTGACCGGATCGTCGATGTAGACCGGTATGCAGGCATTGAAGCTGCCGTGAACCCACTCTCTGAATTCTTCTGCTACTTTGCAGGTATCCTTGGGAACTCCTAGATGGAAAGATACAACAGCCTCGATTTCTTTGCGATGTTGAAACAGATAGTAGAAAAAGTCCAGCCGTTTCTCCGGATACGACAGCTCCTGAAGGACATCGTCATCATCGCCGAGTGCCTCCTGCAGTGTGATGTTCCTCTTCAGAAGGGGGAGCGAACGGGGCATTGCTAGAAATGCGTGAAGCAGAAGATAAGAGAATGATAACCAACACAGCCAGATGTCGTTCAGCCGCCCCTTGGACGCTAGTGCCAATAAAGCCAGGGCGCTGCACGTGAGTTTGCCTTGCTCTGCGCCCCAGCGGACGACTTGAGAAATCAATGTAAGAGATTCTTCTTATTTAGATCAGACTTAGCCATCTCTCCCACCTCTTCCCGCGGCTTGATTTAAATAGGTAGGTCATGGTTAGCTCGCCGCCTCCTCCGGCTATCAATACTCCCACCACTACGGAGTAAAGCTTTTCCCGAGGAATTCAGGCATATCTAAGGCATCTCTACCTTACCTTACTTAATCCACCCACCCCTCTAAAACCTAAGGCTCCTAAGGTACCCATTTTACTAATTCCCCCCCAACAACTTTATATTCCACAATAACCCCACCCTAGCAATGAATCAAGAAAATCATGCTTCCGTGGTCCAATGGTTAGGATTCCACCCTTCCAAGGTGGAGGTTCGTGTTCGATTCACGGCGGTTGCATTTCTCTTTTTCCTTTTTCCTTCTGGTTGCTTTATTTTTATTTTTTGGTCTTTTTGATGACAGAAACGGGGGTTTGCCACCTCTTTTAAATTTTTTGGGTGGGTTTTCATCGGCCCGCATGATATACATACAAACAGGAACCAGCACAGCGTTACAGAAAGGAAGGGGTTCTAACAATGTGAAAAATATATAAATAAAAGGGGCGCTGGAGATTCTAATGTAAAGTATAACAGGATAAATTGATAAACCCCTTCGGCATTGTACATACGCATAGTTCACAGCCATTGATTTGATTTGCCTCGCATCAATCACTAACTTAACAAGAGCCTCAAATCTCAAGACAGCAATCCAAGTCTCAATTTGTAATCTCTCATATGTGCTAGCTAATTCATCAACCACGGCTCCGACCCCATTCCCCGCGCTGACTCGTCTCGCACGCACCAGAATGAACATATATATAGTACACCCCCCATCGGAATAACCACTCGCATACGATCATCATCTCGCGTCTCCCGCTGTCAATCATCAGTACTGCATCTCGCGACTAGTCCAAGACCCGTCCTGCGACGGCGGCACCGCTCTTGTCCCTCGTCTGCGTCTTCTTTAGCTGCAGTCCCATCTGGATCTCTCCAAGTAATGCTGCGGGCCTGGCAGCTGCTCCCGCTCCCGGCGAACTAGTCGGCATGGGTGGAGGTGGTGGTGGCCCGCCCATTCCGGGCATTGGCGGTGGTGGTGGCGCTCCATCTCCTGGCATTGGTGGTGGCGGCGGGGCACTCATAGTTGGCATTGGAGGTGGAGGTGGAGCTCCCGCAGTTGGCATAGGTGGTGGTGGCGGGGCTCCTGCGGTAGGCATTGGAGGTGGTGGTGGAGCTTCCTCATCAACCACTGTTGGCATAGGTGGTGGTGAGGTTGGCCCGCTTCCCGCTGGAGGGGAAGCAGGAGTAGAGCCAGTACCAGTACCAGTACCAGTAGCGGAGAGCGGACGGGGCGGCGCCATAGTACCGAAGAGCATAGAAGCAAGCTGGCGGGCATTTCCGGCACCAGGGCCGTCCTCATCGTCAGAAGAGTCTTCCCTGTCTGAGCCAACCACGGACCAATCATCTTCTTCTGGGCGCACACGAGAAGCGCGCCCGCCGGTCGGAGCCGCGATGATCGGGGTGGCCGCTGGTGGCGAGGCAGCCTTTTGCGTTTCCTGTGTTGCGGGGAGGCGGTGGAAGGGGTTGGTCGACACGGGGGGTTGAGCGGAGGGTGGTGTTGTGCCTTGGGAGGGGGTTTCAGCTGCTTGCGAGCCGAGGCGCTTGAAGAAGGGATTCTTGGTCTCGGTATCGGGACTAGTGACTGGCAAGCTGGTATGGACAGCTGGCGGAGAAGCGGCAGTAGGAGCCGCAGGAGAGGCTGGAGTAACTGGCGGTACAGCAACCGGCGCTGGAGGTGGTGGCGGCGGCGACGCTTCCTTACGCTCAAGTTCTTGACTTCCTTGGGTCGGCGTCGAGGCTTGAGGTGTGGCCTGTTGAGGTTCTTCATCATCGCTTGAATCATCGTCGTCCTCATCCATAGCCTCTAGCTGCCGCTGTAATTCTCTCTCTCTAGCCTGCGCAGCTTCAATCTCGGCGCGTTGAGCAGCAAGCCTAGCCTCTTTTTGTTTGGCTTCTGCTTGGGCTGCCTTCTTCCGGCGCTTCTCTTCTTCTTTCTTCATCTTACCAGCCCTGACTTGCTCCTCCAGAGCCTTGAGGCGTGCTGCGGAAGCCTCACGTTCTCTTTGGAGCTCAGCTTCTTGACGTGCGGCCTCATCCCTGATCTGGTTAGCAATACTTCTCTCTGTTATGGGGTACGACTTACTCTAGTTCTGAAGTTGCAATAATCTGTGCCTTCTGCTCTTCCAAAACTCGCTGTTCTTCTTGAGCTTTCCGATCACTTGCATCGCTCTTTGCAGCCTTTCTCGACGGTGGTGGAGGAGGTTTCTTTGCAGCCTGAGGTTCTGCAGGGGCAGGGGCCGGGGCAGGAGGAGGAATGCCCTGCTCTTCATTAAGCCTCGCCTGTCTCTCGGCCTCACGCCTAGCATCTTCCTCCTCCGCTTGTTTAAGTTTGGCAGCCCGTTCAGCTTTCTCCCGTTCCAATCGTTGTTGCGTTGTCTCGCCAGGTTTCGTTGGTGCCTTGATACCAAGAGCCGCAAGACGTTCAGCCATGCGTTGCTCAGCCTGTTGCTTGATATATGCAGCTCGGTCCTCGGGGGTCTTATACTGGGAATAGGTACCACCAGGAGCAGAAGGAGAGGGAGCTGTGGCGGGCGCCGGTGCAGGTGATTCCTTGCGTGATGAAGCAGGAGAGCTCTCAAATCGTGCTGGTTCACGAGTCTCGCGAGTGCTGCGGCGATCTTCGGTCCTGACCCTTGCAGCCCTACTAGATCTTTGCAAGTCGAAAATAAAGTCTTTAACTTCATCTTCAACACCAAGCCCATCTTCCCATCTGCGTCTCTCATGCTCACTGGTGGAATCCTCTGCTCCGTCCTTAAGGCTATCCTCCAGACTACGAGAGAACTCCCGGACGCTATCTTCAACATCCTTGACCATGCGCTCGTTGTTCTCCTTCTCATTTCTAATCTTGACGTTCTCCTCTTCCAAGCGCTTTGGCGCAGCCAGATCGTCATCATTGACTTCAATCTTCCTTCCAGTCAAAGCAGCAGAACGCTGTTGCATCATAGCCTTGGCTCTGGCTTTCAGTCGATCAGACTCGGTCACAGTGCCACCTGGACCAGTACCAATGATCGCCGATGCGCTGCCTGGGTGTGCCTTGGCATCCTTGAGTCTGAAGAGTTCCAACCTGGCCTCAGCAATGCTCCGCTCGGTCTTGCGAACCCGGGATGCAATCTCAGGCAACTTGTCAGTCAAGGTCTGCAATTGACGCTTCAAAATACGCCTCTCAGCGTTAGAATCCACGTTTCGTAACGCCGCGTCAGGATGAGAATCAATGTCCTCCTGGATACGTCGAATGCGCCGATAAAGATCTTCGGCGTCACGGCGGTCTCGTCGATCGAGCGCATCATCCTCCTCTGCGGCATTCTCGTCTTTGAAGTCGATGGCATCAAGAAGTACTTGCTTTTCGCGAATCTTCTTCCTCAATTGCTCCAATGACATGTCATCATTTGATGTGGTTGAAGATGGAGATGAGGGGCGTGGAGAACTGTTGCCGATCCTGCGACGAGCACTAGATCTATATCCAATATCATCGTCGTTATTCTTGAAGACTGTGGCATCTTTCCGTCCCGATCCAATGTTCGAATCGCCTTTAAACGAATGGCTCTTCAGATAACTGACGCCTGTCTTCTGAGGAAGCAAGGTCGCACCAGAGTTCTTTCGGAGATCAGACTCCTGATGAAGCAGTGACTTGACCGCGCCAATGGAATTGTTGAAATTTCTGGTAGATGGTGGTACAAGCTCGGGTGGCAGTTGGGCTGGCAGAGGATAGCCATTAAGTTTCCGGTAGATCAAATGCATAGCAACGGCGAACTCGTCCATATTCAGACGTCCTTTATTGCCATTATCCGCAAGAGTCCATACCCGCTCCAGATCAGGCTTATCCAGACCACTCTGCCCAAAGACCTCAATCGCAGTCTCACCACCAATGTAACCTTTTCCAAAGCCATCCCAAGCCTTGAACACAGAGTCATATCTGGTTTTCTCCTCCTTCGTGACAGCCCATGGGATGACTGCATTACCTGTGAGCCCGGATGTATTGAAACTGCCCTGTTCTCGGCCTGGCTGAGGCATCATTCGAGCTTGCAAGAGATCGATATTGGGCAGACCGGTCGCAGGTGCATTCACCAGTCCCCATTGTCCAGGGCGCCCAGTAGGCTGTGCGTTCAGCGGAGCGATCATTCCGCCCATACCAGTCTGAGTTGGCGACATGCCCTGACTAGGATTGAAGCCTGTGGGCATGGGTGGCATGGGTGGGCGCGGCCCAGTATACCCAGTTGCTGTCGGGTTCGACATCCCTTGGAACCCAGTCTGATTCTGCTGTTGCAAACCACCTTGTTGATTGAAGCCTGTCTGCATAGGCTGCTGAAACCCTGTCTGCTGCTGCTGTCCCTGGAAGCCTCCTCCAAATCCAGTCTGCTGCTGTCCAGGATATCCGGTCATTTGAGCAGCCAACAAAGTAGAATTCGATGGCATTGGTTGCGGTTGTTGGATCGCAGGGGACGGGGTCGTATTCTGTTGGATATTGAAGTCCGGAGCATTCGTCTTCGGCCCCGGCGCATCGTCCGCAACGCCAAAATTAATTATATCCACCATGCTTGAGACTTCATTCTTTATATTTTCAGGGAGTACAGCAGGTAGTTGCTTCCCAACCAGTTTGAGGTTGCAGAGGTACATCGCGAGCGCGAATTCGGGGAAGTGGAGCTGTCCAGAGCGGGTCGTGTCTGCGAGGGTCCTATTCCCAAGGTTAGAACATCCCCCCAGAAAAGCCCATCTGTATGGAAACGTACCAAATCTGGGACAGCGAGTTGCCATCCAATTTGCTCCGCAATAAGAGATCCCTTGACTTCTCACCACTCAACGTCTGCCCGTCTCCAACCGCGCTCCTGAACAGCGTCTCAAACTTGGCCTGGTCCTGCGCCGTAATGAATGACAATCTTATGTTCGGAATCCTCGTACCAGTCCTCGCTCTCGAGGATCTGCGGCCGCGCGCTGGAGTTGGCTCGGAGGTCTTGAAGCTATCGGCCATCTGCGCGAAGCCTGTGGGCTGGGGTTTCTGGGCGGGCGCTGGTGCTGGAGCGGGAGCTGGAGCTGGAGCTGGCTGCGGCGGGGCCTGGTTCTGGATCTGATTCTGGTACTGCAGCGGTATTTGAGGCATCGGGGGTACTGCGGATTGAAAGTTCTGCTGCTGGGGAGCTTGGTTGAACGGCGATGGCTGGCCTGCAAACCCCGTCTGTTGCGGCTGCATTGGCTGCATTTGTTGTGGTTGCATCTGCTGTGGTTGATAGCCCGTAGCTTGAGGCTGTAGGCCGTAACCAGTGTAATTGGGCTGCAGAGGAGCAGCTGCTCCATAGCCCGTTGGTTGCGGGTTCAGGTAGGCATTTTGCTGTGGTTGCTGCTGCTGTTGTTGCGGCTGGCCCTGAAATGAGTTGAATTGCTGTGGTCCCCCAGGCCGAGCTGGCTGAGCTCCTAGATAGGAGTTCGACCCTGGGAACATATTGAAGAATTAAATAAAATGCAAAGAACGAAAGGCAGGACGGTATCGATATGGGAAATGCTTCGAAAAGGAGAGTTGGAGATTTGAGGTTGAGGTTGTTGTCGAGTTTGATCTCTCGGGCCGCGTCATATTGAAGCCGACGACAAATTGTAAGAGGCCGGTTTTAGCGAGATGCCTTCGATCGGGTCACGGCGGCAGCAATGCGACAACGAGGTTTTGAACTTCTATGGCAGATCCGATTCGAAGCTGATTCAAGTGATATAATACCAATGGCATGTTATTCTACCAAGTCCCGCATTTAACACGGGAATCATTCCACTATCACCAAAATTACTGAAGTAATGTAAGGTACCTTACGAGTCTAAAGGTACCCCTTTCCATTCCTGTCACATGACAGTGTTTTCATATACGCCGTTCCTTATGCATCTACCTACATAGGCCCAGCAAGGCTCTTTGAGATACTATTGTAGAGCCATTTGAGACAGCGTCAATCCTGCATCACTCTCCCAATACATCAATGAGTAATTCCTTGTCACCGTCTCACCAGGGACCAAATACATCATTATTTCCTGTTGCCCATTCCTTCAGATGAGGGGCAGCAACAGCTTTCTATTGGGCTTTGCCAGCAACCGCCTTGACCTTAGCTTTACCAGCATTGAGGGCGCCCATGAGGCCGAACTGAGATTGAACACCTTCGATGCGATGCTTGGAGTTCAGGTTCTTGACCATTGTGATTTGGTAACAAGTCGCTGATCCTTGGCGGGAGATAATGGTAGAGTAGGCAAGGAAGAATTCCCAGATCTGTGAATCTTATTAGCGCTAATATAAAACCACTCAACTGCTGAACATACTCTGAACCATCTGTTGCCATACTTAGCAATAACCTTCTCCTTGTTGCCTTGCCAGTTTCTGTACCATCTCCAGAGGGTAGCGGAGTAGTGGACACCAATGGTATCAACGCCCTTGATTTCGAAGCCAGCGCTCTCAAAGGCGCTAATGTAGAATCCAAGAGGAGTGGAGGCATCGGCACCAGGGAAGATGTACTTGTTCATGAAAAGACCCCAGATAAGATCCTCGTACTGCCACGACTTTCTCAACCCCGCAAGCTGGAAGATGACTGATCCATCATCATCAAGCATATCATAGCATTGTCTCAGGAAAGTAGCGAAATGTCTGACACCAACATGCTCAGCCATCTCCAGACAGGTGATCTTGTTGTACCCTCCCTCCGGAACCGGAATGTCACGATAGTCCATGCAGAGAATCTTGCTTTGCTCCTCAGGGATACCAGCTTTGCGAAGTCCGTTGTTACCCCAGGCGGTTTGGTTGCGACCAAGAGTGACACCAGTCACCTTGGCACCGTAGTTAACGCTGGCGTACTTGGCAAGGGTCCCCCATCCGCAACCGATATCCAGCAGCTTCTCGCCCTCCTGGAGCCCGATCTTCTCGCAGACAATTGCAAGCTTGTTATCCTGTAGTTCCTCAAGAGTCTCCTCCTTGTTAATGTCGGAAATAATACCAGATGTGTAAATCATACGTGGACCGAGGAACCAGCCGTAGAAATCGTCGCCGCGGTCGTAGTGGTCGCGAACCTGCTCCTCATCTGTGATAAATTAGCAAGAGTTATGCACCGAGAGACAATTTTTCCATACCCTGAGAGCGGGTATGCATGATAACCTCCGGGGCGAAACTGAAGAAGACGAATTTGAAAAGGCTGAGGGTGAATCTGAAGGTTGCCCAATCATGTCGGTACTCCATGACCTCCAAACAGTCCCCGTTGAAGTCAACGTCGCCATTGAAGTACATGTTGTGGAAGGTCTCCAATGGGATCTTGTTCTTCCCGCTGTATCTAATCCTATCGGCCTCATTCTTGAAGGTCAGGTAGTGTTCGACCGGGCGCCCTGGATATCTGGCCTTTTCGTTCTTGCGGGGGGTGAAGGTCGATGCGAGGGTCCAGAAGGCGAGCAGGATGGGGATTGAGGTAAACAGGGCGAAGAAGATGGTAGTCTTCAAGCCGCCGCCGACCTTCCATGCGAGATAGAATGGGACGAGGAAAAGGAGGGAGAAGAGGAGGGTGTTGGAGAATCCCTCGGCTCCGGCCGCATCAGCTGGGAGAGGAGCATTCTTGATTGCTGGATACTATGCACACAATTAGCAAAAGTCATCAAATGTGCGCAGATTCCCAGAATCCAGGGAAGATGCGAGTAATTGGGGATCGGCAGGACGGCTTACAGAGGTGGTCTTCACGCCACAGTCCTCGAATTTCTCGAATGTGGGCGTTCGAGCTTTGGGAGTCTCGATGAACTCGAACTCGCTCTCCGAGCCATTGGCACTTTGGGCCTGGGCAGACATAATCGGTGACTTCTCAATCGAGTCTTGGAGAGGGAATCTCTTTCGACCCAGCAATTCCAACGCAGGGAGAGTTGAATGAAGGTGGTTTTGTCTGTCCCCTGAGATGCAAGCTCTTGGAGGCGGTCAATCGAAAGCTTGGGCCTTCGTTTCGTTCAGGGGAATGGGCCAATGAAATGCCGGGAAACGAGACTCGATCGCCAGCCCCTCGCGCTCCACCGGCACGTGATATCAGAACACGCTCGCGTCCCTTTGACAGAACGTCGAGTATTGCTTTTTCTGCGACTGGTTCTGAGGGGCGCTCCATATCTTCAAGTAGGTATCTGCTGAACACCAATTACACGACCCAGTATTGTCCTGACTTCCAGCTTTAACTAGCCACCAGACACGTCCAATTCGTGTACCATCCCCGCGAGCACGTGATCCAACATGCCCCCTCAATTGCCCAGCGACCAGCAACGAGCCGCCGTTGAGGGCGCTCTTGACGAGATCATCAAGTGAGTCCGGAATAAATGCCCAGAATCCAGACACCACTAACCAGAGACCAGCGCGATAATGGCACACCCCCTATGGAAAGAGCCGCCAAACCAGAACCCCATGCTCGTCGAGGTCTGGGACTTCGTGATGCGCTCCAGGTACATGCTCTCCGAGTACGAGAACGTCAAGGCTGGCCGGCCACTGCGATTCCCTGACCAGTTTCAGGGTGCCGGTTCCGTCGTTGGTAAGTTTGTCTCCTGCTCGAAGTCGGGACCTCTGTCCGTGGTTCTTTCCAGAGCTGCCGGCAGTTATCTCAGCGGACAATTATTGTCTCTTGAACACACATCTCCTCCTCTTTCTCTTTCAGATTTCAAATGGCTACATCTTTCTCCTCCTGCCTTTATTTTCTCTAATAAACCCCCAGGGACCGGCAACACGGGCGCCCTCCACGTCTACCAAGACGTCTGTAGCCGGACCATGATACTCGGCATGCTCATGAAGGATAGCAGCGGCACGATAGGCATGTTGACCGGCGAGGCAGTGCCGCCGGTAGACTTTGGTCCCCGAGTCATGAACGCCGTCAAGGCGCTGCAGCAGGTCTGTCCCATGGAAGATGTCATGGCTGGTATGATGCGGTAGATTATGGGAAATCTGTTTGGGAGTGGATATCATGGAATGCGTATTAGAGGTATACACAGTTTGGATGGGAATATGAAATAGAGGCCCCTTTGTAGGAGAGCTTATGGTCTTTTTTCGCGATATCCACTACCGTCTTTTCATCCCATTACCCCTCAGAAGTTTAACCTATACTTTCAGCAATGACTTTACTCTACTGAACTAGCTATTTAACTTCCCTGCCATCATTTCTGGATAGATATCTTTTAGTTTGCCCCAAAGACATTTTAGCTATCCCGCCTCCCCCGCCCCCTTTTCTCTCCCCCTTCCAACCCCAACCCCCCCCCCCAAAAAAAATACCACAAACAACCACAAACCCCTCTCCCCTCTCCCCCCCTAAATCTCAATCCTCAATCCTCAAAAAACCAATACCTCACAACCCCCTACCATTTCTTTCAAACAGCACTACCCTTTTCTTCCCCCCCTCTAACTCCTTACCACGCATATGATTTAAAAAACCATAATCATTCGAAATCCCCCGATACCAACCAACCAACCATCATCCCCGACAACCTTCAATCATGAATTATATGATAAAGAGTCTGAAAAATATCTAGAAATCGCGCTTTAGAGATAGATAGATACCTTGGTAGAGAATGATGGGTTAATTGATTACCTAAGCATCTCTCCATGTTTACCTTATATCCAGACATACCTTACATCACAAAAGAGAAGAATAAGTGCCATGGATTGATTACCTTACTTGTCTCAATATATCTATCTATATATCTTAATCCATATATGTTTTCGCGATCCAAAAGCTACCTAGGTAAGGTACATCTATCATGTCCCTTATCAAAGAGAGCCTCAAGACCGCTACGTGAACGAATCAGATCTCTGTAAAGCACGCCATCCCCCCCTCCTTCTTGCTCATCTCTCTGCCGCGCGGGCCCCTCCAACAACAACGCGACTTTCTGGATGAGAAATCAGAGGAGGGGATGGCGTGGGGGAACTGGGGATCGTAAGATAAGAACTCAGGTTTTCCCCGTGGGAATTGAGAGGGGTTCTGAGATCTCCACGGAGTTTTCTTTCGTCGGTTTCGATCCTTGAAGAGACTATAGAGATTTTTATAGAATTATTGTTATATATCTACCTACATATATATACACATACGCACATATATACGTATATAATTCCCATATCGACGGGAGGAAAGAAAAAGATGGCCCCTTCAGCAACGGAATTGCCCATCGTGCCCACCATCAAGGATTATGTCGTTCAGAAGAAGGACACCCTCCCCATCCCGCCCTCCACGCGCGCCCGTCTCGAGAAAGCCGGCATCGATCTGAGCAACGGCTATCCCGAGCGTCCCGCCAAGCCGCTCTTCCTCGACGATGCCTTTAACATCCGTAACGTGGACCGCGAGCACGTCGAGGTCGGCGCGCGCGCCGACAAGTCCAAGAGCGCCCTGCTGTCGGCCGCCAAGGAGGTCATCCATCTGACCTCGCACATCGGCACCGAGATCGTGGGCCTGCAGCTCAACCAACTGACGGATCAGCAGAAGGACGAGCTGGCGCTGCTGATTGCCGAGCGCTCGGTGGTCTTCTTCCGCGATCAGGATATCACGCCCCAGGAGCAGAAGAAGCTGGGCGAGTATTATGGCGAGGTCGAGGTTCATGTATGTTGATTCTCCAGAGCGTCGAGTTCCTGCTGATGGGTTGCAGCCTCAAGTGCCACATGTCCCAGGGGTCCCGGGCGTGACCATCATCTGGCCCGCACTGCAGGCCACTGAGAGGAAGGCCTCGTTCAGACAGCCTGGTGGAGCGTCCAGGTGGCACTCGTAAGGCGACCCTACCTCCCATTATCCTGCACGGCTGACTTCAACCCAGGGATCTTGTGCACGAGAAGCACCCCGCAGGCATTACACACTTGCACAATGACACTGTGCCGCTGGTGACGGGAGGCGACACACTATGGGCCAGCGGATACGCTGCCTACTCGAAGCTGAGCCCCGAGTTCCGCAAGATGATCGACGGGAAAGAAGCTATCTTCATCAGCGCCCACACGTACCTCGACCGCAACGACCCCAACGCGGGGCCGAAGCACATCGAGCGCGTTCACCCCATCGTGCGGGTCCACCCCGCCACGGGTTGGAAATCGCTATACGTGAACCGGGCCATGACCAAAGCCATCGTCGGACTCGACAAGGCCGAGAGTGATCTGATCCTCGGATATCTCTTCGATGTGTATGAGAAGAACGTTGATATTCAGGTCCGTTTCAAGTGGACGCCGAGAACAAGCGCTCTGTGGGATAACCGCATCACGATCCACAATGCGTCTTGGGATTATGAAGGCAATGAGCCGCGCCACGGCACGCGTGTTACTTCTTTGGCAGAGAAGCCATATTTCATTGCTGACGCACCGACGAGAAGACAGGCGTTAGGACTTGATGATGATTGATTCCCATCAGAGTAGATACTTGTGCTGTACTCTGCTGTACCTTAGTGATCTGGTCTGTAGCTGGGAGACTGGGTAAATGTCAGCGAAAGGCTTATATAGGAAGTATTTTTGCAGCAAACAATAAGATGCAAGGATGACCAGCTTGCCGTACACAAAGAGACAGTTAGATTCGCCTCTATAGACATAGAACTTGTTGCCCATGGCCATTGATCTTCACTATCATCTCAGATTGTCACCCAGATCAGTCGTGATAGTGAAAGACAGTTTATTATATGCGGGAACCTGAGAGAAAACATACTAGATAGATGCTGTAGGTAAGGTAGACTTGGCGAGTAACAGCACGTGGATTCGTGTTTTTCCCGTGAACCCCTATCTCATTTTTTTCGGGTAAATTGCGTCTCCCCAGCCTTGTTTATGGTAGACAAGGCTGAGCCACAAGAAAATAAACAGCCACTCAATCACCTTTCCTCAGATCTATGATCCCGCACAACAACAACCAAGTCTCCTCTACATTCATTTGGTTGCTCACTCGTCGCAACTTCAGATCAAAAGCAACTTGCACAGAATTGCAACAAACACAACCTAACACAAACCTCTGTTCTGCCACTCTGGGAAACTTCTTTGAAGATCCAGAGCAAGCACACAGCGTACAACACACTCACAAAAGAACCATCAACACAACCACCCCTGTCGCAACCATGCCTCCCAAGTCGAAGCTGCCTGTTGTGGGACCTAACGTCTACGTTGTCAAACGTGACAACGAGAATCTCTTTGTCTTTGCTACTTTCGACCCCGCCAGAGAGCGTGCTCAGGCCTTGAAGGTCGCATCTGGCTCTGCCGCCGTGAAGATCGAGACTCATGAGTTGGTTGGAGGAACTGTTGTGCTTAAGGAGGAAGAAGCCAAGAATGCACCTAAAGCCAAGGCTGTCAAGAAGGGCAACGAGGACAAGGATGAAGCTAAGGCTCCCAAGGCCAAGGCTACGAAGAAGGGAAAGGATGACAATGAGGACGGAGACCACGATGACAAGGATGAAGCTGAGGCTCTCAAGGCCAAGGCTCCAAAGAAGGGAAAGAACGCCAAGGATGAAGAGGATGATGCTGGAGAAGGCGACAACGACAAGGATGAGGCCAAAGGCAAAGTCAAGACCGCGAAGAAAGGCAAGAACTCCACCAAGGACGAAGCTGAAGCCGGGCCTTCCAACTCCACTCCCGCCCCAAAGATCACCAAAGCCGCCGCCGCCAAAGCCCAACAGCTCCCTGACAACGTCAAGCTCCTCCTCGCTGGCACCGGCACCGCGCTCTCTGGCCTCTCCATCCTGGTCACTGGTGTCCCGCGAACCCTTGGCCGCAAGAACACAGAGCAATTAATCACTGCCTACGGCGGAAAGCTGGTGGCAAACCTCAGCAAGAACACAAGCTACGTGCTCGTTGGCCACAATGCTGGACCCGCCAAGATGGGCAAAACCGAGGAGCTGGGCCTTAGCACGCTCGACGAGGATTCGTTCATCGAGTTGCTGGAGGCGGGTGGCCCGGCCAAGAGAGCTAGGGAGGAGGATGATGATCAGGATGTTGAGATGCCAATGGCAAAGAAGGCCAAGTTGTGAGTGTGCGGACTGGCAACTCCTGGGGTCTGGCGCCATCATGCATGTATGAGGATGATTTGCTGCTAGAAAGACTTGAGATGGATGGGGATGGATCAGAAGTCTGGGTCTTCTAGTAGGAGTGAAGGAAGTTGCGTTTATGACAGTGGGACACCATGGTTTAATGAGCGAAGACTTTCTGCCCGGTGATTCCTCCACGGTTTGCTTTACAGAATAAAAACGATGGCATGAAGCTCTCTTGTCCCTGAATATGCTTTCACATGGTGAACTTCTGATGAACTTACAGTACTACTGTCTGCATAACCCAGCACGTATAGGCAGTTAGAAACGACGTCTGCGCGCCCGCCTCTTCAAGACTCACGTTTGTAGGTGGACATATGCCGAGAGAGAGATGGTTGTCAAGAAAATGCAAAAAATGAAGTTACCGGCGTGTTCACATCGAGATTATGTAATCTGCCAACCAAACCCGAACACGCACACACAAAAAAAGCACTCCCCAAAAAAGCCTTCTATTGAATTCAAAATTAAAATCCAAGATCATCCCCCAAAAATACAAATATCAATCAAGAATCAACAAAAATAAAAAAGCAAGAAAGCAAAAAAAAAGCAAAAAAAAGAGAAATGAACAGAGTGGGACTCGAACCCACGCCACTTTCGTGACCAGGAAACTGTATGCTAAGGAAACCTTAACCTGGCGCCATAACCAGCTCGGCCATCTGTCCAATCTGATGATGTTCGAGATTCTTATTTTTAACCCATATACTATACCTCCTCTACCTAGTTTACAATATATCTTGACTCGATCTCCTGCCTTCTCATCATCCTACATCCCATCCTGTCCTCGTTCTTGAATTCCTCGAACTTGCACATATGTGTGTATAGGGTTACTATTTTTTGGTAGCGGGTTCTGGCTGTGTGTGTGCAGGTAGATAAAGATGTCGACTAAGGAGAAAAGGGATTGATTGGGAGATGTATTTTGGATTGATGATTTACTTCGTCTAGAGAAACTGTACTACTCTACTCTACCTATCATTCACGCATCTCTCTTCTAACGACCTAACATTTTTTTTTCATTCTTATTTAAATGAGTAAAGGTCATTTCGATTCCTTTAATCATATCAAAACAGCAAATCAAGACCGAAAAGTTCCAGAGTTTTCATCCAGCTACATGATTACATCGCAGCACTCTTTCATCCGAATCTTCCATCTTCCAGATTTTCTCGATTATTTCCTGATTTCCTCATTTGTAGATGTCTTATTTGAGCAATAATTATATTCTAGATATACATAGGTATGAACTAGTGATAAGACCTTTCGAGATTTATCATGTTTCTTTTCATACAGTACCTAAGGTAGGCAAATCCAAGGAATCGATTCAAACTATTTTGTTTCGATTCCCGGGTTTTATTCGTGACACTATAACAACCGACCTTATTTCTTCCTATGTCAACTCTTATCTGAAGCAGTTGTTCATTTTATGTTGATTCTCGAGATGGATGGGTCCTTCACAGTGCATCTCAAAGATTGGCGTAATTGCTACTCCCGCCTTGTTCTATGTCACTGCTGATGCTCAGTGATTCATCTCCTTCATATAGGTAATCCGTTGATAGAAAGTATCCAGATGTTTTTCTCTAATAAGTCCTCAAGACACGAACCGAATGGCTCGAACGCTGGGTTTTGAAAAATATACCGAGCTAGGCCCCGAGCGTCAATAGCCAGAAGTGAAGCAGAAGGCTTCTTCAGTGATTACACTTGTGAAGGGGATAATAAGACTTGTAAGTAATCTTGGGTTATGCTGATTTTGTAGGGGGGATTTGGTGTTGGGTTTCCTTGCCCATTAGTGATGCTTCGAGTGACAATGTCATGAACAAGAGATGTGTTTAAATGAGGTGTTTACGCAACAAGGTTACTTTATAATAAGCAATGAAGAACATGTAATAACTGCTAATTGAAAACAATCCCACCGTCAATCACCAATGTCTGTCCAGTCATGTAATCACTATCCGGACTGGCTAGATAACTCACACACTTGGCAACATCCTCCGGGACGCTCGTCCGTCCTAGTGCAATTAGATCATCGGAGTATTTTTTGATCGTCTCTCCTTTGTTAGAGCCATTCTTCTTCCCGAGCTCCTCGTCAATAAGGTCCCACATCGCAGTGCCGACGATCCCAGGTGCGTAACCATTGACGGTGATCTTATGCTCTGCCAATTCCATAGCAAAAGCTTGCGTAAACCCTCTGACGGCGAATTTCGAAGCCGAATAATGGGAAAGCAATGCGAAGGGTTTGAATGCCACGATACTAGCTCATTCAATTAATCAGAGTAGTCTTTAGTTTGGAAAGGGGGGCACGAGCCTAGCAGCACCGATGATCTTTCCACCACCACCCTGCTTGATCATCTGCTTGGCGGCAGCGCTGTAGCAATTAAAAACCCCGAGTACGTTGACGTCGAACATGCGCCTGACATCCTCATCCGATAGATCAAGCAGGGCTTTTACTTGCGCTATCCCCGCGTTCGCGACCATGACGTCGAGGTTGCCCAGGTTCTGGACAGAAGCCTCAATCAGAGCTTCGACTTCAGAGCGTATGGAAACGTCAGCGACGTGGCCGTATGCAGAGCGGCCTAGAGCTTCGATTTCCTTGACGACCTGAGAGGCCTTGTTAGATAGGTTCAATTCTCAGGGGCGGCCGGGTGACAGGAATAGAGACTTGCTTCTTCAATGCCGGCCTTGTTGGCTGCGATGTCATTTATGCAGACATCGAACCCATCTTCTGCTAGTCGGATGGCGATGGCTTTTCCTCTGGTCTCTGGGTGAGCTAGTTTTCATGTGGGAAGGAAGGGGATGGGGAACACACATTCCTCTAGCAGACCCAGTTACGATTGCAGTTCTTTTGCCGTAGTCTCTCGTGACTGCTGTTGATTTGCCATTGCTAGCCATTGTAGATGCACTTGCGGTGACTTGTGTTCTTCAGGGTTGAATATAAATCTGGAAATGATATACTAGCAGATCCTTGAAACCAGGAAGGAAGAAGAGAAGTTCCTCTCCGGAGGCTCCACTCCGTATTTATTGCACACTAAACTCATGACAAGTGAGGGGTTATGAGAGATAATGGGGGTAGAGTTCGCGGTGATATGGAATTCCGGGGTCTTTCGCCATCTAGAGTTGACCAATTCGGGACCAATTCACCCATTCAACCCCTCTACCCCACATTGCGGGCAGTGTTATGATTCGCTCAACTGAAGACAAACTATTGCCGAGGACGACCTGATAAGGTCTCGATTCTGAAATTGCCATGGAAGAAAGGATCTTTGGACAAGAGGAAGGTTAAATCCGGGGCGGAAATAGAAAAGAGACTTCCATAGTAGAAACAAGCCAGGTAGAGAGATAGAGAGAGCTCTCGAAGCCTTTGGGGCCGAGAACAGATCATGAGAGAAGCTGAAAAGTTGTACTGTACATATCAGACTTTGACTGTCCCCACTAGGACCTTGATATTTGCTATCCCAAGTGTCTTTACTCTGACCATATTCTTCTTAACGGCACTCCGTAAAGTGGCTTTCTTTTGGTTCTGGTCGACTCTTGACAGGTATTGTAGGGCAGAGGAAGTATCCAGGTGTCGAATAGGGATTCTGGTGTGTATCGCTTAAGCTTTAGGCCTGCCGCTCGAGACCGCCAGGACATATATAGGCATGTTTGTTACCCTCATGGTTCTCCGCATATGTGGACAGGCTTTTGATTAGATGAGATCAAAGAGATCCAACGAAACTGGTGCCCACTGTGGGTATATGTATCTGTACAGGCCCCAAGAGTATGTCTTCCATCCGATATAGAAAGTCTGATGTCACGCGTCGACGCATATATCGCTTGGAAAACGGCGGGTGACATCATTCCATTCCTTGAACATCAATCATCAGTATAAGAGTTCAGCCTTCTACACACGATACCCTATTATCCTGATATTCTACCAAGCTCCAATGTCCGAGGAATCGCCCACAATGTCTCGCGCAAGCAAAGAAATCCTGATGAAGGTCAGGAAGATGGTCCCTCCAATGCTGGAGAAATTCCACAAGGGTATCCCGCGCAACAGCAGAGATCTCCGGCTTGATCTAACTGAGCTCAGGACAAATGGGTAGGGTTGCAGTCATTGGAGGGAGTGAAGATTATACGGGAGCACCGTACTTCTCAGCAATGGCCAGCGCCAAACTGGGCGCAGACATGGTACAGATGCCCCGCCTCTGCCATGACCCCTCCTGGGCTCTCGAACTGACATATACTAGAGCCATGTTATCTGCGAACCTCAAGCCGCCCAGGTCATTAAGACCTACTCCCCGAACCTCATGGTTCATCCTTTGATGCGACAATCCTCCCACGCCGGCACCCTGGAATCCGCCTCGTCGATTGCGAAAAATGTCATCGACATGTTGCCTCGATTACATGTATTAGTGGTTGGGCCTGGTTTGGGACGGGATAAGTTGATGCATGATACTTGTGCAAAGGTTCTTGAAGCTGCTAGGAAGCAGAACGTGCCATTCGTGCTGGATGCGGATGGATTGAACCTTGCACAGACACGGCCAGAGTTGGTACAAGGGTACAAGGAGTGCATACTAACACCAAACGTCGTGGAATTTGGGCGATTATGCAAAAGTAAGGGCATTGATACTCAAGGACTCAAAGAAGGGAGTGCGGTAGAGAAGTTATCGAAGGCGTTTGGGGGTGTCACCATCATACAAAAGGGGCCGAATGATTATATTTCTAATGGGGACAACACCTATGTATGTGACATACAAGGTGGACTGAAGAGAAGTGGTGGTCAAGGGGATACGTTGACCGGGACTTTGGCAACGTTCCTCGCGTGGAGAAAGGCGTATTTGGACAAACTTTGGGAACACGAGGGTGATTTGGATTCGGTTGAATTGCTGGCTCTGGCAGCTTTTGGTGGAAGTGCAATAACAAGAGTGGGTTATCCCTTCTGCCCTTTGGTCTGCGTCACTGACAGGATAGGAATGCTCGAGGCTGGCTTTCGCAAAGAAGGGGAGGAGTATGCAGGCAAGCGACCTGACTGAGGAAGTCTATGTTGCTTTCAAGAATCTTCTTGGGGAGTCTGCTCCTAAGCTATAATGATGTACAGGAGGAAGGATAGCATGAATGAACACAGATGCTCCTGTCAAAAGCCTTTCGAACAATTCCATCAAAACTGATCTTGGTTCTTAGGCAGAGATAGGTCTAGAGATGCTTCGAGGTCAAATATACCTTCACCAAGACCACCCACTAACCTTCCGCGTATACTCCACCACAGCCATCCCACTCAAAACAACAATTCTATCCCAGTCCTTCCCCGCCTCCTCAAACTCCTCAATCTCAAAAACACCCCTCTTCTTCCCATACCAAGGATGATGCACAAATCTCGCAACTACCCTCCCGCTCTCGCTCTCCACCATCTTAAAATTCAACCAATCCGCCTTCTTAGTCGCCAGGCTCACACCCTCAACATCATGCGTCCTCTTCCAACCAAACACCTTCCTCGCTCCATTCTCTAACTCTATATTTAGCTCATAAGCCTTTGCATTGAACTTGCCCGGGCAACTCAGCGACTCCCATACCACGTTGTTGGGCGAGGAGTCTGGGTCGCCAAAACAGATGTGGATGGGTTTCGACCCCGATTGGACCAGGTCCAAGTCGCAGACTCCTATTATTGAGGAGTTGGACTCGGAAGAGGATTTGACTTGGCGCATTACGATGCTGTGTTGCTTGTTCTTGCTGAACAGGTCCTTAATGAAAAAGGAGAATTCGAACTCGAAGGTAGGCCTCGAGGAGCTGACTTCAGTCGCCTCGGCTTTGGTGCGGGATATGTTGCTTGTCACAATAGTGTATGCTTTATGTGGTGCCATTACGGATGCTGGCCGATGGCATCGACTTCGATATATTGAAAGAACTCATAGATTCCAGCCTTAAACCAGTTCTGGAGAGCGAGCCTGCAAGAAAAGACGATGAGGATATTGGCTTCTCACCGTTTGAAAAGGGTTTGCTACCCTTCTCCCATTTTAACCAGCTCGTATACGGGGTTTTGAATCCCACGACAAACATAGTCTCTTGGCCTGTGTTGGCTGACGCCATCTCGGGCTGATGGTTGACGATCACAGTTGTCGTGGGGTTAGCTGTATTTCCCGAACCCGTGATGATAAGCGCAGGAGTGGTCGCTTAGGTACAGGGTAAAGACACGGGAGAACAAAGACGACGATTCGTGCTTACAAGGAATGTCCGAAAGAGGCGCTCAATAAATCAATAAATTGACAACATACAGCAGGCCTGTGAACTAATACCACGACTTTCCTCGCAAAAAAGCTATGCCATCTCTCCATTGAAACAAACTACATCTTCAGACTTTCATTGGCAGCGATTGCATCATTGACACCAACTGTCTCATAATATGGCCGGGCACGGCGAGGAAGCCTCCCAGTTACTGCCAATTGAGCAGGAGGAACAAGGCCGGCAATCAGAGGAATCTATATCTGAAGCTTCAACTACGAGTCTGGTATTCGAGCGCATTGGCGAACGAGCGGAGGCAGAAGACAGAAAGCAGTTGGACGGGCACAACAAGATGGGCACCGTGAGGTACTCTGCAAGAGGCGACTCTGTACCTTACGCAGATGACGAACACGCAAATGTCTCGCTCGAGGATGAAGATAAGGAGGATCTTGAAAATGGCCCCTTCATTCATAATGGCACTGCTGGGAAGACTACGGATCGCAGATTTCGACGACTGATCTGGGTAGTTGGGGGACTCTTCATCGGCGCATGGGTACTGGCGTTCGGTCTGTTCTTATGGAATCAATCATATCGGCATTCCTCATCGATACCCCACGATCCTGCTGCGACAGCATCCCGCGGGAACGGGAAGAAGGTTACACTGGATCAGGTTCTAAGCGGACAATGGCGAGCAAATAAGCAGGCCATAAGCTGGATTGAGGGCGCCCATGGCGAGGATGGGTTGCTGCTCGAGCGAGGTGTGTCAAGGAATGATGACTATCTCGTGGTGAAAGATATCAGAGCAGGCAAAGCTGGTGAAGGCGCTCCCCTTTCATCGGAGACTTTGATGAAGAATGGCTACTTTACATACGAAAACGAGTCACTCATGCCCCATAGGGTGTTTCCCAGCAAGGACCTAAAGAAGGTTCTTATTGCAACAGATATGCAGTCTAACTGGAGACATTCCTTCTATGCGAGGTATTGGGTTTTTGATGTTGACACCCAGACTGCGCAGCCGTTGGACCCTGCAGACAAGAACGGGAGGATACAATTGGCTAGTTGGAGTCCGCAGAGCGACGCTATTATATTTACGAGAGACAACAACCTGTTTCTACGGAAATTATCTTCCTCGACCGTCACACAGATAACAACTGACGGTGGACCGAATTACTTTTACGGCGTGCCTGACTGGGTATACGAGGAGGAAGTCTTCAGCGCGAATAGTGCCACTTGGTGGGCTGAGGATGGTAAATATGTTGCTTTCCTTCGAACGAACGAATCCGAGGTACCAGAATATCCGATACAGTACTTCGTATCCAGGCCTAGTGGAGTGAAACCCCTTCCAGGCGAAGAGAACTATCCGGAAGTTAGACAGATCAAGTATCCAAAAGCTGGGGCGCCAAACCCAACAGTAGATCTACTGTTCTATGATATCACAAAAGGCGATGTTTTCGAGGTAGATATTGCCGGTGGATTTGAGCCTGATGACTTGCTCATCACCGAGGTCGTTTGGGCGGGCTCGACTGGTAAGGTCCTCATTCGCGAAACCAACAGAGAAAGCGACGTGTTGCGCGTTGTTCTGGTTGATGTGACGACAAGGACGGGCAAAACTGTTCGAAATGAAAATGTACAGGAGCTCGATGGCGGTTGGTTCGAGGTTACCCAGAACACACGATACATTCCTGCCGATCCCTCCAATGGCCGGCCTCACGATGGCTATATTGATACCATTATTCATGACAATAACGACCATCTTGGCTACTTTACCCCACTGGATAATCCAGATCCAATCATGGTGACTTCTGGGGATTGGGAGGTTGTGGATGCGCCATCTGCAGTTGACCTGAAGAATAACCTGGTCTACTTTGTCTCCACGAAAGAGTCCCCTATTCAACGACAAGTATACAGTGTGAACTTGAATGGGACAAACCTTCAACCACTCACGGACACTAGCAAGGAAGGATACTACAGTGTTTCCTTCTCTAGTGGGGCAGGCTATGCGCTTGTGAGCTACGATGGACCAAACATCCCATGGCAAAAGGTGATAAGTACACCAAGCAACACCGACAGTTACGAAGATGTCATCGAAGAGAACGAGAAATTAGCAGATATGGCGAAGAAACACGAACTTCCTATTAAAATATACTCTACTGTGAACGTCGATGGATATGAGCTACAAGTCGTCGAACGCCGTCCACCTCACTTCAATGAGAAGAAAAAGTATCCGGTCTTGTTCCACCTCTACGGAGGGCCTGGATCGCAGACCGTCTCAAAAAGCTTTGGAGTGGATTTCCAAGCCTACGTCGCTGCAAATCTTGGCTACATTGTTGTGACCGTTGACGGTCGTGGCACAGGATACATTGGACGAAAGGCTCGCACGATCATCCGTGGAAACATAGGATACTATGAGGCTTATGATCAGATTGCCACTGCCAAGATCTGGGCTCAGAAAAAATACGTTGATCCGTCGAGGCTAGCCATATGGGGTTGGTCCTATGGCGGCTTCATGACATTGAAGACGCTCGAGCAAGATGCCGGGCAGACGTTTTCTTATGGTATGGCCGTTGCTCCTGTGACAGACTGGCGCTTTTACGACTCCATCTATACGGAACGCTACATGCACACGCCCCAGCACAACCCAGGCGGATATGATAATTCAAGTATAAGCAACGTGACCGCGTTACAGCAGAACGTCAGATTTTTGATAATGCACGGCGTTGCAGATGATAATGTGCACATGCAAAACTCCCTGACGCTGTTAGATAAACTGGATCTAGCGGGCGTCGAGAATTATGATGTCCATGTTTTCCCGGATAGCGATCATGGAATTTACTTCCATAATGCGAATAGAATTGTGTACGATAGTGAGTTTTTCCTTCCCGATTCGAGAAGCTGAGAGTGCTAACAGTTTTAATAGAATTAACAAATTGGCTTATAAACGCCTTCAATGGCGAATGGTTAAGGACAGCGGATGCAGTCCCTCTGGAGCCCGATAATAAAAAGAGGGATGTATTGGAAATATCAGGTCATCTTGTCACAATATAGGGCGTTCACGGGCTTGTACGATTGTGGGGAAATTCGAATTTGCATTAATTCCAAAAGCCGACCATCCTGACTGCACTGTATTAAGGTAAATTCCATCCACCAGGGATGGATCATTGTGAGATCACCAAGACGCCTACTAACCCTCTTTTCATGAGTTCTCCTTAAATCAAGCAGCCATCTCATATGGCTACCCACCTTCATAGCTTATTTTTTTCTCTTTTTTCCGAATTCGAGTAGTGATCTTCTCAACCCCTTTGATTCCTTCAAGTACTGTCCCCTGAAAGTTCAAAGGCGGGATGCTGCGGATGCTTGGAAGCAGCTGAAATGATATTACCTCCCTGTTTGAGACCTTCAGCTCACAGGGTTCACTTACCTCTGTACTCACCTCGATATTTGACGCCAGAGTTGGTTCCTTTTTGCCGGATATTATCCCAGGGTCCTCAGGGAATGACGATGTCTTATCCGACGCCTGCGTCGTCGACTCCTGGGGTTCCGCAGCGGCCTGCACTACCTGAACTTCTTCAGGCAGCGTCGTGTCAGGGATCTCCCAAAATTCCCATTCTCCTGGATCATCTAGAGTGCTCAACGGGTCTCTGTCGCTTGGTCGTGGCGCTTTGCGCTTTGGTTCACCTATGCGCCGGTAGCTGCAGTGGGTCGGGACTTGTGCCACGCGTGCTACCTTGAAGGTTGTATCTTGTCGACCGGCGACTAGGATGCGGGGGTGCTCACCTGGATTCATCACGGTTGTGGAATCTCCTCTGTCGATTGTTCGTTCATGAGTAAAAAAGAGCTCGCTCTCTTGTCGCTCCGTTATCGTTCGTCTTTCCGAAAAATTCGAGGGATCGCCGTAAAGGTTTTTCGCTGTGATTCGGCTCTCTTTATATCTCCCTTCCCTGTGATTACAAGTGAGGCCTGCTCCTTGGTCTAGGGTGGTGGGTGGGCGACGACTTGATTGTCTGCCTCCCTCGTGGCTTGCGATGGGTGGCGTTGCCTTTGGTTTCTTTTCGAATCAGCTTCTGTATAAATTATAACACCACGGATTGTGGTCGAGGAAGACTTCTTCCTCATCCTCTTCCTCATCTTTTCGGCAGCCGATATGAGATACTGAGACCTCTACTTACTTCATGGTTGACAACCGAGTCTGATGATGCTATGGGACCGCGAACCGCTGCTTGCAAACCTTGGGATTCCACCACCTCCTTATCCGAAAAGCGCTCACCATCCAGATGCTGGGCGACCGGCCGGCGGCGCCTTGGGAGATGGAATAGATTTCTCATGCCGAGCGATTTGCTCTTCAAAGTAAATGCGCTTCTAAGATTGTGGTGCTTTGGCTGTCTCCTGACATCTACTCGTTCACGTCTGCATTCACCACAAATGGTATGAGAGGTCCGGTTCTCTTCTCCGATTTTGCATTGCCGGAAATGGGGGAACTCGCTGGTTTTGAGTGCGCAGGGTAGGTGTTCGACGGTCATGTGGTCGCAGCTGAAGTTTGTTATGATATATTTGCACATCTTGTCTGGGGTTTCGCGGGATAAGGATGGAATGAATCGATGATGGTTATATGCGTATAGAAAGTGAAGAGTGAAAAGAGAAATCGCGGAAGAAGAAGAAGAATAGGAGTTTATATAAGGATTTTTTTGTATCGTCGCGTTGCGCGTTGCGCGATTATTGTTCTGCTTTTTTCTTTGTTCTCAGTTATAATTCTTGAAAGAGCAACAAAGAGACTATGGCAATGTCCAGTGAACAATACCATTACCGGCACTCCTCAACGTGCGAGTTCTTTGGACTCGATAAAGCCTTAGTAGAACTCACAATGTCCATTGTTAGAAATGGTTAAACAAAGCTCTTCACACTTTATTTCAAAAAGGTCTGTCATTTCAGAACAGCTATTGTTCTGCAGTATATATATATACCTCACAGAGACTTCAATCTCATTGCAAAACACCATCATTCAAACCTACATATATATCAACACATTCATACATACCACAAAAATCCATCCTCCAATCCATCCATATCTGAAGACAACCAAACCATCATCAAAAAAATGAATTCAAACATCAACCTCACAAACGGGACGCTCGATCATCCCCCACCCCGTCTTCCCTTTCAATATCCCACCTCCCCAACCATCCGCTCCCGAATCGAAAAACAAAACGAAGTCAACACGCAACTCCGCCGTCTCATATGGCAATCCCCGTCCCTCCATCATCTACCCCCCGCACCACAACCACCACTACCACTACTCCCCACACCAAAACCCGTCCCCGCAGATCCAGAATCTGAATACATCACTGCAGTACTAAATGAAGAATTCCCAGATCCGGAAATTAGAGATTCGGGAGCTCCTCCTTTGAATCGGTTGTGCGGGGGTTGGAGTTGGAGTTGGGGCGCGGCGGTGCTAATGTTGGTGTTGGGATTGCTTTGGGAGAGCGTGCTTTGGGGATTTTATGTGTGTATGGGCTTTATTTGGATTGTTTGGGTGGTGGAAAGGTAAGGTAGGTAGGTGGTTTAAGGTATAGTGAGAATCTCTCTTCTTTTCATATTTTCATCTTGAAATTTTTGGGAGGTAGTTATTCAGGAAAATAAAGAATCGGTTTAACATATATTGACGAGCAAATCTATACGTGAGAGATATACTTTTAACAAGACTCTGATGGATCTAAAGTAAGAGGAGTGATTTCTTGAGGAGTACTGTAAGTCCTGTGTAGGAATTAATCCATGCGTGTTACTCTCTCTATGCGTACTCAAAACCCGGAAATCGATAAAGAGGAAGCGTGAAATCGGGGGATATCTAAGTTAGGTGAACGTATGGTACATGACTTATTTAAATCGACAAGATGATGTTTCTATAAACACAGGTATTATTGATGCAGATAAGTTATCGAGAAGCCAATAGTAATTTTTTAAACTATGAACTCGCAGACCTCGGGCCAATCGACGCCGAAGGAGCGACAGGAACCGATAAATCAACTACCCCTCACTCAATTCAATGAATCAAACGATCAATCAGACTTTCAAACCCTCAAACCGTCCAAGTATCTCCCCCAGAAAAAATAATAAAACATGCCAGCCATACGAGAACTCGAATACTTCCGTGTCCGTCCCCGATGGCTCTTCGTCAAGATCACGGATGAGGAGGGGCGAGTAGGGTGGGGTGAGGCGTCGTTGGAGGGCCATACGCAGGCCGTGGAGGGCTGTTTGGATGCGTATCGGGAGAGGATTCTGGGACTTGATGCTGAGTACGTCCTCCTTGTTATTTATGATTTGTTCTTTTTTGTCTTTTTTTAAACTGGGTAAACATTTTAATTTGCTTCTTTTTCGTTTGTCGATTATCTCGTTCTCGTTCTTTTCTATTCCTAACTGGTGATTTGTGGTAGCGGAGCGGGGTAGATGCTGATTGATTCGTGCGATACTCTAGTGATATTGAGCATATCTGGCAGATGATCTATAGATTTGGCTTTTATCGAGGCGGACCAGTTTTAATGAGTGCCTTGTCTGGAGTGAGTCCTCCCTCTTTTCCGCAAGGAAAACAAGTAGGACTCTGATGATTGGAGGACAGATCGACATTGCGCTTTGGGATCTGAAAGCTAGAAGACTTGGAGTGCCTATCTATCAGCTCTTGGGCGGCAAACTCAGGAATAGGATTAAAGTCTATGCATGGATTGGGGGCGATAGGCCGGGTGACGTGGAGATTCAAGCGTAAGTTTGATTATTCCTCGAGGTGCGTTCTGGATCGTGACTGAGGGCAATAGAAAGGGGCGGCAAGCTCAGGGGTTTAAATCTGTGAAGATGAATGGGACGGAGGATCTAGGTTGGCTGGACAGCCCATCGGCTCTGCAGGGATGTGTGGAGAGGTTAAAAGTAGTGAAGAGTCTGGGCATGGATGCGGGGATCGATTTCCATGGACGAGTCCATAAGCCGATGGCGAAACAGCTGGCGAAGCTCTTGGAACCACACCAGCCAATGTTCATCGAGGAACCTCTTCTCTCGGAGCATATCGAAGGGATCAAGGCCCTTTCACAACATACATCGACGCCGATTGCTCTTGGGGAGCGCCTTCACAGTCGGTGGGATGTCAAACCCTATCTCGAGTCGGCGGCCGTGGACATCCTCCAACCAGACGTCTGTCATGTTGGAGGGATATCAGAACTACGCCGGATCGCGAATATGTGCGAGGCGTATGATGTAGCTCTGGCACCGCATTGTCCGCTGGGCCCCATCGCCTTGGCCGCTTGTGTGCAGGTGGATGCCAGCACGGCGAACTTTGCGATACAGGAAATGAGTCTGGGCATACACTATAACGTCGGGGAAGCGGATTTAACAAGCTATACCAAGAATCCAGAAGTCTGGGATGTTAAAGATGGGTATATAGATCTGATGACGGGCCCCGGGTTGGGAATTGAGATTGACGAAGAATGGGTCAGACGAGTGTCGAAGGATGCGGAGCCTTGGGTCAGCCCCGGGTTTATTGGTCCTGGAGGTGAGGTGAGAGAATGGTAGAGCCCAATCCATCGAAAAACGAGATAGATAGATAGCTCTGAATTCGAAGATATTAGATTATCATAACTTCAAATTTCCCCCAGCCTAGCCTCCCCTCAGCAATCACGGCAAGGCAATGCATTCAATCTCAACATTAACGCCCTTTGGCAATTGCTTTACAGCCACACAGCTCCTTGCAGGCTTATGCCTAATCCACTTCGCATACTCCGAATTCATCTCTTCAAAGTCCGCCATGTCGGTCAAGAAGATCTGGACCTTGACGATCTTGTCCAGTGACGAGCCGGCCGCGTGCAGCACGGCCTCGAGGGCTTGGAGACAGGCTTTGGTCCGCTCTCGCATGCTGCCGTTAATGATATTGCCTTGTGCATCAGCTGGCAACTGTCCTGAACAGTAGATTGCGGACGGCGTTTTGATAGCTTGCGACTGGAGAGCGAGCGTCAGCTTTGCACGTGACACAGCTTCAGCTTAAGAACACCCACATATGGCCCAACAGCTGCAAGCACCAGCATTCTGTTAGCGGTGATATAGATAGGAGAGGAGATTGAGGCGTTGAGACGAACGCTGCATGGCCTTTGAGGTATTGACTACTTGTATCTTGTCTGGCGTGTTGGGTTTAACTGGTCCATCGCTATTTCTTCTAATCTGTGTCGAAGTCGCTCTATTGATCAGAGGGATTAAAGGCCTCGAACCTCGCAGGGCCCTTCTCATAATAATTGAAGACATATCGCCTCGTACGTGATTTGGAGTGAGTGTCGTAGAAGGATGGAGGAACTGCCTTGCCGCCCTCTCGTGGACGGTGGTTTTGATACCTGATTAGGAATAGCCCGCCGGTCTAGAAGCTCCCTGCTTGAGTTTAGTAGTATTTTACAGTAATGTTTGATGAGATGACCTACTTTAAGATAAATGAATGGTGATTCTTGTAATCATAAATCTACCTAGGTATGCTAGTAATTCACGTTGTATTGTCCCTTCACATTGTATTGTCCCGAAGCATCAACCCCTTTCCCCTTTCGCGTGCTGACTTTGATGTGACTAATCACTCAGTCACGTGACTGCTTTCTTCCGGGTTTCAAGCAAAGGGAAGACAAAAAGTGATCAAGTTCCAGTTATTTTTTGACAAGAGTAGATCCCTTGCTCTCTAAACCATTCAGTGTGTTATATCTGGATTGTTCTCCCTGACACCAGCGCGCTTCTCAACTCGTTGCCGCGATAAGGAGCAATGCGCTAAGAAACATCCCAGATCGCGAAAAAGAAGGACAAAGGACACCTTTACGCGGCGCCCGAATCCCGTCCCTGAATATTGTATATCCAGGACGCCTTTCCACCGGACAAGGTCAACATTGCCTCTTGATCTCTAGTACAGATCAATGCTACTCTCCTACACTCATTGATTGCTGCTAGCCATAGCTGAAGCTTATTTCGTTGTAAGTCCAGCCCCCCTTTCGAGCTGTCGGCAGTTGAGCTTCGCAAACCTGCGCAACCGCCTTGACCGGACTTTTGAGTTGGAGCTGACCACATTTCTTCCTGGCTAGTGGTGCTTTCCCTCCTTCTTTAACCCTTCATCATGTCGCAAGTGGGATCGGCGCGAAAACGAAAGGATGCTTCGATACCAGTAAAGGCAAAGGATGCTTCATCCACGGGCATTGCAGCTCCTCGAGACGCGGAGCTTGATGCTATAGTCAAAGCCAATACGGGGAAGAAATCAGTGGAATGGAATTATCGGTTCGCTTTGATCATAATCACGGTTCTGGCGTTTATCACAAGGTTCTGGGGAATCAGCCATCCCAATGAGGTCGTCTTCGACGAGGTTCATTTTGGCAAGGTAAATCATGCCATTCCGTCCTTGAATCTGCGGATGAGAGATGCTAATGCTGATGGTGTCTAAACAGTTTGCCTCATATTATCTCGAGCGAACCTACTTCTTCGATGTGCATCCTCCCTTTGGAAAGCTACTCTTCGCGTTGATGGGCTGGTTTGTGGGATATGATGGACATTTCCATTTCGACAACATTGGCGATTCGTACATCAACAACAAGGTACCATATGTGGCTTTCCGCGCAATGCCCGCTCTTTTGGGTGCCTTGACGGTCCCGGTGGTCTTCGATATCATGTGGGAGTCTGGATACACCCTCCCCGCCTGCATTCTTTCGGCTTGTTTGGTTCTGTTCGATAACGCCCACATTGGCCAGACCCGCCTGATCCTCCTCGATGCCACGCTTGTATTTGCTATGGCATGCAGTCTGCTTTGCTATATCAAGTTTTACAAGCTGCGACATGCGCCATTTGGACGAAAGTGGTGGAAGTGGCTTCTGTTGACTGGATTCGCCCTCAGCTGCGTTATCTCCACTAAGTATGTTGGCCTGTTTGCCTTCATCACGATTGGTTCGGCGGTTGCGATCGACCTTTGGGGCCTTTTGGATATCAATCGTCGTCAAGGCGCTCTGTCTCTGCCGGAATTCGGCAAGCATTTTATGGCTCGTGCCTTTGCGCTCATTATTGTTCCTTTCTTTTTCTATTTATTCTGGTTCCAGGTGCACTTTGCGCTCCTGTATCGATCTGGTCCTGGTGACGATTTCATGTCCCCTGAATTCCAGGAGACTTTAAGCGACAATGTTATGTTGGCTAATGCGGTGACCATCGATTACTACGACAACATTCAAATCCGACATAAGGAGACCGGCGGATATCTACACAGTCACCCTGACAGATATCCACTGCGATACGAAGATGGCCGAGTATCGAGTCAAGGACAGCAAGTCACTGGATATCCATATTCTGATGCCAATAATCACTGGCAGATTATTCCCCTGGTAGATGACGAAGTCCTGGGCCATCACGTTAAGAACAACGAACTTGTCCGACTGAGACACGTTGTTACCAACACGATTCTCCTGTCTCATGATGTTGCATCTCCATACTATCCTACTAATCAAGAGTTCACAACGGTCTCTCTTGAAGACGCCCTCGGTGATCGTTTCAACGACACTCTATTCGAAATTCGAATCGAGAATGGCAAACCCGGACAAGAATTCAAAAGTCTTTCGGGTCAATTTAAACTCATCCATAACCCTAGCAAGGTTGCTATGTGGACCCATTCAACTCCTCTACCAGACTGGGCTTACAAGCAACAAGAAATCAATGGGAACAAGAATCTTGCCCAGAGCTCCAACATTTGGTTCGTCGACGAGATCCCATCTATCCCTGCGAATAGCGAGCGCTTGATCAAGAAAGAACGCAAGCCCAAGAGTATGCCTTTCCTCAAAAAGTGGTTCGAGTTACAGCGGGCTATGTTCTTTCACAACAATGCCTTGACGAGCAGCCACCCATATGCTAGCGAGCCTTATATGTGGCCATTCTTGTTCAGAGGTGTTAGCTTCTGGACGCAGAACGATACCAGACAGCAAATCTACTTCCTTGGAAATCCGCTTGGGTGGTGGATTGCTAGCAGTCTATTGGCAGTCTATGTTGGTATCGTTGCAGCAGACCAGCTGTCACTTCGTCGTGGGGTTGATGCTCTGGACAAGCGTAAGTCAAACCTCTCCGCTACTTTGAAATTTACTAATGTTCTACAGGCACGCGGTCACGCCTCTACAACTCAACCGGATTCTTTTTCCTAGCGTGGGCCATGCACTATCTCCCATTCTACCTCATGGGTCGCCAACTCTTCTTGCATCACTACCTGCCGGCCCACTTAGCATCCGCTCTAGTCACCGGTGCTCTCCTTGAATTCATCTTCAACGTCGACCCGGACCTCGACGACAGCCCGTCCGCCAAACTCGGCAAGAAGGGTGTTCCCAAGAAGCACCTCCCAGCCCGCGAGAAGCTCGCGAACCAAGATCTCCTCTCGTGCTGGGCAGCAGTGGGCGCCATCATCGCGATCATTATCGGAGGATGGTATTTCTTCCTGCCTTTGACATATGGATACCCGGGCCTCACGGTGCCCCAAGTCAACGCTAGGAAGTGGATGGCGTACGATCTGCACTTTGCGAAATAGATAGGTGGCTAGATGACGGACGATGGAATGGTTCCTTTAAATAGTTGAGGGTGGCAAAAAAATGGAGAAAAGGATATGTATGAAATGGAGTGCGGCCTTCTCCCTTCGATTAGCGATTGCATTTGTATCATAGTCTCTCAGGTTATCTGATATACCTCTTCTATACTCTGATCCTCGACAAAGGTGTGTGCATCCTCTAAGGTAAAGTAAGCAGAATAGCCTTTATTTAGCCTTCTGTTACACAACTCTGGCTATTCAATTGACAATCCCGTATGGTAAGGGATAAAGCAATCGAATCTAGACTCCTTCCTGACTACCTATGGGCACGAATGAGAGTTCATAGTTAGACCAGTAGATATACTTTTATCTGTTCTTAATTCAGTGTTTTTCTACAAGTCGGTATATAGGAGACAGAATAGAACTATATAGTTCTAATCTAACGTATCTAGGTATCAATCGAGGGTTTTCGAGACACTACACTACACTACACTACTATATCTAGATATCTATCGATCTTCTTTCTATATTTAACGCAAGACACCTAGGTAATGCAACTCCCGTCCGCCCGCTCGCAAAGTAACAAACAAACAAACAAGACACATACATACATACATACATACATACATATATATAGCTGTGCCAAAAAAGCACACTATATAATACCAACTCAAACCAACTCAACCCAAACCAACTCATTCATCCTCATCCAACAACGCCAAACAGTCCAACTCTGTCCTAACCAGACTCTCAAACTCGCCCCTCTCAATGCCCACCACCTTCGCCAGCTTATATAGACTCTTCAGACTACTCGAGATATGTTGTTTAATGCCGAGTTCGCTCTGCACCCGAGCCGCGCTCTGCGCTGCTTTGATTTCTAGTCTGGCTACCGTGTCACTCCCACTACTACCCGTGCTCGATCCTGGTCTCGGCTGTGCCAATCCCGCTCCCCCCCCTCCTCCTCCCCCTCCCCCTCCTTCCTCCTCTTCTTCTCTTCTTTTTAATATGTGAGCAGACGAGAGCGCAGTGCGCAGCTCCCGCGATATCTCGTCGTGCCCGAGCGAGCTTTCCACGTCCCCGTTCTGCCGCGCTTCGTCGGGATCGTGGTTGTCTAGCGCGGGCTGCACACTGGCGTATTGTGCGTAGTAGGAAGCTTCATCGTCGTCGTTGGCGGGGTGGCCCGCTCCAGGGGGCGCGGGGGAGCGTTTGGGCGCCGGTGTGTGGCCTCCTGGGGTCTTGTCGTATTGGGCCCAGTAATCATCATCATCGTCGTCGTCGTCATCATTAGCGGCGTCGTCGTGATTCTCATGATAGGATGTATGTGAGATGTTGGGATGAGTGGTGGTCGTGGATATTGTAGTCGTAGTTGTTGTGGATTTCTGGAATGTAGATTCGGCGATCAAGATGCTGACTTCTCCCCATGAAGCATCATCATCGGTGGTGTTGTCCTCGAGCACGCTTACTTCTCCAATCCTCCACCCGTCGCCGCCTCCTACTTCGTCATTCACGCACCAGACGAGGCGGATGCGCAATCCTAGGTCTGGTATGGTCACTAATGCTTGCAACGTCTCCTCATCCAGACGCTTATATCTGATGCCCGCCTCGAATTCCCAATCGATCTCCACCTCTCCGGACACGGGATGCGGTTCCAATCTCTCGCTCTTGGCGACCGTCTCTAGTTTGGACGCTTTGCTGCTATCGTAGCAGAGCAGGGGAAGCCAGGGTTCGGAATCGGTCGCGGAGAGGAGCTGCACGCGCTGCCGGAGGATCGGGGAGAGGAGAGGAAGAAGCGCTGTTGGAGGTTGTGGAGAGATGGAGGCGGCGGGCAGAGAGGACAGTAATGGAGCCAGTAACGGCTCCAGTCGAGGAGGAGGGATCGTGGTCTGCATCATACTCAGAGAGTTGGTCGCTGTTCTGCTCTTCTTGTCGTCACTTTCGTCCTTCGCATCCCACTGTAAGCAAAGCAGATAGGCAGATAATACAGACAGACAGACACTCGGACCCTAGTGGCAGGCGAGAAAGGAAGAGAATGATAATGTAAATGTATTTTTGACGTACATCTCAAGTATCAGTGCGAAGATATCTATGCGCGAGGGCAGAAAGGGCCACGATGCGCCAGCAGTGGCCGTTTTGTCGACCTTGGTTGTAGCCCATATTAATAGCCGTTTCTGAACGTGGGGTCAAACGTGGAGGAATCCAGAGATCCTTTGGCCCGATATAGCGTCATTATCAGTCTATCAGTAGCGCTCCCACGTTGCACTTGATTCAGGTACAGCTGAGTAAGCTGTTTGTTTACTTATAGCTCTTTTGTTATTGGAAGGGTATTAATACATGGGAGGGGCAAGGCCATGTCTTTTAGAGAGGAAGACCGCAACTTCGCAGGAGAGGGACTCCACATAATGTTAATCATCCATATTATTAGTAAACGAAACAGCTATAATAGTCTTTACATCAATCAGTAACTCCAAAACCTTCTCCATCAATCAACGATAAATCGATCCCAGCATATATTCGAGCCGTGCGTATTACAATTCTCTATCTAGTTTACATGAAGTTGGCTCATAAAAATACAATCTCCTTACTCCCTTTATTCAACAATTTCTGAATCGAGAAGGATCCGTAGGACACGCTCGTACGTCCACATAGTAACAGCGCTGGCTGGAGCAGCTTTAAACAGACTTTTTGCACGTTAGTTGGAATTTATACGAAGACCAAATGATGCTCACCTAACTGTCAAGCCTCTGTATAAGCCTCTGGGCCCTTCAGCCTTGAGGATATCCCTCATCGTTCTGAACACGCCTTTGTAAGCCGGTATGTTCTTGTGCACATATTTGCTTCTCGTCGGCCCCTGAACTTGCAGCCGTTTCCTAATCAAGTCAAATGGAAAGACGCCAGTTTTGGCAATGACCGAAGCTATCACTCCAGCTGCCGCATCGCCAGATCCAAAAGGCAGATGTATACTTCCCACGGGCAGCCGTAGAGTTTCGTAGGTGGCGAAGAATATGCCCATGTACGGGATGATCTGCCCCACGCCAGCACCAAGACCTTGGAAGAATCCCTTAGGGCCTTCACTTTTCGCAATGTCACGTATCGAAGCCGCCAGAGAAGCGTAGACCTTTTCCGTCCCTTGAGCTGCAAATCGAGTCCGGAGAAGATCAAGAGGATAGGTTGCAGTTGTTGCGACAGCTCCCGCGCTCGCTCCGGCGACGAAGCTTTCCGCAGCTGCAGGAATTCGTTTCTCCCCGAATGTCTTCTGTAATGCCAACGTCACAGATCGATAGGTCACGAATTGTATACCGCTGTACGAAACGTACATAAGCTCTGCCGGAATGTTGCCCTTCCATAGTGCTGTAAGCCCTTCCTCCCGGAAGATACGCTTGATCGTTGGGAGGGTGCCCTTGTAGACCGGGGAACCTTTCAAATCTCGCTGCGAAAGAGGGTCGGATAAGGAGTGTGTTTGCAGTTGAAGACGGATCTTGACGACATCGAGAGGAGCAATAACAAATCTGCAGGGAATCAGTATGCAATTGAGAGTTAAACCAGAATGCCCTACCTTGCGATCAATCCAGCTATAGCTCCAGCGACAACCACTTGGGTTTTGGAACCCTGTATGCCAATTAGTAGTTTACTTTGGTTGATAAAGAGGGAATTTGAGTGTACCTCATCCTTCAGGTGTCCACCGCTAGGAGACATACATCTGTCTATTGCCAACTTCACGCGTTTTGTTTGTTGTACTTCCGGGTTGATATTTGATATTTATTTATGTCTGAGTTCACGCGAACAAACGTAGCCTGGTCGGCGGCGCCATCGGAAAGAGCCGAGAAATACGATTCAGCCACAGCACTAGCCACAGGAGGCTGAGAAGCAAAGAGCCGAGGGAACTCCTCACTCACCTACAACTAACTACAACGACGACCAAGACGACGTCGATTCTTCAATTCCCCTGAAAGAGATATCATCTTTCGCTATACCAGCGCGGAAACCAACTCGGAGTTTCTTGACCTATTATGCTGGTCATGTTCCATCCTTGAAACCTCCACACAACGCAGACCACGTGACATATCTCTTGCGGGGGAATGGCAGCCACAAGAACCATGAGAAGCCTTGGAGTGCTTCGTCGAGTCAGTGTCCAACTAAAGGGGAGGAATGTTTTTTACCAACGCCGTGGGGTCTCCTCAGTCTCAGACACCGACGAATCCATTGTGCGTGAGATTCCTAATAAAGCGCCGTTGGGGGATTTGAGACCTTACTTCAAACATGTACACCCTCAAGAGCATTCAGACCCCCTGGAGGACAGCGATGCCGAGATCGACTTCCTCCATCCGGATTATCTTCAATATCTTGCCGGTGGGTTGAAGCCGCAAGACGGTCAGGTCCAAGGGGTAGAAACGACTTCAGGCAATGCCCAGGAGAAGAAGAAAGAGAACGTCGTACGCCAGGTTGGTGTCGAAGTTCCGCGAATAGTCACGAGTAAGATTCGTAGACCTGGGGTAACCTCGCACTTTGTCCAGATTCGGGATCTGGCACCTTTCCATGCTGTCTTTCTCCGGGATTCATGTCCTTGCGATCAATGCATTGATCCATCATCGAAACAGAAGAACTTTCAAACTACGGATATCCCACCACATATCAGGGCTCGATTTGTGAAAAACCACAAGGACGGCAGTACGACTGTTGGTTGGGATAACGACGTTCCCGGCTTTGGACCCAGTCACTTCTCACACTTTCCAAAGGAGTTCTTCGAGACGAACTCCTCTCACAATAGTATCCTCGAAGACCGTTTTGAGTCAGAGAAGCCCATACTGTGGAATAAGTCTATCATTACCTCGAGGCTAGTGTACGGCCATTATGACGCCTACATGAACAACGATGCAGCTTTATACCAATTACTCCGAAAGCTGTATCTATACGGAATCGTCCTCATTCGCAATGTACCCGAATCAGATAAATCCGTGGAACGCATTGCGGAGCGAATAGGCAGACTTCGAGATACTTTCTATGGGAGAACATGGGATGTGAAGTCCGTTCCAGAAGCCAAGAATGTGGCATACACCGAGAAATACCTAGGACTGCACATGGACCTCTTGTACATGGCCAATCCTCCTGGCTTCCAATTCCTCCACTGCCTCAAGAACACGGCCGAGGGTGGCGCATCTATCTTTTCTGACTCGTTTTATGCGGCTAGCAGGCTTGAGCCGAGCGAATTCAACTGGTTAAGCCACTATCACGTCCCGTACCATTATCGAAACGCAGGCGAGCATTATCATTACCGCCATCCTGTTATTGAAATGAAAAGAGATCCCAACCAGCGCGGGAGGATTGCAAACGTCAACTACTCTCCCCCTTTCCAGGGACCTCTTGTATTTCCGGGTGAGGAGCAAAAGAGAAAATTCAATCACTTCATGTCACCATTCAGGAGTTTTGCAGCTCAGGTCGAGAACGAGGACAACTTATACGAATATCGATTACAGGAGGGCGAGTGTGTGATCTTCAACAACCGGAGGGTATTGCATGGGAGGCGACAATTCGATACTTCGGCCGGCGAAAGATGGCTGAGGGGCTGTTACGTCGACACAGATGTTTTCATGAGTCGATACCGCGTTCTGGCGCAAAAACGGGCCGATCACGATCTCCTTCCTGTGAAGATTCCCAAGGCGAAATCACCTATGTTCCGGAGAACCCCAGGTTCTCAAGAAGCGGGCGAATCTGAACAAGCGCCCAATTCTGAACAAGCCTCGGTATAGTAGTAGTAGATAGCAACACCGTCGCCTCAGATACCCTCAATCCCAATATCATCTCAGAATCTCCAATGCCAGAATGAGCGGGTGCCTTCTCATTTCTCTTCTTACTTCCCCAAACCCACAAGTTCTAAACCAAAACATCCCTATTCATCTGAATTACGATCTCCAACCACTGCCAGTCTCCCCACTATTTCCCCCACCTCCCTTCTCTCTTTCCTTTTCCCCTGAGTGCATTCCACCTCTTGATATCTTTACAAGCTACCAGGAAACCCTTCCGCGGGTCTCCCGCAGACGCTCAGTACTGCGGTTACATAGCCAAACCATCAAATTTCGAGACAGAGCTCCCTTCCCCCCTCTCAAGTACCTTATTTACTCAACATTCCATGAGAGAGATTCAAGAGCATTACCTCCTTTGATTCGAAATTCCGCAATCCCCAACCCAGCGCAGAATTCAGGAACCGTATCTTGAAACTTTTTTCTTATTTTTGGAGATATTTCCATAATGCAACTCCTTTTGCACGCGTCTGGTCAAAGTCTTTCTTTCTTATCTTGTGCTCTCATCACTCACTTTGTCTATATGTGATAGGTTAGGGAAGGAGGAAGGGAGGGGGTTTAGAGGGTTAGATAGAACCTATGGTTTTAATACACACTGTAGTGTAAACGATGTTTATATCTTTTTCCTTCGTCTTTTGGGTCCCTGTAATAATATCTCCTATGATGAAACTGGTATTTCAGCATTGAGAATGCAGAGTTGTGAATATGAGAGAATCAAACATTGTGGGGAGTCGAAGAGCTCCGCGTGAGAACACTTTGGCCGCTCCATATTATGATTGATGGACGGCTCCTGAAGTGAAGTGGTGCTATGATAGTATGCTATCTATCTAGACGGGTATATATATATTCTTCGAGTTGTAGTCTCATCATGTACCATAAGTCTTCTCGCCCACCTTCTGTTTCCGGACCGTCGTGCCCTTCTTCTGCAAGACCTCTTTCATCAACTCCTCTAGCCTACTCACAGCCTCATCGCTGATTTGATAATGCACCACCAATCTGCCTCCCGAGAGCTTGAGACCTTTCGCTTTTGCCAGCTCCGAGAACACTTCGTCGTCAATGCCCACGTCTGTGAGATTGAACCATACCATGTTCGTCTCCGTCGGCTTGTCGAGCTTTCCCCCGAGGTCAGTCCAGGCCTGTGCGATCTTCTTGGCTGTGATGTGCGTCTGTTTCAAGAGACCTCCCTCGCCGTTCGGTCCCTTTCCGAATGTCTCATCGACCGCTACGCGCGCCGCCGCAGTTACGACACCAGGCTGTCGCAAGCCCCCGCCGATACTCTTCCTAATCCAGGTAGCCCGCTTAATGAGCTCCTTACTCCCGACCAGAATACTCCCAACAGGCGCCCCCAGCCCCTTCGAGAAGCACAAGCTCACACTATCAAACTCCCTCGTGTAATCCGGCAGGCTGCCCGCGCCCGCCACGACCGCCTCCCAGATGCGCGCCCCGTCCAAATGCAGCTTGATGCCATGCTCCCTCGCAAACGCCGCGACCCTCTTCACCTCCGCCAGCGGCATGATGGTCCCGCCCAGCGTGTTCTCCAGCGAGATGAGCTTCGTCGGACACGAGTGGATGTCCTCACCCAGCACGACGTTCTTCATGATGTCCTCGAGCGTCAGGTAGACGCCGTTGCTCGGCACCACGCCCTTGACGAGCGCGCCGCACAGCGCCGCCACGCCGCCCGCTTCCCACTCGAGGATATGTGCGCGATAGTCGCAGAGCACTGAGTGTGGTGGCTGTGTTAGGTGGGCGCGGATCGCGAGCTGGTTGCCCATGGTGCCGGAGAGGACGAACAGGGCGGCCTCGTGCGCCGTGCGAGACGCGAGGTAGGATTCGAGGTCGTTGGTCGTGGGGTCCTCCTTGAAGACGTCGTCGAGGAGGGTGGTGTTTTGGATCGCTGCGAGCATGGATGGCGTTGGGGTCGTCACGACATCGCCTGGGGGGGAGGGCGTGTCAGCTTCTTCTTCTCGCGGGGGGGCTCAATTGAGGGAAAGGGAATGCGTACTGCGGAAATCGAAAGCAGCTGGCCCGGGGCCTGACCATGCGTTCTGCGGCTTGTGGGATTCAGCCATGTCTGATATCCGGCGGTGTTGTTGGGAATTGTACGAGGAGATGTGCGTGCTGATGCTCCAAAGAGGGGGAGCGTATATCGATGTCGATTCTACGAAGCGGAAATCAGCAGTAGAAAACAATAGAAGATATAAATCTACATTGCAGACTCACTCAGAACTCGGAATAGCGTTGAGACGCCTGTTCTGCGCCGCAGTGGGAGTGCAAAGGTGGGGGTTCTGAGATGCATGGCAAAGAGTGACGCTTGATGAGGACATTCAGAGAGTCAAGAAGTATTATTATTCGTTGGTGGTTTATTGTTCCTCGGCGTATTGTTATCCCCTATCGATAATCAACCTTATCGCGATGGCGGGCCGGACCTTATCCAGGAGATAAATCCATTTTCCTTTCCGATAATGACACCCTGAACGCCTAGAACATAGAACATTCCTTTCCACGTGGGAATTTCCGCTCTGGTCACCACACCTCGTGGCTGCGACATGCAACAAAATCCTCATCCTGCACACTGTTTCACGTGCTGATTAGGCTTTACATCAGCTGACTAATCATCTCCCCCCTTTTCAAAAGGGGCTTCTTAACGTGCCCTTCAAAACATGGAGTTTCGCATGAGATCCTTATACTAATCATATGAATATATGTTTGGTGGTATTGAACTCACTACAGATCTCTCTCACTCCGTAAATTAGCATGGCCGAATCGGAAAAGAAGGTTAACCGCGCCCACCGAGTGGTGGGCTCGGAAGAGAAGACATACTTCTGGGCATATCTAGGTAGCCCAGGATAGGGTAGGCGCTTGGGGCCTCTCGTTCTTGACAAATTATCCAACAGGACGACGATTCCAAAAGGGTTCGATTGCTTATACAGATCAAGTGAGTGATTTAAAAGGAGATACTCGTACGTCCTGTGCAAGGCATAGAATGGCCTTCCATCATTGCCTTCAGAAAGTCTGGACCATCGTTTAGATTGGATCGCGTTGTATTGAGAAGCTTCTGTAAGAAGCTAAGAGCTGTTAGAGGAGAGTGAGTGGACCACTGAGGGTAAACAGAGTCCAGACGGTAAGGGTGTATGTTCATTGCTGGGTACAGCAGTAGTTTAGGACCTGATGATGTGATTGAAGGAGATGGAGACGGTCGCTGGTTCGAACTTCGAAGGGTGCGGCTTTGAAGATGAAGTGAGAACAACTTTGAGAATTTGTGATATGGCTTGAGATGTCCTTTTAGACAAAGCTATCCAGAAGAAGCTAGTGGTTCTCTCAATGAGTGTTTTAATTAAAGCTGCAGATCTAAAGAGGGGATATCAGCATCCACATATATATACGTATATATATAGACAAAAGGGAGATATAGAGAGACTTTGCCAAAAGAATGTCATACAATCATCTTTGACTCTAATCTGAGTCCCTTGTCAATCTTAGGCCCTCTTCGACTCTTCCTTAACCCTCCTGACCCTCTACATAGGGCCCTAGGGGACCATATCTCCACTAGTAGGTCCCGAAGAAACACTCCCCCCTTTTATTTTTTCAAGCAGAATTGACAATCTTTTTAAAGATTTTATAGTATAAGGGTGGTCTGAGCCAAGCACCTTCCGGCGCCCTGAGATGGCCCTCTGGTAGAGCGTGTGTGCTTCATCGTACTTGCCCTGCTCCTCAAGCACTATAGCTAAGTTATCCATGCTCATTAGAGTGGCAGGGTGTTCTTCTCCAAGCACCTTCTCCATTAGCTGTAGAGCCCGTCGGTGCATGGCCTCAGCCTCGTCGTATTTGCCCTGATTCATAAGTACTGCTGCTAAGTTGTCTATACTTGGTAGTGTGTCAGGGTGTTCCTCTCCAAGCACCTTCTCCCTTAGCTGTAGAGCCCGTCGGTGCATGGCCTCAGCCTCGTCGTATTTGCCCTGATTCATAAGCACTACTGCTAAGTTATTTATACTTTGTAGTGTGTCAGGGTATTCTTCTCCAAGTACCTTCTCCCTTAGCTGTAGAGCCTGCCGGTGCATGACCTCAGCCTCGTCGTATTTGCCCTGATCCATAAGTACTATTGCTAAGTTGTCTATACTTTGTAGTGTGTCAGGGTGTTCCTCTCCAAGTACCTTCTCCTTTAGCTGTAGAGCCCGTCGGTGCATGGCCTCAGCCTCGTCGTACTTGCCCTGATCATCAAGCACTATAGCTAAGTTGTTTATGATTACTAGTGTGTCAAGGTGATCCTCTGATTCCTCTCTAAGCACCTTCTCTAGTAGCTGTAGAGCCTGTCGGTACATGGCCTCAGCCTTGTCGTACTGGCCAATCTGCGACAGAATAGTTCCGTATATATTTTTTGTAAAGGCAATCGTCTTGTCTTTCCTGTCTAAATAGCGCTCGTAAATTTCCAGTGCTTGCTCAATCTTCAGTATCGCAATCCGGAAATCCCCCTTCTGCTCCAAGTACCACGAAAGGGAATAAAGGATAGATGCCTGCTCAAGGAGGTCATCTCTGCTCTGGAAGCCGTCGTAAGACAGGACTGCTTCGACATGTGGAAGTAAAGACCTCCACGACTCCCAATTTTCGTAATCGCCATCTGGGACTGCCTTTGAAAGCAGTCGCAAGGCTTTCTGTTCCCATTTGAAGATACTGTCATGTACTTCTAGCCACTTTTTCGTCCCTAACTGCACTAGTCGATGCATCTCAAAGGAGTTGTCGGTTCCTGAGTTGGCGGTGATTAGTGAAAATCCTTGAAGCAAGACCAGCGCTTTCGTAAGTGAAAGCCGGTCGCTAGTCTCGTTCAGGAGAAGAGATTTTGGAATCCCTTGTCTGTGAAGAACACTCATAAGAGAGAGTAGATCTGCGGCATCGGGGCTCTCTCTCTGAATCTGTCTAAACGAGATCTGCCAGGTAGTAATGATTGCATTTGGTACTTCGGAATCTCGACGTAGATCACCGACATCTTCATCCAACAGAGCAGTACGAGAGTGTTCACTTTCGTAGAGCATATCTAGGTAGACTGCAACATCAATAATCGGCGCTCCTTGTGAGATGTATGCCGCGGCTTGTGTGATTGCGAGAGGGACGTTATCGAGAGCTGCCACAAGCTTTTTGCAATCAGGGTCTCGGAAATCCGTAATAGACTGTGCAGAAGACAACTTCGCTTTCAGCAAATTCAAGGCTTCCTCTGGCTTCATTGGCTCGATCTTGATAATGTCGTTGTATCCTCCAACCAGCTTCAATGCCGCGCCCGTGTTCCTCGAGGTAACCAGAACCGATCCGGTCGCAGCTTGGGGAATATATGCCAACAAATTTGTCTCGGTATGCTGTGATGATTGAGCAGCAGCGGGGGAAAACATCTTAGCCTCATCGGCATTATCCAGAATCAGAAGCCAGGGGCCATTGCTCTCGTCTGCCAGCCATCGAGAGACAAGTTGCATGATATTCACCTGAGCACTATCCCTACCAGGGAGCTCTAATCTATTCGCTATGTCTCTGTACGACTGTTCAAATCGGGTGACAGTACCTGCGTATACCCAGAAAACCCACGTTTGTGATGATTTGCGGCTGAGTCTGTAGGAATATTCGATGGCGATTTGTGATTTCCTAAACACGGTTTAACTTAATAGCATTGACTTGACTATAGTAATAACTTACCCTACACCACCTAAACCAACAAGCCCGACCCGTTTGTGTGTAGCACATGACGAGAATTTAGCATCGAGTTCTGCCATTACGGCATTTCGACCAATAAAGCCAGGATCTCTTGCAAACGGAACCGTGGAGAGCGGCTTTATTGTGATATTTATTGGTGCTATATAACCAATAATTAGAAGGCGTCTAATAAAACGTAGAATGAGAAGTTGAGAATAGTCAAATAATCAAATTGTAGATTATCTTAGTCACTCACAAAACCTGGTTGAAACGGCCTCTGAGGCACTCTTCTCAAACTCAGTTAAATAATACAGTGCCCTCTGATAGCCCTCATCGGTCTTATAGTCAAATTTCGCCATCTGCGAATGATCAAGATTGAGAGGGATCTTGGTTTCCATAGAATCCGGAAGCTGTAGGACAGCCGAACGCACCTCCACGGCGATGGTATAGTCACCGGAACGTGACCAGGATTGAGTCATTTCATCCTATAAATATGTCAAATCTGGTGACGATGGAGTTTCGCATTCTAGCTGACCTTCACATACTGCCGCGTCTGAGACTGTTCATAGAAACTCACAATCTTCCGACCTCGAACCACATTCTTGAAGTCTAACAATTGAGAAAATAGCACTTGCGATTCCTTCTCTATCTCCTTAAGTAAAATATGACGTGGGCTATTATCTGCGATCATCTCCTGAAATTTTTTGATAACGAGGCCTTCATGTGGGGTTCCAAAGAATAAGACCCCATAAGTGGCTTTGTAAAGAGAAGCGATAACTTCATCTTCCGTATGGGCTGCGTTGATAATCGACTAAGGGAAATTCAGCGTGTCATCCTAATGGAAAGACTCCGAAAGAGGTGAGCATACACGAGCTATAACAATACCTCCAAAACTGTGCCCAATGAAGAAGAGTGGTCTCTGAATAGCCTAGGAATCTATATTAGCCCAAAGCTTTAGAAGGAAGAGATAGACAATTCGAAGTGATTCACCTCTTTGGAACGCCGAACATTCCTAATCGCCTCTAAAAATCCTCGACTATAGTCCAAAATTGTATTGATACCAGGACTTGACAGTTTTGAATCGTAACCATAGATCATGGTGCGACAATTGGGAAGGTCTTTGGAAAGGAAATCACAAAGCCACATTCGGTGAAGGTCTCCCTGTCCTCGGAATGAACCATATGCGTGGCCACCCAGACCAGTCACGGCGATGATACTAGAAGATAAAAGTTAGCATGCTTGGATGTTTTCATCGCAATTAACACTGACTCTGCATTGATCGGTTCTCCCTCTCTTGTACTGTACAACTGTGTGAGTCCATAGAAGTGGTCGTCAAAGCTGATATCTCTATCATCCAGCTCTATTCCCTTGGCCCTCTTGTTGCCAAGACTGGATAGAAAGTCGGGAGCATCACCTTTCCATTCTAGCAATGCAACAGATGTCTTATCATCATCGCAAGAAGGCGCTACGGTTACTTTCCCGCGTCGTTGCAGCTCTGGTTCCGAGGCATGTAGACGAAGGACGCGGTCCAAATACGATATGATCTCGGTCTCAGTGCCAAGAGGCAAGCCCCTGACCCGGAATACCTTCGACGACATATTGCACAGTAGGACGGCCTTAAGGCTGTGTAATGAGAGGGACGTCTGTTCCTCTTTGGAAATAGAGAGCTGGGAACTCTCGTAATTTGCATTGGAGTGAGGGTTGACGATCGGGTTATCATGCGGCAGGGATAAGTTGTGATCCGTAACCCGGTAGGCGATCCCCCAGCTTGACTGATAGGCTTCATCGTCCGCCACACTTGGGCTGAACCTGCAGCAGAGGACGAGATTATCTGATTGATTGGTAGCCCTTGGTCAGAAGGACATTTTCGCAGGGCTTTGCGCACTTTATGCCGTCTAAGAGGCGTCTAAGCGAGTCACCCCCGTACCGTATTGGCGCCCAATATCGAAGTATTCCAGACAGCCAACACACAACTCAACTCCCGTCGTAAGCTTAGTGGTCAGAGCTGGCCTAATAGCTGGAGGGCTATATAGAGGCCAACCCAGCGCGGGTTTGCCGTCTTCGGTTCGAACGAGATCAGGTGGTTCGAGCGTTATTAGGGCGACATCAATCCGTGAGTTTACATACCTACCTAGACTACACTCTTTAGATATACTTTCTAATATGCCAACTAGTCATGGACCCCCTTTACGCCCCCCCTTCCGAAGTGGAGGTTTTGGACTGGTTCTCCGGTTACAGTGCTGCTTTCTCTCAAGACCAAAACGAAGAACAGATGGTGAAAGAAGTCAGCAATCTCTACAGGCATGTCTTCGAGTGTTTTAAGAGGTCCCGTGAGACAGCCGGAAGGACATCATCTCAAGTACACGAAGATCTACGCGTGTTTGGTTTCGACTATTACGACTTGAAGGCTGAAACGCCTATTCGCTTTTACTCCAAGCTTCGTGTTCCTGCGCAATATAGGCCGCCTCCAACCTCAGGGCAAGAATTTGGAGAAGACACACAAGTGATTTGGCCTAAGCACGAGAGGCGCAGATGGCTTGCATCTTACCTTCGCAACTCTTCTGCGCATGGAACAACGCACGTTAGCAACGGGGTTGTAAGCATTGAGAATAGAAGAAACGGAGAACTTGTCCCAAATTTCCGCATCTTCCTTCCCGTGAGGGAATATGTTAGGTTGATAGCACTTTCCTTGCAGTCTCTTGTTACACATGTTGTGCAGAGATCTCCTACCATGAATCAATTGGGGCGTTTGGCGTTGTATCCATATGGCGAGCTGGTTGGATTTTTCCGTCGCTTTTTAGAGGACCTTCCTTAAGTTTCAAATGACTTCTTTGTAACGTCTAGATCAGAAATATCTGGCGTTCTACCTAGGTAGGTAGTTCTGGCAGGTATAAATAGATTCGTTTATTTAGATAACTTAGTAGAGATTTAAGACTTCCAAACTATGAAGTCGTTCCGCTCCGTAGGCTTTTCCGCCACGCAGGGATGGAACTCATGAGGCTGAGCTGTTGCTGAAGCCATAGGATGGGTCTTGATAGACAAGCAAGCGATAATAGGTATATATCATTTGCTCTATGCACGTGTTGCTCTTCCAGCGTAAGGTAGGAGGTACCTCCGTATATATACCTAGGTAGGTACCTTGCTTTGGGGAAGATAAGGGCGTGTAAGGTAATAAAACCAACCTTTTTCCAAACCAGACCACAAGCATGAAACAAGGGTCTAGGTATATAACTCTTAACTACTACTACTCTGATCCTCCTCCTTTTCACCCCTCACCATCCGACGATCATCAACCCAAGGCGTAACCCCCTCGCAACCCATTGGGACCCGGACTCTCTCCCGAACATCACACGTTTTCCAGAGCACGTCCCTGACTTCCCGTCCTACCTTCTCTATACTATCTATCGCCCAGATGACATCTAGATGCTCGTACTCGTCGATAACCTTGCTATGCACGACCCTGATATGGGGTTCCCTGCCCCGCTCAAATCTCCGCAGTAGCCTCCTCCCGTCAACCAGATCGTCCTTGCCCGCAACCCAGAGAGCAAACGGCGGTGTTTGCGCATTATACCAAGCCGTGCTCCCCTTCGGCCTGCGCTCGTGCTTCTTTTGGACCTCGCGACTGCGATGTCCATTCGTGCCGTCGTCGACTTCCTGGGACTTGCGCGTGCGGCGGTAGTAATCCTCCATCTCCTCTTCCGCGTCTTCCGCGTCTTCTTGATGGCCTTCTTCGCGCGTAGCAAGGATGCATTTCTGTTTCGCGAAGCACTCACGGCCCAGCCACCACCGCATGCTTTCTGCGCTCACGTACACTGGACTGAATTGGAACATGCGAGCGCGCAGTCCGCGGTCCCAGCGAGCGTCAGACCAGTTGAAGAGGAAGGCGAAAACGCGGTACCCTAGGGCGGCATACAGCCAGCCGGGGAGGATCCGATGCATGGTCATCATGAAGGGGATGAAGGCGTGGATGCCGAAGATGAGGCGGAAGAAAGCCGGGGGAATCACTCGCATGAATTTAAAGTATGCTTTTCCGATGAGGGGACCCGCATATGCTGCTGGCGCCAGGGCGCAGAAAACAGTCAGCTTCTCTCCTAGGTCGGGACGCTGTTCCTTTGCCAGCGCCACGAGGGTCTCAGTCGTGCCTTGGGAATGGGCTATGAGTCCCAATTTCTCGAATCCGGTTTCAGAAAGCACACGTGAGGTTAGAGCAGGCAGATCCATTACGCCCATTTGGCGAATGTTCCAGGACCACATCCTAGGATCGGAGTAGGAGAGGCGGGTGTGTTCAGGATGGAAGCCGCAGCGATTGTTGCCAATCCAGACATCGTAGCCAGATTTGCAGAGGTAGAATGCAAGAGAATCGTCGTCGTTCACGCAGTAGGCACCCCCTGACTGAAGGAGACCGTGGATCATCAGGATGGGAAATTTGGGTTTTTGCTTGGATCGAGAGGGACGACTGGGGCGATAAGGTCCAGTACCAGTGAAGACGTCGGGACCACGGGCAGCGCGTTCAGAAGTTGACATAGGGGTATATTCGAGAGGATCGTAAACGTGCCAAAGTGTTATTATAAAGCCGTCTTCGGTTTGCACTTTTAATTCCTCGACATCGAGTCCTACTCTTCTGGCGTAGTATCCCACATCGCAGACCAGGGGGTCCGGTCCCCCTTCTGTCGGTACAAAGCTACCCCATCCAGCCTCGTCCTCATTATCGTCGTCCATCCTGGTCCGGAAGTACTTCCTTGATGATTGTTTCTTCCATGATCTGTTGGCCTCTTTCCTGCTTTTCTTTCGTCTCTTCTCTTCTTCGTAGAAAGGCCGCCCCGCATCCGGGTCTCGCAAGGTGATGCGCAGCCATACGTATCTAAATAACAAGGGTATACCGGTGACCGCTGAGCCCAAAACAATGATGCCCAGAAACGCCAAAGACAAGAAGAAAGAACTTATGCGAAAGGTATAACATTGGGCGTCTCGAATGAAGGACGGCGGGCCGTAGAGAGGCAGAGGTGGGAACAGTGGGTGCGTCCGAGACGGTGGCATAGCTCTCCGAAGGGAACCCTCCTCAGATGTTTCTATCGCAGCCTTGCGGTGTAGGGAGCGTGAGCGCAAACCTGCTTCTAGAGCTGCATTGTCCGCCGGATCCCTCGAGTCGTTCATATCCTGCATCCCTCCTTGAGTCCCGGCCCTGAGCGTATTCAACTTCGTAGCCTCCGCCAAAGATACGCCTGGCAGTCGGCCTCCATCGCCGGTGATGATGACTGGATCTTGCGGAGTAATGTAGTCGGCCGCGACGGCAGTTCCGGGCCCATTGCTATCGTTATCCGGCGCTACCAAGGACAATTTCTCGGCTTGGCGAGCATACTTGATGGCCGCGATGGGTGATGGCGATACGGAAATCTTGGGCGAAGAAGCTGGGGAGCCACTGCATTCAGATGACCGGATATCGCCCATTCTCACGAGGGGGAGGGGGAGGGGGATGGGGAGGCGAGTCGGGTGGTCGAGGCCAACTACGGATTAACAGTAATTGCAGGAAAGCGGGTACACAGTAGTACGCGGGTAATACACTGTACAGAGTAATTCTCCGTAATCGACCATACCGAACACATAAGATATAAGAAAGAGAAAGAGAGTAACTATACTCGAGACTCACGGAGAAGGAAAAGCACTTTCAAGGTCTTCGAAAGGCACTTGTGTATACTTCGTAATGTTGCAGACAAGTGCACGTCGGGACATAGACCCTACTAGGGCCCGCAGGCTGTAGCGGCCTGTCAGTGGCCAGCTTAGTCTTTTGTTCCTATCTCCGCCATTTGCGTGCAGAACGGACGTGTTTGGCCTGTGACGATCTGACGATCTGACGATCAAGTTCCTTGCGATTCAACAGCCAGGAGGAGCAGATTGGTTGGCCAGCGCCGCGAGTCTTTCAAGTCGCAAGACAGAGCCCGGAGATCGACGAAAGGAATTGCCAAACCTTGTCACTGCAGAGGAATGATTGGTGATGGTGATTGAAGATGAAAGCACTGCCAATCAGCTGATTGCCATTATTATCCGCCTTGAAGAGCTCTTGTATGACGTCAAAGAGGCTGCGGCTTCTATGTCACGGGCTAGATAGAACATCTTTGATAAGCTTTCTTGATGTATCTAGATGGCGATATTGTCTGCTACAGTATACAAAGTCACGATTAGATCGTACCCAAAATTGAAGTGACTCAAGCCATCTTCTGAACGGATCGTTCAAAAATTACTGAGCTCTCGAGCTGAGGGGATGTAACTTGTTGAAGAATGAAGGGTTGAACAGAGCTGAAATAGATAGTTTTCGTTGGACGCAATGCCAGCTTGACCAACTCGATAACACAAAGATGTAGCAAATGTATCCTAATCATAAGATGGGCCTCGACGCCTCAATTAAATTAGAAAGGGCAAACGTATGGCCAATATTGTCTCTCAATCTCCAGTTCCTCCCCATATTTGTTTTCGAAAACTGTGTCCACCATCCTCAACCATCTTTGAGTGAGCCTCACACCAAAATAGCATTTCGTATACTCCCAATATTCGGGATACCACCCTGCATTCTCCCAATCAACAATCCCAGAGATCCTGCCGTCTTTCACCAAGATATTTCTCAGATTCAAATCTGCATGGGTGAACACGATTTGATGATCATCGCGATGTACTAGGTTAGGAAGTATCCCAAGACGCAAAGATTCGCTGAATTCCTTCTCGTTGTGGAAAGGACCCACTGGTTCTGAACTTATCCGATAATCAAGACAGGCGCCTCCAGATGCGTTTGAGATAGCGTGACTTGAACCTGTCAACGCTTTTATGGCACGTAATTCTGCAATCCATGACCGCAGATCTTGAGCCATCAGACTCATCTCTTCATCACTACATTCGTCTATACAGAGACCAGCCGGCTCTCCTTCCATTCGTGATGTGACCAAAAATGAGTCGGTGGCCGATGAAATCAGATCAATCGGATATGGGACCGGAATCGAAGTACGGCTGCGAACAAGCCTTAGAGCATTGAACTCTCCGGCATGTCCTTCTGAGTAAATTTCTGGACCATGCTTCAGGTACATCCCAAATGGCAATCTTTGAACCGCCATGGTAGTCGATCCATATAGGTATGACCCAGCTGCCCTCAAAAGTTTGTATGCCTGCAATCGAATCACGCCCGGGAATTTTAACCAAACTGCGAGGAAACCTTTGGCGATAGCTCGTGTGAGGTGTGTACTAGTCGTCTTCTGAATCCGAGGTGGGCGGTGTGGATTGCGCTTCATATTATCAGCAATGCTAGTCCATTTGAGGGCTCTCGAAAGCCGGCAATGGATCTGAAGAAGTTGCGGGTCAGGACTGTCAATGCTAGAGTTTGTGTGGTCGTATAGGTCGCATCGCCAATTCAACGGTCGCTCCGATGTATAAATGGCTGGGGGTTTGCCGCCAATGCTGTTGTAGCGGATATCGTACTGGTCTGAGTTAGAAGTGGAGAGTGCAGGGGAGAGACGTACGCACCTTTGTTGCACCCAAGCTCTCAAGCCTAATCTCCCCTCTTGAAAAAACCTCTGCCGCTTCCTTGCTCAGGGTCCAGTGGTTTCGAATGAAATCCTTCTCATTTCCCTCTTTGGTGGATAATAGTAGATCTCGATGAGAAGGAGTGGTAAATGCAGCGAGTATATCATACAGCCGTCGCTACAATGAGTTAATCATCTGCCAGAAAAGTGTCATTGCGTTGGCCTACTTCTCGTATATAAAATGCGGTCAGAGGAATGATAGGAAACACATCCCAGCTGTTCCAGAATCGACCTCGTTTTCCCGTTATACAGCATCTGTAATCATCTCGCTGTGCAATAGTTCTCCTTGTTGTGCTATCCAGATAGTCTGAACGAGGATTTTCAACATAGACTTTCCGTAAATTAGTCGTTTCCTGGTCCCATACAAGGGAGGAACACTTACACTGTTTCACCAAAGCCTTCCAATCTTCCACAAATCGGGAGAACTTTGCACCTGTTGTGTCATCCGTACATGTTTGCAACAAATATCTCGCAGCCTGATCGCCATCTATAGCATCGTGGAGAAAGCTTTCTACTAAAGGAAGATCTGGATGCCCGAGTTTCGCCTGGTTAATAATGCGGAGAGCAAGGGTCTTGTCGCTCTCTGTCGCCATCAATTCTGGGGACACTCGATGTTTGCTCCGCAACGGCTCGGAGCGCTCGCTAACCAGCTAACCTTATCCGAAGCGCACCCGTTGATAAAAAAGAAGCCAACCAACAGGCAAGAGGCCTACTGTACTGACAGTAGTAAACGCTTGACCTGGCTTAATAGCAGCAGCTTTGGTTCACTTACGAATGGTTCGCTAATGAAACAAGTAGTGCCTCTTAGTTCGACTCCCCTCGAACGGATGGCATCTCTTCTTGAGAAGATGCGTGCCAGCGGCCCGGGCAGACCTGAACAATGTCACATCAGCGTGGCGCTGAAAATCCGCAGCGGCTGCCATCAGGCTGCAGAATCAGATCTTGCATCGTTGCACCAACACCCAACCGTCAAACCACTGGTACAGTCTTTTACGACCGCCACTGGCGCGCTCCCGGTAGGGTTAAGAGTAGAATGCTGCAGAAGTCTGCCGTGAGGCTCGGAATCAGATCTTCCAGTCTCTCCCATGGTGTAACCTTTTCTACTCTATGGTTCACCGATCTTTTTACTTCATAATAAGCCAAATCTCCAACTTCGTCCTCTTTTTCATGATACAAACGGGAACGCCGCTTGGCCATAAGCAGATTGCTTTGGTATCCATCCCTCAGCAAGTCAGGCATCATTTCCTAAAACAGCAGCCCCTCAAATGTTGGTGTGGGATCTTTTACAAGCCGCTGGGCGTATTTGATTTGTCTCTCTACTAGCGCATAGTAAAATTGACTGATTGGTTCTCAGTGTCTAGTCCCTGTTCAAATGTCATCTTAACCCTCCTCTGTGGTTTATGTTGCAGTTTCCAAGTCCAAGGCGACCGTTGGATTGCTGTCTTCCAGACTGAGTGTTGTCTACCCTCCCTCCTATTATTCAAACGACCATTTTTCTCTAAAGATTGCATTATTTAGCGCATCAACAATCTTCAAACATATATCGTTACATCTTCATCTTCACCGTTAAAAGAATTTTTTTGAGTTCTATCTCGAGCTTCATCTATAAATTAATCTCATTACAATGGCAGCGCTCGAAAACAATACCGTATATATGACTCTCGACTCAAGAGGAGTCCCTGGAACTTTTGTAAGATCCCCTCAAAATCATGTCGAACTTCATTTCTGATCATTTGTTAGCACTGGGGAGTATTCGTGACATCGTCAACCGAAGGTCGATATTACCATGCCACCAATAGCTCTGGTGGGTGGCAATTAGAAGTCAGACCGACTTCGAGTATTATGTCCTCCTCGACTCTGGTACTTGCCTATAAGATCGGGCAGGTATCGTCACAAAGCCAGATAGACCAGGTCCTGCGGGACGTGCCAGCAGATGGTTCTCCATCGCTCCGAACTGGAGAGGCATTCACCTGCAGAATCTGGGCTAAAGATGCAGTCATGGCACTCTATAATAACCGCCTTCTCGATTTGAGTGCGGATATCGGTGAGTTCAGACATCTGGTGTCCTCCTTCATCAACTTCGTGGTCTGTTATACTAAGTTCTTCCATTCAGAGATACCCTCGAGAGAGAAGCCATTCGTCTCGTAACTAAATTCGAGCCTGATGTTGAGCGAGGTGTACGCCAAGCTACAGTTATGGATAGCACCTCCTCATCCTCGTCCTCCTAGTCCTCTCGACGCAGATGACCCAGCACCGTCGCTTATAACAGTCTATTATATTGATTACGAAAGTGCGTTTGTCTTGTCATAGTAGCGTGTGGTATAATTACCTTCACGAAAGGTTGAAATCCTGTCCTTTCACCCCTTTAGCGGTACGAGTATAAGCCGGGACGATTTTGGTTTTTTGATTTTGCTTGCTCAGTGTTGACCATCGGTGTGCAAGAGAATATTCAGAATTCAGGTTTTGATACAAGAATTCTGAGTCCGAATCCCAGTCTGTGATGTCCCATTTTCTCCTACCTCCTGGTTCTGCTCTCTGTGGTCTACGCCCTTCGAATCATCAGCATTCCAAATAACCAATCTATTAATTAAAATTCAAAACATTTGACGTCTGGACTTCTCTGACAGAAAAACTATAAACAGTGTATCATAATTGATTGTAGTAGAACTGTTATTGGATAAACTCAGATACCTAGAGTAGCTTTGCTAGGACAAACAAGCTTCACGTGAATTGGAGACGTCCGGTTTACCAGACAAGCACGTGATAATGCGGGGGTGAAACATCACATGATAAACCCCGACCTTCCGTACCCACTAATCCTCTTCCGTCCAAGTAGCTCCCTCCCCCAAGCCTCGGTCGTCGTCTGGCGTTGCCGAGAGAGAAGCTTCTGTTGGAGACATTTGCTTTTGCTTCAGCGGCGTTCGCATTCGCAGAGTGATTCCCCAGGGCTTGTATAGTCATATGTATTCTCCATACGGTCAACCTTCCTGCCATTCCCTTGTTTGTATTCTATCCCCGTACGCTGCCAGATCCTCAGCCTGCGACCTCCCGAGCATGAGCCAATAGCTCCTCCTCATTCACGCGTCCGGCGCATATCCAACGCGACCTCTCCCCAGCATCGCCTCGACGAGATAAGGGACCATGGCGATGGGCGAGCAAATGCAAGTCCCAATACCACACCACCGAAAGCGTAAACGGCGGCGTCAGGATAAGTCGGCGATATCTGCAAGGCTGGTTTTGGACGATCATGTGAAAGGGGACGTGGGAATCTTGTCGGAAGACCTATTTGCAGATTTGTTTCCTGCCACAGCACAAGGTTTGAGAATGCCGTATTGCTTGGTTACTAGCCCAAATCTAAATCATTGTTGACAGGCCCGGAAAATGGGAACGGAAATATATCATCCAATACCCCCGAATTCCACCATGTTGCAATCTGCCCGTGGAGCCCTTCGACTGCCGTCGAAGACTCAACGTGGACCGTCGTACCGGTTAGACCTTCGACCGCCCTCGCGCATTCAACAGTGCAGTTTTCTCCTTCTTCCATAGCTCTCCAAGGCTTCGCCGAGGCTCTGGGAAAAGTCGCTCCTTCAAAGATATCAAGCCATAGCCGGAGTGGGATTGAGATAAGAGTTTTGGATGTGGTTCCGTTACCCTTAGAGTCTGTTTTTGTGACAATTGAAAGAGAGCTGGCTCAGCGCTTGGAGAATGGCGAAGGGGTATTCCATGGAGAACATGCCCGTACAAATGGCTCCCTGAACGGGAAATCACCGTCAATTGTACCTGAAGATCGATTGCCGTCTGCGATTCGAGAGGCGCTGGGAGCACTGAAGGTCGTCCATACCGGGGACTTGTTCTCATTACCTTTGCCTCCACATCCCATCACCCATGTCCCTCCTCCACCGGCCCAAGTTACACTGTGCGAACCGGTAGGGCAAGGAGTATTGAGGCCTTCCACCAAAATCATCATTACTCAAACGGGCCATCACGTTAAAAGTTCCCGGAAAGTGCAACCACTGCCTGGGGACCGTGTTCTAAACGTGGCCGAGGAGGATGACGATACAACTAATGATCAGTTCTACTCGGCAGCTGAAGACCGGTATAGAACTGATGCTACAGTGGAAGATGCGGAATCGGCAACCGAAACCGAGACTGAAGCATCAGGTGCAGAGAATGATGATGATCTATCAGACGATTCTATGGATGATATGATCTCGTTGCAAGCACCCATGCTACCGGCTCACAATGCCAGTGGGGTATCTACTATCCAACCAGGGACTCCGCATACTATTGGACTCGGACTTGGACGCAAGACGAATGGAATCAACAGTCCTGGATCTGTTTTCTCAACTTTTACTGCAACAACCGCTCGTGCGGGCGGTCAACGAGGACGTCTCTTCAAGGCGCAGGGGCTTGTGAAACCCCTTCCTGCAGAGATCTTGCACCCGAAACCAAATAGTGATGATGATGAGGAGGCTCGAGTATTTGTTGATATTAGTTCATTAACAAAGATCGGATGTTTCTCGGGAGACTGGGTTCGACTTGAGGCTGCTGCAGAGCCACCAGCGAATGGCGTAGGTCTTTGGGGACTGGGAAGCTTTGGTGTAGCTGAACAAGAGGAGTCAGTATGGCGGCCGGTCAAAGTCTTCGGTCTACCTGAAAGCTACTCTCATCGTCCAGTCACCAAAATCCCGAGCGGCAAACAGCAGGACGGAAGGCGAATGTCTTTCTTTGAATCCCAAATTCAGAAGCCTTCCAGTCCTACTGTTTACTTATCGCCGATTTTACTTGCAAATATGGATAATACTCCGTACTGCAGACTTTCTCCCCTAAAGCGAGCTCCCCTGCCAATAAAAGGATCGCAACCGAAGATTACAAGCTCCTCCCAGCCGCCATTTGTGCGGGAACTCACCTTACACAAGATTTCGACACCTTTTTCGACAGAGCGCCCACTGCAAAATGCTCTCTTCATGGGATTGAAGAAACACTTTGCGAGTCGCACCCGAATCGTCCGGAAAGGAGATTTAGTGGCAATCCCAGTTGACGAAGATCTTGGTCGGACGTTATACCAGCCTGCAGCAGCTGAAGACTTGGAAACAGATGAGATGTTGTTAGACACAGTTCTTGATGACCGTAGACCAGCAAAGCCTGGAAAGCCTAGTGGCGTTGGTTGGTTCAGGATTGACTATATTGGTCTAAGTAAAGATAATCAGGAGGATACTGATGGCGATGATATCTGGGGCGGAGTTGCATCCGTTAATGCATCAGCAACCCACATGATACAGTCTGGTAGCGAAAACAGTCGACTGCCTGCGACAATGGACAATCCTTGGGAATACTATCTTGGATTGAAGTCTATCTCTAGATCGGAAACGGATTCCACGTCCTTGCCCGAGCTGAAGAAACACCACGTCACGACTCTTCAACGACGTCTGCGAGAATTGATCGCAGCTGCGACGAGTCCTCGAGCGATACATCTACAGTTACAACCCCTTGCTATCCTCCTAATATCCTCGCAACGAAACATTGGGAAAGCCACACTGGCAAACCAAGCATGTGCTGACATCGGTCTCCACACATTTAAGATTGACGCTTATGATATCTTGAGTGAGGGGGGAGCTGGGAGCGATGTTAGAACGGCTGGTCTTCTCGAGGCTCGTGCCGAGAGAGCAATGGCTTGCGGGCCCGAGTTTTGTGCTCTTCTTATCCGCCATATCGAGGCCTTGACGGCAGACCGAATGGTTACGACGTTGAAAGGAATCCAAAGTAGAGTACGAGTGCTAATAGCGACGACAACTGAAGTTGGCAAAATCCCAGATGCTGTGAGAGGATTGTTCACTCATGAGCTTGAGATGAGTGCTCCCGATGAATGGGAACGAGAAGGCATACTTAGGAGTATTGTCGACAATCAGCCTATACCACTGGCTCCGGATGTGGATCTCAGTGGAGTAGCAGTAAAGACAGCGGCTCTTGTTGCTGGTGACCTGGTTGACGTCGTCGATCGTGCTATCGTTGCCCGGAATTCACGTCTCGAGTCTCTGGCGTCTGCTTCTTCTAATGTGGAAACACTGGTCACAGTCCGCGACATTCTGGTTGCTGGCGGTTCCTCAGGTCGTTGCCTCACAAAAGCAGATTTCGACCTTGCTGTCGAGGCGGCCCGCAAGAATTTCGCCGACGCGATTGGTGCCCCCAAGATTCCAAATGTCACATGGGATGATGTCGGTGGTCTCGCCAACGTCAAAGATGCCGTTATGGAGACCATCCAATTACCCCTCGAAAGGCCAGAGCTGTTTTCAAAGGGCATGAAGAAACGCTCTGGTATTTTGTTCTATGGACCTCCCGGAACGGGGAAGACGCTTCTTGCTAAAGCCATTGCCACTGAATTTAGCTTAAATTTCTTCAGTGTGAAAGGACCCGAGCTCCTGAATATGTACATAGGTGAGTCCGAGGCCAATGTCCGTCGCGTCTTCCAACGCGCACGAGATGCCCGGCCCTGCGTTGTCTTTTTCGACGAACTCGATTCAGTCGCGCCGAAACGAGGCAACCAAGGAGACTCTGGGGGAGTCATGGACCGCATTGTCTCCCAACTTCTAGCCGAATTGGATGGCATGTCAGATGGCGGAGACGGAGGTGGAGGCGTGTTTGTTATCGGGGCCACGAACAGACCAGATTTGCTAGATGCAGCACTCCTACGGCCGGGAAGGTTTGATAAGATGCTGTATTTGGGTGTCAGCGATACGCATGAGAAGCAGTTGACTATTATGGAGGCATTGACACGGAAGTATGCATCCCCCCTTCTGGACTTCAATCCGAATTTGATTGCTAACAACTTCTAGGTTTACCCTCTCTCCTAACCTCTCTCTGGCGCGGATCGCGTCTAGGCTTCCCTTCACCTACACTGGAGCCGACTTCTACGCGCTCTGCTCAGATGCCATGCTCAAAGCTGTAACACGGCAGGCCTCACTCGTCGACTCTAAAATCGCCGCCATAAACTCCCAGAACCTAGCATCTGGGAAACCCAAAATTAGCACGGCATACTTCTTCGACCACTATGCGACGAAGGAAGACATCGCTGTTCTTGTAGAAGAGGAGGATTTTGTGAACGCAGAAAGGGAACTCGTACCGAGTGTTAGTGTTAAGGAGTTAGAGCACTACAAAAGAGTTAGAGCGCAGTTCGAGAAAGCTGAGGATGACAATGGGCAGGGAGAAGGGAATGGCAAAGGTGCTGTACCTCAAACTGACGGCATCCCGCAATGGCAGCAGGAGGGGAGCAAGACGAAGAGTAATGGCAAAGGCAAAGGCAAAGCAGTGGACAGGAAAGGGAAGGGCAAGTCAACGGGGACATGGGATGAGGAGGACGATGATGAGTCTTATACCAGCGGCATGACTAACGGGCGGGATAAGGGGAAGGGGAAAGCGGTCGATATGAGCTTTCAGCAAGGCAGTGTCGATGATGATGAAGAGCTGTATTGATGGATGCCCCTTGCTGCATTTCTAAGCATTATATCCTTAAAAGTTAGCGGTCGAGAGACACGATTGTATTTAGTTGAGCAATGGAAAACATGGACCAACGACTACTTTGTTTGAACGGATAGGCACCTACCTAGTTATTCTTCGATCTCGGCTACAGGTTGTATGCTTTGGGTCAATAGGTGATTTTGTACTCTCAAAGAACCAGCACCCATTCCTCCATTAACGAAACTCATCCCTTCTCAGACGTGCGTCTCAATCTTTACAATAACTTAAGCCTGACTTTCCAGAGTGATAACTCGAGTCACGTGAATAGCATAGCTTTGTGAAGCCCCCTATCTATCTATTATTCTATTAAGCCATAAACAACCACGATAGCTGAGTCTATGAGGCCACATAACAGCGAGACAAAATCTCAAGTAGAGACGAGCGGGTTGTTCAGTTAATCTCTTTGAACTTCGGGAAGGAACAAAGAAGAATACTTAAAACAATAACTCTTTGTTGTAAGGACCGGAGAAAGGGGCGGAACGTAAGCGAATCAAATTCAGGAGATCAATGTGCGAACAATGTTATGTACAGAGTAAGGTAGGTAAGCATAACGGGTTCTCTTTATCTCTAGAGTATAGCTTTAGCTAACGCGGTCCTTTCTTACGAAATGTAAGCTTCAGCTATAGAAAGATACGGTAGGTAGGCTGTCTTAGGTAAGGAAGTGTTCCTTTGAGTTAATTTTCACTAACTTGAAAGAGCTAGAAGTTTCCCTTGAAAGGAGATGAAAGAAGGAGTTCTGAACAAATACTTTATTGTTCATTCGATAAAGAAAACTGTTATTTCAACAATGAACAATAGAAAATCCTGGAGATGAACAGCTTTACCATTGGTGTATATATGTTTAACACAATGTAGATTGTTTATGAAACTCATCCATCCATCATAATTTCCAAACATAACTTCACAACTCTCCAGACTTCAATCTTCAACCACACAAGACTAGAAACATCCACAACCACCAAGATGTGTCACCAATTCAACACCTATTTCACACGGTGCCGGCACCGCGAACAAGTCCTCAACAGATGCGCGTCATCCTTCGAGAACTATAAAAGAGAGCCCAAGAAGAAGAAGAAAGGTGGGTGGTTCAAGAATCTCTTCTCCCATTCCTCATCTAAGAAGCAGCAGTGGGAGTGCGACCGGCACATCATCAGCGAACGCCGACTCGAATACTGCAACGCGTGCACCATGAACCGAGAACTCAAGCGCAGAGAACGAGAAGCAATCATACGACGCGAGCAAGCCAAGACGAGAGAGGAAATCAGACAAGCAAGTCTGCAGCGCTTCGCGTTCCGATGTTCTCGTTGCAGAGCAGAGCGTCGCAACTTGCGCCCTGAAGACAGAGATCCACAGATTAACCGCGGCCTCTGCTGTGCGAGAGGCTTGGACGAGTATGAGAAGTATGAGACGCGGGAGGGAAAATGGGGAAGTGGAAGCGGGCTACTTCTTCCTCAATACAAATATCATCCCATCACAGGCAGTCAAGCAGCTCCTCGCACACCGCGCAAAGAGAGAGATCCAGCATCCCGAAGAAGGTCGGCTGGTACGGAAGCTGCTCAGATAGCGGCCAAAGAGGCTTCGCGCAGATATGGTTGGGAGAATGATCCTCGCTATTCAGCAGACATCAGCACAGAACTCGCCAGAGATATAACTAACCTGGCTGCCTCGGTGTCACGCAGACCGCTATCACCGAAGTACGAAGTGACAGTAGAGAATTATCTTCCTGAGCCAAAACAAGAGGCACCCAAAAAGCACGACGCGACAATAGCTGTTTCGTCTGCGGAGCGGGGCGGAAACATATCGCCGAGGTACGAAGAGCCAGGTATTGATTGGGACAGGTGGGATCGAGCACCGCAAACCTTTCATGGACGTTATCCACCGGCCACAGTACCACCTCGAAAGCCTGTACCTCAAAGGCCTGAGATTCAAGTGCCTCAGCCTCGCAAGTACTTTCCGCAAAATAATCTGCTACGAGACCCTCCGCGTCAAGAGCCTCTGCCTCGAGATCCTCTGCAGCGAAAGCCCGTAGCTCAAAGTCTCCAAGGTCCTCTGCCTCGAGATCCTCTGCAACGAAAACCTGTGGCCCAAGGTCCCCAAGGTCCTCCGCCACAAGAGTCTCTGCCTCGAGATCCTATACGGCGAAAGCCTGTGGCCCAAGGTCCCCAAGGTCCTCTGCCTCGAGATCCTATACGGCGAAAGCCTGTACCTCAGCGTCTCCAAGGTCCTCCGCCACAAGAGCCTCTGCCTCACCCACCTCTCAGAAACCAAAGAGGTGAAGTGTGGAGAGATTCCCGCGACATCATGAAAGAGTCTAAAGATACTGCGGGTCAGTACGGCACTTCTGCACTCAGCCCAGACTCTCGATGCTACCCCGCCACACAGCAGCAGTATCACAATTTCCCGGACACCCCGGAATCTGGACAGAAACCCACTAGGGATCAGCAGTACAGTCCGCTCGGCCCGGGTGTTGGCTACAATCCTACTATGGATCACCATCGCGCTCTTCCGCTGACGCCCGACTCTCGACACTATCGAGACCCGTCGCCGTCGCCGCCGTCGCCTGTCTCGCCACTGGATACCACGAAATGGGACCTCCCTCTCCCTGCGAGACCGCTCAAGAGCATGGTCTCCCGTCTGGACGATTCAATCGACGAGGCCTTGGAATTATGGAAGAAGTATGATGGCTTAGGACCTATCTAAAGAAAATGAGTAGAAGAATATCCCTTGCTCAGCCACTGAGGAGCCTGGTGCCCCGTCTGAACAGTTCGACTCGGGAGGATTTGAAATTTTGGAAGGAGACTGATAACTTGAAATGGACATGGAGGAGAAATCAAGTGGGACAGGAGGCTATCTGGATTTATAGGAGGAGGTCTGATTTAGTAATATCATTTTCCTACTATAAAACAAAGACTTTGTCCTTGCGTGCAAGTGATGGTGAGTTGCCAAAGTTAATGACAAGAACTAACATGTAGTAGGTAGTTGTGGGTTTCGTGAATGTATACACGTGATGAAACGAAAAACGCCTCGCACCTTTCGATGCCCAATGTTCCCTTCCAAAGGTGGGATGCCTTTGTTCCTCTGATCCATCACTTTTCCAGGCCCTCTATTCACATCCCCTAGAACCGTGGTCTGCTCGATGTCGGAATTTCTGTGCCGCACTGTCTCGATATCATATATCCTTTTCGGTCAGTCATTTGTGTGTCTCGCATATCACCATAGCTCGTCACACTTCCTAGTTTGCCTTCCCTTTCTTAGCAGCTCCATTGGTCGCCTTCTCGAGCTTAAACTTCTGGATCTCCTTCTCGACAGCAAGCTCCACTCTCTTCCGCAACTCGGGTCTATATCCGATCTTGAATAGAAGCTCCATGAACACAAAGAACGGGGCTAGGACCAGGGCCTGGAACAGATTGTCCAGGAGGGCCGGGGCACGGCGTTCGTAGACGCCATGTCCGATGAACTGGGCAATCCATGAAACGACAAAAATAACGATACTAGCCACGTTCACATTGTAGGCGTATGTGGAAGTGAGATGGTTCGCATACGCGGTCCAGCCAATGATGGCGGGTAGAAGAATACTGCCTGCAACGGGCTCAAGGAGCATATAGAAAACGCCGTAGAAGATCGCAGCGAGTGTACCAAGGTTGAGAGGGAGATTCGGAATGCTAAGCCAATCGGGCAGATTGATCAGGGTAGGGCTATTGGTGGCCTGTATACAGAGCACGGTCAGCGTTGCTCAAGAAAGTTGCAGAGATGGTCCGTACGAGAAGCAGACTGGCGGCCAAAATCAGAGGCACGCATGCGATATGTATGCCTACATTGGTGCTGTTGTGATGGTAGGCTCCGTACTGTTTGTTCTACATCAGTGACTGGCAGATGGATAGTGTCGGGTTGCTGCTCTACTCACAAAGCAAAGCTGTTTCTCAAGGTTGAGAGACATTGTATTGTATTGCCGGTCGAGGTCGAAGACGATTTATGCGGGGAATCGCGGCTTGCTGGCAGGAGACAACGGGACAGCCAAATCAACTCTTGACAGCTCTTTGTCTTCGAATCATTACTGACCACCAAGGTCGGCGGACGTGAAGGCGAAAGTAGTAGCTGGTAGACGGTTATTTGCAGTTGCAGCTGTCCGTATGTTCTTGGGTTATAAGCCTTGGGTGAGCAAGGAACCGGCTGGATGGACTGACATTGAGAAACACATGTTGCTTTGCGGAGGGACGGACTCCGGAGTAATATACACTCGACATCGCCCCGTTTACCAGTGCTGACATATACGCCTCTAATGCCCGCCCCCACGCGTTCATCCCATCCCTCACAAAATAAAAATAATCCTCGAGGCTCCGATCCTTGCTGAGCAGGCTGAACATCAACATCTCTTTGTCTCTCCACGGCCAACCTCCCGTCATCCACCTTACACTGAATTACAGCACTGACGACCTTTGTGCGCTCCCTGTGTTATTCCGCAGAGAAGTGCCAGAGTGTCCTGTCTTTGCGAAAGCCATTCTTTTGAGCCGTTGTACGTCTTTTGTTGCTAACCCAGCGCTTCACTGCGCCCTGGGCTGATGACTGTAGAAAGGACTCCTCGGTGGTCAAGCGCAGTATCTCTACAGATTCAAGGAAGTTGTGCGATCAAGGAGGATATATTTATGGGTTTGGACGAGCGTGTTCGAGAAGTGTGGCGCGTCTGATTCGCTTTCGACGAGCAATTCACTTTGGCCCCCCGCCACTTTCGATTCACCCTCTTCTTGCCTAGCTGTTGCTTTGTTCAAGTCGCAAGCTGCTGAATACCGCTCATACCGTTTATCTTCGCGACTTTCGCTCTTCCTCTTATCATCGCAAAGCCAGCGCCGGGCTCTCCTTCGAAACTCGCCTCTTCATATCACCAAGATGTTCTTCCTCTACAACCTCGAAAGGCAGGTCACCCTGCATCCGTCCTACTTCGGCCGAAACATGCACGAACTAGTGACTGGGAAGCTGTTGAAGGACGTCGAGGGCACATGTACCGGCCAGTACTACATCATCACAATCATGGATACCTTCAATATCTCTGAAGGCCGCATTCTCCCAGGCAGCGGATTGGCGGAGTTTACGGTTGGATATCGGGCTGTGGTGTGGCGACCCTTCAAGGGCGAGACTGTGAGAGATTGGATCTGAAGGCTTGATGTTGTACTGGGCTTATGTCTGCTACAGGTTGACGCCATTGTCACCTCGGTCAATCACGTTGGCTTCTTCGCCGATGCGGGACCCCTCCCACTCTTTGTTTCCGCACATGTAAGTCCAGCAGATCTTTGCGCCCAGACAGAAGCTAATCTTGAGCAGCTCATCCCTCCGGACATCAAGTTCGACCCAAATGCAACACCCCCTCAGTTCACGAACAATGAGGACTCGGTCATCGAGGTGGGAACGCATGTTCGGGTGAAGTTAATTGGTACGAGAGCCGAGGTTGGGGCCATGTATGCCATTGCTAGTATCAAGGAGGATTACCTTGGGTGAGTTTTCCCATGTATTCACGTGATCTCTTCAATGGGGGAGATCGGGTTTCTCCAGGCCAATGGGGGTAGTTCTCCCGAAATACAGGAAGCTAGAAGCCCAGGAGGCTAGAAACCCGAAGGCTAGAAGCACAGCAGGCTAGATCTCTCTAACCAACAAGAGCCGCACCTTTTCCCAAGTAGAAGATGGAGATGGAAAAGACAAGTACCCGCTAACTGATTGGATAGATGCTTGCAAGGCTCATGATGCACAAGTTAGACTGAAAGCTCATCGGAGAAACAAACTCCAAAATGTACATCAGGCGACGTAACATGAAGGATCTAGACCTGGGCTGAAGAAAGGACCCAGTTATTCTGTCAGCGGTTGTTCCCGTCCCTAACCCTCCGGGTTCCATCATAGAAGACATCATCTTGAGCGCTTCGCTGAATAAGACAAAGCTCAGAATATCTTCTGAAGATCAAACAGAATGCCATGAAGTTTGGTAAATTTCGGTTTCATATCGAAAATCGTGAGTCTTTTGCCGTTTGTCGGTAAGTGATGGGTGATTTGCTATGTTGAATGTGAGGAGCTACTAGCAGGACCAAACCTTGGGTCCTTTTGAATCGACATCATGGTAGCGTGTTTTGCTGTTTTTATTTGCTGTTTTCTGCCAGTCTGAATCTCAAGCCCTCAAGCCCCCAAGCCCTCAGGCCGTCAAGGTGCGTCGCACACTTTTAGACGACATTGCGATCTGGACTGGACCTTGGACATGGTATATATATTCGGGCTTTTGCTTGATAGTAATTTATCTCTTCCACAATCACAGCATCACTTTCACAACGTTGCGAACCCACACTCAAGAATTATACAACGCGACAACGACAAAATCAATTACTTTGTTTCATCTCTACAAGATTCTTGACGGTTATCCAAGTTTCCCTTGCTTTCGCCAAAGATACCCATATTCCATACTTCCTTGATACCCAACTGGAACCTTCGAGGCTCATTTCATTACAATTCCAAAACCCACAACCACAACCTCTTCGATATCCAAGAGGAACACACATACACTTACAACACTCTCCATCCTTCGGTCACGAGCACCAGTTTGGACGTGGTAGCAACAACAACAATAACAACTCTTCATCACATCACTAGCTACCTTCCACTGTCACGTGTAGCAGCCGTCATGGAGGCTAACACCAGTTTATTTACGCCCATACGACAGTCACCAACAGAGCACCTGCGAGTGCTACGACAATCAACCCATGTGTCCCGGAACACATCACCATACCTCTCCCCCGGGCTCCACAACATCTCAGAGACCTGGGTCCGGTATCTCCGAGCCAAGGCCCACGAGTTCGTTGATGAATTCGGGCAGGTCAGAAATCAGCACAAGCTGCTGTGCAAGAGTGTCTCGGAGAGGAAATATATTCAGAATTGGTGTCACAGGGTGAAGCGTGATGCTAGGGAATTCGTGCTCTGTATATATGACGATGCACGTGCGGATAGGATGGACAAAGACAGAAAAAGACAGAAGAAGATGGACAGGGTCGACTCTGAGGAGAGAGGTGTTGAGGAGTTTAGTTCGGGCCCTGCGAGTTTCCTCGAGTGGAACTCAGTTGATATAGAGGAAGATACCGAGGAAGATAACTCGGACCCTCCGAGTTTCCTCGATTGGGACTCAGAGGTTGATGATACCCCAGAGAAGGATGAAGAAGATACTCATCCCGAGACCTTGTGGAGCACTAGCAGCAAGGGCTCTTGCAGCACCACATACAACAGCATCTTCGACAGCGACGAAGAGTACTCGGATGGTGACGATTTCGAGCACATTTATGCTTACGACGGCCCGCCTATGCCAGGCAATGGATTAGAGAAGGACTCTAGTAGCTGCGGCGATTCCGCCAAATATGCGGACGATAATAATACGCAAAGAAGTGAATTGGAGGATGATAACCTTTCCCAAATCACACAATCAATAAGAAACCTCGACACATATATAACCCCATCCTACGACAACCCCTTCCATTCACATACCTTATCTTCATATGAAGAAGAGCCACAAAATCCCTTACGCTCCTATCTTTCTTCTCCCATCGTCGACACGGAAATATCCGCACCACCACCACCACTACCACCACAGACGGGACCAACGTTATTCGCTCCTATCATGAACATTTTCCCCGAGGAGGAGCAGGCCATGAGCCACATGCAGCGCCTAGAGACCGCACAGGAGCAGCTCGCAAGCGCCTGGACCTATTGGGGCGAACCCATATACAGCGGGCACCCGAACAAATGCTCGTGGGTGCTCTGCAGAATACGAAATCCCCCACCATCATCATCATCATCATCTACTACTACCGCTCTCTCGTCTCGTCTACCATCCCTGCAAGTCACCACCCCTGAGGGCATCGTGTGTCGCTTGTATGAGAAGGAATCCGTGCTACCAGATGATCATGACTTGCATGTCGCGGAGCGCGACGCGGCGCAAGCTACTATGCAATTCGAGGTGCGCTTATGGCGATACCGCAATGAAACTTATGACGAGTGGGTCAGGAGAGATAAGGCGGAGAGGTGGTGGGCTGAGAGGAAGAAGGCAGAGAGAAGGTTGCTGTGAAGCATCTTGGGTGCGATGGATATTAGTGAGAGAGAGAGAGGATCATCGGATTTGGGGTACTTGGGATTTTGAAGGGCTATTGACAGCAAGAGGAGGAGCTGAGGGACAGCATAGCACGGATGGTTGTATAAGAGCGCTGAAAGATCCGTGGTTGGTTACTGTGCAATAGGATTATCAGAGAGGCGTCCGGAAATACCCAGGGTTTTTGCAAGAAGAATAAATACTTTCATTGCACGTAAAGCATGATTCCAAGTCCAAGCCCACTAGGCGACCTTGTCCTCTTAGTTTGATATAAAACATCTGTTTGACAAAAAGGAGAGTCGACGTGTACAAACACATTATGGAATTAGAGAGCTTTCCCATTATTTATAAAGAGGCCAATTGTGAAGAATAACAATAATGATAATATAAACGAAATCCAATCCAGATAGCAAACCAAAACAAGTCAGTCAACCCCACGCAACTAAGGCCTCTGCGCAACGCCCTTCTTTCTCTCCATCCCCTCCCAATGCCCCCTCAAGGCCCCGCCCCGAACATAAGTCACGAACAGATTCAACGCATAAGATCCCGACCTAGGCCCAGGAACCCTCCTAGCCGTCCAGTCCCGATTCCGAGAATCCCCTACACTAGTAACCACAACCAAGACAAACTGCCGCTGCGTCCAAGCCTCAAGCACATCTTGAAGATGCTGCTCCGCCTCCCCACTCGCGTCTATGGAATCAAAGAGCGCGAGTACATCGTTCAGTTCAGCGCGCGAAAACTCTGAGTTGGGGTATTGCTTCTGCATGGATTCCCAGAGGGCGCGCACCCCAGATAGCTTGTTGCGCCGGTCGATCTTGGAGCTGGTAGCTAGGATGTACCAGTCGTTGGGGTTGTAGTTGGTTACGTGCCAGGTGCTGCCGTCGTAGTTCATGGCTTCGAAGGCGAGCTGGCCGGCGGGGGCGGGGCCGGGCTGTTGCTCTGGTTCTGGTTCTGGTTCTGGTTCTGGTTCTGGCGCTTCTATGGGTCGCATAGAACGCCACCCAATCCCTCCTTTCTCTGATATCCCATAGATATAAAGATCCCTTGGAGCCCCAGTCCATATCCTCGTAGCTGTACGAGGTCTCTTAGCGAGCCTTTGCATTACCACGACCAAGTTATATTCATTGTTAGTATAAGCCCGCAGCACTCGTGCTATAACTTGAGCAGAATGATGAGTTCTTTTGTCGCCGGTTATTATGTGGAGCTGATCCAGAAAATCGGAGAAATCTTCTTTTGCTGCGTACTGCGAAGATGGATACTGGTGTCTGAATGACTTTTGAACAGCACACATAGCAGACACCCCCTTATAAGCCTTATCATTGAAAGACCAATCACTTGAGTGGAATTGAATCTCTTCTTCCGGGTAACCCATCTGACCTGGAACCTCATTTCCAATCTCATCTTCAATAACGTCTTCCATCGGATCTCCGGCCGGGTTTTCAATCAGGTTGACAGGCTCGCTGCCTGCGGGCGAGGGTGATCTGCCAGGAAGAGAATAGCCATCACTACTCCAGCTGCCTACAGTTGGTACGATGGGCGGCACCTCATTGTCAGTCCGATCATCTTGATCGCCCCCGGATCCCATAGCGTACTGCCCTATCATGAATTGCCAGTAGCTAACTGCGCCATCACCTAATTCCATATCCCTGATCAAGTCAAATATATCAACAACGCCCCTTTCAAAAACGCCATTTTCAAGATAGTAATCATCCAACGCTTTGGCAGGGAACCTGTCTGGATTCTCGTGGTATATATAGGCTAGTCGAACCAGTCCGACACAGAAATCGATCCATCTTGAGACCTCCAATGAGTCTAGAGAGCTGCGGGCCTGGCGGAACTCGATAGTTGGGGTAATATTAGGTTCCTGGATAGCCGACGTGAAGTTTACCTGTCGATATCTGTTGCCTTGGGTGTGCGGTTCTACTGCGGGGCCGTTCATATATATAGCTAATTCCTCCGGTTTCTGTATCTTGCGTAAATCTTCACGGATGCTCTCGAGAGAGACTTTATATTCTTTCTTCATCGCGCTAGTTGACGGGTCGAAATCTCTTATCCTTCGGTATGGCGGGTAGTGAGCGGCTCCAAACCGGTTACTTTCATGGTTCCCTCTTGCTGCAGCATGATCTGGGGCCCGACATGGCGGATGCAATCGTGAGATTTCTTCCTCATAGACTATGAGGATGAAGGCGAGTGCCTTCAGGACATCAAATTCCTTTGGTGCCGGAATATTAACCTGCATGCTGCATCTGGTAACATAATCAGACTCATTATTACTTGAAATAAGGAGAGCTGAGGTGTAGATATGTTAGGGAAAGTGGAAGACTTGTCGGAACAAATACAACTAATTCAACTTACTGATTCGTAATAAACGCGCCATAGCTATCCCCGTCACCTCCTTCAATTGCCTCTAGCACCCTAGCTATCTCTTTCTTGTCTCTAGTGGAATCAGACCTGAGGAGCCGAGACTCAATTTCTATACCGAAAGAGTCCCAGTCCTCAGCATCTTCTTCGCCAACCCCAGGAAGCCAGGAGGGAATATTCTGCGATCCAACTCCACAGACAGAGTCATTCGCAGTAACCAACCACGGATCATCATCATAAATATCCTCAGTTTCTTCCTCCCCTAGCGCGGTTTTCACTACGAATGTGATGTGACTGCATTTTTTGGAGAGTTCTTTCACCGCAATCTCCAATGGTTCCGTATGGTACGGCGTAAGATAGGTGCGTGATGATGTGAGGCGCGTTTTGCGAAGTCCCCAGGAATTGTAAATGTGATCAGGGAGATCCCTAAGAGACACGCAGGTAAAATTGTAGACCTCTCGTGACACATATGGAAGCTCCTTTGCGAGGGTATCTTTCACCCCATTCTCGTTTTCGCGGAGCTTGAGCTCATCTTCGTGGAATACAAACACAAACCCCAATTTAACACTGTACATTAACCTCTCTGGCTTTACCTTTGGGTGGGAAGCCGATTTGGATGGCTTCACCATATTGGAATTTGAGAGCGAAGATATCTTGGGAATACGAGACAATAATTGAAAACATATAAAGATAGACTGAGCAATCAAGAAATGCAAAAAGGGACAATCAAGGAGGAAAAGGGAACAAATAGAAGCTATCGATATATGTAGGTATCCATTGTTGTCGTTGAGTCCAGCTCTTTGTTGGATGCTATTAACTGTTTTTTGGCCGAATGCGGCTAAGATTTGTAGATAACAACTTTGAGGATCGTGATGTTAACAAAGGAATGGCCAGAAGTTTGAATATGTCCATGCCATGAAAGAGGAATCCGATAGAGGAATTGTATCCTTGATGAGATGTAGTATTCGTATTGACTCACTGAATCCGGCGCCCAGCTGCAGGAGATGCATCGTAGAGAATCTGATACACTTATATAAGATCTTCAACTGAAGATCATGGCTAGTGTGGACGCCACCTAGATTGACATACATCGAGACCCGGATATAGTTTGGTGAGTCGATGGCGTCGAATACTGAGGAGATAGTCCTTGCAATTCCCTCTCTCCGGTTCAATTTTCCCCGTTCTTGAGGTCGTGAAGCAATGAAACCAAAGGAGCACTTGCATCCATTTCGCAATCCTCAATTTCAAAATGGCAGAATGAGAAGTCATTAGTGTGTCACTTGTAGACATCAATGGTGCTAGGCCAAAGTGTGGTGTATGCAAAAAGATACACGCAAAAAGGTTGAGACGAGATGTGAAGTTCTTGCGTGCGGGGCGCGAGGATGCAGTATATCGCAAGGCCTCGTAAGTCGAGCCCCACCAATCAGCGTTGGACTAGAGAAACCACAGAGGAAACTGCAAGACACAACACAGCATCTTGGAGATTGACCATATGCTCGAAAAGATTGCAAGTCTACGGTGGTGAGCGGTCCAGCTTCGAAGATTTTACAGGCTTTTGGGGGGGGAAATTATGACTTTAGTGGTATGGAAGGGGAGGAACATTGACTTCATACACAACTCCATGGCAGATCCATAGCCAGAGAAATTCTAACCTTCTAGATCGGATTGAATAAAGTGCTGAGAAGGAAGGATTATCGATCCGAGTATTCTTGGGGGATTATCGAAACTCATGAGATTGCCGTATTCGGCCGAGCAGGTAACATAAGGCAATCTCTCTGCACGAATAGCAAGACTCCTGAAGTCACTGTAGACATTGGTGATAGAGCTACAGGGTAAAGGTTCCAGGTAGCTCATATGCCGGCTCGCCATGACAATAAGGAGCTGAAGGAAAAGAGGAGGCAGTCGAAGAGGCAGGCCAGCAACGGCAATCCTCGAACTCTGAGCTCGTCTTCCAGGACTACTGGTATCTCGAGGCACGATATTTGACAACTGGATGACAACTGGACGGGTTATATTCAGCTGCTAACTACGAACGAAGGGGCGAAATATATACTCTATCAATCCTCTCCATCATCTTCATCCTCATCATCGTCCTCGTCCTCTTCTGAGCTGGTCTCCTCTTCTTCGACTTTTTTGCTTTCCTCTGCTGTAGTCTTCCATGCTGTAGACTTCGGTGATTGTAACGACTCCAACTTGTCAGGGTGTTTGGGCGTCAAGGTTTCTCCATGTACTTCAACATTCCACGCTGATGACGTTGATGATTGTAATAGAGTCGGGGTATCGATGGTGAGTCTCTCGATGCTTGATTCGAGGGTGGAGGGAGTAGGTTTGGCTGCAGACTCGTCGAGATCCTTCTTCACAGGCTCAGCCTTTCCAACCCCACTCAAAGGCTCGACGGCCGCCTTCTTCCCGTCTTTCGCCTTCTGCGCTGCTTCCTGGCCCAGTTGTTTCATTGCTATTGTGATGGAAGCTTGTTCAGAGCTGGCAGGGGATTTTGAGGGCTCCTCTGGAGCTTTCGGGGGTCCAAGGGCGGCAGCTTTATTATTCTCCTTTGTGTTGACTTGGGACGCGGGGGCTTTCGAAGGTGCGCCGGAAGAGGTTGTTGGTACAGCGGGCTTTGGAGGTGCTCCGCCTTCATGATATATGGTGACATGGTCTTTCAGCTCTCCAAATTCGTTCCATTCCTCGACTTCTACAATATCCTGTGACAGTCAGCCGGCTGTCTGTAGAGTGGGCAGAGATCAGGTACCCCGATAACAAGACCCATCTGCACCAGGCCAGGGATCTTTCTTGCCCTGCCAGACTCATCTTTTCCAGCTCTGCGACCCCAGAGCATGCGGGCCTTCTCGTCTGTGGCAATATCGAGTGCTTTGAACGGAATCCTGTTAGCTTTGAGGATGGTCTCCATCCGCGAGGTCGCGGTGACAATGTGAGACGATCCTGAGGTCAGAGACGTGTACAGGTAGAGCGTGGGATCGGTAGAGTAGGATTTAGAAGTAGACTGCGCCATCTTGAATTGTTTATTGCGAGGTCGAGAGCTTTGGAGAGGAGGAAGAGCAAGGCGGCGCGGGGAGAGATTGTTGGCTTTGGGCTTTGGGCTTTGCGCTGTTTCACAATCGCGATCGACGAGCTCGATCAGCCATCACCTCCACCACATTAGCAAGTGATTTCGCAAACAGCATGCCACATAAGTGGCATGACGTGTTCAGAGGATTGAATATAAGCGGCTGCTTCCCCTTTATCAGCCTATCGGCGCTTATTTCTTCAATATGGAGTTGGTCTTGGAGAGAAGGGTTTAGAATCTCGCTACAGTGGGGGACTTAACCACTTCTTTCGGGCTGCATGATATCTTTTCTTTGAAAACGGCGAGCATCGACTCTGTTGATGGAGAGCTACAGGTGAGGGTTATACTTGGCCTGGTAGGAACACCTCGGTCGTTCAACCATCTTCCTATGAATACACTGTACGGTTCATCGTCTTCAGAAACAACAATCAGCGATCTATGCAAACAGCAGCATATGAATATCTAGCAGGAAAAAATGTGGCCTTCCCAGATGTGGTGGAGCAGTGATCTTTTATGATATTGCTGGAACTGGCAGCCCTTTGGCCCATGTTTTTCCAGCTCTCTTTGCTGTCTCTAGCATATCACTTCTGGTAACAGAGGAAGCGTTCCTGCAGCTCGATGCGATCTTTCCTATCCCTCTGCTCCCTAAGGTGATTATTCCGATACATGAGTCGGTCACGAATGCATACAAGATATCATCGGACACGAGAATTTGTTCTGCCTGCCGGTTTCACAGAAGCCAACAACCCAGATTATACCGGCCCCACAGAAACAGTGGGATGTTTGAGAAGATACAGTCATTGATAGGCTTCTCAAGTCTTCCAAGCCATCACTGATCTTTGCCAGAAAACGGGCAGCTATAGTTGAGCAGAGGCACGTATTGGAAGGCCGACGAGCAAGGAATTTCTTCCAGAATCCCATGCCTCAAATGGCTCAACTGCAGGATCTGCAGCTTCGAAAGGCGCGGAAATGTACTGAATCCCTGGTGGGAGATCTCTTCAAGATCATCCGGGTTTGTATACCAGCAGAAAGCCAGGTAAGAACGCTTGTGACCCAACGCTCAGAATAGTTGGAGATCCGAACCATGTCTTGCTTTACTGGGCAGTTCCCTGGAACTGATTATTGAGAGACATGGTAAAGGAGATGGCAAGTTATTTTCCTTACTCTGCAGAAGCATCCTCTGAAAGTGTAAGAAAACGAACATTCCCCTAACAAAACAATTCAAAAGAAGCAAATCCATCAATCAATCCATCAATCAAAGAACGCAAAGTTGCCAAACTTTCTCGCCGTGTATATGAGCCAATGCAGATGTCACGGCAAGCTGCTGATGTACATGATATCTCACGAGCATTAAGGTATACAGTACCAGGCATCTTACATATTCCGAGATTAGAGACTTTTCTAGATTTTCTCAGTATTGGAGATAAAGAGGCCGAATGGATGGATGGAATATGCAAGAAGTACGTGTCATGTTTCGGGTTCCATGTTCTCTTTGAAATTAGGAGCAAACGGAGGAGAGGAGGCAGTCTGAAGACATTCGTATCGTGTATGTTGCCGGATCTAGAACCATGAAATGGCCATATATCTATCTAGGTAGGTATCTAAAGCGGCTTCTCTTCTTTCCTATCACGAAGGAATCTTTCAAGAAGCACTGAAATCTTGAACGATTATTCATTTTGCTCCTCCGTCGCTTTTCATATACTTGCAATCCTCCCTAGTCTCCCTCCAGCTTCTATTTCTCACATCTCCATCAAGCCCCTCATAGAAATGTGTCTCCTCCCCCCCATCACCTCACCTAAACGCACCACCAAGAAAGCCTCCCCCAAAGTCTCCCCTTCGCAACCCGAATCGACCCCACAATCCGAACCTCCTACGCCCACAGCGCGCATAACCAACAGCAACACGACCAGCACCCACTCCCACACTCTCTCCGTCCCAATCTCCCACCTCCCTCCCTACCTAACCTCCAAGTCTCCCTCCAAGGCTCCCTCCCTAGTCCTCTCCTCCCCGGCCCCTATTTCCAACTCTCCCTTCCCCATCATCAACCCAACTTTCACACACCAGTACCAGCATCCACACCCATGGCCACCCACCACCACCCTCCTCACACCCTGGACTACTCCCCCAACCACCCACGATATCCCTTCTCTCGAGCTCGACCTCATCCCCCTCCACACCACCACGCGGCTAGCGCCCGCTCCCCCTCCCCCACCGAAAGAGCCCAGCGCCGCCGAGCAGCGCGTGCTCGCCGAGATTGAGAAGCTCGGGGGCATGCTGCGGAAGCGGGAGCGCGAGGAGGAGATCGCTGCACTAGTTGCGAAGGCTAGGGAGGAGGGGCGTGCTTCTGCGCAGGCGGGGAACGGGGAGGGCGCGAATGCGAATGCGAATGCGAATGGGAATGGGAATGGGAATGGGAATGCGAATTCGAAAGGGGAGGAGGCCATGACGTTCCATTTCCACGCTCATCGGCAGAGTCTTGCGCCTCCGAGCAGGTCGTGGGTTCATGAGATACCGTTTGGGTTGGTTGACGGGGGGTACGAGCGGAGGAGGAGCAGTGTGAGTGAGGCAGCCATGGGATATGCGAGGAAGGTTATTGAGAGAATGAGGGGTGTTGAGGCTAGGACTAGTACGTTGGAGAGGCAGAGGGATTTGGAGAGGGAGGTTGAACGTGGCGTGCAGCGGGAGATGGAGAGGGTGAGGGATAGGGTGAGGGACAGAGAGGGAGAAATGCACAGGGAGAGGGACAGGGAGAGGGAGAGGGAAAGGGAGAGGGAGAAAGAAAGGGAGAGAGACAGGGATAGATATTGGGCAGGAAGATGGAGTAGGAGGTATTCATGAATAATATGGCAGAGTCTCGGAATCATCTGAGTACTAGGTATTATATCCTGTGGGGTGATCTAATCGGTCTTTCTGGGCTTTTTCATTTCTATTGCTAGATTAGCTGTATGAGTTAAGCACAGCTATTTATATTGGGGTTCTTAGCTTTCGGAGCTCGATAGGATTCCGAGCTTGTCATCGATCCGATTGTCCAAGTACCTACCTTAGGTAGGTAAGCTTCAAGACTCCAGGAAAAGTTCAAGTTGCAAGAAGAGCCATCAGTGGCTAGCATCACGTAGCGAATGGCACGTCGGTTTTATCTCCATGTATTAATTTGCATGACGGAGTGCTATGCCATGATGTATTATCACCGCCGTCAATACAATTAGCTAGCAACTGCTCAGCATCCTTATGCGCCTGATCTCATGTAGCAGACGCCCCCCAGCATAATCTCAACTCTCAACACAATTACTTGAGAGAAAACCAGTACTCAACTCCAACCTCATTTTGCCACGCCTGCAAGTCCACCATTACCTTCCAAACGCCAGTGTGATGATTTCCATCCTCCATTTATGAACGCAAGAAGGGATCAACTCGGGTCAAGAAGATCAAGCGAACAAGCAAGAACCTAACACAAGAAGTCCCATTGTAACAACGGAAGCTACCATGTGGCCCGCACTGCTAACAACAGTTGGTCTCGCGCTTGGAGACTGGGTGGCAGATGGCGAGGCCGCGCTTGAAGGGACGACGACGACGCTCGTAAGGGTGGATGGTCCAACTGGCGTGGCGGAAGTGGCCGGGGCAGTCAGAGTGCGGTTAACTCCTGGACCCGCGGAGCTTGGAGCGACATGGCTTGGAGCAGCGGTGACCGGGGCCGAAGCGCTTGGAACAGCGTGAGTTGGAGCAGCGGGACTTGGAGCCGCGGAGCTTGGAGCAACGTGAGTTGGAGCAGCGGGACCTGGAGCCACAGAGCTTGGAGCAACGTGAGTTGGAGCAGCGGGACTTGGAGCCGCGGAGCTTGGAGCAACGTGAGTTGGAGCAGCGGGACCTGGAGCCACAGAGCTTGGAGCAACGTGAGTTGGAACCGCAGAGCTTGGAGCCGCGGGACTTGGGGCAACGTGGCTCGGAACCTGGGTGGTTTGCACAACAGGGCTCACGGAGGTGGGAGTGGCGTGGACACTCTCAGTGGGGCAGCTGGTGCTCACGGTGGTCTCGATGATCTCAACCTCAACAGTGGTGAGGCAGCTGGTGGATGGAACCGGGACCGCATAAGTACTATCCAGGAAGTTAGCACGTACTGTCTCGACGGATGAAGTGTAAGAGTCAAGGGACACAAACCTGTACTGGGCGTGAGCCAGGCTGACGACGGCACCGAGGCCAACAAGGAGAGTCGAGGCACGCATCTTGTTGATGGACGTGTCTTGACAGCTGAGAAGGATGTCGATTATGATTGTGATAAGGGGGGAGAGGCAACACGATCAAGCGCTTGTTTGTTGGGATGGAAGACTTGATTTGGGATCGCGATGTTGTTATTATTGCGTGGGAATGTGTACGGGCGAGAGAGTTGGGAGTTGAAATAGAACCGCCTCACGCGAGGGAGAAGAAAGTGAATATCGAGGAAACGAAGAGATGAAGAGTTCACTTTCACCACGACAACGAGACACAATAAGGCCAAACAAAAAAGGTATTGATGAACGAATGAATAAGTGTCTGAAAGTGGGCGACGTGAAGAGGGAAGAGTTCGCTCTTTAAATACCTTCGAGGGCAGATCGTAGCGAGGCCTCGAGCAGCACGCAGGCGCGACAGGTTCCTGGAAACACTCAACAACAAGTAAACAGAACAACTCTGCAGACAGTCGCGGACAAGCCTGAAGGCAAAAGGAGAGAAAGCACGACAACAAGCACACAAAATAGACTCTCCCAAGTAAGCCGCAGACGAGTTGAAGACAGAAAAGAGGAAGCACAGCCGCGCCTCTGGGTGTGTCCTTCGTATAGATTATGATTTGAGCTTCATTCGCACCTTACCTACCTATTATATGGACCGTACTGTACGTCCCAGATGCCTGATATCTGACTTTCACTCTTCAGACGCCGTGGTACTGACTTCTCCATGCCAGCAGCCGCATCATCCCCTTCCTCGGTGCTCGATGCAGCATGCCGTCGCCATCTGGGTGCTTCCTCCTCTACTATAGACCTTGCAGCCTGGCACTCTCTCACCACCTGGCTGTTGCCCAATAGCCCCCTGCAGCCTCGTTCTCTACGCTCCATCACTCATCCTGCACGCCTGACCCCGCGGCTCACTACCATTGATATCTACACGCTGAAGCAAATAGGAAAAGGTCGACCAAGCTTCTCCATATGATCTGCCAGCAGTGTCTGCCATGTACACCTTCCCTGAAACTGGACACTCGCGATCACCAGAACTAGGGGAACTTGGAAGGTTGTCCCGCTGCCGTAGGTCTCAAGATGCGCTTTCCTGCGTCTCTTCTCCTTTCCTGGCTGAAGAAGGATGGACTTGATAGAGCGAGGGTTGGCCGCTGAACCAACCCCGGACCGTTATTTCCGCAATGATACTGTTGAGAACAAAGCAACTTCTCTGGATCTTCGAGCGTTCTCGACCCATGGCTGGACGAGCCGTACCCACTTGGCTCAATATTCCTGCAGCAGATACTACTATCTTCAGGAAAGGAAGGGGGTTTCGCCAAAAGTCTGTGTCAAGACACAGCAGGAACCACAGCACGAGAATTAGACTCCATTCTCGGGTCTGTTGCGAGGAAGTTGCTGTCTATATTTGAAGAAGCTGAAGAAGGAGGATAGAATGTGGTCCCGCCGAGTGCTCCGACCTCATTGCACATCTGGCAGCTACTTACAGGCCAGAATGGAGGTATGAACTGAGTTGATCAACGTTGAAAAGCCGCGACGGAGATACCTTGCCGGTATCAATCACGTGCCCTCGATCTCGCTGTGTGGAATCGTTACCCGTTACCCCAGTCGCGCAACATGCCAACCAATAATGGTGAGTTCATGATTAGATAGTATGACCTTGTTTCTGTCGTGACTGGTGCTCAGCGACCTGCTGGGCAGGCAATTATCAAGGAATTCGCAGGCGGCTCTTGAATTAAGAGGTATGTGGGCAAACCGCTCCAAGGCCTCGAGCCAGAGGATTGCTCCTCTCAAAAGGAAATCCCCTCTCTACCTTTAAAGGGTGTATGTACATGACATCCGCAACCAATCCAAATAGCCAGCTCTGAAGTGTGTCGGTTTATATGCGAAGACATTTTGTCAGGACGCCTAATAACTTCAATATCTTATACTCATATTCTCAACATAATGAATTCCTCAGTAGTAGTCCTATCCAGTTGATCATGTTCATATAAAATCCAAATCAGCAAAGGCTCTTGCAATTGGTGTCTTTTCCCGATCCCTCATCTACTCCGACATTCTTGGGAAACAACATGTAATTGCCCAGGTCCAAATTTTAGCAGATTTACAATAACTCAATACTATTACATGAAAACAATCCTTATCGTAGCCCACCCTATATGCATTCGTAGACTGTTGTAAATGGGGTAGCGCAGCATATTAAACGGATATCGCCGACTTCTGCGACTTCTGCGACTTCTCACCATTTAAACAAAAACAGATCAACATACCAGGCACTTGGAGATACCCATCGCCCATCCATATAACCCCTATCGACCTCCTCCATACCACAATGGCCATGCCGCTCCTCTCCTCCAGCGATGCCGCGCACGTCTCCCAAGCGTGCGAGACATACTCCATCACCACAGCGCAATTCAACGCGCTTCTCTCACGCAGCCAATCCGCCAAAGCCACAGCCTACTGCCCATACTCGCGATTCCGCGTCGGCGCCACGATCCTCACACACGACGGCCAGTTTATCGACGGAGCGAATGTCGAGAACGCATCGTATCCCGTAGGGACCTGCGCCGAGAGAGTTGCGTTCGGGAAGGCCGTGACGGAGGGGCATAAGAGCTTCAAGGCGCTCGGCGTCGCGACGGATATCACGCCGCCGGCGAGCCCGTGTGGGATGTGCAGGCAATTGTCAGTATTCCCTTTCGCAATATTCAGACGAGAAGAGGGGGTGAATAGAAAGAATTGATCTGGGGTTTTTGAGAGGGGGGTTTGCGATACTGAGAGGAGCTATGCTGATATTGAAGCGGGGGTAGTATCCGCGAATTCTGCGATTTGAGCACGCCGATATTTATGTTCGATAAGGATGGATCTTTTGTGGTCATGAGATTGGAACAGGTATGTGTTTTGTGTCTCAATGGTGGGGTCTGGGAGGCAGGTTGATGTTGATGATACGTGCAGTTACTTCCATTATCTTTTGGTCCTGAAGCCCTTCCTCCGCCAAGCTCCCTGCCCGCGCAAGGCTGATCTTTGAGCATGGAATGGAACGAGCGCGTGAGGGCTTTCCTTGACAATATAGAGCATGTGATTCCTGGGGAGCAATCAAATGATATTTGGACCTGCCCATTCTTGCTCGTCCCTACGCTGCGTACATGCCTCTTGTCCTTCGCCTTCCCAGACAAAGTATGGCCTTCCAGTGCTTCTATCTGCCCCTTGTCTCCACGTACTTCCTTGCTCATTCCTGACAGATGTGACGCGTTTACAGCGTACTTATGCAACGTCCTGCCAAAGTACTGGTCCTCTGTATTGATATTAACCGACTGATACCTCTCCGAATCTGTCAACACCGGCAAGACAACGAGAGGAGGTTCGAAAAGTAGCATGGATCACCTCGTTCTTAGCCGTATATGGAGACGCTTGATTCGGCTTGAAAGCCTGGGCCTGTTGGCTTTACATGCGCGCGAATCAGCAACCGACAGAACCCAGCCGGGGGAGAGCCCGCTCTGCGACATTTCGCCGGCAATACCAGTTCAAGGTCGCTTTTAATCTTTCTCCGCATCGTCAACCCCAATCTTCACAGACCGGAAACCATGCTCCATGCGGTAACCCTCTGTCGTAACCCCTTCTGCCGCTCCTATGGCACACTGGGGATTCGTGGAGGCGGGATATCCAGACCCCGCTCTTTCCCCGGTTTATGGAGCGGAGGTCACGATGAAGGCTGCCCCAGGTACTTGTTAGCAGGCAGGGCTGTCCATTCTGGCATGATCATCGTCAGTTTGGGGGAATCAACCCCGAAAAACGACCTGTTTATAGACATGCTCCAAAGCTTGGCTATAGATCCAGACGGAGGAGGAGGTTAGTGTAAGCTTGCATCACTCCCTACTGATCAGTCGGTCCGTAGTATATATAGAAAAGGGTTCCCTCACAATTGTAGTGCATTTTCAATCGAGCCCTCACTCTTTGCCGAAGTTCGACTCAGGGCCATTGCCTGGAAGCAAAGATGAAGACGGTGACTTTTCCAAAGATTTACAATACTTATTTCGTTGCTATAATTGCTACAGTTGGTGGCATGCTGTGAGTAGCTAGCCATTTGAAGCTTCTATATGTACGCAAGGCTCACTGTGTCACAGGTTTGGGTTCGACATCTCGTCGATGAGCGCCATCATTGGAACCAAACAATACCTGGCTTACTTCGACAACCCTCATGGTATCATCCAAGGAGCGATTGGATCCGCTCTCGCAGCTGGGTCCGTCGTCGGTTCTCTGATGGCCGGGCCTATCTCCAACAAAATCGGACGCCGCGATTCAATCTTCTTTGGCTGTCTGTGGTGGCTCGTCGGGACCGCTGTGCAAGTCTCCTGCAAGAATTATGGACAGCTGATCGCCGGAAGGATCATCAACGGTGTCTGCGTCGGTATAACCTCGTCCCAAGTCCCCGTCTACCTCGCCGAGATCTCCAAGCATGACAAGCGGGGAAGCATCATCGTCATCCAGCAACTTGCCATCGAGTGGGGTATCTTCATCATGTATTTCTCCGGCTATGGATGCTCTTTCATCGCAGGACCGGCGTCCTTCCGCACCGCTTGGGGGATTCAATTCATCCCGGCTGTCGTCTTGATGATCGGGCTGCCATTCCTCCCTCGCTCACCACGTTGGCTGGCCAAGGTTGGCCGCAGAGAAGAAGCCATCCAAACGCTCGCGGATATCCAAGCACGCGGCAACATTGACGATCCGCTCGTGGTGGCAGAATGGGAAGAGATCTGGACAGTCCTTGTTGCAGAGCGCGAAGCAGCTCCCGGCTGGCGGAAATTCGTCTGCAAAGGAATGTGGCGTCGAACCCTCGCGGGCATGAGTGTGCAGTAAGAGCCCCCTCCCCCCTTTTTCCCGCTCCAATCCAAACAAAGTACTGAGAATATATGTAGAGCATGGCAGCAGTTGTCCGGCGCCAACACAATGACCTACTACATCGTCTACGTATTCGAAATGGCTGGATTATCAGGAAATGCCAACCTTCTCAGTTCCGGGGTCCAATACGCGCTATTCATAATCTTCACCACGGCCGTCTTCTTCTTCATCGACAAGACCGGCCGTCGCCCCCTCCTGATCTACGGCGCTCTCGGGATGGGAATCTGCCAGTTCGTCGTCGGCGGCGTCCTGGGCACCTACGGCACCATCGTGCCCGGCGGAATCGGCAACCCGCCCAACAAGAACATCATCATCGAAGTATCGGGCGGGCCCGCACACACCGTCATCGCCTTCTGCTACCTGCTCGTCATCATCTACGCGCTGACGCTCGCGCCCGTCGCCTGGGTGTACGCGGCCGAAGTCTGGTCCCTCGAGACGCGCGCCACGGGGATGGGACTCTCGGCCGTCGCCAACTGGCTCTTCAATTTCGCCATCGGGCTCTTCCTACCGCCGGCCTTCATCAACATCACGTACAAGATCTTCATCATCTTCGGCGTGTTGTGTTTCGCCGCCGCGCTGCAGGCCTATTTCACGTACCCCGAGACGTGTCGTAAGACGCTCGAGGAGATCGAGATCCTGTTTAGTAAGGGAGGACCGAAACCCTGGCGCACGAAACCTGGAGAGAGTAGGCTGGCGGCGGAGATTGAGGCTGTTATTGAGAGGAAGACGAATGGGGCTGAGTCGTTTGAACATCGGGAGCTTGCGCCTTCGGCTTCGGCTGCTGCTGCTGCTGGGGTGGATGCTGAGGAGAAGGGAACTGTTGGTATGAATGCGGATCATGTCGAGGTATCTTCTTAATCTTGGAATAAACACTTCTTCTTTGGTTGTTGTTGTTGTTGTCGTAGGTTAGTTGACAGATGTATTGAATGGGATTTGAAATATAGGGAGATGCTTGTTCATTTCACTGTCAAGATGGTGTCACACATAGCTCCAGAGACCACATCTCAGATTTCGATCTGGGGAATGCCGTCCACTGTAGCGTTTCATCTGCATAAGAACAGCATCAATGTTGGACCAGGAATTTTTCTCGCAGATCACTGATGTACAAGCTCATAATTTGAACGCTTCAAAAAAGATTCTAATGTAACACAAGAGGGGCAACCCCATTATCCACCGAAGCCCGACCTCCTAAGCTCCCCATCAGGAGTCAAAAAGAAATCCATTCGTTAATCATACCTCCTCATCACTCTCGTCGCCCAACAACTCGCCTTCGTCTTCATCCACTATGGCGTAATCGCCTCGGCCTCTCGCGAAGCTGTCTCTTGTCGTAAATCTCCTGCCTCTTCCCCTGCCGAATGCGTTCGTAGCCGAGCGCCATAGGCTACTTGTTAGGAGTGGAAGGGCTTGGGCTACAGCCACCAGGCCTGCGACGGCCATGACGGGGTATTTGACCCACGGTGCTTCGCCATCGAAGGATGCTACTACATCGTTAGTACAAACCCACGGGTAGGAGAGGAAAGGTATACTGACATTGTTCACCCAGCCTGATCTGGCCAAACTTTGTGGTCCAATTGCGCCACACCCAGTATCCGACACCCGCAGCGACGCCGATGGGAATGGTGACCGCGAAGAAGATACCAACCGCAGATGGGCCATGCTTCTTCTTGAATTCTTCTTGGTGCCCGTCACACGGGTGTGGGACACTGACGTCTAACTCTCGGCCGCCCTGGCAGGTTGTGAGAGGGATTCGTCGGTAGCCGGTAACCTCAAAGTATTGCTCGAGATCAGGGTCCGCCTGACACATTGCTTGATGATCAGGCGGTTCTAAGCCCTTGACAAGCTGACATGAGCCGTCGAGTTGGCGCTCAAAATTATAATCACTATTGTCTTGTCAGATTACTACTCATACTACTCATAGACTGTAGTGTAGAAAGGGAACTGACCACTCGTAATCCCGTCTTGTACAGGTGCAATTTTTGGCAATGTCATGTAAACGAGGAATCATTCTCCCGTTGTAACATTCCGAGGTCTTCTTCTTGCGGTGGTACTGTGAAATATGACCGAAGAGGCAGTCGTCATCTTGATTTGGATGCTTCGGTGTCCAGATCTCATAATCCCCTGCCAACACATCATTCTCGTCCAGCTTACACTGTACGTCTGTAAGGCCCGTAAAGTCGAGGTTGATGGTCACAAACTTGTCCCCGTCGTGAGCCCATAGGAGGAAGTTCCGCGCATTGTCGCTAGGGACGGTTGTAATATCGAAAACGTTCAGCTCGTGGTCCGAGAATTCATAGTCAAGCCAGGTATCACCCTCGTCCAGAGAGTAGTGAACTACGTTTGTCGGCTTTTTCTCCCTAACCAACACCAAGATGGATCCCTGATCACCAAACTCCCACATGTATCTGCCCTTTTTAGCAGATTTCCATGTGATGCCTGCATCAGAAGTCATGAAGGTATCAGCGTCGTCCAAGTCAGTGAGATACTGTCCTACGTTGCCAACACCCATCATCAAACCAGGTGCCGAAGTGGAGTAAAATGTATGGGCCTTTTCCGAACGCTCTGTGTAACCATGAATATTGAGAGAGCACTTCTCGAGATCGCCCTTGCAATTGAACTTCTTTCCTTCCACATCTTTGTCAGGGGGAGGCAGAAAGCTCCATTCAGCACCGTCGTTGTGGGTAATCATAGTCTTCAGTCTCTTTCCCTCCTTGGCATAGTTTTTCGAGTCATAGTTGGCAACGACGTTCACCATAGCTAGACCTTCAATACCAAACATCTTCTCGAAGTCCACATATCCTAACGTATCCCTATCCACAGCGTTCAAGCTGAGCGCGTAAGACGTGCCGTTGGAATTACTCTTGATAATAGTTCCATACTCCAGCCCTGGTTCGTTGTTCACTGTCACATGCAAGAAAACAGAATGGGTTGAGCTATCAAGCACCGTGTAACCTTTTTGATGCTCTACAATGAAGCCATGGGGGAAGTTGGCTTCTGCAAATGTTTGCCCATCAACACTGGTAGAGGCTTTAAGCGTCGCATGCTCATCATCCCTCGTGGCGACAACGATGAACTCGGACATGGTTGCGAAGTCCACGACATTGCTGAAATGCACTGTTCGTGAATCCTCAAAGAAATTGTCGCTGGATACAAGCAACAATGGGATATCTCTCCCTTTCTCCTCCCTCTCATTGACCTCGCAATAAATGAGCCTCTCGCGGCGCTCTTTAGAAGGAAGGTCCTTGATTTTGTTTTCCGGTTCCTTGATGAACTCGCATTTCCGAACATAGCGTTGTAGAGTTTGCCATGGAGCATCGCCACGGTCTTTTGTAAGGGAGGCAACGTTGTGGCAACCTTCGGAGCTCTCACAGTCCTTAGCACCGGTCCAAATGATCCAGTCCTTGTTTTTAGGATGGAAGCTCATAATTGGCAGGTCGGCCCGATCCTCCGTTGGTGGGTGTGGAGCTTTGAAGGAACGGACATTGTTCCCACGATCAATAGAGTAGAAGACCTTCTTGCTGAACGTGACAAAATACACGACGTCGTTGAAATACGTATGCGGAATAATCGCAAGTATCTTCTCGCCTACCAACTCCGGGATCTCCTTCCACTCCTTACCATGGTCATGGGAGAGGAAGACGCCCTTTGTCGTCTGCATAATGACCGTTTCATCCTCTCCTGAGCTCACTCCTGTCCTCTCAAGGTAAACGTGATTAACCAGATCGCCAATAAACGGGTTCAAGGTGTGACTGATTTTACCAGACGATGGTGGCTTCGCTGCATCTACACACTTCCTCTCAACCGGATCGTCCTTGTACTTCTTTCCCTCGACCTTCTTGCAATCATTGCCGGGAATCTTGCGCCAGCCAGAAGACGCCATGAAAGTGGTTTCGGGTCCAAATGCATCGCAAGCTCCTTCCGGGATGATGGGAGCGCCGGCTGGTATACACTCTTTGCGGTCTTCACTTCTTACGAAGTTGAAATCGCACTCAAAATCCTCATCTGTACAGTCGCAAGGAACCGATATGGGCACTGGATCCACGAATTCGTTCTTTATGAAGCAGTCGGCATCGGCTTTGCGGCGTCTGTACGTTTGCGTGTGGCCCATCAAGCAGGTGGGGTTGCCATCTTTATCAACTCTCGCGGACCAGTTCTCCATGTCATCATCATCATCCTTGCATTTCCTCTCGTGCATATCATCGAAGTCCAAAGCAACGATATGGCCACGGAGGGTCCCAGCTTCATCCTCAATTCCCTCAAGTATGAATTTCAGGCTTGTCGAATCTTTTGTCGTGGTCAACTGCATCGGTTTAATCTTGCTCTCAAGATCAACTTTCTCCCAGTCCTTTCCATGATTCAACGAGTACCTGACCTCGTCTACGGGGCCTGAGTCCTTGACTGCAACCAAAATAGAGCCGGAATCACCAAACTCATACTTGTGCGGGCCTTTCAACCCCAATCTCCAGGTCACACCAGCATCGTCGGAGACGTAGAGATTGCCTTGGTCGTAGTCCTTGAGATGAGAGCCGGTATTACCAATACCCATAACTAGACCCGGGGCAGGACTTGAGAAAACCCGTCCAGAATTTGTCAGGTAGGTGACCGAATGAAGGTGAAGATGCTCATCTTCGTACTTCAGAGGCTGGAATGTTCGCCCGTCATCAAAAGTAATCTGAGTTATGAGCTCCTTTGGGGCAAGTGATTCTTCTACCTCCTTGAAGTTCTTCACGGTGTTGACCAGGAATATTCCCTGAATCCCAGTCACCTTCTCAAAATCCACAAATCCCTCACGGTTTCTGTTCGTATGTTCGATGTTCCGCGTGAAATAGGTGCCGTTGGAATTACTGCTAAGCAGGACGCCCATAGGAGTTGAAGGCCGGGAGTTCATAACATCAATTTGGATGCTATAATTGGTTCCTTCCAGCACTGTGTACGATTCTTCGATCAGTTTGTGATCGTGCGGGAAGACAGCTTTATGCCACTTGATCGTATCGTCCGAGATGTATAAGGCCATTTCGTCGGTGCCCTCTGCACTGACCGCAACGATCAAATATTTCTTGATGACAGCCATATTAACAACCCCTTGGACCGTCCGGCCAGGCTCAAGTTCAGGCTCGAATTCTTGCTTATCTTTGAAATAATTGTCCGATATGACGAGGCGGTAGTCTTTCTTCCAGGAAGAGAATCGACCCTTCACCACGCAGAGAATCCTGTCATCATCCAAGTCCTTCTGCCCAGTGGCAAATAGATCTGATGACTTAGCCCAGTGACAACCTGCAGTATCAGACCGAAGGAATTTGGCATCTGACGCAAAGCCGTCGGTGGTGTACATGGTCTGTAGATGAAAGATTAGCGGAGCGCCTCTTCCCTGATCCCTGGCAGACTTACCACTTCCTCGCAGAATATCCCAGAGCAGTCCATGCCATTGAAGATGATCCTATCCGGATCCCCAGCATGATATGTCAAGGCTCCTCGAAATACGGACGCCGGCGAATCGGTATGGAACTCCTCCCAGGTCTCACCCCTATCCTTCGTCTTCCAGTGCGTATTTTCGAATGAGATGATATACGCGCGCTTCGGATCATAGGGATGCATGGTAATCTCTAGCATCTTGCCCTCGGGGACAGCAGACACCTTCTCCCAGTCCTCGCCCGCATTGTCGGATCGCCAAACGACGTGATCCTGCACGTCTGCGAACATAACCACGTCGGAGTCATCGAAGTACAGGAGATTGAACGGGACGAAGTCGAATCGCTTGCTCTTGACGGACGGCTTGTCCTTCTTCGCCAGAGTGCTTGTGCAGAGCAGCGTTGCAAGCAGGAGCTTGCGCCAGCCTGTCTGTAGCCTCATTGTCGCGGGTTGGAGACGGGGTGCAAGCGCATCAAGCTTTGTCGAGGGTCATCAAGTCGGTCCTGGTGAGGGATTGTTGGAAAATCAGGAGGATTCAATGGGTTGTAGCGACAGCTTGCTCTGAAGCTGATTGCGTGTTCTTCCGGCTTTAGTACTGTAGCGATACGTGTGAGACGAGTTCGCGCCAACGCCTAACACATACGGAATCAGATGACGCGCAGACTCCATAAGCGCACCTACTTTACATTACCTCTATATTCAATACTCAAATTGGTTTACTTGTATCTCTGTAAAGATCATCAACAAGACATATGATAATTCCCTGCAAATAAACCCTTCTTTGCGTACTCTAATATTCACAGCTGCACGCGAGCAGAAAAGGGGTGCTTTCGATAGATATGGTCACGTGTACTTATTGGAACTCGACATTCTAACCCAGACGAAGCTCAGACATGGTTACTCTTTAGGAAGATAGGAGTGTCCATAGAGGCACTTTCCAAATCAGCACGCAGATCCACTTTCTTCTCTTGCGTGGTTGAACTTTGCATAACATGGACAAGGCAGGGCATGCCGTATGAAGGTCGTTATATTCGTTAATATTAACATAAGAATCCGGTTTTCAGAAGTGGTATCCGCCCAACAAGTATACGCAGACGCTAAAGTACAAGACAAGAATCCTCGAAATTCCCTACACATCTAAGAGAGCCTTTTTTGCGAACTCCTCACCTTATTCCAAAGTCTCTTCACGACCCCATCTTCTTTGTCGTCTGGACCCCACCCATCGACTCCCCCAAAAGGACCGCGCACCTCGCCCTTTTCATCCGCCTCCTCCAGGGTCAGCGGCTCTTCTCGAAGGGGGCTCCTGGATGATGTCTGCCATCCATATATAGTATTCTCATCTGCCCTCAAATCCGGCCTCGTGAGTGTCATCCGCAATGTCATCTCCCTACTCCCTGCCATCGTTTGTGTATGTGACTCGGGTTGCTTTACCAACATGGGTTTGGTGATCCCGAGGTGTGAGAAATCCGATGACGGTTTGTTGTCTTTCGCTGACACTGGTGGTTGATAAGGTTTGAAGAGCGAGTCGGCGAACATTGGCGTTTGCGGGGACTCGGGATCGATCATTGAGGTATCGTCTTCAAATAAGGATGCCACATCCATGTCATTCAAAAAGAATGATCGGGTCTGATCTATGGAATGTGACTTCCTGCGTATAACATCTCGGGATATGCGTGGAGGCTTGTTCTCCTTGTCCCCTGCTACCCCGTCTATGGACGGGAACCCAAATTCTATGGCCTCGTCGAACTTCTGCGGTGATGCCAAGTATACTCGAAGTTTCAGTCTGGCTTCGGGGTCCTGATAGTGGGTTGCATTCGGGTCGATTGAGGATACCGAACCCTGGGTCACATGTTTCGGGCCTATGAGGGATAAGGCTCGTGATTTTTGCCGGCCGTGACTCGGATCGACTTTCAGAGCTTTGGGAGATTTGGACTTGGGGGACCGTGAATGTATTGAAGAGGGTGCGCTCCTGTTGAAGGGAATCTTGGTAACCGACATTTTTCGTCGGAAGGACGGTTTCCTTATGCTGTCTGGAGTAGGGATAACGAAACCGTCGAGGTTTGCATGATAGTCGTCCAGTACCAACTTCAAGTCCAAGTCTTCTTCCTCGTCCATCCACCGAAAGCTTTCGTGCATAGTTTCTGCCATTGACTTGTCCAGAGAGCTCTCCTCCTCTTCTAAGCGGCCCATTATGCGCGAGGACTGGTTAGGTTCGATGTTGTTATTGGAGGGCGGTGTCAGATTACGGCTTGCACGGCGGCTGGCTTTGTATAATGCTTCATCGGCGGCGTCCAGGATAACGCCCTCGCGCAGGCGGCCACTGAGAATCTCCTGTTCCTCCGGAGTAAAGTGCCTTTGCTTGATCTTGTCGGGCAGGGTCAGGAACCACGATGCGTCACTGTTCGAAACGGTATGCTGTCTCGGTTGGTTGCGCAGAGGTTGTCCGGACTTCCGTCGAGGCTCGATAATAGGGCGCAGATTCAGACCTCGACGATCTGCCAGGGAGCCTTTTCGATGTCGCTGTACTGGCAGATCATTGAGAACATTGGATCGTGAGTTCTGTTCGAGTCTCAATCGCTCGAGGGTCGAGAAGTACTGCGACAGCTAGGCGTTAGCCGGTGCGGGACGCAGAATGCAAAGGAGAGACTAAAGGAGAGATCGCCGACATGCAAGCTTGAAACGATGAAGCTGCATATGGCAATATATGTAACCCGCGCCCATAGCGCGTGCGGACGGTGTTGCGACTCGCAGTAGTATCATAGCGCGCGGGAGTTGGCGGAACCTCACCGCCCATTATGGCATGGCAAGCTTCTGAGACTACTGGACGAAGGCGCTGCGGCAACTTCATAATTGGGCGATAGTAGTCGTGGCGCGTCGGAATTTCCTCTTCGCGGACAAGAGGCGAGGAGGGGAGGGCAGGCCAGGCCATGAGGGGGGCTAATAAAGCAAAAGGGGGGTGATTGTGATCGTACCTTTCTCCGCACGGCAATAGGCAACGCATCATACTCGTCTTCTGTCGGGCCATATCCCGTCATCTCTCGCATGTCCTTTCTGTATCGTCCTGCGGTTATACCTTGTGACGAACTTGGCCGGTGGAAAGATTGTGCGTAGAGCGTTCGAGGGGAGAGCAGTGCGTGTGAGTTGTCGGTCTGGGAGATTTGGGGGGCGGAGGTCGAACTTGATAGAGTTGTCGAGGAGGAGAAGGGATCGTTCGTCTGCGGTATGGGCGCCATGCTTTGGATCTGTCGGTGATGGTGTATCATGGCCGCCAGGTCTAAGAGGAAAAAGTTGCAGTGCAGATTAACGTTGATAATAACTGCAGAGGCGATCGGTCATGCAGGAAGCAGACTTTTTGCAATGCTGCAGCTTCCAGGTAGAAGAATGAAGCTCTCCTATCTCTCTCCCCTGCTCCTTACGGAGTCTCTCATAACTCCTTGCTACCAGAATTCCGAGCTCCCCTGGGCGAAATGGTGCTGATCCCTGTCGGGAGAACCCTTGAAATGGATGGAGTTGGTACGGGACGGTACTCTCCATCCCGGACCCGCGGCCAGAGAGAAACGGTCCACGGTTGACGGGGCAAGGCTCAAGCCTCAAGGACGTTGAAGTCCAGCGCTAAAGAAGGGTGGACTCGTTCTTATTCCGGGTCTTGTTGTCTCGGCGGCGTGCTCAACAAGCGGTACAGAACTGTAGTGATGATAGCCAGTACAGATTTGTCCAGACTGCAATATCAGAGCAGGCGAGAGGGATCCACGAGCCGCCAGCATGCCTTGGCCGGCAGGAATGCTGCGAGGACCACCGATGTGATGTGATGTGATTGATGTGACGGCTTGGATGTATGTAGTCTGTACTCCGTATCTGACAGCAGCGTAAGACGCGGGAGGGCCAGCAGCGAGTAGCATTGGCTCCAAGCCGTTGCTCCCTTGGAGGAGTCGCCGCCCTTCTCAAGCGCACAGCTCTCACCGGCGCGTGGGACTTGAATCCTCGAGAATGATCGTCGGCGCCCGCTGCCATTTCCATCGTCGCTCATGGGCATGATGGGGCTGGCCAGGGCCGCCATGCCTGCCAGGCCCCAGGGGCCGCTCTGCTAGCGAATAGCTTCCTTCGCCGTCTCCGGTGGTCAACGGCTCAACCCTGTGCCCGGGTCCTGGCCCCTGGGATGATTCGTTCTTCTGCATTCATCCATTCGTTCCTCTTCAACACAAGCAGTTCCAGGCCGCTTCTTCTGAGTTCTTGCAGACCGGTGTTGGCAACGCTCTGGGAGCTAGCTGGAGAGCTGGGAACGTCTCCAACGGGCCAACGGTGCAACGGTGAACAACCTCGAAGAATGCACTGCACTGCGCTGCACTGCGGGCGGGCATGAGAGGACGTCCGTTGCTGCCGTCGCCATGACCGCTCGAGTCAGTCCACCACGTGTGGGTCACCGCAGCTTCTTCTCTCTTCTTCAGGCCTTCGATACCGGCACGCGTTTCACTGGACCCTGAACTCGTTCGTGTTCTGGCAAGCGATATCGACATGTACAGTATCGCCTTGGGGATTCAGGCCAGGGCCCAGTCGTCGCCTCAAGCTTCGAGGCCTGTCTGCCGTTGCGCGTCGCTGCGGCGTTATCAACCCCCTTGCAAGAATCATCAGCCCAGTTCCCAAGAGCACACAACACTCAAATTACAATGCTGATTATGCTATACGGTAACAGCCGCGCCTTGAGGGCGGTAAGCCGAAATCACACACGGGGATGGCTTCTTTGGGGTAGGAGAGGCGAAAAAAGGGGCAGAGAGCGTCACAATTTCACAGAGCACAACGACAACAACCACAGTTCTCTCGTGATTTCGGGTTTACCGGGTCTGGGAGTCTCGTAGCTCTCGCCATTCCTAGCAACAACAATGCGATATACAGTCAATGCCACAATGCATCGTCACTGAAGAATGGGGCTCGTATGTCTGCAGGATCAGTTTCATCAAGGTCATCGCCAGCACCATTGCTTATTGTCGTCGTTGTCCTTGCATCAGGTGCCAGCTGTCAAGCTGTCAGACTGTTTTCAATGTTTCCATTTGTTCTGGAAATTATCATTGGGCTCTGATTCTCCATCGTGAAACGAAGGATCAACAAAGGATGCACATCCTCGCCTTGCTGGGCCTTCGCTTTGCTGGCAACGAATTACAATGATAATAGGCCCTGGTAATCGCACACAGGCACGGGTGATAGGGCTTTTTCTGCATTGCTGACCCAGCACTTACTGTACAGTTCGGTACAGGACGTGTTCTCAACGCGTGAAGCCATTCCCAACCAACGCGTTCCCTACGGAGTACGCCATAGAGTACGCCATAGATAGGTAGAGTACACTATAGTCTACACTACCTACTCTGTACTCCATAAATACTACTTTATGCACGGCGAATCACGGAGGCTTTCCCAGCGTCCCACACTCAGAGATCGACTTGTCCATTTTGCGGTCGCGCCCCGTTTCCTTTAGACGCGCGTTTACGGAGCATGTCCGTACAATCGTATCAACCCGAGTAGTTAGTGGCTTGACAAAGTTGACATGTCATTCTGGTCGTCACTTTATTTTGAAGAAAAGTCTCTTCTCTTATCTTACGTCCCAGCACGTGGGCAACCCGATTTCAAGATCATGATTCTCGTGTGCACTCGGCGAACCTCGTCTGTTCTATATCCGGATGCCTTTACGGAAATGGAAGAGAGGTTTTGCCATATCATCACGCCAGAAAAGAAGATAGCAATCAAGTCAGTAGATCATACTACCACATATAGATGTTGGGACTCACTGTGACCTTGAGAATAGAAGATTCTTTAAGCAAATAAAAAGAGATGATGTGATTCTGAACAATCGCTCAGGGTCGTGAACTCAGAGATTCGTTTCTCTCCCAATATCCCGCGCTATACCGTTGAGACAAGCGGAAATCATGGCCCTTACTTAGACCACCAAGAGAGCGCCGTCTACCCCGATCCCCCGCGCATTATTCTCTTCCCTCCATGACAAGCAGCAGAAATCCAGATGGCTTAGACCAGCTACTCATGAACGAACCACGAATCAGAAATCAGAAATCTCGCTTCCACTCATCCATCCTCCCCATCAAACCAAAGCCTAAGGTAAAACGAAGCGCCTAAAAAAAGAGAGCAAAAAAATTTATCGAGTCCGAGCAAATCGCTCAGGGTCGTGAACTCAAGAGAAGACTCTCTGACGGGGAGTCGAACCCCGATCTCCCGCGCTTTGCCTCGAGGTGACAAGCGGAAATCATGACCGTTAGACCATCAAAGACGTGTGTTATTTGATATTGTGGGATGCTTTAATCAGAATAGCTTGTTTCGCTCCGGCTTAGGGAGTTGAGTAGAAAAAGGAGAAAAGAATAAGAGGGGGGGGGGAAAAAAAAAAGTCGAGTTGATATCGTATCTAAGCATTGCTTAGGGTCGTGAACTCAAGAGATGACTCTCTGACGGGGAGTCGAACCCCGATCTCCCGCGCTTTGTCTCGAGATGACAAGCGGAAATCATGACCGTTAGACCATCAAAGAAGATCGGAACATTATTATACCAGGTTCATTATCTCGTATTGTATAACCTGCATGTGACCAGATACGTTCTCAAGGCTAAATTCACTAATCGTCGACTTACAGTCGAATGCGAAAAGTCGATACACTTAAGCGAGGCTGACGATTATAGATTGATGTGCTACCCCATGCGCCCTTTTGTCTTCATCCTTCTATAGCCTCGTCTAAGTCTATATCCTCCCCTCCCTCGACAGCCTCCTCACTTCGATACTCGGATCTACCTCGACAACCTCCTCTTTTTGCACATACATCTGATCACTCCTGTCCAACCCCACCGTCACCTTGGCGAAGGCTTCCCTAGCTCTCGTATCAATATCATTGCTTTCTCAGCTTCGGTTGAAGCCTGTCATGTGCCCCTCGCTTAATCATGTGTATAGTAACGTCTGGTAGCTTCCTCGCAGAATCCTGACATGGAAAAAAGGAGGAAAAAAGGAGTGGGGTGATGAGAATTGTGGAAATCAGTGATCTTGTATGATTCACTGGTGATAATGGAAAGGAGACTCGACTGCTCTGTTCCTACAACCACGACCTGTCATGTAGCGAAGCGACTAATCCCGATGATGGCCACCTAGGAACAGAACTGATGGAGAGACAGGGGTCACAGGGCTGGACGAACACTAGGGGTAGGGACAGTTGTCTGATCCTACCTAGGGAGAAGAAGGAAGTCTGGTTCAGAGGGGCCGCTGGACGAGTTTACCTAGCCCCCCCTCCCATATCAGTGAGGATTTATCCGAGAGGTTGCGTTAGCCTTTGTATATAGGAAGGATATTATTGTGTAGAAGTACTGCGGCCTTAAGCAAGTTAAGCCATGGCAGAGTTTGAATAATAATAATAACAATAACAATATACGCAATTCTTTAAGCAATCCTTGGAGAAGGCTTTAACAGGGAGCAATATATCCACTAGTTTTACTGCGCCTTGTATGTATAATAGTTGCGAGACTTGACCTGGATTTAAAGACAGCTACCTACCTTATGTGTTATTAACTTATTACTATCGTACAAACGAATTACCTCAGATATCGATCTAGTCCCCCCTACCCCCTTCTTCGCCTTAATGCTCAAATGATTGATTTCCATCTTTATTTTTTCTTGGACACGGCTCAAGCTCATGTCTCTGAGCTTTCTCCCATATAGTATGGAACCGGAGGGCATTTTTGGGCATTGATTTCCAGGCCTCCTCAGCTGTCATTTCACCCTTCCTTACCTGTCGCCAATAAAGACAGACCTTGATCCGAGTCTTTGGGAAAAGGATCTTGGGATAGAATGCTGTGAAGAACTGATCCTCTGGTGAAAGATTAAGCCGAGCGTCTGGTTTTAGGGCGGCGAGTAAACAGTGAAGTTGCATTTCGAGGTACATAGAGATTTTCATTCACATTGAGTCCAGGATTTAGTTCGTCCTCGGCGACGGCATCAATGAATGAGAGCTTTAAAAGTCAGAAAAGATAAGACCAAGCAAGACCAAGACTAATAAGACAAACATACCATCTAAGTAAAACAACTGCTTTGGAAACCGACACCGTGTAGTAGGAAGCAGGAATGTACCTATTCGCCAAGAAACTTGATGCTGAAAGATCCACGTGCCAGAAACTCGAGGGAACAAGCACCAACGCATGGGACTAAGTCCCGGCGGTCGGTTAGGCCTGTCCAGAGTGTGTCCTGGCCATCCTAGAGGCGCGATGGTCGCGTCGGTCGCGCCCTTATCCACATAGTTAACGCGCGGCCTTGTTGTTCCTCGAGTCCTTGTTGAAGAGCGATAGGTAAGGGCATCTTGCAGTTGTTCGTCTGCTACCAGAAGGTACAAGTCGCAGATACATAAGGGATAGCCAAGAAATCGAATGATGGCGTCGCTAGCGAAACAGTGTCGAATGCTTTGGTCCTCAAGACATTCGGATACATGGAAGAGGCTCTACGTACATTGTTCTTGAAGAGATACGCTTGCCTTGTATTCAGCCATGTCGATAGATATCTCTCAAAAGTGAACGATAGAAGTGGGAGACGAAAATGGTCGGATAGCATACCAGGTAGGGGAGTGTTATTAAAGCCTTTGCCAGGCGATGTGACAGTATTTAAAGCCTTCCTTTAACGAGAGCGCTCTCCCGGCCCTAATAACACCTACTACCCCTTTGGCTACCTAAAAGGGTCTGATAATCGGTAGTGTACCGGTCATCTAGGGTGGTGTGAGCCATCCCATCACTGATGTCATCAGCTGTAAATAGATTCATTTGTCCTCCTCCTCCTTAGATCACGCTATCAACTATCAAATATGAAGTTGACTTTACCAAACATTAGAGCACCCTTATTATCTGATCTTGCACTGCTTGTCATACCAGCTGTTATTTAAACCCATCTAACTAAAACTATACAATTTAATATCTTAATCACTCCTGGACTACCTATCGAACATTTCAATATGGCTGAATCTGTCGCGGATCTTGAAAGCTTGTACAATGTAGAAGCAACATTCGAGTATACGAGCCGCAATGGCCTCATGCAAGCCCTCCACGCCTTCCTGGATCGCACCTTCATTGATCGCGCCGCCTTCCTGCGGGACCATACAGTGCTCGTTACTAGATTTCCGCCCCAGATGTTCGAGATAGAGTCCAACGTCGACAACCCGGTTATTCCAGGTAGAAAGGTGTTATATCTCCCAGAATCCCAGGTCCTCATCTCCACAATGGCAGGAACTTGTCACGAAATTGTCAGTCGAAAAATTGAATATCTCTTGCAGGAGAAGATAAGCAAGATGGGATGCGAGCACGCCTTACGCGCAGTCGGGCAAACGAGAGAGCACCTCCAGAATTTGAACAAGGAGCCGGACGGGTCTTGGGGGCCGCAAGCGGTTCGTTATCCTACTTGTGTTCTCGAAATAGGCATGTCGGAAAGCCTCCGGCAACTAGACCGCGATGCCCAGCGCTGGATCGAGAACGAGATATCACATGTAACCCAAGTGATTACGGTCAAAATATATCCACGCCGCCATGAGATCATCTTTACCACCTGGAATAGGACAGCCCGACGGCGGGCTGAGAAGAACAACGAGATCCACGTAGAGCTTCGCGAAGGCCGACCGAGGGTTAGAAATAATAAACGCCTACGCCTCTCCTTCGATCAGATTTTTGAGCGACCGCCCACGCCCGGCACAGCTGAGAGAGATGTCATCTTCTCGGCGCGCGAGATAGGGGGTATTGCCCGCAGGGTTTGGCTGGATATGGGTTTGATCCCCTGATAAGGGAGATAGGGGCCTATCATCAATTCATCATACCCGAGGAAGAAACTGTATATTATCATCCTAGAAGGAAGCAATAGAAACAAATAGCCCATGTAAGGACGTGCAAAGCAATCTTATGAATACACTCAGTCGAAACCCACATAGTTCTAGGAGAACATCCCTCTTGTCCTCCATGTGTTGCACTTGCTTGGGCTAATGTATTCGGTGCAAGACAGTCTTATGAATACACTTACCACACAGTTCTAGGAGAACATCCCTCTTACGCTCATAACCATTAACTGTCCTCCATGCGTCGCCACTTGCTTGGGCTAATGCTTTGAGTGCAAGGGAATGTTTTCGACTCCATGGAGAGCGCGAGAATCATTCGGATCCCGTGAAGAAAGCCCGACACCTGCACGGGGAGCAGATCCTGCATTAAGGAGATTACCCGAACCAGTTTCACAGATGAGAGAAATACCAGGAATCCCATTAAGCTTCGAAAAGGTTGCATATGATCCCCGTACGATTAAACACATCGAGCCTGTTTCGTAAACGGCGTCTAAACTAAGCCCCGCCCTAGGGCTTAGTGAATGGATCCAACTGATGAAGTTCTGCAGTTCTTCTGGCGTAAAAGTTTCATCGATATGTACTTTGAAAGCGGCCTGGAGTCTGGAATGTCCTGTAAAAACATCGGTTCCCATTACTCCCGGGAAGTAAAGACGGACTGAGGAGCTTCCGACTCTAACAGTATGTGACGGTTTCTTGACGGGGGAGTCCTCTCTTAAAATTGCAATCAATTCTGCCAATTCGACCGACCGATGATTTTGGCCCTTCAGGAATGCAACCTGTGTTGCTAGCTTCCCTGTAAATGACACCCGCTGGCCGGGGACAAATACACCTGGCGTATTTAAATCAACAGCCGCCAGGACTTCAACCACTCGACCGATCGGTATTACTGCTTTGGTCGTTAGGAAGCTGTAGCCGCAATCGAGAACAAAGACAACGTCAACGGGTGAATTATCATCCAAGACGACGTCGACGACACTGAGTAAACCATGAGCCTTGATTGACTTTGAACTTGACGCTGCAGTAAAGAGGAGTTCGTCGTTAACGCCACGTTTACCATGCCCCGCATAATGGAAGAAGACGATAGTACGTCCGCCAGCAGCGGCTCCCAGCGCGGCTTTTATCATCTTACCAAAGCTTTCAATGACGGTCAATCCTGGTGCCGAGTCATCACAGGCAAGCGTTAGGACCTCTGGGGGGCCAAAGCCGAAAGCATGGAGAAATGACTGAAAGTTGGCATAGTCTCTTTCGGCTTCTGTGTTGTCGTCCTCCCATCGGACGTGTAAAGCGAAGGACGTCGTATAGGCACGAGCACGCTGCTCAACGGCAGCGGTCACGGCTAATTGGAATTGATCTTTTGTCACACGGTCGTTGGCCATCGTATCGTGAAATGATTTCGATATTGAGAATCTAGATCGATATCAGTAACTGATCTAAAAGGAAGCAGGGGTTTGATAGCTGACGATGGGCGTGTTTGATTGGCAACACGATCGTAGTGTGGAGCGATCTTTGCTAAATAGAATTTGTGCGAAGATTTGATATCTGGCTAAAGCCCCTAAATCCTGACGCTCTTATTAGTTGAATTAAAACAGAGGTGCGCAAAGGTCGATGTAGAGAGCTGGTTCGGACTCGTCTTTCGTGTATAGCGCGGCGTAGACAGCCCAAAGCTTGCCCTTGGGCTTGGGCGTCGATAACTAGAAGTCTGGTGTAGGAGGCTTATTTGATTAAAGGACTTCTAGAAGCCCTGTTGCAAACGTAAGAGGTGTGGCTGTACAAATGCTACGCCCTGCCTCTCCTTGTAGTACGACCTTGAGCTCTAGATTGATGTACTAATCTAGGGCCTCGAAATTAAGATGTTGATGCATGTAATCGTCTACAATCTTCTACAACGGTGACTAGACGCCGTCTATTGCGGTGATCCTAGAAAGACGCCCTAGGAAAGCCTTCTGCGGCGTCGACACCTGTTACGTGTTAGATTATACTAGTATACGGAAGGATATGGACTTACTGCTCCCTTGCCCTGGGAAAGGCTTCTGCGGCGTAGGTGTGGAGGTTCTCGTGAAGTTGCAGACGGCGACGAGCAGAAGACGACGAGCAGAAGACGACGAGCAGAAGACGACGAGCAGAGGTTATAACTTCTCTCTCTGCTGTACGTTAAACTCTCAGATACCAGTGCAGGGTAAGGTAAGGTAAGGTAAGATACCAGGTAAGGTAAGGTAAGGTAAGGTAAATGGTATGTTAAACTTTCGGCCATCTCTACCTTAGGTGGGCGCGGTCGAAGCTGACTGGCCAAGCGAGGTAAGCTAAGCGAATACAAGCGAATACAAGCGAATACAGGTATCACGTGCAACGCGCTTTAATCTGGATAGTAGGTAGATCTCAGGAGTCAAAAAAAGGGTGAATTGAGAAATGAATCCAATCCTGAAGGATATGATTTACGGCAAGTCCCGAACGATATATCGGCGAAGAATTCTGCTGAAACCGACTTGGCCAAGCGGGCCTCGTGTGTCAAGCGATAAGATAAGATCAGCCTGTAAGAGAGCACTAGTGAGAAGCCTCTCGACTTACCTTTAAGGTACCCGTAGGTACTAGAGCGACGACTCTCTCTCTCCGTGCTTCTGTCGATGGAAGAACACACATAATCTTCACGCCCCCAGCAGCCTTTCGCAATGAGACGGCGCACGCGGAAATCTCTCGTCCACCTCGCCCTCTTCGGAGGCATCCTCGTCTTCCTCCTCTACATCAACCGGCCGCAGTCCAGCAGCAAGACCTTCGCATGGACGCGCATCCGCTACAAGAGCAAGTCTGGTACGCTGCCCCCGGCTCGCGGCGTCTGTGCCGGGCTGGCAACGAGCGCGAAGCCGGCACTGGTCGTGTCACGTGTTGCCGCCGACGGCGATCCCAGCTGGCTCGATGCGTTGGCCGATTCCTACCACCTGTGCATCTACAGCGCCGACGAAGCGACGACGACGACAACGTCTGGATATCTCCCAGTGCCCGCCAACCGCGGCCATGAAGCCATGGCATATCTGACCTTTCTCATCGACAACTACGCCGACTTCCCTGCCGCCGGCGCCGTCTTCGTGCACGGCTCGCGCTGGGCCTGGCACAACGACGCCCCCGACTACGACAACGCCGCCCTGCTGGCCGCGCTCAACGTGTCCCGCGCCCTCGCGCCCTGGGGATACCATAACATGCGCTGCGACTGGAGCGCCAGCACGTGTCCGCCGTCGACGCCGCCGCAGGGGAGCCTGGAGACGTCGGTGCAAGCCGCGCTGGTGCCGTGGGACGCGCGCGCCGTCTCTGACGCGGCGCTGCCGCGCGCGCTGGCCCTCCTGTTTGGCGGCCATGAGAAGAAGGCCTCGTCGGGATTGCTGCTCGGGCGCACCGATGCGGTTCGCGCGCAGTGCTGTGCGCAGTTCGTCGTCGCGCGCCATCGCGTCTGGCAGCACTCGCGCGACGAGTACGTCGCGTTGCGCCAGTGGCTGCTGGAGACAGCACCGCGCGACGACCGCATCGCGGGCCGCATCTTGTCGTACGTCTGGCACATCCTGTTCATGTCGCAAGGGGAATCCGAATCGGCCACGGGCGTTGATCTGGAGAGGCTCAATTCCCTCGCGTGTCCGCGCGCCGACGAGTGCTATTGCCGCTTGTATGGACGCTGTGGGCTGGATCGCTGTACGAGTCCTGGGAGTTGCTATGGCCAGTATCAATTGCCCAGGGACTATAAACTTCCTGAGGACTGGGCGGCGAGGCATTCGGAACCTTGAGCGCTGTGATGCGATGGGATGGTGGTTGGTGTTTGCTGCGAAGAGCGACGATGATTACGTGCTGTATGAGACTCTGTTATGATAGATACGGCTGTATGTATGTAAGATACTGTAGTATTGATACCACTGTAGGATCTAGGTATGTAGGAAGTAAGGGATACGTGTAGCATATAAATTGATCGAATCTGGGAAGAAACATCTCGATCTCTTTCGTGACTCCTTTCTCTATCTACCTACCTAGTCTTTTGAATATAAACCGCGTTTGAACACATTCCATTGTTGAAGCTTGGAAATAGGTAGATGGGTAAGTGGATATTGATAAGCATTTTTTGTAAGGTACTCTCTAGGTACGATTCTTACTTTTGTGTTGTTTCTGTATACCTGTAACTTCCTTGTCTAACAATAATCCAGCTACTACATTACTCACTCACCATCACCACATTTATCATCTCTCGCTACTTTGAACACCGGTAAATCACGATATTATACTGATGCAGCGAGGAAAGAATGAAGGTTTGGGGGAATGAATAGGCGGGTAGACTAGATATAGGCACTTTTAATTTTTATTTTACTTTTTTTCGGAAAGGGGGTCCCTCCTATCGTTAACTCACACGCATATACACCGCCAAAACGCACCCGAGAAATCCAGACCCAGAAAAGCAGAGCAGAGCACACTTGTCGCACCAGAGAAGAAGCCTTCCTCACATCCAAACCCTATAGCCCACAAAAGGCAAGAGGGTCATAATATTCATAAACCAAATTCTCCTTGTCGCGTCCCTTGACAGTGCCTTTCACAGCCGGGGCTACGAATTTCGAGACTCCGGTTTTGCGATCATAGCTCTGATAGGAAGCTGCAAGACGTTTGCCTCCGCCGCCGGGGAGATCGACGACGAAGGAGGGCATCAGAAAGCCTGCGATGGAGCCGCGGATCTGGCATTCTAGATCGAGGATGGTCTGGAGAGGGGTGCGCAGATCTTCGATGCCTTGGACCATGTCGCATTGGTAGACGTAGTACTGTTTATCAAGCTGTTAGCGATATGGAGGGGTTATTTGGGGGTCAATGGGCACGAACGGGTTGGATGTTGCTGTCTGCAAGTTCGCGGATCAGGGCGCTCATGGTCTGGACGTTGTCGTTGACGCCTCGTAATAAGACGCTCTGGTTCCGTACGACCACGCCGTTCTGAAACAGCTTCTGGGCTGCCTCCCGTGTCACCCAGGTGATCTCCTGGGGATGGTTGAAATGCGTGTGTAGGGCGACTTGCTTGCCTAGTGCACGACCGCGGTTCGAGAGGCGTACAAGTTCATCAGTCCAAGCATCTTCGGGATCAAGTGTGCGTGATGGTGTTACGCAGAGTCCCTTGGTCGCAAGGCGGAAGCGTCTGATGTGGGGTATAGCCAACAAACGGTCTCCGATGTAGCGAAGTTGATCCGGCTGAAGGTAGTACGAATCGCCTCCAGATACGACTACATCTTGGATGACTTCATTGTCGCTGATGTACTGCAGGGCCTGGTCCCATCTGGCTTTGATTGGTTTGTAGGAAGACTTGGTGACTGTGTCGGTGTTCCCGCCTACAGCGTATGATCGAGTGCAGAAGCGGCAGTAAAGCCCACAGACAGAGGTCGCTTAGATCTCAAGTCAGCGATTATAGACGCGAGGAATGCTATAGCGGATAAACTTACCAAGGAACAAAACCTTGTCTGGATATCGATGAACTAATCCAGTAACCGGCGAGTCTGCTGCCTCATGCAAAGAATCCAAGCCTAGCTTGGGATGGTCTGGCATGTAAGTAGACTTCATGGGTATGAATTGGCGCCGCAATGGATCATTCAGTGGGTTACTCCAGTCAATAACGCTCAGAATATGTGGCGTCAAGCGAATTGACATTGGAGCCTCCTTGATACCCTGCATAACGTCTTCGATGAACGCCCCCTTAGTGCGAATGTGCTGATAATGCTTGTTGGCTGGAATATTTTCAGGCAGAACCTCGTTCAGAAACACAGAAAGGTTTCTCGGTCCCTGGATATTTCGGGATATCTATAGGTCCTAGTTAGCCGCAACCGCCTGGAAAGATAATTCTGACGTACCTGCCATCTGTATGACAGGAATTCTTTCTCCGAAACATCACTCCAACGAGCTATCTTTTGCCAATAAGGTTCTCTATCAAACAGTGCGCCTCGATGATATATCGGAAGAGCAGTGCTCTGAGATGCTTCATATTGAGTGTGTTGCGTTTGAGGGACAAGAGACTGAGCAACAGTTGTCTCAGGCATTGGGAAGGGTAACGGTGTCTCCCAAAGGCCTTGCCGCGGTAGCTTCTCGAGAGTTGAAGCTTCGGCTGGTTCTGCCTGTTCTTTGCTTCTGCCAATGGACTGAAAGGATCTTATGGGGGTTGTAGGTTTTGTGAGGGTAGGACTTCCCATGGATCGGCGGGTAGCATGGCTTGGTATGGCGCTTTTGACGGCAACGCCGCCTATAGACTGCACCGATCTCATGTACATGATTGAAATTGAGCTGAGACACCCTTCAGGCTGACGAAGTGAGATAGCTCCGTTGTTCACTGGGTTCGAATATGCATTCCGAGCATAGGATGTTCGGAATGACTTGTCTTCGACAGGTGCACTGTAACTATCAGCAACATATACTTGGGGGAGTTGAGGCTCGACAAGACTATTTTCATTATGTTGGAGAGTTGTGTCGTCCATCGGTCTGGGAACGACTTACCCTGAACGAGCTCTGCTACTTGCTTTTGCACAAGAGACTTAGAAGGATGCAGAGTTGGACCTTGGTTTTAATATATGTGTGGGATGAGGAAGTGGAAGTGGAAGACGAAGAATCGAATTGGAGATGCTATTATATAGCAAATCGAAAGTACCAGTGAATACTTATTAAGGCTCCGGATCATCATTAGCGGACAGCCTTCAAGCATTCACAATATTTGTCAAAATCCCAACCACGAACGCTCTTGGTCCCAGAAACCCGGTCACTCCGTCGGTGAACTTAATCTGCCGTAGATCTTGTTGTACTGTTGGCTTGCTGCAGCACGTAATTGGTAGCATTGCTAGCCTGCATAGACCGAGGGGTAAGTAACACAAAGGGCTTTTCCAGTAACTTGGAAATGCATCCGATAGGCAAAACAATGACATAGCATATAAATCCTTGAGCTTAAGCTGCTCTCTCCCGAGACGTGTCGTCGGAACAGTCATGGTGGAAGATGAAAGCTGCAACACCGGCTTCAAGTTTTGATTGGCAGGGCTGTCAGTGTCATTGTAAACCGACGCCGAACGGAATAAGAAACTAAATCGTGAATAGAGGTCGGGTTATTTGATACTGAGGTACGGCTATAGTTCTCGTTTCCAGATGACTTGCTGAGCTGGTGTTAATCTGTAAGGAAAGCCTCAGTCTCATCTCGTCCCAGATCAGTGCGATTGGCCTACCGCGACAAGCGTAAATCATTACATAAAACATGAGGAGAATGCAGTAGTGTCATGGAAATATTGGGGAATGTAAGGCTGCGCTGATGAACCGAACTATCGGGTGGCCAGACTTAGGAGTGATCCATGAAAAAGTGTCTTTGGGGGCAACACACTCCCAGGGCCCAGCGGCTGCATCAGTTGCATATGTTGCTTGGCTCGTTGAGTGGATGCCGCGAAAAGTCCCCATGTCTGAGGGATTTCTCCAAGGATCAAAACACCATATCTAGCTCTTCCGAGGACAGTTAAAGGGCCTAATTGGAAGCTCATGATTTTTGCTAAAGACAGTTCTTAGCCTCATTTGGCCTGTACCTGCTGACAATATGGAATAAGATAGGGCTCCGTGGGGTGAAGAGGGGTGCGGGGATATCTAATACCCCGGACACAGAACAGGTTCAAAGACAAAAAAGCTCCTTCAGTAATGAAATCAATTTGCATTCTTGGCAAGACTGGAATATGCATTGGGGATGTGTCCACAGCCAAGGATAGGCATGGAACTAGCTAGGTTGAGGGACTTCGACGAGGAAGCAACCGCAGTCACAGAAGTAGTGCGCGCACCCATATATCAGCGAATTGGGTTCTCTGGCGACGAAAACTGGGAAGGGCACAATGAGAGAGGACGCTCAGGGCGGCCAATCTTAACCCTCTCCAACAGGAGGAGGCCATAGCCGAGCTGCAAGAGGACGAAGAGGACAGATCCAACGCGTAGAGTATGCGCAAAGAGAAAAGCACAACTGGACTGGTACGAGTGGCCACGCTGGTGGGCACTCAAATCAATCACGAACCAACATTCAAGCTCGCAGCAACCAACGAGACTTGTGCAAGGCAAACAACATGGAGGGAGCCACGGCTGTTGGCCGATGGGCAGCGGTTGGGGCCGCAAGAGAAAGAAGCTGTCTCGTCTCGAGTATACCAGATGCATCGCTCTGCGCAAAGATACTCGGATCCTCTGTCTGGAGGTTGAAGATATATAACCCAACAATTTGTTGTTTTGTCCTTTGTCTCTCAGGAACGGTCCGCACGGGACTTCTGTCCTCGCTTCGCCTGATTGGTCATCCGCGCATCCGAGCCTCCGCGAGTCATGTGACCTCGGAATCCGCTCGCTCGCTTTCCAAGCGGCTCGTCTTCGTGGATCAAATCTCCATTTCCCTCAAATACACAGACGCTTTCTCCATACCACTACTCGTCCTTCAACCTCCCATCTCCCCTCCATCAATTGCCAAGGCAATTGATTCTTCATCCTTCCCTTAATACATAGACTGCGGTCACCATGTTCAGAAACGCTCTCCGACAGTCCAGCCGGACAGTGGGCGCAATCTCTGCCTCTGGCAGAGTTGCCGCGGTACGTACCCTCACCTCCCCCGTCCGTCCTCGTCGAGCTCAGCTCCATTGAGGTCCTATCGATCAAAGCATCCTCGAGAAGCTCAATTGGCTCGCGGGAACGATGCAAGTCGATGGTTGAGAGCTTGTTTGGAAGCTTCAACAGCTCCTGTTCACGTTTTTCGGCTTTCGGCTAACTAACGTTTTCTTTACAGGGACGAACCGCAGCGCCAGCAGCCTTCAACGCTGCCACCAAGCAAATCCGAAGCTACGCCGCTGATGCAAAGGCATCGCCGACCGAAGTCTCCTCCATTCTCGAACAAAGAATCCGAGGTGTCGCGGAGGAATCCGGTCTCGCCGAGACTGGACGTGTTCTCTCCGTTGGGTACGTTCTCAACACCAATTGAGCCTCATCAACGGCAGCAAGGATATCATTGGGGCCCCGCTATCGATCCGAGTACTGACTGGAGGCAATTGCAGTGATGGTATCGCTCGTGTCCATGGCATGACCAACGTCCAGGCTGAGGAGCTCGTCGAGTAAGTTGTATACCTACGGATAGAAAACTTTTACCGGGACTCATCAATATACAGGTTCGCCTCAGGTGTCAAGGGAATGTGCATGAACCTTGAAGCTGGACAGGTCGGTGTTGTGCTTTTCGGTTCCGACCGTCTGGTCAAGGAAGGTGAGACCGTCAAGCGTACCGGAGAGATTGTGAGTGATACAGAGATATGGGCTGAAGGGCAATGCTTATTGAAAACTAGGTCGATATTCCTGTCGGTCTCGAGATGCTTGGCCGTGTCGTTGACGCCCTTGGAAATCCCATCGATGGTAAGGGACCCATTAAGACCACCGAGAAGCGTCGTGCCCAGTTGAAGGCCCCCGGTATCTTGCCCCGAAAGTCCGTCAACCAGCCAGTTCAGACTGGTCTCAAGTCCGTCGATGCCATGGTGCCCATCGGACGTGGTCAACGTGAGTTGATCATTGGTGACCGTCAAACCGGAAAGACTGCTGTTGCCCTCGATGCCATCCTGAACCAAAAGCGATGGAACAACGGAACCGACGAGTCCAAGAAGCTCTACTGTGTCTACGTTGCCGTCGGCCAAAAGCGATCCACCGTCGCTCAACTTGTCCAGACCCTCGAGGAGAACGACGCCATGAAGTACTCCATCGTCGTCGCCGCTACTGCCTCTGAAGCGGCACCTCTCCAATACCTGGCGCCCTTCGCTGGTGAGTTCTCCCTTTTTCACTTTTCCCCTTAATCCCATTTTCCCCTCGTCTCTTTTTTCATTTGTGGTACAACGTGCCAGCAAATGTGTAGCTACGCAAGGCGTGGGTGCACCTTCCCGATCATCTGAAACAAGGCGTGGGTATACCTTCCATGATGGCAACTGCCCTAGATGCTCTTGCGTTAGCAGAGGCAGAGGTTATAACCCCTGCTTGTCGTCTTCTGCTCTTCTCCTGGACAACTTCACGAGAACCTCCCCACCTCCTCATGGAGCACCCTTCAGTTGTGTCTCCTGTACTATAGTGTCTTTGATAACTACCCTGCCTGGAGTAATTGAGTGTGTCGGTAGCATATCTACACACCTCTTGTCAGACAGACTAGAGAGCGTCTAATCACCACTGGTGCTTCCTAGCAAGCATATCTCCAAGGTCGCTTCTCAGCACCTTTGAGACCATGCCAACGTCACACTTCATCGACTCATATATTCAACCGTCTTATTTCACTGTCTTTCATTTCGTCACCTTCAATTACCAACCCTCATTCAGCGACTACATTTGAATTTGCTAACATGTTTGATTTTTGAAAGGTACCTCCATGGGTGAGTGGTTCCGTGACAACGGCAAGCACGCCGTCATTGTCTTCGATGATCTCTCCAAGCAGGCTGTTGCCTACCGTCAAATGTCCCTTCTTCTCCGTCGTCCTCCCGGACGTGAGGCTTACCCCGGTGATGTCTTCTACCTCCACTCTCGTCTCCTCGAGCGTGCCGCCAAGATGAGCGACAAGCACGGTGGTGGTTCCTTGACTGCCCTTCCCATCATTGAGACCCAAGGTGGTGATGTGTCTGCCTATATCCCAACCAACGTTATTTCCATTACCGATGGACAAATCTTCTTGGAAGCCGAACTTTTCTACAAGGGTGTCCGACCAGCCATTAACGTCGGTCTTTCCGTGTCCCGTGTCGGTTCAGCTGCCCAACTTAAGGCCATGAAGCAAGTCGCTGGTTCCCTCAAGCTCTTCTTGGCCCAATACCGTGAAGTTGCTGCTTTCGCCCAATTCGGTTCCGATTTGGATGCTGCCACCAAGCAGACCCTCAACCGTGGTGAACGTGTAAGTTGCTAATTATACCCAGCATATTGAATCATCAAGGCAATGCTAATAAACATCTCCCTTCCAGTTGACCGAGCTCCTTAAGCAAAAGCAATACTCTCCTATGGCCGTCAACGAGATGGTTCCCCTTATCTACGCTGGTGTCAACGGTTTCCTCGACTCTGTCCCCGTCAACAAGATCCTCACCTGGGAGGCTGACTTCCTTGCACACCTGAAGACCAACGAGTCTGAGCTGCTGGCAACGATTGACAAGGAGGGTGCGTTGAGCAAGGAGCTCGAGGCGAAGTTGAAGGATGTTATTACCACTTTCACCAAGAGCTTCTCCGGTTAAATAATGCTACTCATTCCCAGTCTCCTTTGTTCTTAGCATATTATTCGGGAGAAGATGGCTGTATTGAGGAAATGTGGAAGTGGAGCTGGTGATGGATGGAAGGTTGGTTGATAGCTAAGCGGAGTGTAAAATAGATCGACGATTCTTCCTGTGTTTCTGAAATTTTCTTGTGTCCCCCTTAACTAATAACTGGTCCCATTGTAAATGTGAAAGATGTGCCGATGACAATATCAATACCCAATGATTATGCGGATGTAGGAGGGACGCTGATGGATATATTCTCCATTCCGCTTCTGCAGGGGGAAGATTTGACGCAAGTGCCTAAGGTAAGGTAGGTAGGTAGGTAGGTATGTATGTATTACCCCTATTCCATACATACATAGCCCAGTTTGGAAGGAAAGAGCGGGGGAGAGACTCTAATATCAGATCATCAAATCATATCATATTCTGGTTAGATTTCCGAACAAGAAGGCGATGTACCTACCTACCTACCTATATTCACAAATCAGAGCACGAGGAGGAATATAATCTTAGAAGAAGCTTTTTTTGTTTTCTTTTCTTTATGATTGATTATACACAGAACAGCAGCATAACACAAGCAATTAAGCCCGCACCAGGTTGGTTGACAAGCTGTCCAGAGATCCCGAAGGTTTGATAGCAGGTAGCTATCTTAGGTAACAAGAGAAGGAAGGGCAGGTCTGTGAGTGACGAGAGTAGAGTACTGCTATCCAACCTATTTTTTCCCCATGGGGGGAAGGTCGAGGTTGCTTGTGCGTGTCTGTGTAAAAAAGCTAGACTGGCTGTATTATGAGAAGAAGAATAGAGCACAGCTAGCAAGCAAACATCTCGTCTTCCATGCAGTTGGAGATTGAGGATCGAGGATTGCTGATTCGCTGTGGGAGTGACCCGACGTATGGTAGGGTGGTGGTATGCAGTTAGTACAAAGCGAGAATAGGTAAAGAGCAGAGAATAGCTTAACAAGCATCTTCATCTTCCATATAATTGGAAGTTGAAGATCGCCGGTTTGCTGCAAGGTATTAATTATTAGCGTAGAGTAGGTGGTATGCGGTTGTAAGTAGGAAACAGAACACCGAGGTAGGAAAAGAAAAGAGAAAAGTAATCGAAAGTTACTGAGTAACTGGCGTGCGCTGAATGCCAAGACGTAAGAAGAGGACGAGTATGTTCTTAATGCTGCTGCGTCTGACGATATCTAGCGATGTTGAGAGCGTACTGCTGTCTCTCATATTCGCGTTGACGCGAGAGACGGTCACCGGAAGAGCTTCCTCCAACCTCAACGGCTTCGTTGGCTGGGTATGGATTTAGCATGGGTTCTGTGCGGGATCGTCTTGGCAGTGGCCTCAAAGGGCTCTCAGGGTCTGTCCAGAGGAGCTTCTTCACCAGATTCCCGACATCTATGAGTTGTTGAAGTTTAGCGCTATTGCCCGGAGATGTATCATCGGCGAGCTTTGATTTCTTGAACGCGCCCATGATGATTCCGCTGGTTCGAAGTCTTCGGATACCTCCCTGCGTTGGGATGGCAATGAGGCAGCCTGACTGATATTCGCTCGGCTGATTATTCGATTGACGGGGTGCCTCCCAGTAATAAAAGCCTCTGCAGCGCAGGGTATCAATGTGAAGTTGTGGACTGAAATCGAGGGGCCGCTTCATGCCATATGCAGCCATGATTCGCATATCTAAGACACCTGGTGAGAAGAGCTGTGATTCCTCTATAGTCTTGCGTGAGGGATTAAGCTCGACAGCGTATAGGAGATCATAACCAAGGGATTGTGCGGCCTGGGCGCAAGCCAGCGCAGCCTGAGCCATGGGGTCGTGGGTAGGTGCTAGCTGATTGATAGCGGGTGGGTTATCGTCATCTTCATAGATGGTATCGGTGATCGCTGCGGGACTGGATAGTCGCGGGGGGCGCGTAAGGAATGGAGGGCGCGGAGGAATCGGAGGAGGTGAGCCAAGAGGAGCCATACTTGTCATCGTGGTGCTGTGTGATAAGTAGCCGGTGTATGGATTCTTAGAAGCCAAGGAAATGCCATCACCTGCTGACAAATTATCGTCTGCGTCTTCGGACACATCTCTATCAGACATCGAGAGAAAGTGCTCCACGGTAAGCTCTATTGGTTTCAATGTAGGTCTTCCCATCCTTGAATGAACGGGGGTGTTGGCAGGGTGTGGGTTGAGTGAAGACATGTCCGAGGAAGAGAATGGTCGCGGAGAAGGCATATCAAAGTCCCTGTGTTCTGGGGTGGCCATCCTAGGGGAGGAGAGAATGCCATTCACACTCGAGTCAGAAGGCGTCTGGTTGCGATATCCCGCAAAGGTTTGAGGAGAACCAGCGGATCCGGCAGAGGAAGAGGGTTTTCGTTGAGATGGTGTCTCCAGAATTGTCCGGCTGTTGGCGGATATGCCCAATTTGCTAGATACCTGCGTCTTCGGTTTACTAACGCGGAGGGCCGGTGGAACAAGGGCTGGATCATGTTCCTCATCCTGTTCAGACCTAATGAAGGTGATCTGATGGCGGTCCCCATTGATCACTGAATTTCTTTGCAGAATCGGGGTTGATCGCGCAGCAGGTCTCTCTAACTTATCGAGCTCGTTCTTCAAATCTCCCATGACGATTGTAGCATATTCTGCAAGTCTTCGTCGTTCAAATGGGCCGAAGGACCGGCGGCGATACTTGGAATGAATTGACAAGACCCCAATGATATGCCCATCTTCTGCAAGCAATGGTGCGCCAGCAAAGAATCTGATCTTGGACTCCCCAGTCACGAGAGGGTTTTTGTGAAAACGCCAGTCCTATTATTGAGTTAGTTTGCAAGAGGTACACAATCATGATTAGAACAGACCTTTTTGGTATCCAGAACCACGAAGACTTCAGTCGAGAGCAGGGCATGAGCAGCAATACTTGTAGACCGGGGGATCAGGTCAGTATTGTACCCACGCTCGGCTTTGATAACCTCCTCTCTATTGCTAAAGGAGCTGGCAGCACAGCCACCTGATTTGAAATTTCTCATAATTTCTGGGAGAAGCTCGCGAATTCTATTTGAATCCCAGGCGGCCATTGCTTTAATAAAAGGCTGGCTCGAGGTCAATCGTTGTGCCTCAGAGATAGGGAAAATGGATGGAAGAAACTCAAGTTTTGGGCTACGAGGTGGTGGTCGAGGCGGGTTAATGAGATTGTAATTTCCCTAGGATTGTCAGCCAGGGTCTCATAAAGTAGGAGAAGGATGAGCTATGAGAAGCAAGTAATAGAAGACAGATCGCTGAGGTGCACACTTACCTTTGAGTAGCACTCCATGTACTTCTTCCACTTGGGCATAGCATCATGATCGCGAGCAGCAGTTAGTGCAATGAAGTCGCGCTGCTGAGCTAATTGTATGTTGGCTATTTCCTCAGTGATCATCTCCATAGATTTCTTAGCCTTCTCATTCGATGTAACACGGCTTGGTGCCTCTTGTGATCTTTCCTCGCCTCTGTCCACCATGATCGAACATGCAGGACTGCCAATTTGTGATGAGTCTGGAGTAGCTTGGTGGAAGACTGGTGCTGGTTCAGAGCGAGCTTGGAGTTTGTGATTTAAGGGTCGGATAAAAGGGCATGGAACCAGCAAGCCGGCTGGAAGCCCCTCCAGATTTGGTTCCAGGGTAGGCAGACTCAGTGAATCCGGACCTGTATCATTTTCTCCTTCAGCTTCTCTATGGCGGTGTACTGCCGCTGGATATTGCCTATTGAAAAGTCTGTTCATTATGTCAGGGACTCTTAACTTCTTGAGTGATATTGAGTCTGAAGACTCCTTAGTGGACGATTCCACGGGTGGTGCACCTGCACCTGCAGTCTTGACAGCTGCTAGGTTGGATGCTAGGATAGAATGACCCTTCAGTTTTGAATCAGTAAAACCAAGGGGAGATGCTTCTGCTGTATTTTGGGGTGCTGCTAGAGGTGGAACAATGGTCGAAGGCCTCTTCAATGCTGAATCAGAATCCCCATCAATGGGCAGGCTCTTCTTTGTCTCAGCGTGCGTATGTAGGGAAGACTTCAATGTGAGACCAAACTGCTCATGAGATGAAGGGCCTGTCTTAGTCTTGACACCTTCACAAGTTGGAGAAGGTTTGGATAGTAGGACAAAGTCTTGTGGAGGTAACGAGAGAGGACGTTCACCAGATGGGAAAATTCTCTGTGATTTAGCGCGTCGAAAAGGTGGAATATTCAATATTGAACCAGAGCGTTCGATAAAGGATGTGAGTCTGTGAGACTTGGCACGTGCTAGGTTTGGAACCCCCTTCGGTAGTGAATTAGAGCGTTCATAGGATGGTAGGCCATTGCTAAGTCTGGTGGGTTGTAGAAGCCAAGACCTACGGCGTTCACGTGCCATCGTAGGTGTATGGTTGAGCACCCTGTCAAACATTCCTAGAAAGTGAGGTAGTTCTTTTCATTCATCAGTACATGATCCAATCTCATAACGTGACAGTCGCCTAATATGGAGGTTGCTCGCTTAAAACAGGGGGTAAGAGAACCTACATCAAGAAAAGAGAGGTCAAGTCTCAGAATATTCTAAACCAGTATGCTGTCTGTATCGTATCGAGTAAATGTAGAGACCATATGGAATTCGGATAAGACAGTAGGCTGCTTAGCATATTAGCAAACATGTACTTTGCATAATTCAGTAGGAGTGCTGTTTTCGGACTTCCGACAGTAAGAGATAGCTTCACATCCAACAAAAGATGCCACTTCCTAGGAGTGTCTCATGTGATTATCAGTAGATGCAATAGCTCTGAGAGGGTTGTGCAAGTTTGGCAGAAGAAGTTTCCAGGGCAGATGTTTGCATGACAACAAAGAGACAAGACTCACTGGTCGGCTGTGTTCAGTGACTCTGCAGGAGTTCATCAGACAATCTCTGATGTGAAACATGAAATGTTCTCTGAAGTTGGCGCAGTAACAGGATGTATGGTGGGAGATAAACAACAGTGCCTGTTTCCAAAGATTAGTTGCTGTTGAAAATCAGGTGCTAGAGATGAGGAGAATTGTAATCTTCTATCTGTATTGAACAGAGAAGGTACTGGTGATGAGACAGTGCTTGTTGCTGAAGGAACTCTCCAGTGTATGCCTCCGTAGATCTAGGAAGAAGGATCTTCTAGGCTGAGTGGATGAACTTGCCTGGGAATTCTGACTGACCAAGCAGAGATGAAGAAGTCGGTGAAAGTTCAGCCTTTGCACTATGAATAACTCCTGAGATCTAGATCACAGAGATCAGTTGATTGTCTTCAGTTTGTTGTTAGAGGTTAGAGAAACAAGTGTGGTTGTTTCTCAAAGCATGTTGTGTGTAGGCAGGAGTGGAGGGAGAATGGGAGGAGGAAGCAGAAAAGCGACAACAGACTTACTTTTGTTGTGAATGAGGGCTTCCACACGGTTATGGGGAGCGTTAGAGGACAAGGACAAACTTGGCTCCTTGCCTTGATCTTTGAAAGTTGAAGTCACAGGATGGATGAGATGTAAACACACTTCAGATCTTGTTGGATTGGAAATGGCGTTGGCCCCGAAGGTAAGGCTTCTCTAGGGCATCGAGAATTAGGGCAATCGGGTGCCTAAGGTTTCTGGGAGCAGACAAAATGTAGCTTGGTACGAAAGAGATACAGACTTCCAGTTTGCACCGTGCGACGTGGTTCGAAGCAGTTTGGGATGTCGAGTTTCCGGGGGAATAACGAGGGGTAGTGAGTCGTGGGAACGACAAGATGTTGGTGACGCCTCACATAGCACTAGAGATGTGAAAGTCTATGAAGATGAAAGGAAGCAGAGGAAAGGAGAAGACAGGCTGCTTAATCAGTCCAGGGGGGAGAACTGTAATGCTGGAGAGTCTTGAATTACAACGGTGGACGATATGCCTGCGCTACGAGCATCTTTCAGATAATGGAGCTTTTTAAGCTACAGATTCTGCCACATGCGAAGGGCAAGCACCGCAAGGGGTCCTCATGAAATTGCCGCAGTGTATCGAGATGATATATAGGGTACCGTGAAGGAGAGCACTTGTCATAGAGGGTAAGTCGCAAACCAATGGGAGTATCTCATGATCCCTGGGTATAGTGAGGCAGCCGAAGAGACCGTGGTTGATGTTTCTGGCCCGTGGCTGAGAAAATGCCGTGAAGGGTAAAGAGGACTTGGGGATCCTCGATGTATGGCAGGATGGGTGGTGGCAAAGGCCCCTTCTTGACCAAAGTCTATATTTGCGGTGACGACAAAATAGACATGATCATCATCATCGACATCGAGATCAACATTGACATCGACAGCAGCAGCAGCAGCAATACCAGGCCTTTGATCGTATCGTACAAGACGAGACCGAACAGAGGGATCTGCTACCCCGAGAAGAGTCTCCCAGGACTTCGTATAGACTACCTACATATACATATACATACCTAGTATATATACATATACATATCAGGTATACACATACCGAGGTAGGTACATATATAATTGCTTTCCACTCGCACTTGCATCTGCTCGGCACATTTCAAACTTTGCCTGCCTGAGACGATATGAACAGAGGACCATCCTCACTCGCCTGACATGAGAGGTTCACCATCTTTTCAAATGCAGCGGTTCAAAAATCCCCTAAAGAAATCTCAAATAAGGAGATAGAAAATAGGTAGACAGCTGAAGAACTCCCTTGCTCACCAGGTCCCTGCATCTTCAGTTGTTCCATTGTTCGCTGTCTCGGGCTTGAAATCTTGATCATGCAATCGTAGAGAACTGTTGGAATTCGGAGGATTGGGAATTGGTGATTGACGCTGCTGTGCTCCTTTTTTTGAAGTCTTGAAGTCGCCAGGTGAGATACATGGTTGATGAGGTGAGGTCTGAACTGTGGAGATGCGGCACTCGGGGACCGGCCAATAATCTGGCGTTTGTCGATATGTGCATAAGGCTGCACGCACCCATGCAACCACGGCAAAATTCCGTACAATCTAAAGATTCCCTGGGGTTTTGGCTTTTGTTACTCTTTATTCGTCTCTAGTTTTGTTTCCTCTTTTTCCAGAAAGCTTCGGTTACCTTATTATTGGGGGGGTGTTCTTTTATTTTGCCTGTATATTCTTTTCATAAATCCCTTCTACGCATGCTGTCAAGGCTCGGCAAGAACACCATGATTGTAAGGGGTCAGATGGATTTGATCTCTTGAGTGTATATGAAATCCTTAGGTTCGTAAGGATCGGATACCAGGTCTCCACGTAGTTTCCGGCTATTTACACTTGGTCTAGGTACATCGAAGACGGATCTAGAGATAGTGATTCCAATTGCAGCCGAGTCTAGCGGTCTAAAGAGTTCGTCACCAGTTCTTTGACAACGGACAGTCTGGCCGTTCCGCATTATCTCCTTCCCTCTGTTCTCAGAGACGCCATCGCTTTTAATCAAACAGCAGCGTGCTAAATCCCCTCAGCCTCCAGCAACCTCCTCAGGCCCGTAATCCATAAAGCCAGCGTTTGGAGATTGCCTGTCAAGCAAGTACTTGAATCTTTCCCTCTCGCCCTTCAGAAACTCTGGGATATCCTCATTCCCTTCGATTGTTTCATAAAGCTCCCCCTCCCTATCCCACAAATCTAAGCCCTTCCGGACTCTGTCCACGATACGCGTACGATTCCTAAAGTGTTCCTGGTTCAGACTTACATGTGAGAAGCTCTTCATCTTGGTCAGCATGTCCTCGATCGTCGCAAAGCAGGAGCTGCAATGCCATCCAGCATTCCACAGATCAGCCTTGTTCCACCAGGCCACGAGTCTGTTCCCACCCTCTCCATTGCGAAGGTTTGCGGGGCGGATCGTGTTAGATCTGCCTTGGAACGTGGTCGCCTGCGGGTGTTCCCATTCCGGCCCTTTATGTAAGAACTGGAACCCGTAATAATAGAAGCGACTCCTCAATGTCAGTCTCTGATGGAAGTCGCAATTCCTCAAGATCTGCAGCGTTGCAGGGCGGATGATCTCGTCGACGTCGGAAACAATAATCACATCGCCAATCCTCGCCTCCTGCTCGCCTTCTAAGCCCGGTATGACCTGGTCGAACATAGCATTCCGTTGATGATCCTCCAAATCCCACGTCCGAGCAGCATTTAGGGGTGGATTCTGCACGACTCTGTATATGATTTGCTTATGGAAACCAGCAAAGCGATCCCAGTTCAATTTCAGCGTGAGGTTCTTCTCCAGCCCCGTGAACGTGACCGCAGACTCGAGAACCACGAAGTAATCCACGTGCGCCGCCATGGTATTGAGCCGGATCTCCAACCAGTCCATCTCGTTATTCACCATGAATAGATCATAGACCTTGCGACGCCGCTTGCCATCCTGCGCGTGGAATACGCCCCAGCGATGTGCGCGGCATAACTGTTCTGCCTCCCGCAAGGGAAGGAGGCGCGAAGTTCCTTCCGGGCCGGCTCTGTGCGAGGCTTCGAAAGCGATGTCGTGCGCAGTTATCTCGTGCGCGCGCGGTGAGAAGGGGTGTTTCTGCTGGGAATAGATGGCAAGGGCCCAGAAGCAGAACAGAGCGCAGAGGATCTGGCGCCAGCGGCGTCGAGAGGCATAGAGCAGCAGCGCCCACATGCGGCGCTCGCGGATTCCGAGGCGCTGCAGCATTGCGGATTCACCGCTTTTGCTTGTTACTTCATGGGAGAAGAATGCGTGTTCGATTGCGAAGCAGGTTTGATTTGGCCAGACGGGAGACCAGTCGAGTTGAGCCTTGTCGTTTCTCGGCAACTTTTATGCAAGGCTGGGATTTACTCCGTAGCGCGTCTCCAGACAGGGCTCCTGGTTAGAGATCCTGTGCACTTACTTCTCTCTACAGACGTTGTGGGATTGCATTGCCATGTCTTCGTTTTTTTCATATGGATAGGCAATGGAGAAAAGATACAAAGAGGTCTATTGCAAGAGGACTTCCCACAGGCAATCTACTGAACGCAAAGCAGCAACCCTCAATAAAGCACCCGCTTAACATTAACGGAGAAGGAAATAAGCCGAGCCTGCTACTTGCAGTATCAGAACTGTCGAAACAACCACTTGGCTTTCTCTCAAGCTGCAAGCATAGCATAGAGAGCCTCACTGGCACTTGCAAGGGGCTCAACTGTTGATTGGCGGCGGAGTTAAAAGGGGGGCGATGGTGTTTTGGCTCCGCTCTCGGCTAACAACGTCATGTTACGCTCGAAGGCCGAGCAATCGAAATTTATACTGGACCTGAAGACAAGAGGCGAACACTTCCTCCCTTATATATCCTACTCATATATACCTCCAAGAACACAATCTCTACGGTGCGGATCCTGCTCTTCGACCACTCTCTGCGAGCTCAATCATCGTAGCCGGGTTCTCCGCTAGGCCTACCTCTCCAGTATGCGCTCCTCCATCTCATCCCGGAGTCAACAGCTCTACCGCGCCTGCAGACCCTCTTGCACCGCTCGAAGTCTCCTCCCCAGCGCCTCCAAAGCCACGTCCTCCTTTGCTCCAACCTTCCAGACCACCCCTTCTCCAAGATGGACATCTCCCAGCTCACCATCACCATCACGATCACCATCGCGGACCTACTCTTCCTCCGCTCCTAACCCCGCCCCCGCGCCTCCTCAAACACACTACGAATTCTTCCCCAAGACGCTCTCCGCCGGGCCACCTCCCTCGGGCACCTTCCGCATCGACGTGCGGAAGCTGCGCCAGGAGTTCCTCCAGCTGCAGGCCGTGGCGCACCCCGACCGACACCCGGCAGAGTTGAAGACGCGGGCCGAGGCAACGTCGGCGCGCATCAACGAGGCGTACAAGACGCTGCAGGATCCGCTGCTGCGGGCGCAGTACCTGCTGCGGCTGCGCGGCGTCGACGTGGCCGAGGACGAGACGGCCAAGGTCGACGATCCGGAGCTGTTGATGGAGGTGCTGGACACGCGAGAGGAGATCGAGAATGCGCAGGAGGAGGAGGAATTGGTGGAGTTGAAGAGGGTCAACGAGGAGAGGATTGCAGCAAGTGAGGAGGTGCTGGAGAAGGCGTTTAAGGAGGATGATATTGAGACGGCGCGGAGAGAGGCGGTTAAGCTGAGGTATTGGGTTAATATCAAGGAGAGCTTGGATAGTTGGGAGAAGGGGAAGCCGGTTGTTCTTGTTCATTAGGGTGTTGGATAGACGGCGATGTGTATAATATGCATGGTTCACGGTGTTGAGGTTCAAACGATTCTGGGCCGTTGGGAAGCTAGACTATGGTCATATTTTCGCAACTTATTCTATACCCGTATAGATATTACTCGATGTAAGAGCCTCTTTTAGACGGAAGAGAAATAACAACTCTAGAAAATCGACGCGCCCTGGGGTATTCTCTTCTGCAAACCGAACTCCTAACCCCCCTCATAGCCATGATCCAAGTTCATATCACCGAAGTCTATGGATTCGGATTGTCATATGCCGCATTCTCTAGTTCCGTAGGTCAACGATTGTGAGCCATGGCATTCGCACCTATGGATGGATGATTAGATGTCATGTTGGCTGAAGGAGTCGTCATTAGGTTATTGGGCATCTCCTCTCCGAGAACTTCTGCTGCAGAAGCATATGGACTTTTGCAAGTCTCGTCCGAAGCCGAGGGTAATGGATAAGTAGCCGCCGCCCCTGACGCCTCCCCAGCTATCACGCAGCCCTCGTTGGTAGTGAATAGTTTCGACTTCTTGTACAGCTTATTCGAGATCTTATGCGGGATCGCATTCCTCCTCAACATTCTCGAGATCGTTGCTTGGCACAGCCGCACCCCATACTCGTCGAAGAGACAATCACGGATGGCACTCTGATCCAGTCCCGGTCTTCGCGCAAGAAGGCCCTTGATGGATTCTGCCATCTTATCGCGGTCCGCTAGTGGCTTCCGCCCGGGTTTCTTTCGGTCGTCGACGCCGGTCCGCTGGTGCTTCTCTATGCGTCTGCGGATGTAGCATACAGATTGGTAGGTGCAGTTGAATCTGGCTGCTATGGCATGCAGATCCGGAGGCTGGCCTGATTTCTGGGCGTTGGTTATTGCCAGTTCGATCGCCGCTACGACCTCTTTCTCGAGAGTCTTTGCCATGTCCTAATAACCATCGTTAGGAGACCAACTGTGTCGATCCTGTTGTGAACTTGTGACTTACCTACTCGACCAGCGACAAATATGTCGGTCAAGGGCCACGAGGCTGAAGGGTTAAAAGGTGATTGAGAATGCGCCGGGGTCTTGGAAGACAGGGCCCGAGACAGGGGTCGGAAGCCCCAATGACGATGGATCGATAAATCGCATTTGTAGATATCTTGTTTAGCCTCAAAGAGACTTTAAGAACACAACGCAGCCATCCCCTGTACCAGACATTTGATCAAAAGCTACCATATCATTCTATCATCAACCGCACAATGGCAGTCGAGGCCTCATAAACCTCGTCTATCTTATTCCCGCGAGCCTTCGGGCTTCGCACGCTCCTCAGTTCGCCTCAGCGTTTGGGATCCGGGCATATGGCTTCCCCTTTCCAAGGACTTGCTCGTGCGGCAAACAGATCGAGCTCTTTGCACATGAGTGTCGTTAAGGAGGGTGGTAGGACAGTCGTTTTACCCTGTTTCCGTCGACAATTTGCAGTCGCCTCCCGCAAAACCTTGATCGCCTCTTATCAACAAACCTCCTCCTTTCAGCCCTCGAATCGACGGGCCTTTCACACCTCACCAACTTCATATTCAAGCCCCAAATTTAGCTATGGCATTGCGGCCTCCTTTACTGCAAAGGACCGCCGCTATAACCCCGACAAGAATATCTTCAACTTCAACCCCTACAACCACATCCGCGCGCGGCGGAAAGACAAGAGGACCCGGCCCGATAGCGGACAGGATGCTTTCTTTGTGAGCCGAGTTGGAGAGAGCAATGATGTTGCCTTTGGAGTCGCAGATGGTGTTGGGGGCTGGATGGATTCCGGCGTGGATCCCGCGGATTTCTCCCACGGCTTCTGCGATTACATGGCCCATGCCGCCTACACATACCAGCCAGCGGGCAAGACCCCTCCATACACTGCACGCAGCTTAATGCAGCGTGGCTACGACGATATATGCGAAGATAAGACGGTCCGCGCAGGTGGAAGCACAGCCTGCGTTGCCATTGCCAAGGGGGATGGAACGCTGGATGTTGCAAATCTGGGAGATTCGGGCTTTGTGCAGCTGAGGTTGAACGCCATACACTATCACTCGGAGCCGCAAACCCACGCTTTCAACACCCCCTATCAGCTAGCAATAGTCCCGCGCAAGGTGCGGGCTCAAGCCGCTGCATTTGGAGGATACCAGATCTGCGACTTCCCCAAAGATGCGAACGTTACAGAGCATTCATTACGGCACGGCGACGTCCTTGTTTTCGCCAGCGACGGCGTCTGGGACAATCTCTCCAGCCAGGATATCCTCCGCATCGTATCCCGGATGATGGTCGGGGCTCGAGCCTGGGAGCACACGGCCGACGGGATCCAGGTCTCCAACAACCTCCAGCACTTCACGCACTTCACCGACGCCGAGGATGGCAAGAATAGCTCCGAGGACATCCCTAGCCTGCAGAGCTTCCTCGCCGTCGGCATCACGAGCGAGGCGAAAGCGGCGAGCGTCAACACCAAGGTCGACGGCCCGTTCGCGCGGGAAGTGCAGAAGCACTATCCCTTTGAGTACTGGCGGGGCGGCAAGGTCGACGATATCTGCGTCGTGGTCGCTATCGTCGTAGAGGAAGGGAAGTAAGTGAGCGTGGGCCTATAGATTTTCGTATAAGTACACTATCTAGGCGTTGTATCTATGTGTGTATGTATGTATGTATATGGCTGCATTTTCATAGTCCAGCCGGCTTTCAATTTCCTGATTTGTATATGATGATGGTCCGTTCGTCTATGCTATCCATCATAAGGCATATGATATATGAGTAATGGAAGAAGAGAAGAGAGAAGAGAAGAGAAGAGAATGCGAATCAAAAATCAAAAATCAAAATATCTACCTTACCTTGCCTGGGATATGTGAGAGCTCTCTCCATCAAGATATCGAATCTAACCTAACTCATCCCCTCCCCCCCTTTTCCCCCAAAAAGAATCTAACCTCTCTACATCTGCACAGGATACAATACAATACAATACAATACAATACAATACAATACAATACAATACAGTACGTCTTTATGTATTTATTTTCTCACCATGAATTTCCCTACGTTATTCGGTTCTCGAATCGGTATCTGAGTGTCTGCTACCTATGCATTCATGTTTATACAGTACCCAAGGTAGGTAGCTACCTAGCTGCCTACCCAATATCAAGAACTCTTATACCATACCTACCTACCTAGCAGCCCCCCCCATTTTTTCTCCTCCTCCTTCCTTATCCAGACATTAGAAGATGGGTTTCAAAACAAATCAAATCAGTCAATTGATCAATCAATCAGTTAACAAGATAAATTACATATACATATATATATATATATATATACACGTCTCGTACTAGTTGATTCGTTTTTTCGACTGCTATTGTGAATCTGTAAAATATGAATAGGCCAATTGTCGAGCCTAGATCCTAAACCCCAGCCCATTCCCTTGGCAATACCTAAGCATGCCATTCCGTGTGATCATACATACAATCGAGTTGTTTTTTGTACTTTCGCTACATGATAAGAGAGACTTAGATGGGTAGAGGGAATCATCACCTGGATGATGTTATTTATTATCATGAGAGAGAGAGAGCATCTTGTTCTCTGAGACCTTGGGTAGGTAGGTACGAAACATGTTCAGAGCCCTTGCGCATCATTTCTTCCCCATAACTTCACCGTGCGATCGTAGCCACCACTTACGATCCACTTGCCGTCCCGGGTGTTATCGACACTATGGACATTTCCCGTGTGTCCGCTTAGGGACTGGATCAGGGACCAGTCATCCGCCGAGAAGATATTGATGTTTTTGTCAAAACCACTCGAGATGAAGAACGTTCCTGATTTCTTGGGTAACCACTCGCCCTTCTCGTTTACTTGGGGCTCGACGCCCTGGGCTGGATCATCCATTCCTTTGTACCATCGCAGATCAGAGACTACACTCTTGTGAGCACCAATTCCACCGGCCCCTGAAACCTTCCGGATATCCCAGCACTTGATCCAGCCATCTCCCGATCCGGAGAGGACACGGTGACCGTCGACGCCCCAGTCTAATGCATAGATGGGCCGGATGTGGCCTTCGAGGATCATGACTGTTCGTCCCGTTCGAAGGTCCCAGATTCGACCGATGCTGTCCATTCCTGCGCTGGCTAAGAGTGATCCATCTGTGTTGAAGCTGAGAGCAAAGACGCCTCGAGAGTGCCCTTCTTGGAGTAATAATTCGGTGGTGGTATTGACGTCCCATAACCTCCACGTAGTATCCTCGGATGCCGATGCGAGATATTTGCCTGAAGGATGGAACTCGACCCGGCAGACCCGCTGATTATGACCAGACAATGTCGAAAGAGGTGTATCTTGGTTGAGAGACCAGAGATGAACATTTCCCTCCGCACCACCGGATGCTAGGTTAACAGAATCAGACGATACCGTCGTGCCTGGTAGAGTAGCTTCCGGAAACCACGAAATACCACCTATCCGGTCTGTGTGTCCACGCAGAGTCCTCTTCTTCTCCAAATTCGGGACATCCAGCAGATTGATACCACCTGCCCAGTTGCCAGCAGCAATGATCTCCCCGTTCGGCGAGAATCGCGTCATGCTGATAGGTCTCTCACCCGCCGTCTGACTTCCTTGCAGCTCAAACCCTTGCAAACGTTCCTTAATGCCCTTCCTGAATTTGACGTGCGTCCTCAACGGAATCGTAGCCTCGATCTTCTGACTTGCGACTCTCCGCTTCGCCTTCGGCAACGAATACCGCGCAATATCCCTCCTAGCCTCAACTAACTCTGGAATACCCTTCGTATAGAATTCCTCTTCCTGTTCCTGCTCGTTCTCCTCTGCCTCGTCCATCATCCGCGTGTCCCCTTCCTCATCTTGCACCGCATCGATCTCCGCTTGGATCGAAAGCAGCTCCCGTAAACGATCCCTGCGATCGCCTGGCCCTTCTCCAAACAGAGTAACGGGCTCCCCCATCTCTCGCAGCCGGGCGCGGACTCGTCCATCGTCGGTCGGTACTGCGATAGCAGCCGCTCGTCTCTTCCTCTCGAATTGCGAAAGGATGGCGGAAGCGCGCTCGGGGGCAATGCCCGCCGTCGCTGAGGGCATATCATAATCGCGATCGAGGGCTGAGGCTCAAACGTTAGGGCGCCGCGATCGTTGACAGACGGAAGCTTAGAAGGTTTACTTACGGACATTTGCCAAATCGATTCCTCTGTCCTGAAAGTTATACCAGATCCATCAGCTGCTAGATTCCTATTCGCCATTCCCCAGATTCATATCCCGCCGTCCCTCTGGATCCATATGAATACTGTGTATGAACTTGGGGAACGTGTGCTGGTGGTGGGGAATCAGGCTTACCTCGGGCTCTGCCTCCTCCACGTACGCTTGCCGTGAGGGATGCATAGTTCTGTTGGTGTTTGGATATTTAGTTGCGGGTCGTGGATTAGGTGAAACTGATGCTAAGCTAAAAGAGACGACAGATTCTCAAAGATAGAAACGTAGAGTTCACATAGAATATCTGGAGAAGATAAAAAGTTCAATTCATATCGAAGGTCAGCCTTGCCGGTTCGAACCCAATAAACGCTAGTCATATTATGGTTAGCGAATCCCCAGAAGAAGAGGAATCAGGCAGAATCCATATGCAACAATGTTTACAATCTGATACAAGGGTACAAGACATTCTTCAACTTTATTAGGTAGTTTAGAGTTTGTGAATTCGTCTCTGTATACAATTTGATTCTATAAGAGAGTCCGTTTTCGAGGCCCCATTGCATTCATCACAAGTCATGATGTTTTGACGGCTGAATCGTCATTACCTGGACCCAAGTCTTCATCCTCGTACAATATCAGTTCGGGAATATCGTGAATACATATTCATTGAAATCCAGACTGTATGTATGCACACTCGATAGAATGTACCGCCATGATCCACAGGTTCTCATCCTCACGCGCTATGTTCGTTCCACCCCGAACTCCAGTTTCGTAAGTAATCAGCAAAGGTATATCGCATCGCAAACTCCGACCCCCTAACCTCAATATTTTCAAAGAAACCAAGCCCTAATTGCTTTTCTCGGGCGCCTCTATCATGAATACAATGGGAATAGGACCATCATCGCCTTCGTCGTCTATTCCTGATACACTTTCACCGAGTTGATCAACCAGTAGGCGCCCGTGAACGCTGCTGGGTTTTGAGCAACATAGGCATTGCAGGTGGGAGCCTTGGAAGCGCAAGGGCTGCTGGACCAGACATTTCCTGCCCACTTCAGTTTCGATCAGTCAGCATAGTTTCCACAATCAGGTGTTTAAGAGAAGAAGTTTTCTTTGTTGGGGGGGGGGAAGGGAGTTAAACTTACTTGTCCACAGAAGGTGATGTCAAAGACGATGGCATGTTGGCCAAAATGGGAGTCGATGTCGCAACCACTTCCACTGAAGCTAGCCATTGGCATTCCCCAACGGGTTGGATCTGGGTGACCGGCTGTGATGTCTGCGGGGATCGAGTATCGGGGGAAGAAGTAGACCTTGATCGCTGAGGATGTCCACTCCATGGCATATATTCCGCCACCTATAGCATTAAAACCAGTGCCGAAGGCCTCCGTATTTGCGGTTGAGAAACTACATCCGTCATTTCCGTTCCCGGTGTTGCAGTTTGTATTCGAGAGGTTCGAAGTGGGCAGTGAACCGGTGCTCCCGAGGGTACAGCCGGGGGATGTGTGGAGGGTGATGGAGTCTGTTGCCTGCATGTTCACGCCTTCAATGATGTCGATCTCGCCCGAACTTGGCCAATTGGGCCCGAAAGTCCAAAAAGCTCCCCATACGCCACATATACCGTTTGGCATGTGTGCAATGTCGGCAATGAATAAACCCTTGGTGTATGCCTTGTTAGATGCGAGTCGAACGGAATCGCGGCCGCCAGTCGGATTCCTTGTTTTATGGTCGACTCCGAGATAGACCGCACCGCTCGAATAGCCAGCCAGACTGCTATCGTTTGCAGTGACAGCTCCTACATATTTGACAAAACCAGCGGTTGGATCTCCGCCGGTGTAGAAATTGAATGAGTCAAAGAAGTTGTCAGTATCGTAGATGTCCTCAATAACATAAGTAGCGCTTGTGATGCCAGCAGCACAAAAAAGAGATGCACCAAAGCGTAGAAGGAGTCGTGAGGTACGCATGATGTTGATACTTAACGTTGTTGTTGGATGAGTTGGTATGGTATGTGGTAGAGATCGAAATTTTAGGGAACTTGAGTCGAGATTGAAGATAATTCGAGTCTGTGGTGGGAAGATATAGAATGTCTTGTGCAGTGAATTGATTGTTCGAGTCAAGGACAAAGGAAGTACAAGAATAAATAAGAATAAGAATGAATAGACGTTAACAATCAATACCCTTGTTATTGTGGCGAACAAAAGAAAGTGATCGAGGGTGACAGTGCCTTGTGAATAATAACAGGCGAAGAAGAAGAAAGAGTTTAAGTAGATACAAAGATTCTTTGATCATCTGAATCCAAAGATCCAGAATGTATATCTGGCGCTGACTATCGCGCCTATAGGTAGCCCAGCCTCCATCAGTGACACCTGCACCACTTGGATATCCCTGGAGCTTCAGGCATAAGCTTTTTATATTCAAACCATCAAGAGCGTGGACAAATAACCATGCCGCACAGCCAGATCATGGCTTCGTCTATCTGGACAACACTCGTTGAACATCCTGGAGCCTTGAGGAGGGTGAGGGCAGCCATCGTTGGGGAGCTCTGACGGAAGTCAGAAACGAATGGATGCAGTTCGCGGACAACGAGAAACTCCAAAGTTAGGCTGAGATTCCCGTCAGGGATCTAGCAAGTCTGACCCTCACGACAGGAGACAAAGGCGCAACCACTTGGGCGTCCATGTTACTTCTATCCTTGTGTTCCGTGCTGGACTGGGTGTTTGGAGTTGGATGCTCCAGCAAGTGCCGGACGACGAGGACCAATGGTATCGAACAGTGCGGATATTACATAATACACATCAATCTGAAGTAGAGGTACCTGATAAGCGAGGAACCCCTGAAGATCCGGGAGGCTGCTCCGTAAATACTCTCTACCTTACCTAGGTATTCAACGACTGTGCCCTTGAAACATCCACATGCCTACCTATGACTTACCTACATAGGTCGAAACGACAAACGACAAAAAAAGTCCCTAAGTAGGCCCCCCAATAAGCTACAAAGCATAGCGTGTTAGTACGAGGGTAAAAGAAATCATAACGAAGGATACAAGGTGTTAGGGACTTTTGAGAAGCTCTCAACTTCTTGGGAAGATACTGTTGCTAGACTAAAAACGCGTGAATCGCGCTGTATAATACAGCTCCACTGCAATCGATATTGCCCCCTGTCTCATCTTATATAGATGGCTCGGCTAGGTTGCATCATTTAAGGTTATATGATCCGGTCTGTCTCCTTCAGATAAGGTACCTCCCTGGCAGTGCACTTGGTGTTTCATATATAGAGGTAGGGCTTATGAAGGCATCATTCTATTAATTCATCCAAGCATTAGGGTTAAGGATACTGTTACTTCAGCACTTCAGATAATAAGTCATGGTACAGTCTAAGTTTGCGGGAAAATCATAAATTTTGACATTCTTCGTCAACATGGTACACGTTTTCCCTCTCAAGACTCCCAAGTATGCAATGTAACATGCAGCAATGCCGAAAGGCACATACCCGTCCGAAGAAATAACAGCCTGTCCATCTATGCCATGGTCCCTCGGACGCATAACCCAGATTATACCTACACCGCCGAATATGGGAACCAGAGAACAGAAGTGGGTATGCCAGATACAACGCATCGCCAAAGTCCAGAGGACCGAAAACAGATAAGCGCCAAGAGAAATTGGGTAAAAGTCCTTCAAAGCCTGACCTTCTTTCCCGTGATTTTGAACCAGACAACCGCGACCAGATCCTCCTTGAACCGTTCCCACCATGTCCGGTTGAGATAGTTACTCAACTCGCGGTAGTTGTACATCTCGCCCCAGCAATCGCGGCCCCACTCACAGCCAGCCATATTAACCACAAAATCCCGGTCCTTCTCATTGTAGTGGATGCGGGAGTCGTTGCCATTGTCAGAGCAGGCTCCGGGGGGGAAGCTGTTGATTTTCCGCTGAGGGATGAACGCCGTGTGTGGCCGAATCCATGGCTGGTTGATATAGAGAAATTCAAGAGCATCTTGTTCTTTGTGTTCCCATTCCATGTGCTTTTGTTCGTACCCTACCGGGTCCCACCATACGTCCAGAAGTCTGTCTGTCCAAGCGCTCCGCTTTACGAAAAATGAACCAAGGTTGAAGCCCGAGCAGTCTTGTGGAACGATGAGATTGATGGATTCCGTTTTGCCGTCACCAACCGGGCTGAGGGATTCGGCATCCAGATGGTCTGAAGGAAAGGGGTGGGTTATGTTGAGAGGGTTGTACTCGTTGATATCGCGGTAGGTATTTCCGGCAAGATTGTTGAAGATGTGGGTTTGTAAGGAGTATGAAGGCTCCATGATGAAGGTGTTGAGATCCATCCACCAAAACCTATAATCGTTCCTATTAGCTCGTGGGACGTTGCATGGCCGGGGGTCAATTCACCATTCAGCATCTGGGAATTTCCTCATGCAGTTGCGGATGGTGTCAACCTTCTCCCAGCTCTCTCTCCATTCGTGCGCGTATCGTTTCTTCGTACTCATATCCACGATTTCCAGATCGTAGCCCCACCTGTTCACATACTTCCGCTTATTTCGTACACTATCACGCTCTATCGCCCACTCTCGAGGTCCTTTCCACTCCATAACACCTCCCCCTTGATTTGCTGCTAGGATGATTACGTATTTCCGGCCGCCTCCTAGGTGTCTCGACCTGCGCCAGTAGTAATGTAAAGCTATTCTATATCAGCAATGCCCAGAGGCCGTAAAAGGAATCCTTACGCGTCATGTAGAAGAGAATGATCATTAAAAAAAGGGCCAAGACAATGACAACGCGAAGTTTCATCTTGCGACCGACACGTCTTATAAGACTTTTTATGCGTGCCAGCTTGCTCCCATCTCTGGGCGACCACCTCCCACGTCCTAGCTTCTCCTTCTCGGCATAGCTCTTTTCGGACCCCAGATTGAAGCGCGGTAGGTTGCTCGATATCTTTCGGTAATGGCGATTGAAGAAGCCGCTGTTCTGGGTGGAGAACGAGGGGTATCCATTGAGGCCTTCGCTTTTCGCTTTCGCAGATTCCCAGGTCACCGAATTGCTGTTGCCATTTCCCCGGTAGCTCGTTTGGGGCGTCAATGAACCACTACCGCTCCCATAGGGACTGCTCAGACCGGGACTCGCCCAGCCGCCTCCCGGCCTTGGGGATGGGCTGCGCGACAACGACATCTGAGGCGTCCCTGGGATCGGAGACAAGGCCTCTCCGGTACCTCGCGAAGGAGATGTGCCCTTGGTGCGCGACGCTCCGTGCAGGTCCAATGGCTGCGGTGCAATCGAAGAGGAGCTCCGCCGTCGGTGGTGCGAGAAAGAACCGGCGAGAGAGGAAGAAGGGGAAGAAGAAGAAGAGATAGATCTAGGGTTTAAGGACGCCAGGTCGAAAACGAATTGACCAGATGGTTCGTGACCGTCTGGTGGATTGTGGATAACCGCAAGAAGGGCCCTCGGGGGGGAGCGTAACGAGTGTCTGTCTACTACCTCTTGGCTCGTATTTGAACGCGATCTATTGTATCCCGCGTATCCCCGCACTCAGGATTGCTCGCAGGAGAGATCGGGTGTCAGCGGTCGTGCAGTCGTATTCGCAGAAGTGAAGAGGCCAGCCAGCACCCGTGGTGGTGTTGGTGGTGAAAGGGCCAGATTATTCGGCTTGGCGTTCTGCGCCTCGTATTATTTAACGAGATAAGACGCAACGCGGGTGCTCAAGGCTTAATGCCACTAGTGGACTGTCAGGCTGAGCGCGACACAAGAGGAAGAGAGAGAGAAAGATGTCGAAGAAGATGTCAGGAATTATGGGAGGAGTGAGATGGGGGAACGACGGGAAGAGGTAAAGGTGAAGGGTTAATTTGCTCGCAAAGTGGAAAGCCGCTGGTTGGGTTGGCTGGCTATTGGCATTTTTCCTCTTAAATTTCCCAGATCATTTCGGGAGTCTAGCTGAAGTCTAGCTTATCAGGGCCACGAACAACGGGACAACTATAGGATCTCTAGATTCTACCACTATGGCCGTAGTATCATGTGCAGTGTGGGATTCTGTGTCTACAAAGATAATAATAGTAAACCTTCATGAATTGGCTTGCACGTTACGGGCCCTACTCGAGTAAGGTACGGTGCTAAGACGTGAGGTAGACTCAGGTATTATAGGTACCTAGGAAGTGCTGCTCCAAGATTAGGATGCGATCATCGTAGGTCAAAGAGAGAAGCTTCAGAGGACATCTGGCACCTTCTGCGGCTTCAGAAATCCGTGTCCATTGTACATAAGGTACACAGGAAGCGTATCAGGTTGATGTAAAGATTCGTATAGATTACCTAGGTGGCAAGGTGTAACTTGTAGCGTGTGTGAGATAGACTCTAAATAACAACAGGGCGATACACAATAGTACATGATAGTACATTACCGCGTCAGGGGCGGGACCCGGGCAACTGGGGGGTGCTTATGTAATCACCAGAGGCACCGCATTTGCACCAAATACACATGCTGATTATGTCAGCAGGCCCTCCCTTACCTCCTGAGGCTAGACTGCGTGCGCTATGCCATGATAGGAACTGCCAGGCGGTGAGAAGGCGGCAATACTATTTACTCTGCATATCAGACCCAGACCCCACGATCCCTGCCCACGGCGAAGAACAAGAGGGCAGAGTCCAGCTTCACTCAACTCACTCTGCATCTTCTTATTTATGTTAGCATTAAGCCCCCTCCGCCATTTGCAGAGAGACTCAATCACCCACCAATCACCGCAATATTCCGGTCTCCTCATCTCAGTCAACCGGCGCAGGACGGATTGATTGGCCCAGCCCTCTTCGAAGCGCTCGCCAATCCCATGCCGCCATTCCCCTCATGTCGGCGCGTATTGCGACCTCTCTCCAACGAACGGCAGCTTCAACACGCTGTAATGGAGCTCCAATGGCTCCATCTGCGACTGTTGTCGAATAGAAGAAGAGTTCTGTCTATTCTGGTACATGCGAACTTCCACCGTGATCTCGGGTTAGGCCCCAGGTCACGACCTGGCTCTTCTATGGTAATGGGCCCTTCGGCCTCGACTCTCGGTTTCATTCAGTCTTCTTTTCCTACAATACTCTCACTCTTTTCGTAATCGTCGTCGCAGGTTTTCTGGATCTGCTTCACTGTCGTTATCTTTTGCGTCCTGTTTCTGTCGTTGTGATCTTTACTATTGTGGCTTTCACAATAGCTATTGTTACAATCCTACCTATTGTTCCGGACCACAGCCTCGAGTGCCTTTCAACATCTTTCCTTTGTTGACTCAAACACATTATGATTATGCTACTTTGTTATATGTAGCTCTCGAATCCTCGAGATTCCTTCTTTCATTCATCAGCAACGAGCAACGACTCAACAAACTCGAAGAATCACATCCAACTCATCGACCCAAACATATTCACTGATCCGCACTCATACTTAATACAACGCATCTCAACGCACTTTCAAAGACTACAACCCATCACCAGATACAACTAGCAACTGCGATCGCGGCTGTACCCTGCTACAAATCCGAACGTCTCTTTCATCACCATCTTCAATATGTCTACAGCAACGTCTAAGGCTGTAAAAGCACGTCCTCAGAGTACATCTTCAACAGAGAGAGCAAGCAATCCCTTCGACGCTCTTTCCGATGTGAATGAGTCTGATACAGAATGGTGGGATGACGACGAGAACACTTCATCCGGCCCCTCAAAAACTGCAAGGCCTCAGGAAATTCCTAGAACCGGAGTTGTGCTCAAGCCTGTAAAGCGCGCGGGCACGCGCAAGGCAGACAAGAGATACTCGGTGCAGAAACCGACTCGGGACAAATCCAAAAGACGGCAGAAGAAGCAGAATGCGAAAGCTGGCATCAAACTAATAACGAACTTCTCCAAGTACCCGGGTACCACAGTAGTGCCCCAACCTGTACAATTTCCACCGTCGAAACCCATGCCGCAAATGGGATGTTTCGTCGATCTGGCTGCCCTTCAGGCCCTAGATGGCAAGTCGACGCAATCATCAGGGGGGTTTTGGAAGTCAAGGAAAGCTAAGGAATCGGCGCCGGCTGCCAACCCCAAGGCTTTCACTCCAACATCGGCTCCAGGAGCTGTGGATGAAACAGCACTTTCGGCAAGAATAAAACCCAAGGGCCTTGTACCTTCTCCACTAAACTTGGGTGACGATCTGTCACCAAGTGACCGCCCCATAGTCATAGGTATATCTATTCCATCAGCTAGACTAGCGGAGCATACTTTGAGCCCCCAAACAGCATCATCGGATACTTCCAAGATTCTTCAAAGTTATGTACAGCGCACCCCCCCAGGTCACAGCCCAGAAACTCCCACCATCATTATCACATCCGCTCCAGAAGGTCCTATCTGGTCCCCACTAGATGATAATAGCCGGTCTCTTAAGGAATACCCGAGGCCTGCGTCGAGTATATATTCCCAGTCGTCACACAATGCCATTGGCATATCCACTCCAAAAGGTGCGCCACCCGTACCCCAGATGCCAGTCTCTGTTCTCGAAAGCGAGAGGCAAAGAATGGCTGCCCAGAGAAGCTACTTCTCACCCGACTCAGACGATGTTACAACTTGGGGAGATGAAGATACAGAATATAATGGTCCCTCAAAATCTCGCATAGTTTCGACATGCACTGTATTCGAAGAGGACGAAAGTCCCGTGCTCGAGAGAACAGGGCGTGCTCGCTCGATATCAGCCGCCTCTAAAGACAACAAGCATGCGAGTATCAGTACAGTTGCAACGCGTCACCGTTCAAAAGGTTGGTGGACCTACATAGGTACCCCATTCATGACACGGTCAAATACAGTAGCAACACGTGGGGTCTTCGAGGATCGGCAACCATCCGCTCTCCCCAGTTTAGCTACTGCATTTACAAAAGCAACAGAAACAGGAGGGGAACAGAAATCATGGGAGAAGCAAGTCTCGCCCCTGACTCCCGCAACATCTACTACCATCAACTCAGAGCCATGGTGGGATGCATCAGCAAAGGAGGATCAGTCAAAACATCCCAGGCCAGCGGAGCTGGCCCCAGTTCTCTGTGGCACGAGACACGAGGCTCAACCTTCTAATGGGACTAGACCATTTGTTCTTTCAGATACTACCGGGCTCGAACGCACCACAACGTCGATGCCGGAAGCAGAGGATATCGAACATCAGCTAGACCATAGCATGTCTGGAACTGCGCCGGCTATCGACACTTCTGGATTTCGAGGAGATGACCGGGAAGTGCCTGGTTTGTCCAATAGATCTAATACCTCAGCATACCAGAGCAACAATCCGTTTGTGCAACCCCGTTTGGGCGAGCTCAGTGATGAGCCCGTGAATGCTCAGTCTGCTACCCGGCAGGAGGTCCAACCTGCCCGGGAAGCCCACGCCCCTCTTGAACGGTCACCACCGCCACCTCCGTATTCACCGTCTCCGGCACGTCCTCGATGCCGGGCCATTCTTCCTCCTCAGGATATTCAGAGCCGAGAAAATAATCAAACCCTTCAATACCCTGCCTCTCCTGGACCTGTGTCTCCCGGACTACAGCAGGCGATGTCGTCCGGGGGCGGCATCCCGATGTCCAACGTGCCTGTACCTCCTGCAGCTCGAAGGCCAATCAATCTGAATTCAGGATATCCTGGATTACCGTCAAAGAGCTTTACCCCTGAGGTCTTGCAGCAGCCTTCGAAAAAGGCTCAGAAGGCAGAAGCGAAGCGCCAGCGCTATGAGAAGGAAGACACGATAGCGCGCAAAGCTGGGGGTTTGTGGCGAGGTCGCGGCTGTATCTCCAACAGGGGATGTTATGGCCGAAGCGGTGCAGAAGGTCGCAGGAAACGACGCATATACTGTGGTCTTATTGCCGGGTTCCTCTCGATGATGATAGTGGTGGTTGTTCTCGCTACAACTCTCCATCGAAAGTCGAACACCGTTATTGGACCATCCCAGTGGCTTAACCTTACTGGATTTCCGCCAATATACACCGGTCTTTCGACAGTAGCAGCCCCTATCAATACACAGGCCAATACTGGCTGTGTATTCCCGGCAACCCAATGGAGCTGTGATTTGCCCAAGGAACAACAAGCATCTGTCGCGCCAAACCAACCAAACCAGCCAAACTTCCTTCTACAGATACAGTGGGATAATAGCAGCTCAGCGAATGCTACTTTTGCGAACGTCACGGGAAATCCAAATTTAGTGACTCGAAGCTTTGTGGGAAACCCTGTAACTGCAGGGCAGTTCATTAGAGACTTGCTTCTCAGGGCTCGACAGATAGTTACATTTGTCCCCAATCCAGCCCCACCATCTTTTGCGGAGGAAGCTTTTTTGGGTGCAACAACAGATGGTATTGTCTCCGCCAATAAGGCTGGAGAGCCTACACCCTTCTACATATCATTCCTGCCCACAACGACTTCCGTGGGAAAGCGAGATCTTGGATCGCGCCAGAATATCGACAACTCCACCAGTCCTTTCCCAAACATCACGGCATTTATACCGGCTCCCAGTTTGAACCCTGATGGAACCGCTGCACCTGCAAATCTTCTACCATTGCCTTCTCAACAGCCGATCAGACTGTACGATCGGGGGCTTCCATCAGAGCATTATGGTTTCTATACATATTTTGACCGCTCTATCTTCTTGAAATCTATTACTGCGCTCAACGAGACAAACTCTGGTAATGGGGAAGTTCCAGATGACGAGAATGGTGGGGCCACCGAATCCGAGGCAGCGTTTAGATGTACTTGGTCTCAGACTCGATTTCTGGTTCAGATGTGGACTCGAGCGAATGCAACAACCCGTCTCCTTAATGGGACCTCCAGCACATCTTCGCCCGGTAAAGACTTCAGGCAACCTGGATCGTTTCCATATCCGATTACGATTACAATTGATCGTCACGGAGGCGATCCAGCGTTGAAGATGTTGTATTGCTATAGCATGAACGATCGAGAGGGCATCATATCAACGAGCGCGCACATCAACACAGAGAATCGAGGCTTTGGGGGAACAGTAGTCAATCCAGCTCCAAGCATATTCACAAACACTTCGGACCCGTCTCTTGGAGGCTTTGATGGTGGAACAGGAGGCTGTAGCTGCCAGTGGACGAACTTCCAGAGCGTGGGACCATGAGAGGCGACTTCTTGTATCCATCTGCATTGCGCGGAGTCTTGCATTACAAGGAATACATTGACTAGAATAGGAAAAAGAACTAATTGAATAAATATTATCCACAGACCTGTAAAAGAAAAAGAAACTGCCACGTGAAGGGTGAAGAGGGGAAGTCTTCTTGTTAAATATTGCTGTACACTACAGCCCTGTCCCTGCCTAGCGCGCGGTTCTAGCCGCCAGGACTACAAAGTACAGTACAACGACCGACCGACGTGGAACTACAACCTTCATTTCTCAGCCTTTCTCGGGCCACTGCATTGATTTGCACAGGCAGGGGCTCAACATCTCTTCACTCGCTGCCTCTGTCATTCTTAGAGTGTAGAGAACATTGGTATCAACAACAGAAGCCTCTAAGTCATCTACGATCTCCCCCCGCCTCAACACCAAAACAGTGCCAGCGACATGCCTTCTGTAGCACAAGGAACGGTTTCGCCTCTCTGTGGACGAAAGAGGAGACGAGAAGATGGACCAAATAATATCGAAATGCAAATGAAGCTCTCTAGGTAAGTTGAGCCTCCTACCTTGTTAGATCGGGCATCCAGAACTGACCATCCAGTCCGCACCTTCAACGTGCTTCCATTCCCGAGCCGGCTCCTATTTTCAATACTGAATTCAGCAATACCCTACCTAATGAACGAAAGCAACTGATACCCCGATCCCGCCGCCACGACCAGAAACGACAGCGCGTCGAGCCACATGCTGTTGAGAACGATCTCTACTTTACGCAAGAAAGATACCCGCATAACGCCATAGATCGAGCTGGAGAAGATAGGAAGCCCAAGATCGATCTCAGCCCATGCCATATCTGCCGTCGCAAACCGACCGTCAAGTCTGAGCTAGATGCCTTTGCGGACTGCGAAGGTTGTGCGAGACGGACATGCTACATCTGTATCAGGGAGTGTCCAGGCTGGGGTGCAGACAATCATGGAGTAATGGAGGGCGATTACAATTCTCTGGATTTCTCATTCAATGGAGCGGGGCAGGATGTGGAGTTTAGTGGAAGGGCGGACAGAATGGACACAGTGTATGACATTGATGATGGGTTCAGTGCGAAGACAGCCTGGAAGGAAGGAAGGACTACGGGGCACAGGCGCATGGTTTGCAGTCGATGCTGTGTAGAGAAAGGAACGGAAGGAGAGGTTTGTTGTTTGGGATGCTTGAGGGCTGGGGATGCTGGTTGAGAGGCTACAATGTTTGGGGCAGAAGTTGAAACAGCTCAAGAGGCTGGACAAACAGCAATTTGTGCGCAAGACATTGGAGCAGGTTCTAGATTAAGAACTCTCCTAGTGTCTTCCTTTACTGATACGAGGAGTGAGAGACTGAGGAGGAAGACGCATGCAAGGCCTATTTTCACACCATCCAAAGATACCCGGACGCGTTGTTGAAAACCGTGAGATAGAGATTAATGACAAAAGACTTTTTGTTACTCCATGGCTCAGTTTGTGCAAGATCTTTGATATCCCAATTGACAAGTAAAATTGGGACAAAATAAGAGCTTGTCTTTAACAATGTTCGTACCTCGACTCCATTCTATGCGTAGGTCAAATATAGTACATTGGTTGTGTCCTCCATATTGTATACATCTCACAAGCAAGATCAGCCAAGAGCGACCTTGCATAACCACCACAGGCTATCCTGGCTATCATCAATGCCATCCTATGGCCCATTTCCAAACCTAAAGATTCACACGTCCCCCTCACCCCTCAATATCCTCCAAATTATTAACCTTCAACTCTGAAATCCTCAGGATCGTAAACTTATGCTTGCTCCTCACGGTCTTGGTCCTCCGATTCCTCTGCTTCTTCTTCTCCTTGATGCGCATGGGCTCTGCCTCGGTCCCCATGACTCTCGCGCGGCACTCGAATATCCTCTCGTCCAGGTAGGGCGCCCCTTTTAAGGTGTAGTCTCGCGATCCCAGGCTCGATGCTCGGTTCAGTCGGAGAATGTCCCCGGGGACAACGCCCGGCATGCGGAAGGGGAGCCGGATGATGTCCCCCTGGGTGACGAGGTAGGGCCGGCCATGGATATGGGCGCTTATGTAGTGGGAGGGTTGAGCTGCGAGGAGGGGGAGCTGCTCCTTGACAGACGGGGAGAATGATGCTGGCGTAGGAGGTGGAGGGGGCGGGGAGGGGATCGAGGAGGTAGCTGCTGGTCTCGAAGACGCTGCTGGGGATTTTGGAGTAGCTACTTCGGAGGCTTTGAATCCATCCGTTGGTGGTTCGACATGTTGGGCGGTGGTGTTGAAGAATCGAGCGCGGTTCGGGAGGAGGAAAGGAGGCGGGAGCGCCGAGGTTGGTATTCTTGTGTCCAAGATGGACTTCCTGATCGTCCTACTGAACATTGTGAGGCGTGAGGCTGTCTTTCCTCGGGCCAATGCTCAACTCCTAATGCTCAAAGCCCAAGATATTTCCTCGAGGTTAACATTTCTTGGATGACTAAGCGCACGCCAAACCCAGAAATGGCTAGCTCCACAACTTTGGAAAATATTCGTTATCGATTATCACAAACCTCTTCTGGGCATTCCCTATTCTACTCGACCCCTCGCACTTTTATAGCCCATCATGGTGAGTTATCCGCTCGCAATTTTATCTACACTGAGAACTAATGCTTTGTAGCCTCAAAATGAGTATATGGACCGGTGGCGCAAGCTACACGGTCGGCGCCTCGATCACGAAGAGAGGGCCCGAAAGAGAGCAGCACGAGAGGGCCACAAGGCGTCAGAAGATGCACAGAAGCTGACTGGATTGCGGGCGAAATTATACCAGAAGAAGAGGCATCATGAGAAGATCCAGATGAAGAAGCAAATCAAGGCCCACGAAGAGCGCAATGTCAAGTCGTCCGCCCCCAACGAGCCTTCCAGCACTCCTCTGCCGCAATATCTTCTTGATCGGTCAAATCCTACAAATGCGAAAGCTCTGTCAAGTGCGATCAAGAACAAGCGCGCCGAGAAGGCGGCCAAATTCTCTGTTCCTCTACCGAAAGTTAGGGGAATTGCAGAGGAAGAAATGTTCAAGGTCGTGAAGACGGGCAAGAAAACTGCGAAGAAGGGCTGGAAGAGAATGATGTATGTGTACACCCTATTTCACTGCGAGGTTTGGACCAGGTTTGAAGTTGAGGGGCATGGCTTTTCTTCGGGGTGTTGCCCAAAGACCATGAACGAACCTGCAGCTCAGAAATGCTGACTGTGTTTTCTAGTACAAAACCTACATTCGTCGGACCAGACTTTACCAGAAGTACGTATATTTGGCCCAAAGAGTTTCAGTTTCGAGGCAGCTCTGTGAACTGCAAGACAAGTCTCTCCTGCTATCCATAGAGCTTGCTACCCTCAAACATGGTCAGTCTAGAACTTGTTGTACTAACTTCCATAGGACCTGTCAAATACGAGCGTTTCATCCGTCCCATGGGTCTGCGTTACAAGAAGGCCAATGTCACTCACCCGGAATTAGGGTACGTATTTCTGACATAACTCCTTTGCCTTTACTGTTGAAGCTTGCTTCAAGATTCGAGGAACCTGTGTCCAGGCTTCGGCTCTATTCGAGGAATACATGCTAATTTTACGGGTGGATAGTGTTACCGTGCAGCTTCCAATTATCAGCGTTAAGAAAAACCCCCAGAATCCAATGTACACTCAGGTAAGTCGAATAAATTTTTATGTAGAATTTGTGGATGCCAACTCCAACGTGGAATCCACATTATCTCTCCAAAAATTTTCGTGATCAAAAGCAAGGACCTTGCTAACTTCCACTAGTTGGGCGTTTTGACCAAGGGCACAATCATCGAGGTCAACGTCTCTGAGTTGGGTTTGGTGACAGCTGGAGGCAAGGTTGTCTGGGGTAGATGGGCGCAGGTTAGTAGCTATAGATCCCTCAAGCTGAGAAAGGGCATTCCCTTGCTCTGCTCCCTTCGGATTCGGAAATCGTGTACTGACCTCATTCGCCAACCAGATCACAAACAACTGTGAGAACGATGGATGTGTAAATGCGTAAGTTAAGGTCAATCTTCCTCAAGGCAAAATGCTAACTATCGTAGTGTTTTGCTCGTTTGAGTAGCCACCTCATTTGATATTGCAATCTTGCACCGCATGGAGTTTTAGGCGCATACCAAAAGCTGGGAAGGTAGAGATAACTACTTGACATGGGGCATAGAAAGGGAGGCTGATGTATTCTCATAGTGGTCTATAGAATCAGACCTGAGTAGGAAATGAGAATTCCAGAACCCTTCTTGTTTATAATTGTCTTTCTTTTGCCCTAATGTAGTTTCGTCCAGAGAAACGTCTTCTTGCCTCTATCATTCTAGGACTGCATCATCCGTTAATAGGGGTTCATTTTCATACATTGTCATTGCCATGTAGCACTTCGAACGTATCATCTGCCAACTGATTTCCCTTCACCCTTCCACCCTCCCCCCAACATCCTCCAATCCCTCCTCCACCTCAGAAGCGCCAGCCATCTTCAATTTCCTCACCGTCTCATTCAACTCCCTCATCGCCATCTTCACCTGGATCAGCTTATCAGCGGTCCTCGCCGCCTTCCAATTACAATCCTTACACATCCTCTGCAATTTCACAGAGTGCAGCGGATGCGCAAACATATCAGGGCAGGCGATCGGCCAGGACCCGTCGTCGAAAGCCCGCTGGTGATCACAGGCCCTGATCTCGGTGCCCCAGCCGTCGTGTCCACAGCTGTAGATGATGCGTTTGTGATAGCACATGATTGATAGATTAATTGATGAAAATTGATCTGGAGGGCTTGTTGGGAGAGAGTTAGTTGTTGCTGGTTTAGAGGAGGGATGGCTGATATAAGATTCATAAAGAAGACGGTTTGATTGTTTTCTTTCTGCTCTTTGTTCGTTTTAGAGACTTTTTTTCTTTTTTTTCTTTTTCTGGAATTGTTCATTGTTCGTTGTTCGTTGTCAGTCAGTCATGATCTATCTATCTAGGTATCTATCTATTCTTTGTTAATGCAGGTTCAGGATACACAATATCATACCGATTTTCTCCTCATACCTCTTTGTTCACAGAATGAATGAATGATGCACACTAACCTGTTTCTTTGTCCGATGATGCCTCTCAAATTCTGAATTTCATCAATGATGATTCACATTTTCTTTTGGGAAGCATGTTTTGTTTAGGTTTCTAGAAAGATCGCGGTCCTTTTTTTTCTGGTCTGTGTATAAATGCTTGGAGAGAGAGAGAGAGAGATACCTATGGTTTCCCTATTTTTGAAACCCTGGATCAACCTAACCCGTATTCTTGCTCTGACAAGTGGCACAGCATAACAATGCTTGTTTTTCTCCCTGCTGCAAGGGGATATATGAATCCTTTATATTGCATCTCTAGGATTTAATTGGTAAAGATCTGAGGACGAGCAGCAGTTGGTTAGAAGACCAAAGCTCGGATCAGATCAGAAACGTGAGTTTTGCAACGAGAGGAATGTTTGCATAATGTTCTGAGCTAAAAATCACCAAACACCAAACTTGACTGAGTGGTTCGTTTGAATCAAATCAAATGAATCATGATGATATTCCGTTCGTTCGTGTCTTGATCGATCACCAGATTGATCTCTTTGAATTCTTGTACAATGATACCGTAAAGGGGTGACAAGGTGCCGGCCGATATATGTATGCTTCATTCAAATGGACGGTTCGAAGGTGAACTAAAAGGGTGCTCTTTGTGTGCTGCCTAGATAATGAGTATAGAAATAGTGGGAAGATCCCGGAGCATAGACATCATAAGGAGAGTACTAGGGTAATGAAGTTGGAGCCGTTTTATGAGAACAAGATATGATGGGTCACGTCGATTCAAAAATATGAGTGGCGTGTTGTATCACCACTCTTGGTAGGCATATACTATCAGACTGGAATGGCTGTGCAGACGCTTGCCTGACCAATATGAGATTTGAGTGACTTCTTTGCGTTTGAAGAGAATTAAGTCTGTGAGGCTTCAATATCACGGTAACTATGCATATCACACCAAGTAACCTATCCTATTATGGCAAAACATCTGATCCTGGAAGCCGGCTGGCGTGCGTGATTTAAACTTTCTGAGGCTATAGAGATCACAGGAGATTCAAGAAAGATGTGGAAAATGCTTGATAGACTATTGCACAGGTGTTTTATAGACACAGGGGTGATAAAGGAAATCTCTCAAGCTCTTCGGGTCTCTCTCTATCTATTAAGCCTTCGATTGAATGATCTCTGTTCGTTGAATTAGTAAAATTCAACATTAAAACACGACATAGGTACTTACTCTCAACATCGGCGACGCTCTGTTGCAAGATTTGTTGAAGGACCTTGGGGTTCTCAAGCTCCTTCTGGATCTTGGCGATGATGCTCTCAGCCAGCTCCTTTTGTTGGCGGATCTTCACTTGTCCCTCGTATCGAACCCAGGAATCGAGGACGCTCTTGGCTTCTGCGGCAAGAGCGGTGGTTTGCTCGAGCTCGTATGCCTTAGCCTCAAGTTGGGCGGTTTCCTGCCAACTGTTAGCAACCTTTCGAATCGGCTACACCATCTTCCCTAACCTTGGAGACCTCGAAAAGGGTCTTGGTGATGTCCACAACACTGCCCAATTGCTGGACGCTCTCAATACGCGACTTGACAGCTTCGGTGTGGTCGGCTCTGGCAGCGTTCAAGATACCCTTGATCTTGTTGACCTGGCCGTCGGCCCACTCCTTGTACAGAGGTCCACCGTACTTGAAGACGGCTGTCCAGATGCTCAACAAACAGAAAGCAGCAACGGTTTCCTCGTTCAAGACATAGTATTCGTTGCTAAGAGCGTAGATCGCGGCACCGGCAGTCGACGAAAGGATCGCGGTCTTTGAAACCAAGGAGTTGCCTGGCAAAGAGTCGAGAATCGATTGAGCCTTCTTCTTTGGGTCTTCAGCCGGAACACCAGATGCTGATCGAGAGGTTGTGAGGGATGTGGTGAGTGCCGGAAGGGAGCGGGAAGGAAGAGCTGGTCGAAGACGAGCAGCGCCTGAGCCAACGTCAGCGACCTTTCCATCCCCAATCGCGCTGCCAGGAGCTCAATCAAGATGCGATTTACATACCTAAGGCGCTTCTTGCTACGCGAGATGCCATTGTGAGATGAGGAGAGATGGATTTGAGCTTGAGGTGCTTGAAGGTTGAGAAATGCTCGGCAGTCGGGTAAGGGTCTGCCATTTGAGTTGATGCCTTATGGATGCCTTGAAATTTTATTTCCATACCTTTTACAAACCTCGCTCTACAAGAATATTTCACGAAACCAGAGCGCCAACATGCCGGCAGTTATTAGTGAAACTGGTTCGTCAGGTAAAAGAAAGAGGTCATCATCAGAGAAAGGACCCTCGAAACGCGCTCGATCGGAAAGCAGCGAAGAAGATGCTCAGGCGCAAATCCTACTTCTCGAGAACGAGATCTTCGAGTCCAAGAAGAACTACAACAACATTGCGAAGTTGATCAAGATTTTACGAGACGATAACGAGCATGGAGACAACTCTGTGGTTGCGGCAATCTCGTTATGCCGCGTATTTACGAGGTTGATGGTGTCTGGCGACATGACCAAGAAACAGGGAACCACTGAGAAAGAGCTTGTTGTGCTCAAGTGGTTAAAGGAACGGTATTCGGAATACAAGTCCTCGCTACTGCTATTTTTTGGTGAAGAAGGCGTTGAATCTACGGCCTTAACTTTGTGCATGAGGTTGTTGAAGACGGAGGGCGAGCATCTTCGCAATGGCCAGGACCACAGTTTCCCTGCTGCATTTCTTACAGAAATTGTACAAGCTCTGCTGAAGCCTGAGGTTGATGGATCTGTTCGAAAAGAATTCGGCGACAAATACGTTGAGGAGTATGATGATATTCGATTCTACACATTCCAAGCCATAAAGTCAGTAACTGTTCTTACATCTGTGGATCAACTTCTAACTGTGATTTAGGGAAATCGTAAGAAATGATCAAGACTCTTCAGACAAGAGCATTTTCAATCATGCAGTGGAGATCCTCACGTCAATCGAATCTGTTCCGGACTCAAAAGAAGAACTCGAGGATTTCTATATACCGGCTCCGAAAAAAGCGAAACATGACCTTTACTCATTAACACAGCACAAGAACCGCGCACAAGAGGCTTGGTTAGCGTTGATGAGCATGGAGTTAGACAAGGAGCAGAGGAAATCGATTCTAGGCCACATGACTACTTTGATCGCTCCATGGTTCACAAAACCCGAGCTTCTGATGGATTTCTTGACCGATTCTTATAACGCCGGTGGATCGACTTCGCTACTGGCTCTATCCGGAGTTTTCTACTTAATCCAAGAGAGAAACCTGGATTACCCTTCCTTTTATCGAAAGCTATACTCATTACTGGATGCTGGGATTCTGCACTCAAAGCATCGTTCGAGGTTCTTTCGTCTGCTGGATACTTTCTTAGCATCCACTCATTTACCAGCGGTTCTCGTTGCCAGCTTTATCAAAAGACTCGCGAGACTCGCACTCAATGCATCGCCGTCAGGCATTGCACCTGTCGTCCCGTGGATTTACAACCTTCTGAAGAGGCATCCTACGTGTACCTTCATGATCCACCGAGTGACAAGAGATGCCGAGGCCAAAAAGATTCTCGAGGATCAAGGGCTGTCTGACCCATTCCTCATGGACGAGGAGGATCCAATGGAGACTCACGCCATTGAAAGCAGTCTATGGGAGATAGTCATGTTGCAAGATCATGTCCATCCGAACCTTGCGACGCTGGCGAAGATAATCTCGGAGCAGTTTACGAAGCATGCGTACAATTTGGAAGATTTCCTCGATCACTCGTATTCCAGCGTAAGCATCTAAATCAATCCAAGATAAAGCCCCTACTAACATCATCAAAAGTTATTAGAAGCGGAACTTCGGAAGGAAGTCAAGAAAGTACCTGCTATTGAGTTCGAGATACCCAAGAAGATTTTCACGAAGCATGATGCAGAATCAGGGGGCGAGGATAGTTTATTGGTGAAGCTCGTGGACTTCAAGTAGATTACGTATTCATGAAAAAGATATTCTCAGACAATATTGTCTGCTGACCATCACCTGAGGATTCGTGAGGTTGTGCTGCGTACTATTACGAGTGAGGATGTGTGACTTTGACAAGCTTGTACTTGTACATGGATTACCTAGGTACTATAGAATCCAGGGGCTCATTTTCTCTTCTTTCAAGCGGATGCTACGGCATAGGAACAACTGCGCCAACTCTAAGCCTCCACAGGGCCACTTCAAAAGACCAGCAATTGCGGCCTTGCGCATCCAACGGGGGCGGAAGCTTACTCCTCCTTTAAATTTGGATGAAATGTCGAGGCTTGGCAGGTCCCGGCGATGTCGAACAAAAGAACCTTGTGGCCGATTTATATCGCTACATACCTAACATGTCGACAACCTTACAGCTTCTCTCCCAACACAACAGCTCTGTAACACCCGCCGTATCCTCGGTCACTATACATGATGCCTTTCCGAGACATACTTAAGAAGAAGGATAAGCTTGCCGAGGGCGGCGCTCCCGCTGCTGAAGCCCCGCGCGACCCCTCGGAAGAGCGTACAGTATTCACGTTTATAAGGACCGACACGAACACGCAAGAGATCATAACGCCTCCGAATTTCTCGTCTCCTGATTTGTCTCAACCAGCAGCGTTTACGGACGACCATCATCGCGAGTCGCGGAAGGATCATCATCATCATCATCTTTTTACTCCGCGCTCGCGGAGTCCGTCGTCGGTTTCTGCCACATCCGTCTCCACACACGAGAGCGATAGATCTCGGCCCAAGACCCCGAAAAGATTATCCCAGCGCCTGCACCTGAGGAAGAGCTCACCTGTCTCTCCGAATGTGCCTCAAGACCTACCGGAGATAGCCACTGCGTTGGAAGAGGGTGATGGGGCGGCAAGTGAGTCGCTATGGGAGAAGAGAGCCACAATTTTGGCGAAGAAGAACAGGGAAGAAAGGAGCAGACCGACTACACCAAATACGCCAATCAGACCCGTAGCAGATATTGAAGCGTTTGTGAACCTTTCAGTGGGCACACCGAACGGAGAAGGGTCAGCGCGGCCTGTGTCGACGAAGCATGCGGACGACAATATACAAGAAGCTATTAGGCTCCATGAAGCCGGGGATTTGGAAACCTCTACAAAGATGTTTGGGCGATTGGCAGATCCTAAGGGGGAGAATAACGCCTTGAGCCAGGTGATGTACGGACTTGCTCTCAGGTAGGTTCAATTGGCCCGTTACGATGATACCCAACTATGTCCCCCGGATGTTTATCATTACGGTGTTGGTTCTGGCTCCGATCATTGATGCGATCCTGATGTTTCTCCTAGGCATGGTTGGGGGTGTACTCCTAACCCCACAGAAGCCGTCACCTACCTCTCGGCCGCGGCCTCGAATGCAGCTTCCATTGAAGAGCAAGCACTAGAGGCGGGAATCAAGAAAGGGGGTGCCGCGAAGGGCGAGCTGGTTCTTGCAATCTTCGAATTGGCGAATTGCTTCCGATATGGCTGGGGAGTAAACGTGGATAAGGTTGCTGCAAAACAGGTAAGGAACCGTGAAGCATTGGCTCGGGGAGAAGCCTGAGTGAGAGCTCTGGCTGATTTGGGAAAGTACTACGAGACAGCCGCAAACTTGGGCGACACTGGTAAGTTGTATCGATTGATGCCCTGGATGGCTCAGCCCGACTCACAAGATGCCAGATGCGATGAATGAGGTTGCTTGGTGTTACGTTGAGGGTTTTGGGTGCAAGAAAGATAAGGTACGGAGATGTCCAAAACGACCCCTATGAGAACCGAAGCATCCAGCTTCAGGGGACCATATCCATTAAGCTCCCCAGCCTCGCAGCGTGTGTGGCTTACGCACGGCTCTGTCGCTATGATGACTGCGTTTGGGCAGCAATGAGGCTTCGGCTTCCACGCAACGCACCTCTGCAGTTTTTACCCCACGCAACATATGCATCAACCATTCAATTCAACGAACCATGAGGCTGACTTGAAGGCTCTCTCTCAGTACGCAGCAGCCAAATACTACCGGCGCGCCGAAGCAGCGGGCAGTAAGACCTTGGGCAATTCCTGGTAAGTCACATTATCGCTCCCCCCAAGTCATTCCGGTGCATGAACAGCGGGCATGCGCGCCCCATCCCGTGCAGAGCGAGTTCCGGATGATGAGCGCGATACACGGCCGATAGGCTGTGGTTTCTTCTTCTTCTTTCCCCCCCTCTTCACCTCACTTATGTGGAGAAAAAGTGCGGCTGCTTACTATTGGACGTTTTTCCGCAGGATCTGGAAGGAGAAGTACGACGAGCCGAAGAAGAAGTGAAGTGAAGTGAGATTGGTCGCGATTCATCATCTGCTGCTGCATAATAAACCCCGCCAACTCTTCTTCTTCTTTTTTTTCCTTCCCTTTTACTACTACACTACTCTATACTACTCTATAGGTACATATGTACATGTACATGTATCATGTTACATACCGTACGTACCTTAGGTCGTGTTAGGTCGTTGGTTCGTTCCCTCGGCTCCGTTCACCTCCTCTCTCTTCCATGAGTACAGGCCAGCCAGGGTTCGCGCTAGGTAGGCGTCAGCATGGTGCGCGTTTCTGTTCTGTGGTGTGGTTTCCGGACTTTATTGAGACAACGCGTGATTGATGGATCATGGGTATGCAGGCTTGGTGTTGGTCGGTCGGGACGGGGCGCAAGTCTCATGTTCATGTAAGGTATGTATGTATAGTATGTATGTATGTATAGGTACTGTACGTACTGTACGTAGGTAGGTAGGTAGTAAGCCTGCAGGCGTGATCATGGCGCATCAGCTAAGAAAAGAAAATAAAATAAAAATAAAATAAAATCAATCAATCAATGAATGAAATAGCTGTCTATAATACATCCCGTTATTGTAGTGTAACACAGTCCAAAACAATACGAGAGCGAGAGATTTATCATCTAGTTCCATCTATCTATCTATCCAGATATAGAAAACTCCCCTATCATAACCACCCACCCACCTACATATCAAGGGTTTAGTTTGTATTGGATTGGCTGGCTATCATGAACGAATACTACCTTAAGGTAAGAGGGTTGGTTCAAAGAGTCATGCCACCGTGGCACCGAAGTTCGAACCGAACGAACAGAACCCCTTGATTGATCGGCCATCCAGACAGAAGACAGAAGACAGAAACGGATAGATTGGTAGGTAGGTAGATATGGAGAGAGAGAGAGGGTCAGATAGATAGATAGATAGATCTACGTACGACAACTCAAACGCTGGTATCAGGCGGTGGTGCTATTCATCAAGTGATGATTTCTTCACACCCTTTTTTCTTTGGTACTTTTTTCTTTTTTTTTTTCTTGGTCTTTTTTTTAACTCATTTCATGTATATTCCTGTCAAGTGAAGCAAGCTAAGTACATATGCCTCCCGGGATATAATAGATGCAGGAAGGGATGCAAGAAATCGTTAAAAAAAAAAGCCAAAAAAAAAGCCAAAAAAAAAAAAAAAGGTATTAAAGAGTCAAGCTGGATCAGATCTTCATGATCATTAGCCAATAAACACTGTGCCCTCTCTCTGTCGTAGTATTTTTCATCATCAAGCATCATCGATCCACGCCGTGCGAATCGTTAGGGTCGTATTCGTCATGCTGTCGTAGAGTGTAATGTTGGATGGTGGTGGTATCTTTAAGTCGTGAATTTCGTCAAGTCGTCTTAGATAGGTAGGAAATATGTGTGGACGTTTTTTATCCTCCGTCCGGTACCCGTTTCCCCCCGTCCTGTCGTCAATTTACATGAATGCCCTTTCCCAGAGCTGAATCTGTGCTCGTTGTTGCGCTATACCCGGCAATTCCCTCGCTCGCTGTGCCATGATGATGAAATATGCAATAAGGAAAATGACATTCAGATGAAAGGAAACCAAAATTCAACGCTCGCTCGCTTGCCCATAAAACAAAAATGAAATCCGTAAATGCGTGAGCACAAGATCTCGTAATGGTTTGAGGTTGTAAACATGATTGTAGAAAGGAAAGGTATGCCCGAGTGGGCCAGTGAAGTCCGACGAGATAATCGTCGAACGGGATCTACCCAGCGACGTTGCACTCCTTTTGCTCGTTCTGTGAATTGTTGCATTCCGAAACCATCTTCGCAAAGTTGCGGACGACCTCGCTTGGAACCTGATCCCAAAGGAGTGAACGAGTGTACACCTCAGCTGCAGAGTTCTTGCTATTGCTTCTCATAGCAGCAAGAGTTTCCCCGAGATTCCGACGTCCTTGAGAGGTTGAACGAGGAGGGCTATTCTGCAGGAAATCCGGAGAGACAAGACCATTATATTGCGCTGCTGATAGCGAGAAAAGTTGCTCGTTGTTCTGTTCTTCGGTCGGTTGTGCAAGGCTGTCTGCGAGGTCCCCAAGAGTCGATGAGGCGACGCCGACCATTTCACTTCCCCCCATTGACGGAACAGGGTTGTTTGACCAGGAGTTGGAGTTGCCAGAAGGGAGTGGAGCTGCGACCTCAGAGACACCGGAGGCAGTTTGTGGCACGCCAGCATCTTTGAAGATATCCTCGAGGAGAGTGGCCGAGGCAGCTCGAACATCATCTGACATTTTAGGAATGCTGGGTGTCGAGCCTTTTGAAGCAACGAAGGCGCCAAAGAGGAGCAGCATCAACAGGAGGCCTTGAGCAGCAGGTTTTTCCGGTTCACTCAGCAGGGAGTTTTCAGTCTTCTTGACAGGAACAACAGCGTTCTCGACCTTGACCTCAGGCTCGGCAGCGAAATCATTGACGAAGGAGATGTTGTCCCAAGCACCGTCCATTGTGAGACTATCGATGTCTGCATAGTCGGCAGAGAAACCGGTAGAGCTGGGGACGTTTGACATGCCGGTACTCTCCAATCTCTGAATATGCTCGGTGAGCACACTCACTTTCTTGCGGAGGTCGCCAGATTCAATGGTGTGGTTTCGAACCATCTCTTCCTTCTCGAGCTGCATGTTCTCGATGTACTGTTGGTACTGCTGTTCCTTACAAGCCCACTCATCGAGAGCTAGCTTTGCCTCGGCCAACTCCTCCTCGAGCTCGCTAATGAGAGCAGTGTAATGCTTCTTCTCATCCTCGAGTCTCTCGGTATGCTGTTTCTTTCGCTGACGGGAGTCAAGTCTAAAGTGAAGGTTAGTGGGCCGAGGCCAACCAAAGGGGAGATGAGACCAAAATATAGGAAGGCGTACGCTGCTTGTCTATTCCTCAAGAGGCGCTTTTGTTGCTTGAGCTCCTTGATCTCTTGCTCATCGGTGGACTGGGCAATCAGTTGGTCGATATTGGTGAGGTTCCTTTCAGCGGGGATGTCGAATCGGGCGTTCTTTTTCCGAATACCATCTCCTCTCCTTGACATATCGGTGTGTGACCTCAGGGCTGGACTGTGAGGCCTCATCCGCTTCGGCATGGCTCGATGATCCATCGCCTCCGCTACCGACCATTCCTTTTGAGGTGAGGGGGGGATGGATCCGTTGCTGGTATTTGCCGAGGAGAACAACGGCATCTGGTGGTTTCCGGAATTGCTGAAGGGGGTCTGCTCTTGCATCGGTCGTTGGAAGATGGGTGCATTGACATCGAACTCCGCCGGTAAGCCATCGTGAACTTGCTGCATCGGTGTGCTCATGCCCGAACCATTGCCCATCGACCATCCGTGACCCTGGTGCCCATACGACGAGGACTGCGCATCGAGCCGCATGAAAGGATTCTTGCTCTGCTCCACAAACGGATTGTTGGAAGGCATCGACTGCATGTCGACATGCTGCCATTCATCGGCCTTGGGCGAGAACAATGCGGACGATACTGCAAACGAATCCCGCCGGCTGCCGTTCATGGGTGGTGACATCTCCAAAGCTGAATCCAGGGTGCTGTGGTCGAGGATGTGGTCGTCCAAGATACTGCCCTCGTCCTCTTCGAAGTAATTATGGGTGTGCGTATCGAGCGTCAGGGAGGACGGCCGGTAGTAGTTTTGAAATGCTGCCATGGTCGTCGGGATTTGCGGTGGTGGTGGTGGTGGTGGGGGAAGGGAAGCGAGGTCCGGATATGTGTGTGGTGGTGGTGGAGGTGGGCTGGCGGTGAAGCGATGAAGCGATGAAGATGAACAAGAGGAGGAATCGCCGATGACCACGACGATTAAGAAGAAGCAGAGAGGATGAAGTGAAGCGGTCGTAAGTGTCACTGAGGGGTGACAGAGAGATTATTATTCGAGGAGGATTGGGTTCGTGTAATAGCAAAGAAGGCCTCCCGGGAGTGAGGGGAGACAAACGTTGTAAGGTGTACGAAGAAGAAGTAGAAGTACGGAGGAGGGAGGAGGGAGGTGAGAGTGAGAGTGAGACCGAGACTGAGACTTGAGTCTAAGAGTCTTGGGCGTCCTGAGCGTCTATACCGTACAGCGGGTATAGAACGGTATGTGCAAGTTATGTTGTTATTGTTGTTGTTATGTGGTGTGGTGAGTAGATCGCCGTGATATGTATAGGGACGGGTGCTCCAGGTTCTTATCCCAGCGCGCCTCTCTCTCCGGGCAGCGGATGGAGCAGTAGTCTGCAAGTGCAGAGAGTCAAGGCCGTCAAGTGGATGGGTTCGAAGGGGACGCTGCCCCGGCCTATCGACATGGACAGATCCATCCCATCGACGGAGTCTCTCTGCCCAGTGCTCTCAGTGCCCAGTAGTGCCCAGTGCCCACCACCGCCCGCCCGCCCCTGGCCCCCCTCGCTCCTCGTCCCTCTCGTCCCTCTCGCCCCTCCTGGCGCCATGCAAAAAACGGGAGGGAAAAGCAAGGCGGGTGCGGGTGCAAGCGATAGAAGCTGATCATTTGGACGGCCTTACCGTGTTGGTCGGGGGAGACAGGGAACGGGGACGGGGACGGGAATGGGGACAGAGGGGTCCTGGATGGAACATTCATCATCCATCCTGTGTACAACAACAACAACAACCACAACAACATCCTACTCTCCCGTAGCTCATGCTCCTCTGCTGCTGCGCATGCTTCCTGCTGATGGATCATGGCCCCCCCGCGAGGTTGGGCATCTACGGAGCCAGTCCACTACTAACCCAAGCGTGCTCATAGAGTCCCGCCCCGTCTCTCAGTCTCTGCGAATCTCTGCGCATCGCTGCGAATCCGCGACGATGCTTGCCGCGACGACGAGCCCCGATAGGCTCCCCACCGCCCTCTTGCATGACAAGTGGCCCGGGGCCAGGTTTGTTTCCGCAGCGCAACCATGCCCGCGCGTCCTTATTGGAGTCGCCAGGGCCCTCCCAGAGTCATTGTTGTTGGTCGAGTGATGGATGGGTTGACCGCCGCGCGCCGAAGGGAGAGAGAGAAGGGGGGGGTCTTGGTCTTGGAGAGGGTCAACCTCGTAACAGGAAAACGAACGCCAATCGCCGACTTGAGGCAATCCAATCCTATCCTATCCTACCCTATCTATCCTCCCGTCCGTCGTATACGAAGCAGCAGTACCTCGCAGGCTCGTGGTCTTACGCGTAGTAGATGAGGTCCTTTTGTACCGACCTGCTCCAGTCCCGCGCGGTGATACACGGACGGACGAAGGAGATTGATTGATTGATTCCAATCCCTTCATGACTGCTGCTCTGACCATCCATGTCACGCGTCCACACGTCTGTCTGTCTGGTTCGTGCTTCTATTTCTGGCTCTGGTTCAGGCTCTTGTTCTCGTTGCATGATCTTCATGAACCTCCCCCCCCCATCGTGATCAACCGTTGGAAAAACTTAACCTGTGAGCAATAATGCTGATGCCGTCATGTCCTCCCCCTAAAGCCCTTTCCCCCCCGCCGGATCGAATGCACAGTGCACACCCCCCCTTAGGCACGGCGGCCTCAACTGATGGGGAGCGAGCCTTGAGGGAGTCCGCCGCGGTGATAGGTAGGAGAGCGCTGCGTGCTATCGGAAGATGTTCCAGACTGCACCCAACAACGGTATGATTGATTCCTGAATGCCCAACCCCTTAGCCAAGGCATCTCGTTTCTTCTCTTCTGACGACTACTGGGTCACGCCCCCGCCTGCAGAATCCTGAGGGCCCGAGCCAGTAAGATATGTATAATACACCACAGTGCTCGTCTCCCACTTGCTGGAGAGGGCGGCGGGCGCTCAGCGGGAGACGGTTCCCATGAACGGACTAGTAGGAACCCCTGGTCGGGTAAGTTGGGCACCTTATTTGGACGAAACATTCGAGACCGCCTGGTGAGGAGAGAGAGTCCTGTTGACTCTTTTGTTATCCAGCCAATCTATCTACAACTGCCAGTGCTGAACCTCGAGAAAGTCCAGGGCGCATAAGGCACAAGTCGAGGAGTTCCGACTGCCCTGCCTATGGCCGTATGACAGACAATCCTACTTGTTCATTATTACCCGGAAGAGTTCATCCTGACCGACACAAGGTGGTTCGGGAGCAGGAGCAAAACTGCCATTCTCTTTTGGGACACACTTCTACAGTATTTCGTATCGCGAACTATTCATTCAGCAGGGGCGCGTGGGATGGCGCGAAACGACGAATGTTTTCCCAAACCTTCAAAATAAACACGGAGGAGCGGTGTACGGTACTGCAGCACCTTGCTACCGGGATTTATTTATTTCGACTCATAGTGGAGAACCACGAGGAGGCTTTTTGCCGTTCTGCTCTTCTCAGTGGCCGCCGATACCTACCTTACGTCTCGTCTGTCTCCATTGCCTCCTGTCACTCTCTATCAATCTTAAAAATTTCCACAGCAACTTTCAAAGACTCAAACAATATTGCTAAGCGGCCAAGGACAGCTGCAGCTATCTACCTCACCGCCAGCCCTCTTCTCCCGGGCAACCAGGGGTAGTTCCGCGCGTGTGCCTATTCCGGCCAAATCCGCGAGCAAACAAACGGTCCCTCTCGCTCGCCACTGAAGGATTGTCGGTCAAGTTACTCAAGTATCGCTTGTTCATTCCATCTTTTGTGAAACGCTGGCCCTCATCTCATAAATAAACAATCTCTCTCCAATAAGAATAATAGCCGGCAAACGACATACCATACATCATTCGGCCGTTCCGGCAACAGTAGTGAGTGTAATTGAACATACGTACGTAGAGTACGTACGTACCTGAACATATGTATTCGTCCCACCTCTTCTCTAGGATGGATATGCATACAGCCCCTGCACAAGATCCTCATCGGAAGAGGCCGTACCCTTGCTATGCTATGTTGGTCATGACCTTCGTTCTCCTTGTTTCGAACAGGGCCGTATCTGAGAGATCTCCCCTTTCTGGGGGGGGGGGGGAAGCGATTAGAATCTTCTATGTTGCTTCTTCTCGCTCTCTCCCCTGATTGATGATGATGATACTGATACCCAAGAGAGAGGGAGGAGGAAGAGCGGTGAAGATATCATCCATGAATAGATACCAGTTTGACAGTGACTCATCTCTGAAAGATCGGCCCAAATATAGATCATAGATTTTCTTTCGGTAGGTAGGGATAACAAACAAACAACAACAACAACAACAAAGTCACTCAATCAGTCAAGTCACTCACCCAAAAAACACACAAACCCGCTCTCTTCCTTCCTTCCTTCCTTCCTTCCTTCAGCCACCCACCCGTACGACACGCACTGTAATCATCAGATTTCACACTAGCAAGTATTCTTTGTTTTTTTTTGTTTTATGCTCAAGAAGCGGTCATCACACCTCACCTCACCTCTCTCTCCCTGAATGAAAAGGGGGTTGGGTATAATGAGGAATCCTAGTCCGATGTTCAGATCAAGGGGGTGTGCAATAACAGAATGAATGGATTTGGAGGTAGGAGGACCCAGTGTGATATTGATGGATGGATGATGAACTCCCAGAATTCTGAGGCAGGCAAATGGAGATGAGACTTTTCATGGCTGGGTTCAAGGGATAGATTAGATTAGATTAGAGAAAAGCTCACCTTTAGAACAAGATAAAAGCAACACAAAATGAAAGTTAGCTTGATTGATTGATAATAGAACAATAATGAGAGTGAAAGCGAGCAAGAAATTTTCTCCCAAACGAACGGATGGCTTCATGAGATACTCCAGTAAAGGTATAATAATATTTTTCTATTCTTTCTAAGTTTTTTCCCTGCGAAGAAACTGATGAGAGCAAAACCTCCTCAGTCCAAAAGGACTCTTAGTCCGGGTATTTCCATATATCATAACCGTCAAAAATGAAATGCTTCAGCCTATGCAATGCAAGAAAGGACCATAACGCCTATCGATCATGCGGAGCATGGTCGAATCTTCAAAGAAAAGGACAACCCAACAACGGAGAATTGTTTTTTGGCCGAGCTCGCCCAAATCCATAACCAACCTCCGAATAGAGATAGGCATTAGATAATTAGTAGTGATTCAAAAAAATCACGAGAGTTGAACGAAGTCCTGTTGCATAGGGATATCCGTATCTGTCTCTCCATCGTCATTACCAAAATACTCTTCCTCGAGATCGTCTGAGTCAACGTCATCACTGTCAATTTCTTCATCCTCCTCGTCACTCGAAAGATCACTACTCTCGTCCTCGGCGGAAGAGTTATTTGTTCGCATAACGCTCGCTTTGTGTCGGTGAGGCAATTTGCACCCTTTCGTGGTACATACACCTGTGTTACTGAAGTCAGGGCATTCATGAACATGTCGCTGATCACAACTTGCTCCTTTCTCGCAGTAACCATAGATGCCAAAAGATCGGCAAACCAGAGCAGTCGGTGACACCTTCACATGGGTGTAACGACAGTTGGGATTCGAGCAATTTCCTTTAGCAAAGTGCAAGCAAGTCGGGGTCCTCTCTGGGGTGAGCTCATGGGAAAGGTCACAAGAATCTCCACTTGGACATGACCCCTTCAGAAGAAAGTCTTTGCATACTGCAACCTTTGAGGGATCATGAATATACCGGCATCTGGGACCTTTCGGACAGGAACCTAAAAAAAAGCGACAAGGTTAGCTGCGATCCGAGTTCTCCTCCTCTTTAAGTATAACTATGGAAATTCGAAGGCTTTGAAAAGAAAGAAGGTACCCGTAGTTGAGAAAATCCTGCATGGCTCGTTGATCTTTTTGACGACTCCGGTTCTCCTGGCGTTGGAAAAGTCAGCGTTATACTGGGAATGAATGGCGATACCCATGTCAAATTTAATCGATGGTCGACCGTACCGGTGGGCTTTGATGATTCCAGATCGAAATAGGTTTCCGTTCTTGCTTCTGTAAAACCTAACACCGCCGACTACTGCAGTCTTCGGGGTCGATTTAGCGGCATTGAGATCTCCTGTACACGGTGAGCGCAATTCATAAACACACAAACAAGCCTCTCTACAAGGCCTCGTTGGTTGTGGGCTCTCACCAGGAACTTTGACAAGTTTGCTACCGTTCTTAGTAACTCGAAACCGAATTCCTTGAACCATTATTTCGTAATTTCCGGGCAGATCAGCAGGTCGTGGTTGGACACCACTAACATGATCAATGTTGCCAGCCAAACGTTGAAGATGCTTGCTCAGTCTTGCTTTCTCCCGTTCGTCTCTTTGCCTCAGTTTCTGTTTCCGAGTCTCCTCCATAGCTTTGGCTCGATTTTGGCTCTCTTTCTCAAAAATAGAGGTATTGATCAACTGAAGGTGACGATCCGTCTTTGTAACCCAACCTTGCGTAGTAGTCGCATGCCCGGCTACGTTTTCTGAATTCTCGGCGTCGGGGGTGGCGATTGCAGTGTTTGTAGGAGTCGCATTGCTGCCATTTAACACCAGTGTTCGATTTCGATGGATCTGCGCTCGACCTCCTCTGATATACCCCCGTGAAGAATATGCACCGCGGCTTGGCCTCCATCCTAGATGTGCTCGAGAGGGATCTTCAAATCCGTCAGTTGGGTGTTTGCGAGGTCTGGCGAACGACTCCATACTTCCGCGAATGTTGGTTCTCGATGCTGGTGCAAACTGTGTCTGTTGATCTAAAGGTTGCCTGTTCTTATGACGATTAATTTGCCCTACAGCAGCAGAATCGTGTCAGTTTTGGAAGGATAGGGCAAACAAGGATAGGTGGTGGCGAACTCACCAGCGAGCTGGCTGATCTTTGCGAGGATCTCTTGATCCTCCGAAGTCATAATTAAGGAGTCCTGTTTGTCAGTTACGTGTAATCGAGTTGGCACCAGGCGTTTGGATAAATAATTGTCGCGTGAGAGTGGTGAAGAAAAAGAAGTTCAAACTGAGGTGGAAATTGATCCTAGGTACCTTAGGTAAGGTACTGATACCGGAAAGTTAGCGCCTGCAGATTAGCGCGCGCTTCTGAGCACGCTCCCGGTGAATCCTTGTCTATTCGAATGGCAGGCTCGCCTTTGAAGCCTCTCTCGAGAGAACAAGGCCCTCATCATCGAACAACTTGTGAATAGAGAAAGCAACGATCGCAACACAACCGCTCGCCTTTTTCTTCTTGTATGGGGGCCCCCCGATAATACTGCTTATTCAGGACCATGGCGGACCCTACGATCAAGCCGGACCCTGATGCGCCAGGCGCGTCACCAGGAGTTTTTACCGACGACGATATCTACGAAGACGCGGGGGATCTCGAGTTCAACACTGACCCAAACTTCCAGAGGCTGTATCTCGCTCGTGTCCCGCGGTATGTCTGGGAAGCGTGGTCAAAACTCGACGAGGATGCAGAGATTCGGATTGGAACCATCAGGCAAGTCCAAGAGACTGGGCCCGATGGCCAACCAAAGGTATTGCACTTCTCACCACTTACGAGAGCTCATTACTGACTTCTGGTTGCAGACATCGCTTTCAATGCTATTATCTTCCGAGGTCGGCGTGCACCAAACAATCCCGAAAGAATATATGTTAGACGTGACGGCTGAATCAGTGAACAACACATTCGTCTTTACGGAACAGGACCTGCCTGGATTCAAGTCGAAATCCAGACAGAAATTCGATCTTAGTAGCGCCAACATGCCTGCCAGGCTCACTCGCCCAAGGATCGAGAAGACGAAGCAACCATGGGACCCCAACAAAAAGTTCACACCATATTTCAAAAAAGCGATACCAAGTGAGTTCGATCCTGTGGGTCGTTGAATAATGTTGATGTTGACCCAACCAGAACGAACAACCCTTGCCGGTAGAGTAGCGCATGAAGTAAACAGTGTACCAGTGGAGAATGAAGAGTCTCAACGACTCCTGGCAATGAAGACAAGGGAGGCCATGAAGCCCAAGTTCTTTACTAAGTTCGTTGACGAAGATCTTTCCGACAATCGCGCGGGCTTTATCCAGCCTGGCACAGTTGCAGGAATGAATGCCTTTGGTGGTTTCATTGTAAGCATCCTCGAGACGCTTTTGTCTTTCATACCTTATACTGATTCTCCAAAGAAAACCAAAGGGCCCACTGCTGGCAACAGGCCACAGCTTAGCAAGGCTGCTCGTATGCCTCAAAATGAACTTCTGGATAGGATCTTCGAATGCTTCAGGCGGTATAACTACTGGTCCATGAAAGCTCTACGCGCCGAACTCCAACAACCCGAGGCATATCTTCGGGAAACATTAGAGAAGGTTGCAGTTCTAGCAAAGAGTGGACGCTTCGCCACACAATGGTCGTTGAAGCCCGAGAATAAACTAGCGAACTACGAGGGGAGCGTGGATGCGGCTGCTCCCACTAACGAAGAAGAATCGGATACGGGCATGGACGATGATGAGGATGATGAGGACGTTAAATTTGAAGACGTGGTCCCATCATAGTCACCCTGGGATACTTGCATACACGGCGTTTTGAGGGGCAGGAAAGACTGGTTTGCACACTGGCGTTTTTCCACGCATCTACAAATACAAGGTAGGTGCAACGGGTTTGCTATGGCTGAGAGTAAAATTTTCATATAAAGAATCAAAGTCGTTTAATGGAGTTGATTCTATCATTGTATACTATGTCACTGTCCAAATAACAAGACGGCAAGTTATGCTTGACGTCTATCCTGTAAATACGGCAAGCAAAGACGCCGATCCACGATGCATAGCGCTCTCCCACAACTCCAGACTCTGAATGGCGAGAACACCAATTCCGAACCAATAATATAGCAAGAGAATTTCGTGCCCCAAGGAGGCTCCCATATTAGACGTTGTCTCAAATCATCATAGTAAGGTCCCCTGTATTCCTCACGACCTCCTCCACAATCCTCAGCACTTCTTCCCTACCTCCCCTAATCGCCCACCTAACATCCTTCTGCATGCCACTCTCTCTAAAGTCCACACTCCTCAAGCTCTCTCCCGCTTCCCGCATGAGCCTCCCAACCCGACTTGTAGTTAACCAGAGACAATTCCTGGCGGTGACGGACTCTAAGTATGGTAATTTGAGGATATAAGAGATGATTTCGTCCGCGTAGAGAGGGATCGCTTCGCTGTATTGCCAGGTCCAAGACGGAGGGATATCGGAGACGAATATTTGAGAGTGGGGTTGTGAATTGGGGTACTCAGGGGGACGGAGTAGGAAGTCGGAGGCGAGCTGGAGGCGGCTGATATTGATTTTTCTGCGGAGGGTTAGTCGAGGAGTGCTTTGAAAGAGTGGTGATAGGTTTAAGTTATTTGGGAACTACCCTCTAGAAGTTATACTCTCATGGCTCCTGTAACCACTTGGTCTAGTCACATATGGATATGGGAGAGCATACCGAATTCTCTTACAAGCCCCAAGAACATGGCAAATGCCTCCAACAGGAATATCTCTCATCCGACGAAAGCCTTTCAAGAGGGGACTCGGGGCCGGGTGTGAAGAAACCTGCGCCCTTGCATACTTCCTGCCCCCAACATAGGACGTGTTATGATATCGACACTTGAACTCTCTCCAACCGGCTTGCGGCTCAAGACCCCAATGCTCCCCTGCCCCTGCTCCAAAATAGCTGAGATCCAGAACCCGGACCATTTCAGCATAATGCTCTTTGTGACTGACGGTCCGCGCAAATTGGGCATAGCGATAGGTACTGGCAAAGAAGGGCTGAAAATACATGCGTGAAGCAGCAATTTCGAGGAAGTATGAGTTTGTGAGCATGAGAGCGTGTAAATCAGGCTGGGCCAAATATTGGAATATACAAGCCAAGATCTCGGCTGGCATGCTGGCCAGTGTTGAAGTCGGTGGTATTCTGTAAACCCTTGATAATACAGAATAAGTGAACGATTTAAGAAATATCAAGGAGGGTGACTTTCGACGTCTACGGATAGTATTCGGTTCGGTCTTTGATCTGATAGGGATGACTGGTCGTATCAATGATCGAATTGGTTTCCCGAAGGTGGCATGTTCGGCTTTCCGATACTCTTCCACATGTAGGAGAGACATAGTCAACTTCTCCCTTGACCTCGCAGGTCCGTTTCCGTCGCCTCTTGAGGGAATAGATCCAGGACCTTCTTTAGTGGTCCGGCATTAAGTTTTGGTGGTGGGCGGAAAACCAAGTTGTTGGACAGTTGAGACAGGCAAGGCAATCCTGGGTCTCCTCTCCCTCACCCAAACCTTGAGTTAATATCAATAAGAGTGGTTAAATGACTTCGAGGGGGTTATCAGTTTTCAAAACATCTTGATTTTGAGACCAATTCGTTAAATATGAGGTATGTCCTAGCGCCTACGGAAAAGAAAGTATACCGTGGCTGGCATTCCTTTTGATAAAGACGAGTTTCAAGACAACAAAACGCAAGAATGTATAAATGCATGCAAGAAAATACTGGGCTGTATGCGAACTACCCGATGGGCATGAATGCTTTTTGAAACGGTCGTACCTTAGATCAAAAATCTAAGAGGCAGGTCCCTGCATTGGGCTTCCAAGCAAGGAACAGGTGCCAGATGATGAGTGAAGACGTACTCACATGCAGGATTAGCCACGAGTACATATTTAACAAGCCGGCAACAGCCAGGTATTCTAGTGCGCCTTCTATGTGTAGGGAGGACAAGGACAATGTGACATCAGGTTTCTCCTAACAAGTACGAAAGACGGAATTCTGAGACTTCAGTGCTTCCTTATACCCTCGAGATTCAAAATCGAAAATTCTCAAAGGAAGAGCAGTTTGGATGGGAGAGGCTGTCCGACTTCCGACATTCCTCCTCTGCCACGTAGGTAGACCAATCCTTCCGGCAACAGGTTTTACCAGGTGCTCGTCCGCCAAAACAAGCCTGAGAAGACGCGTGCGCCGCGCGTCAGATGGCAATATTCTGTCAATTGGTGGTCTGAGGAATATTGGACCGCACCTGGTCGATCGCCACTTTTTGAGCCAAATTCTCCGGATGGTTGTGGTCCCTTGACTGTGGTCACTCGGATCACTATCGCCATGCAAGGCTTTGAGCCTTGAACATAAGGCTCACCAGCCTTCCAGGATACAGGTCCGTAGCCTTGCTCGCTTAAATATTGAAGCCGTCCCCACCTTCAGCTATCAGCTCTACGAAGGTAGATTGACCTCGATCTCAACTATCCCCCCAAACATACCAGACAATATCCGAAGTTAGTGCCATGGCCTCTCCAAAGATATCCCAAGCACTGCAGGAAATAGCAGCCTCTGCAGAAAAAGAAAAGGGCTACGAAGCTCTGCTTTCTGAAGTCCGTTCCACATCCTCCTCATCACAGCTCCCCGGAGATCTAATCGCCATCATCGATGCCATATTCGCCGACTCTCTCGGTATAGTCGTAACGCGGTCTCTCAGCATCCTCTTCGTTCAAACCCTCAAAGAAGTGCCCAGCAATGATACCAAAATCGAAGTTGGCGAACATGCTCTCACCATCTTTCAATCTCAAGCTTCCTCTTTCGAGGAACAAATCACCCAGGTCAGGGAGCTTATGGCAGATGCCCACGAGAACGACGAAGACTTCCTTGCTGCTGCAAAAGTTTTAGCTGGCATTCCCACCGAATCATCACAGAGAAAGGTCACAAACGAGGACAAAGTTCGCGTCTGGATCCGCATCACACGGAACTATCTCGAAGTCGACGATACGACGCTCGCAGAGCAATATCTCAATAAAGCCAAAAACCTCATCTACACAGTATCAGACCGTGATCTGAATCTACATTTCAAACTCTGCCAAGCTCGTATCCAAGATGCTCGGAGGGATTTCTTAGCTGCGGCACAAGGCTACCAGGATATCAGTTTCATGCCGGTCATTGCTGAGGAGGAGCGTTTGCATACTCTAAGCATGGCTATTAAGTGTGCTGTTCTGGCACCTGCCGGCCCTGCTCGCAGTCGTGCACTTGGCAGGTTATATAAAGATGAACGAGCCAGCACATTAGAGGAATACGGTATTCTGGAGAAGATGTTCTTGGATCGTTTGTTAACGCCTGCAGAGGTAGACAAATTTGCAGAGGGACTGGCGATTCACCAGCTAGCTAAGACGGCGGATGGCAGCACAGTACTCGCGAAGGCCGTCGTAGAGCATAACCTGCGAGGTGCGTCCAGATTGTACAGCAATATCGGCTTTGATGACTTGGGGCTACTCTTGGGCCTGGATGGAGATAAGGCAGAGGAGACGACAGCTAGAATGATCGAACAGGGGCGTTTGGTTGGCAGAATTGATCAGATTGAGAGGGTCATCTGGTTTGAGGGTGGAGAAGCTACAGGAGAGAAGGGTAGTGGTAGGGCAGCTGGGGTGGTTGGCAGAGAGCTGCGCAGATGGGATGCTAATGTCCAAGGATTGGCAGAGGAAGTGGAGAAGGTCACTTCAGAGCTTCAGTTACGATACCCTGTGAGTGTGAACTTCCCATGATACTGCTGAATTATGTTAACCCTACTCGCAGGATTTTGTGGCCAAACATTTGGTAGTTTAATGGAGCTAATGTCACAGGGAGACACAAGTCGGCGTTTAGGATGGAGCTGCATGGAAATCTGGGGCCGTGTATCCCGAACATCATGCAACGGCGTTAACAGAGATACGAGATCAGAATAGCAATAGTGACGGAAAATTAGATCAAGTATGTCAACATGGCTGTATCAGAGCTTAAATATTCTATGCATCACTTATGCTTACGGGCTGCATAACTACTCACTCGGGGACTTCAGTTGCTCGTACTACCCTCCCATGGAGATCCTTTCTATTTTACCTTCTTGGCTTTCATGACTTTCTTTCTCGTTTTCAACTCACCCTTGAAATGGCTTTGGGTCCCTTTCTCTGATACTTCAGTCTCCAAAATGAGTTGGAGTAGTCTCTCAGAAAGCAGAGTTCCCATGAGATCATATCCAGCCTCTGTCAGATGCGTTCCATCATCCCAGATTTCCTTCCTCTGATCCTCCGGCATTGAGAAATACGGGATTGCGGAGAGGAGATCAAATGTATTACTATTCTTGTTAGCTTTGGTCTTCATGCCACACTCCCTAGGGTACTGCTAAACATACAAATTTTCAGCCTCATGGGACAATATCAGATCATTGAGATGATCACGTTCTGCACCGAGAGTAGGGGGGAAATCGCAGTCTCCGCACTCGGGAACAGTAAGAGCGAGGACTTTTGTTCCGGCCTGGAGTGGAATCTCGTAGACCTCTTTCAGGGCGTTCCAGATGTTGTCGCCGCTACTGGTCATCTTAAGATCGTTGGTCCCACCCAGGATGATGGCCCAGTCATATGGGTTTTCGTTTTCTTGGTCTGTAGTGTTGTTAGTTGGAAGGGTAATAAAAGAGGTTCGTAAAAGGGGAAATCTTTCTCGAGACTACATCAAAGCATAAAGCCACACTAGTGACATTCAATTCAAAGTACAGATAATGTAGTTTTAGTACTCCAAGTTCTTTCTCTTACATTAAGCCTCGGCGAGTCCAGTTACCAGCGTGCTTGCAACGGTGCACAAACAAACAAACAACTAAAACTGCTGGAATAGTTTCAAGGCCTCAACTCAATAAAATGATCCACTCACACAGCGTCTTCATTCGCGGCAGGAAAGAGCCAGGCGGGCTAACCGCTTGATCACCAGGCAAGCCCTGAACGTCAGTAGTGATGTTTGTTGATGGAAGGTATTCCTCGAGAGAAGAAACTAGAGATCCCGCATATGGATGCCAGACTGAACCAGACTTAGTCCACCCAGCTGTAAGGCTGTTGCCAAAACATAGAATGCTGAGAGGTCTCATGGCGAGAATGCCGGCGTCAATACAGGTACAGTTTTCCTTGATCCAGCCAGAGCTTGCTTTGGGATTGGATGAATTCCCAAATTATTCAATAGATGGGCACAAACAGGTCAAAGATGACCTACGGTACACATAGGTACCTAGGTACCTTTAATGACGGTGATTCGTGTGAAACTCTGCTTACATACTCGTTTGTTCCAACAATGACCCCTATAGCTGAATAGGTACCTAAGTACCTTCCGTTGTACCTCAGCAAGAAACCGGATTTCCCGAGGCATGCGGGGAAGATGGTGGCAGAATAAAGGCGGTGAAGAAGCCATGAGGTTCTCGTCCAGCAACGCGGTTGCTATGTTTACATTTAGAGCCCAAACACGGCGGCCAATCATTCCCTAAGCCTACTTGGGCCAAGTACATATCCAGGAACAACTGCACCACGCGATGATTCTTCCATCAACGCGCATTGCCCCCCCAGCACCTTTGCTACCCCGAACGCGGATTATGGAATCAATGACTACGACGTGCAACTTATCATTCGACAGCAGAAACCCCTATTCATCGTTATATCTGTGACCCTACCCATATCCGACCTCAATGGCAATGGCATCACCAACCCCGATGGGCTCCTCCCATTTTGCATCGCTCTCCAGACGACCCTCTTCACGACAAGCATACAGACAGCAACCCTCTAGGCCTCAGCTGGCCCATGATGAACCTTACCACCCAGAAAACCACGCGCGGCATTATTCCCTGAACGACAGCTCCGACGATGAAATACCTTTGCCTATGAAATTCAGTGCTCTCACGAAAGCCTTGCTCAATGATGAAGCTTCTCTGGTCGAGAAATCTCCCCCGAGATCAGCTCGGAGAAGTCCTACGTTCAGTGGGCACAATAGGACACATGTGAAAGCTGGGAGCGAAGGCACCCTCGATTCGCCAAACCAGGATCGAGTATCTCCTCCAGGTAGTCGAGTCCACAGTCCATATCCTCGGCGGGTGGTACGACTAAGCGGAACTCCTGGTTCCTCAACCCTTAGGAGAACATCATCTTTGTCAAGTGCCGTTAAAAGACACAATGAACAAGCTGCTGCGAAAGCAGAAGGCCCATTGGATCTCAGTACACCAGCTCCTGTACCTAGGACTGTGCGGATCCCTTTAACATCTTCCGGAAACAATGGGTTGTTTGGAGGTTCTTCAGGCCGGAACTCGAATAAGTCAGACTCAGCATCACGAAAGGAGGACGGCGAGATTGAATCACAGGAATACTCCACAGCTGCGGCAAGATCACACTTAGCCAATGGTCAGGGCAGTGTTTCGAGATATGGCTCAACCATTGGACGTGCCAGGTATGGTGAAGACATTGGATTACAAAGCTCGATGCGAATTAAGAGAGTTGGAAAGGTGGCTGGGAGTTTTTTGAGTGGACCGGCTCGGCGCGGAAGGAGGCGTTTGGATGATGAAGAGCAGAGCCCTTTGGAGGGGCAGAGTGATGGATTGGATAACGCTGGGTCTAGTCAAGACCCACAAAGTCAGGAGTCACAGGCTCAAGAGTCCCAGAGTCAAGAATCGGGCTCCAGTGAAGAACCAGAGGCAAACCGCGCATCTCTATATTCGTCGACATATAGAGACTTTGCTTCCGGAAGCCCTGTCGGCTCAAAGGACATCCTCAATTCTGTCTTGAGGTCTACTTCACCACCTCCCCCTACTCTTGGCAGCTCTCAGAGGCCAGCTGCTACCAATTCGGATTTGCAAGCAGCACCACAACCAGTTCCAGTATTCAAAGTCCCAGCACCACGGCCGGACTTACCTTCAGCTCATGATCAAGAAAATGAAGCGCCTCCCACATTCAAGAGGAATAAGCAAGCACCGCTGATTCACTTTGACACAATGGAAAAGGCTCCTGTACGACCACAGAGCATGGATATGAGTGCTTTGCGAACTGCTTCTCCGGAAAGACGCGCGTTGGCTCCCAGAAGTCAAAATACGCCGCGGAGACCTGCACCTCCACCCCCGAAAATGTCGATTCTCGAAGCAGCAACCAGTACGGCGGGGGCGGCCACGACTTCACATGCAAGCAGCAAGAGAAACAAATTAAAAGTTAATGGCAAGCAATTTACGCGACTGGATTGTATTGGGCGCGGGGGAAGCTCAAGGGTTTATCGAGTCATGGCAGAAAACTCCAAGTTCTTCGCATTGAAGAGGGTATCTTTGGACGATGCCGACGAGACGGCCGTCCGTGGTTTTAAGGGAGAGATTGATCTCCTTAGAAAGCTGGAGGGGGTTGAGAGGGTCATCCGTCTTTACGACTACGAACTCAACGAGGACAAAGGAACCTTGAGCGTGGTAAGTAATTCTAACCTAGGGCGCTACTTTCACCCACTGATCATAATCGTGTAGCTTATGGAAATGGGAGAGTTGGACATGAATAAGATTTTGGAACTCCGCTTGAAGTCGGAGCACGCAAAGTTTGACGTCAGCTTCGTTCGTCACTATTGGAAGGAGATGCTTGAATGCTTACAAGCGATTCACGAGCATGACATCGTTCATTCCGACTTGAAGCCGCACAACTTTGTTCTTGTTCAAGGACGGTTGAAACTGATCGATTTTGGTATCGCCAACGCCATTCAAACAGACGAGACGGTCAATGTTCATCGGGAGACACAAATCGGCACTCCGAATTATATGTCTCCCGAATCCCTGATGGACTCAAACGCGAAACCCGATGCAAGAGGCAGGATACCGAACGAACCGAAGCTTATGAAGTTGGGCAAGCCGAGCGATATTTGGAGTTTAGGATGTATCCTCTACCAGATGGTTTACGGCCGTGCTCCTTTTGCCCACATCCAGAACCAGATGCAACGCTGCCAAGCCATTATTAACTGGAGCTATGCCATCGAGTACCCTACGATAGGCGTTGGAAGTGTTCCGGTACCCGCAAGCCTGATCAAAACGCTGAAGAAATGCTTGAACCGAGATCAACACCAAAGACCATCGGCGACGGAACTTTTGGATGAGAGGGATCCATTCTTGAACCCGGTCGAGTTCGATGATGCCGCTATCCCTATGACCGAAGAGTTGCTGGGCCGCATACTGCAGAACGTGGCCCTGAAATGTAGAGATAGGATGCCGACAGATGCGGAAATCCTCGTGGCCTGGCCAAAGGGCTACATGGCCAACCTGCGGCAGAAGTTGAGGGACGGAAGACCGTTGTAGAGTTCTCTTGTACAGGATAAGAAAAGGAGGGTCTCATGCTTTTGGGTCTGCAGAATTTGTTGTTAGCGTAATGAGTGAGGCGTTTAAGAGTCTTGCCTTGGGTTAGGGATATACCATCTTTAGAGGTTTACTTCACAAGCCCCGGTGTTCAAAGTACCAGTTTTCTGTTTAGAGTATAGAAGAGGTTTAATTCAACTAATAATGTATGGTGCAAGGAGATGAATCCAAGGAAAAGAAAAGACGGCGCCTAGACTACATCTCCATCACCGAATCATGATTGAGTCTATTGGAAGCCGTCTGACCCATCTCTCCCCTCTGAAGCAGCTAGGCCGGAGCGGCGCGGACTCCACGTGACGCCGCTCCGCCTTTTGGTGGGGAAGCATCCTTGTTGCAGCGGCCGTTGGACTCTGTCAAAGTCCAGCGTCGAAATCTCCTTCTCCGGCCGAGAACCCCGCATTGCATTTCAGGGTCTCCCGCGGCGGAATTCCTCCCCCAGGACCGACTTCTGGGGGCGCGGGGGTTTCCCAGCGCGGGTTTCCCCCCTCTTGACGGGAGAATACATCGGCAAGAATGTGGATCCCCCGCCCGGCATTCCCCCATGGCGGGGTGATTTGCTCCTTGGGCCTGGCGAACAGTTGATCAAGGGGCCCATCCCCGGTTCATGGGGCTCTTGGCGATATCTACATATACATAGGCACTACATCTCCCTCATTTCTTTTTCTTTTTATTCTCTTCTCTTTTCTATACTTCTCTTTTTCCTGTAGACCAATTACCCCACGCGCATACCACTTCCCAGAGACAATGGGCATGATGGGTTCCACTCAGCAATTCACAATCAAAGATGAGCCCGTGGAGAACCAGCGGCCGATGAAGGTCAGGGTCATCGGCTGTGGCTATTCCGGCATCTATCTGGGCATCCGCATACCACAGCGTCTGCGTAACGTCGACCTTCAGATCTATGACAAGAACGAGGGCATCGGAGGGACGTGGTGGGAGAACAGATATCCTGGTATGTCCCTTCTCCGGAGAGTCCCAGCGCAAGTCTAATCCAGAGCAGGGTGCGCTTGCGATATCCCGTCTCATAGCTACCAGTACTCATTTGAGGGGAATCCAAACTGGTCGTCTCTCTACGCTCCGGCGAAGGAGATCTGTGCGTATTTGCACGGCGTTGCGGAGAAGTATGGGGTTCTAAGATATGTCAAGACCTCGCACAAGGTCACGAGCTGTAAATGGGACGATGAAAAGAAGAAATGGTAAGCTCCCAGAAGAGCCCTCCCGATAGATGCTGATTGGCTTCCAGGCTCCTCACAGTCGAAAAGACTCAGACAGGAGAGGTCTTTGAAGATGATGCAGATGTGCTGATCTCGGCACGTGGCAACCTGAATAACATTGCATGGCCAGAGATACCTGGCTTTGATACATTCAAGGGGGAAGTCATGCACTCAGCGGCTTGGAATCAGGAGTATGTTCCCAGCCTCACAGAATCGGGATGGAGCTGACATAGGCCAGATATGACTTCAGGAATAAGAAGGTCGGCGTCATTGGAGGCGGTTCAAGCTCGATTCAGATTGTACCAAACCTCCAAAAGCTCGAGGGCATCCAGATGACTTGCTTTGTAAGAAGCAAGACGTGGATTGCAAGCCCCTTTGGTGATCGTAGGTGTAGCTCGCACACCTGGTGTCTAAATCTAACTTTGTGCAGATTCAATGATCAAGCTGGGAATGGATCCTGCAGTTCACACTTGTAAGTCACGTCTCATACTGGTGACCATGCACCTCCAGCTCACCATGTACAGTCTCAGAAGAAACACGCCGGGAGCTTTCGTCTGATCCTGAAAAGTACCACAAGTTCCGCAAGACCATCGAAATAGATGGCAATACCATCCACGCAGCAACAATCAAAGGATCAGATATGCAGAAAGCGGCTGTTCAAGCATACTCGGAAATGATGAAAGCACGCCTAGCCAAGAAGCCCGAGATTATCGAAGCCATGATCCCCTCCTTCGGAGTGGGGTGCAGACGTCTCACCCCAGGTCCTGGCTATCTCGAGGCTCTCGTCGAAGACAACGTCGAGTTCGTCTCCGACAAGATCGCCTCGATCAACCCCAAAGGGGTCGTCCTCGAGAATGGGAGGACAGTCGAGATCGATGCGTTGGTCTGCGCCACCGGCTTCCACGCCTCATCCGCGCCGCCCTTCCCCATCGAGGGCAAGAACGGCACGACGATCCAGAAGCGCTTCTCGCCCAGTCCCGAGACGTACCTCGCGATGACCATCGATGACTTCCCCAACTTCTTCATGATGCTAGGGCCGAACGCGGCCATCGGCACGGGCTCCCTGACCATGATGATCGAGACGCAGGGCGACTACATCATCAAATGCATCCGCAAGCTGCAGAAGGAGGACTACGTCACGATGATGCCCAAGGCGGCGCGGGTGCACGACTTCACCGAGTACTGCCTGGAGTACTTCAAGAAGACCGTCTACCTGGACCAGTGCAACTCGTGGTACCGCAGCGAGGGCGGCAAGGGCGACCGCGTGACGGGGCTGTGGCCGGGAAGCACGATGCACTTCCTGGAGTCGCTGCGGGCGCCGCGCTGGGAGGACTTTGAGTACGAGTCCAAGTCGGAGAACCGCCTGCGCTGGCTGGGCAATGGCTGGAGCGTGACGCAGCTCGAGGGCGGCGGGGACCCGGCCTGGTATCTGGAGCCGAGTATGATGGACGTACCGGTGCCGGGCCGGCCGGAGGAGCATCCAGAGTTTAAATTGAGGCCGTTCTCTCATTGATGTATTGAGTCGGTGTGGTATATACCTTAGCTATATAGATATGCACATGTTACCCATGATCCCACCTCTTCGGTATAAACCGTCCACAGCCCCTGCTCCTAACTAACCTTCACCACTTGACATATTAACACTCTTCATAACCTTTCAAAAACAAAACACAGGCCGCGTTGAAGGGGAGAGCGGAGTCGAGGAGGAGGTTTCTTTTATATAAGAGAGCTTAGGTCTGAAAACCTCAGATATCCCTCTCTCTCCCTCCCTCCCTACCTTATTCAACACATCTATTCTCTCGCATTATAATTTCCATTAAGAGTATCCTTCATTAAACAATTCCCTTCCCCCCCCCCCCCCCTCCTTTTTTTTTTCCCCTTTCCTTTCCTTTCCTCTGCCACCTTACCTGCCTTCTTTTCTTTCTAGGCAAATACAGAAGAAGAGGGGGAAAGGGAGATGATCAGGATCAGTTCTTAATAATGATGATGATAGAAAGGGAAGACGAGATTCTAAGAGAGTATTTGTGATTTGGATTTTACTTTGTTAGAGCTTGGATTTTTGGAGATAAGGTGAGGTATGCGTAGGTAGGTAGGTAGGTATAACCCCTCTCTAGAAGCAAAGACATACATACTACATCTAGGTACATCCATCTCTTTCTCCCTGCCTCCCCCCAACCTACCTTACCTTACCTTACCTTACCTTCCATAAATACCTATCTAGACCTCTCTCTCTCTATCCTTACTAATCAACCCCCTCCCCTCCTCTCCCACAAACCCGCCCCCCCACCCGGGCCAAAAAAAACCCCAAAAAAAATCCCACTAAAAACAACCCCCCCACATCTTATCCATCTTAAGCACACAAACCTCCAATAAACACGAGATGGGCATGTGGTTTAGTGGTATAATACCTCTTTAGCAAGCTTACATCCATTCCTGTTATAAGGAAAGGAATCGTCGTGTTGAGTAAGGTAGAGGTGGTCCTGGGTTCGATTCCCAGCATGTCCAATTTTTTTATATTTTTGAAATTTTGGATTTTTTTTTGGGGGGAGGGGAGGGGAGGGGTTAGGGGTGGAGGGGAAGTGTGTGGGTTGATTTGATTTGATAAGGTAAGGTACTCTAGGCGAGCCTTATGGCCTTTTTTTTTTGGCTCTGAGTCCTGAGTCCTGATATGCTTGCTTTTAGGTATGTATATCGATACGAACAAAATCTTATCTTCATCAACACCCACCTACGTTTCCGTTAAGTCAGAAAGGCACACTACACCATCCTAGACAGACAGGCAGCTTTCTGAGAAGAGAAAGAGGATAGTATTACGACTCCAAGTTTACTTTTACTTTCATTTTATTCAATCACTTATTGATTCACTATTACCTTTCTCTTTCTTTCTTTTTACTTTTCTCGATAAGACAGATCCCTCACAACGACAACTTCACCACCCCCCCCCCTCTCCCCCACGGGCCTATCTAAATACACCCCGCCTCTCGTCTACTATTCGATGCCCTTTTTCTCCGGCGATACATTGACATTGTGTTATCCTTATCTTACTCACAATATCTATGTTCCATTTTAGTACTTAGGTAGGTAACCAAGGAATTGACGGGATGGTGCTTTTGGAAAGCTTAGGGACTGATCATCGAGCCTCGTAGTTCTTATGACCTAAGGTAAGGTAGAGAGGATTGATCTTCTTTTCCTTTCGATTATAAAGCCCTCCTCCTCCTCCTCCCCTCAACCCCCCTTCAACCCTTCAACCCATCCCCCTCAACTCCACCCAAAAAAATCCATCCATCCAAGACCCCCTCACCCCCCTCAACCCCCTCAACTTCCCAATCAATTCTCTTTCTCTTCCCCTTCCCTAAGGCGAGATTGCACCCTAGTATCTATATAAAAGCAGATAGATAAACAGAAAAAGGATAAGTATATAAGAACATAAAAGAAAACTGCTTCTTTCTCTACTCTACTCTAAGGTTTGTTTGGTTTGGTTTGTGGATAGATAGATAGAGAGAGAGGGGATTTTAGATAGGGTGGGTAAGGTAAGGTAAGAATAGAAAGAAGAGGAAGAGGAAGAAGAAAACCATTAATTTTCATCCCATCCCATCCCTACCTATCTAACGACGACGACGACACGATCATGAAAATAAAATTAATTAGCTTTCACAACGATCCTACTTAGTTGCTGTGGATGTGTATTGTAGTTCTTTTTCACTGTTAATAGCTCGTTTTAGAAACGAATCGTCTTAAGACTTCGGCGAGGATGGTTTGTTTGCTTGTTAAGCAACTCTTCAAAGGTAAGATGGTTGTTTAAAGTAAAATGGTATATGGGAAAGACTTGAGGGAATTATGTAGGTGGTTGGGTAGATGGTATCAATATGATAAAATTCACTGGCTATGGATTCTAGAACCGGCAGGTCAACTACTTCAAAACTTAGGAACGAGACATTTTGTCTAGGTGGATATAGTAGGCGAGAGGGGGAGGAGATATGATATAATGTGATGTGACTCGCTGGAGATATGAAGAATATTACGATGGCAAGATAGAATACGGGAGTGATAGAACAGAAGATAAAGGCTGATGATAAAGGCTGATTCACAGTAACAAACACACACACACACACACGCAGATCAGGAGATTTCATTCATCATATCATCGTCATCATCCAAGTGAGGCGAGTCTGTCTCCTATCACAAGTCCATCCTGAAGTACACATCCCCGGAGTAAGAGCAAAGCAATCTAACCCCGTCGAGATTCCAGTATTATCATGCCATCTTGTGGTCATGTTCATCATTCTTCCGTCCATTACTCCCCTGAATGAAAGCAGATTGAAAGAGGCTGACGAGAACGTCAGCTAATATAACAGTTTTGTATCGAAAGGCTCAGCATCCACCAGGCCAACTATTTCTACCCCCTTCGCTAGTGTAATCGGAAAATGGGACGTCCGACGTCCAATCCATCCCCCCGTTATGATGTCCCTGGATTGCTGCCTGGGTGCTGGCCGCGTAGAACCCCAATAATTCCTGAGCCGTGGCGTCTGGGAAGGAGATAGGGGGTGGTACTGTGCCAAAGAGGCCACTGGGTGCGGAGCTTGCGACTGTGCCGCCAGTGGAGCTGGGGAAGAGCTGGAAGTCAGCCATCCCCGTCACCCCGGTCACCCCAAGCGGGTGTGAGCTGGGGATAAAGTCTTCGAAGCCCTCGTCCACCTCGCGGAGAGATGTCGGCGTATAGAGCATGGTGTTCCCATGACCAACGGGCGAGATGTGAGGCGCGGCATCAGTACCATACGGGATCCCAGAAGTGGCAAATGGACTAGCCTCGAGGGCCTGGAAGATCTCGTGGGAGGGCGTTGGCAACTGGACGTTGGCGCTGTAGAGATCTTCATTATCGTAGAGAGTAAAATCGATCCCGTCCGTGGGATACTCCGGGAACGCCTCCGCGAACTGGTCTTGCCCCGCCATGCTATTGGCGATGTACGGTGAGTGGTCGGGAGCGCCCTGGTGCAACTCATCTGGAAGCGGAGAGTAATCGAGCTGCAGCTGGTGATTCGTGAACATGTCAATGTCAGAATCACTGTTGTATTCGGGGAAGTTGAGTTGGTTCTGGGGATGATCGTAGATCGTGGCCGACCCCTTCCGCAGGTCCAGCTCCTCCTCTTCCGGGGTGCTGATGACATTCCCATCACTGCTGGGGGTGCGGATATTGGTGGGGGGCGGGGTCGGCAGGCCGTTCTGGGTGGCCTTCTCCCGGTTCTTCCCATTGCTCTTGGACCGGACGTACTCCCAGCCGTGGGCCTTCTCCATGTGCTGTTTGCAGTTGGACTCACGCTTGGATCGGTACGGGCAAGGCTTAAAGTGGCACTCAAAGAGGGCGGGCGCGGCTGAGTGCTTATCATTGTGATGCCTATCCATCTCCTTCTCCGTCGGCCATCCATACTCGTGGTACTTGCAGGACTCGACGGGGCACTTCCACGGGCGCGAGTGGGTCTTCTCGTGTTTGGTCAGGTCACACGAGCGTTTGAATTCCTTCTCGCATCCTGGCTCGCGGCACCGCTTGGGGGCGAGCTCCGCCGCTGATGCTGAGCGCTTGCGGCGGGCCATGGAGCGCATGATGGCCTCGTCATCCTCTGCTTCCTGGCTCAAGGATCGCTTCATCTGCAGGCCCCCTTTACTCTCCTCCTCGATGTCCACGGGCATTCCCGTGGCGATCGAGATGGCCTTCCCGTTCTTCTTCACGCGGACCAGTTCCGCGGGCCGACCATTCTTGGTGAGGCCTCCATGGAGGCGAACCTCATCGGTCCTGGTGCAGAGAGTCAGCGGGGGGGAAATATCATGAAAAGGGCAAGGGCACATACGGTTCCGGGTCCATCTCATCCAGCTTCTCGCCCTTGGCCTCCTTCTCCTTGGCGGCCTGGACCTGCAGGGCGTACTGCTTGATCTGGTCGACGAGATCGACGAAATAGGCGTTAGTATAGGGACGGTCGTGGGGGCGGGTCTGTTCGCGCTCGCTCAGGAGGTCGACGGTCGCTTGGATGCACCGGATGGACGTGAGGCAGAAATCGAGGTACAAGGCGGCGGTCTTGGCCCTCTCCTTCAAACACGAGAACCAGTGAGCAACTCCCCGGACAACATCAACATCAACATCTGGAAGATGACTTACCGGCGCCATAAAGATCAGGGTCTTCTCGAGATCACGCAGACAAACGATCTCCTTGCCGTGGATCCTTCTGGGGCAGTCCTTTACGATGGGGTGGAAGTCCTTCAAAGAAGGCTTGGCGAGGAGGGGCCTCAGAATATGCTCGTGGATGCGGTTGCTGGCGCGGGAGCTGAGGCGGGGGAGGTTCTCCAGGGTGGAAGAATGGGCGGCAGCGGAACGGGTAATGGCTGAGGCCGTGACGATGGAGCCAACACACTGGTCATCAGCTGTCGGGACGCTGTCCACGCCCTGCTTGCCCGACGCCGACACGATGGAGGAGCCGAGGGCGCTGTCGGAGCAGCGAGAAGGACGGCGACGACGACGGGGACGGAGGGAGCGGGCGCCACTGTCGGCGGGCTCCTGCTTTATGAGGGCATCCATGGTGGCGGAGGTGTACGGGTTGGGAGAGGGAGAGGGTGAGAGGGAGAGGGAGTGGTCGAGGAAGGCGCGAGGGATGGGGTCAGCGTCGTCGGGGAAGGACTGTCTGGCAGTGGACGAGGAGGGCTGGTGGTCGACGGCAGCGAGACTGCGATCAATGTCGCCGAGAGTCAAGGCAACGCGACGCTTGTGGGCGTCGACAACATCGTCGAGGGTGGATTGGGAGCGGCGAGGAAGGGCGGGGAGGGAGTGATAACTTGAAGAGTCGGTTGGGTAGTGGAAGGTGGCAGCTTTGCGGAGGGACATGGCGGGAGCAGGAGAAGATGAAGGCGACGAAGGCGAAGGCGAAGGAGTCAGAGCAGGAGAAGTGGCCTTTGTAGGAGTCCGGCGCGGGTGCGGGTGCGAGGGCGACATGGCTTCAGATGGTTTCTGTATCGTTGATCAGCCCTGGGGGATCTTCCGGAAGAGGGAGAGGCCGGTGAGTCACTGGGGGGGGGGAGCCCCCACGTTGACTGGATCGGGGGGATATGAATGATATGAATGATATAATTGATGAATGATGAATGATATATAGGAGAGACAGAGAGACAAGAGGGGAGTGCGTACGGGGTGGATGGGAGAGCGGCTCCTACAGCTCACAGCTGAGAGCGATCTCTGTGGCCGCCAACCAAGGGAAGGAGGGGGCGCCAGGCAATGAGGGAGACAGGCGGGAGACAGCCGTCGGTGAGATGGCTTCGTAGGTATGTTGTATGTGGTATTGTGTCTCGTGTCGAATACTCGAGATGATGGAGAGGGAGAGGGAGGAGACACTGTAACTACGCGCGAGAGATGGAGAGATGGAGAGATGGAGAGAGTGGAGAGGGGAAACACTCTCCTTGGTCATGAGAGGGCGAAAGGAGAGTGACGAGAATGAGAGAATGAGAGACGAAGAGAGAGAGAGAGAGGAGAGACGGAGACTTCAGACTTCGGACGCCGCGTTGTCGTGCTTCGTGAGGCTCCCGACTTCCCCCCCAGCTCCAGGCAGCAGTCTGTCGTATTGTGCGCTAGGCTAGATCAGGCGCCCATGTAAGCCGGCCAGATAATCGTCCCGCGTCGACTTGACCGAGGGGACGATTTTATACATTTTATACATTTACGAGGCTCGATTTTATACATTTATACCCCTCTGATCATCAATTTATGCCATCTTCTTCGCTGACTTATCCAACAACTTCCCCCCATTATTCAGCGGTGAGTCAACCCTTCCAGTCGTGATATTCCCCCGTCCCTGATTGATCATCGCTCAGAGCAGCACAGCCCTACGGCGCACCCCGCTTATGTAACCCCCCAGTCACGCCCTTGCCCTTCCGTGACCAACAGATGATTTACGATCTGACGAACCACTGCTCTCTTAGTGATGTTCTACTATGTCTGTACTCGGTATGCAGCGCGATTAATTCCATTGACAGCATCCGTCGTTACCCGAGATCCTTGAGGCTATGTACCATTGTACGTATACTCGACAGTTCTGTCTACGGCCGTATCTGTCTTTATGTCATTGTGCTGCTACAGTGAGGCATTTCATATCTACCTTACAGAGGGATAGTGGATAGAGTACTCACAGTTGGGTGGCTGTGCTGTCATTAGGAGGACTTCTGTACGTGATTCACTCCCGCCTGGGTTCCAACCTCGCGTAGATTGTGTAGATTGTGTCGCATAGATCACAGACCTTGTATAAGAGCAGGCGCTTACAGACCTCTTGGACGGGAACCAACAACTCACTGGCACTATTGTAGCAGAGACGAGAGAGCTCTAGGCTAGAGATGTACAAACGTACATGTAAGAAGGGCGATTGTACCTTAAATCAGAGGTATCCTAGACCTACCTTAGGGAGATGGACGACGAAGATAGTATTTGTTCGCAGCGACAATTGTACGCCGTTTGATGTTATTCACGTTCGTAGCGACAGTTATACGCCGTTTGACGTTGTTCACTTTCGTAGCGACAATTCAATCTCCTCCAATTCTTTTATCCTAGAAAGGGTTTTCTTTTGTGTTATTTTCTATCAAAGGAGGTGGTGTAGTGCAGGGGCTACTGCGTTCCTTCAGTGCCCTTGGTTTCTTTATACACTGTACAGTATACGTATACAACAGTATCATGTCTCGAGGTACGAGAGGTACGGAGATTGACGAGGCCTCTCGCTACGCCGGGACGGAGAAACTTCCCTCCTAGCCCCCGCACGTCAACCTCGACCTGCCCGGAGCTAGGAAGCTTCTTTCCGTCCATATCGACCGCGGTCAAACATGGTCCGCCAGACGCGTCTGCATCCTCCGCAACCATGGCAGAACCGAAACCCCTGATGTATGCGGAGCTGCTGGCCAACATCCGCCAGATCTCGGTCATTGCGGCGCTCGAGACGCCCTGCCACTCCTCTACCAGAGTCGAGCTGTCAGCCGATGGTCACCAATTCACCCTCCACCACGAGGGAAAGACCACCGTCTTGAACCTTCCAGGCACGACCTCGCCCAACATCCAGCTCCAGAAGCCAGCCCTCGGCGCCAAAGAGCTCTCGTGGCGGCTGCCCCTCGTCAGTGAACCTACGGCGTCGAGCGCAGAGAGCAGTGATGCGCCTTGGCCCGCGAAGGATCTGGATGAGGATAGTGAGTTCCGATGTCGAAGTTGCGCAGAAGTTGTGGTAGGCAAGGGGAAGGTGACCGTGTGGAAAGACCTGCCCAGCGAGAACTGGGCAGACATGATGGACTTCTGGCATTGCCATAAACCTTCGGCCCCCGCCAACGGAGACCATTCTCACGACGAGGCCTCGAGTAGAGGATATGGCGCGAATACAAAGTTCACGGCCCAACCAACGGTAGGCTTCGTGGATCTTACAACCTTCCTCCTGGCTGAGAGCGACTGTCGAGGAATCGAGGTAAGATATTTTCTCTTGTCTCAATCACTGTTTCATTCAGGACCGCGTGCGTGAAGGTGGGTATCAAGAAGGCGGCCAAGCCTTGCTCCGGCTCTCGATGGCCTGGTCACCGATACAAATACCCTATATCAACCAACACCTTGTTTCCACTGCTTCGGCGCAGCTGGCGAGTGTACCCTCTTCTTCGGATTATGGGTTACTTGTTCAGCTGGAGGTAGCAACCTCGGCATTTCACTCCGTATCTTCCCAAGATCTTGGAAGGCCATGGGATTAGCACGAGGGACATGTATAAGAATCTAGTAATGACGCGTTATTACACCAATGCCTACCTCTGAGTTTGATCTTGATCCTTGCTCCTGCTTTGCGCTGCCCGTGATTTGCGTCCTCGATCCCAGTGCCCTCTTCTCATCCAGCTACCATCCCCTCATCACTTCTCGCCCATTGACTAACCCTTCTCCAGCCCAAGACCCCCGCAGAAGAAGCATCTGCTGAAGTATCCCAATATCAACCGCTCATCTGCAAAACCTGCCACACCTACATCGGCCACGTCGACCACGCCGCCGACGGCTACCGACTCTACAAATGGCGTCTCCAAACCCTGACCCTGACCCAGATCCACGATGCGCCCAGCTCCACCTCCTACTACTACCAACCCTCCACCTCATCCATCATCGCCTTTCATCTGCATTCCATCCTCACCAACCAATGCACATCTCGTCTTCTTCTCATCCCTCCTAATTTTCGCCCTTCTCCCACTCCCACTCCCTCCCCCTCCCCCTTTCCGCTCCTTCTTCTTCATCTCTGGATCCTCACGCCTTTTCTCTCCTACAGCACATCCACCTCTACCACCCCCTCTCCCTCCCCCTCCTCTCCCTCTCCCTCCAGCGCTATGAAACTTTTCTACCGCCCCATCCACCTCCCCTCCTCCTCCACCTCCTCCTCCTCCTCCTCTCCCTCCTCCTCCGCAAACGACGTCACCACACTCCTCACAGACCCAAGCATCGACGAGGTCCAACTGCCCGCAGATACAATATTCGAGATTGAGCGGGCGCTGAGGGAGAGTAGACGCTTGTTGCCCGGTAGCATGGCTGCGTTTAGAGGGTGGGAGGTGGGGCTTTTGGAACGGGGTTAGTTTGGGGGGGGGGGGGTGAGTGAGAGTAGGTAGATATAAGTTCTACCTTACGGATTGAGATTGAGATTGAGGATATACATACATATATCACTGATGATAATCCCTTAAAATCGAACAAACAAAATATCCCTTTTCATGATGTATGGTGCGGATCTTATCGATGTATTATGTATATTATGTATGTATGTATGTATAGATGGAGATGATTGATTGATTGATTGATTGATTTTGGGACGTCAGATAAGGTAAGGTAAGGTAAGATAAGGTGTGGTGTGGGTGGTTTGTTTGTTTCGATAGATCATATAGTTTTTATGTATATGGTATGGTATGGTGCCTTTGACTGGAAATACTGTACGAGGAAATTTTGATCACTGGGTTAATTATTCGATCTCAAAAATCCATGCTTGAAACCAAGTTCATTCCTCTCACAGACACCTATATACATAAGGTACACACATACGGGCATATGAACTAGTCCGACGACAACCCCAACGCCTCATTCGCCCTCTCCCAATACTGCACCCTCCCATCATCAACCTGCGTACCCACACACCCCACCAAATACGCCTCCCATCCACTCCTCCCCTGTTCTCTCAACCCCCCTCTCACATCCTCACTACACCACGTATCCAAAAACCACGCCGCGCTCGCCCACGCATACCGGTCCTCCAGCACCAAGCCCCTCACCGCATCTTGCAATTCCGGACTGAGATCTTCCGCCTGGGCGCCCGCCGACACGCCGAGTCCTTGCAGCGCGGGAGCCAGTTCGGGAATATCGCGCGCGTACGCGAGGTTGTAGCTCGCCATCTGCATGTTGCGGGTGCCTTGGCCGGGCCGGCCAGGGGCGGGGAAATGATTGGTGTTGTATTTGAAATCGCCGGTTTCGTAGGCGATTAGGGAGAGTAGGGCGGAGAGCTCGCGTGGAGAGGTGAGGTTGTAGGTGTGGAAGGATTGCAGCAGGAATGGGGCGGCGTGCGTGGCGGTCGCGCATTCGAGGGGGTAGGTGGCGGATAAGCAGGATGTGGATGTGGGAGCGATTTGCTGGAGGATGGTGATGAAGGTTGAGAGGGGTGGGAGGGGGTGGGAGAGCGTGGGTGGGAGGAGGAGAAGAAGGGGGAGGAGAGGATGCATTGTGGTTGGTTGGTTGGTTGCTTGTTTGTTCGTGCGGGTAGATTGAGGACTTGGGTATGGAGATCTTCGAGTATGAAAGAAAGAGTGTCTGGGATTTTGAAAGGTATTTATACTGCCAAGAACTTCTTGTCAAGTGGGACAGGACAATAACCTCGTTTTAATCAAACAAAGGAAGAAAGAAATGGAACAGCCAATGGCGCCTTGGTGCTGGTACCAGCCTTCAGAAAAGAAGAAGGCTATGGATGAATAACCCACGGCAATTCAGCGAGTCAGGAACCCCCACTTAGGTGTCCTCGTGAATAGAGATCCAAAGATAAAGAGCATCTATTCCCGGCAGCTTTCATGTTGTGAATGTCACGCTGTGTTGATGAGTGGAAGAGAAAGGTGGTGGAGAGGAAGGGTGGTTGAAGACTGAAGAAAGGGGTCGGTTGTTGGCGGGGAAGAATCGAAAGGGGGGCGCCGATGTATCGCTAGCCATGCTTTGTCTGGTGAAACTTTACACAATACAACCATAAGATGAAATTACAACACTTAATCAAATCTCCCTGTATGCAAGGTAGTATTTTGATTCACATCTATCTATCCTACTAGAAATCCCTCCTTCACCTCAGAGTAACCTCTCCCTCCTCTTCTCGTTGATTCCTGTCTCCAGCCACACCTTGCCGCCACTAACGCCCGCCCTGCCTCGCCTTTGTTGGGGTTAGTCACGTGGAAGTGGGCTAGAACTAGCCACATCTTTATAAATGCACCCCCCAGTACAGATAGGTAGACACCTCACACCCACATCTCAATCACTCGAACAAGACAACAAAGACACCTTGAGCGAGGCCGCTGATTATACAATGCAATTACATTGATCATAAGGATCCATGCTTTCAACAGCCTCCAGGCTCGCACCCACCCTTGTGCGGCCCCCTCTTTCTACTGACCAAAAGCACGTGCAGGGCTGGGAGTTTTGTTTCTCCGCCCCGGCTTCGCGAGAAGGCGTGGTGTCATTCAGCCTCGTGCACCTTGCCCCATCTCAGAGTTCCCCAACAGCTTCAAGGTCAACAAACGTGCGAGAATATATCTCTAAATCCGCAACCATGGCGACACAGATGTTATCGTGGGTCCCTGTGTTCAACCGCTTGTTTTCATATCTTCCCAGGAGTAATTCCGTCTCTCAGTGGATCGACCTCCCCTCCGTGGCGATCCATGATGTGGAAACAGCTCCAGAGAAGAGACCCCGGACCCTGAAGCATCTCATCCGGGCAAACCATGTCAACCACTCCATACTCTACCACAGCCTGCAATACCACAATCACATGCCGCATCTTCTTGGCTCTGCGTACCTCCTCGGGGCGAATAGCGATCAGTTGCAGGCCATCTATGAAGAGGAGTCGAAGGAGCTCGAACCATGGCCGGCATCCCCTGCAGAAATAACAGAAGCAGACTGGCGCCAGTTTCTAGGAGACAAGAAATACCAAAGGGCATACGTGGATTTTTTTGAAGACGAGTTGGCTTTGAAGTTCGAATACGATTGGAAGAAAGTAGTGGAGGAATATATGTTCAGTGGGAAACAGCCTTTGATCAACGGGCTTATTGGAGGATGTACGTCTGCAGAATTGTCTTCATGACATAGGTACTGACAGAAATCTAATAGTTGGCCATCCTCTGATTCATCTGGGCTACGCTTATGAACTCCAGAGCAAAGAATTGGCAATGGAGGCCCTCGGAATGGCCGCCACAGCATACAACTACCTCCACAAGTATCTTGACGACGCTTCCTATACCAGAGAATCAACTTACTCTACCACATCACCTCTTGAAATCCTACACAGAATAAAGGAGGACAAAAGATTTGACGGCTTATATGATAGCCCTGATGTAGGCAAAATCCCGTCACTCTTTGAAAACCACGAGAACCTGGTCCTGGAGTACTGGAACGCCTGGAAGATCGTCGATCCCAAGAAGCAGTTCGAGGATTCCCAAGAAGCCGCCGTTGCCTTACTAGTCCGGACAGTACAACCCGGCACCCATGCCTACGATTTCTTCGTCTGCCATCTGCTCACGACTAGCCACGCGGTCCGGATCCTGATCCCGTTGATCCCAAGGAAATTCCACGTCAGTCTCGTGAGGCAGTGGTGGCTCCTGACCATCGCTATCTACATAACTCAGGCCCGGCCGAAGATCAACGAAGATATCGAGACCAAGCCGACCAAGCAGTGGAATTACGTTGAGGATAGAGCCGTGAACGGACCGTGGGCCAAGGATGCTCACTATGTGAAAGGTAGCTTTCCCCCCTCCCCCTTCCGTCTGCATTATACTCATTTCATATAGCCCTTCGAGCCATGAAAGAGGCAGCCCTCACTTGGGGCGACGTCCACGATCGATACTTAGCGGCGGCAGTTCATTTCGCAGATGATTTCCACGGCTGGACTGGCTTCGGAGGTCCCTCTGCTGAAACCAACTAATAACACAAAATTTATCTTGTATATTGCCTGTGGCGTTTCTTGTAATATGGAGTCTTAGGGTTGGGCTGGGTCATGAAGCGACGACATGTATCAAAAAGTGTATATCAAAATTGAAACCATGTAATCATATTTTTTTCAACCCCCCAAAGATTCCCCATGTGGATCCGTCCCTGCTACTTTTGCAGCTATTGTACATACAAAAAAAAACTCCGTCCTTCTACATACCTACCTAGGTACCTTAGTCGACTATAGAATCTTTCTAATCATCTTCAATATCATCATCGCTCAGGACCAGCTTCTGCTCCGGTTGCTGCAACGGGAGTCCCGAAGCCGCGCCCCTTCCTCTAATCACCAATCCCCTTTTGCGCGGCGACTGTCCCTCGACTGGCTTATCCGTCGCCCATTCCGACTCCCCCGTCAGCGCTACCGCCCCATCATCACCATCATCATCCAGCGTCTCCTCCTCCTCCGCCGCCGACGGCCCGCCAATGCCCCGGAACGCCGTGACCTTCTCCATCTCTCGCAGCGCCAGGGCAGCCGACGCAGGGCCCCTCCGCGCGCGAGCTACGTGAACCATGTACGGCAGCCGCTCGAGCAGCATCTCGGTCCGTGCCGAAGTGCCGACGGCCAGCAGCGGCGCGGCGTCTGCGTTCTGGCGCGGGTTCTTGGGATCGGGAGCCTCCTGGCTGAAGTTAGGGTTCTTCCAGCTCTCGACGGTGCCGGGCTTGGGGGCGCGCGCGAAGGCGGCAGCGCCCGTGGTGATGGTGTGGAGATGCGGCTCGTCGCCCTTCAGCAGCCGCGTCACCCAGAGATCGATGGTGTTCTGGATCTCTTCTTTCGCCCGCCACAGCTTGAGGCTGGTGGGGTAGAACATCTTGAAGGCGTCTCCCCCCTTACCGGTGCGGAGGCCTCCGGCGGCGGGCTCTTTCCGCTTGACGGGGTGAGGAAGGGAGAAGAGGATGCCGCGGACGGCGATCTGGAAACTGATTTCGTCCTGCCGGAGGATGTCACCGCCGGTGCCTCGACCGCCTACGCCGCCACCGAAGCCTGATGGGTTGAAGGAGCCGTCCCACGATGGGCAGAGAAGGTCGCTGTCTGAGAGGGCGTCGATGCATCCATTCACATGATCGAGAGAGGAGAAGTCGAATGATGTGGGAGAGGCATCGCAAGAGAGGAGGTAGTTTTCATGGAGCGCCGCGATGAAGGTCTGAGTATCGGTCCCCGTCTCGTCGATGAGTTCGTCGACCGAGATCTGTGATCTTTTCGGTCGGGAATGGAGAGACATGAAGTCGGGCAGTTGCTCCACGTCAGTGCCAGCTTCTAGGGCGGGTGCCATCTCTTCACGCTTGTTATACACCACCTTTCCAACGGCATGGAAGATGCCAAGACTGGCCTCGCGACGAGTAATCAACTCTAAACTCTGTGCTTCCATCTTCGTCAAAGCTACATCTTTGCTGGCTTTCTTGGCCTTGCCGAACGTTACTTTGGCTCCCCAGTCGCCATCAACGTCCCCTCTTAAGCATAGAAACTCCAAGGAGCCGATCGCACTTCGAACGTCCCCAACCTCACCGAGCTTCTTCAGAACCAGAGGTCCAGGCGTCTTTCTTCTGCCGGACTTCCTCGACTCTTTTTGCACAACAATCTCTAAGGCCCTGGCAAGCAAAGTAGGGGCAATGGCATTGAATTCGATGACACCTACCCCTGGGTGCATCAGAATCTCCGGGCCAAGCAGACGATGAGCCGTGAAGCTATCTGCGGATGCAGACGTGGTGGTGAGTAGAGTCTCGGAAACAATCATGACCACAGGTGTTATGGGCTCTTTCCCAGCGTTATTATACGCCATCGAAAGAGGCGGCGTGTTGGCTGCAAGGTATTGAAGAATCGTAGACCGAAATGACTGCAAAGCCGTAGACGATCTGGTGAAAGTATTGGGGAACTCTTCTACCAATATGATCTGTTTCCGGCGATCGAGAGGTTTGACTTCTGGTTTTGGAGGTACTGTGCCATTTTCAGAAGATATATCTAGTTGGCCAAATTTTCCTCCTCGTCCCATAAACTCCTCGAACTGAGCAGCCATAGACTGATATCCATCCGATGTGGCTATGGATCCCACGGGATTCCGCCACTCCAACACATCACAGTCCATCGCTTTCGCCAATAGTTGGACCGTAGTTGTCTTTCCAGTCCCAGAAGCTCCCTTCAGGAGAAGCAGTCGCTGTCTCATCCTGCCACTCATGACATTTTCAAACCACGTCCGAACGTCAGCGACCTTCTTCTTGTGCACAGCTAATTCATCCAGATTAACTGGCGCAAATCGCTCTGCCCAAGGTCTCATATCATCCTCACTCTGAACCTCCCTCAACACCTTTGGTTTCATAACAAACTTCTGGCTTGCGCTCGGCGCACCTTCGTCCCCATTCCTCAGTAGATTAGCTGCCCTCGCCCGTTTTCGAGCGGCCAGTCCGACCATACTGGCAGACTGCGCCTTGCTCTCGACAACATCGTCGTCTGATACAATATCATCATCCTCAATCGTGAGCTCTTTCGAGCTCTGGGGGGTGATTCTGGGCCTCCCAGTAACCCCGCTACTAGCAGCCTCAGCCTTTTGTCTTTGCGCTTGTTTCGTAAAGAGTGTGAATAAATCCCCGCTCTTGACCTTCTCCTCAACCTTTCCCTTGCGCTTTGCCTTCTCGGGGCTATTGCTAGCGCTCTTGCTGGCTGTCCTGTCTCCGCGCGCTGGTTTCGGAGGGGGGAGAGGAGCGGCATTGTGGGGACGATTCGCCGTCTTCGACCGAGGCTCCCATCTCGTACCCATCGATTGGCTAGAAGGTTTTCCAGATGTCCCGGTTTTGGGATCGTTTGAGGAGGTTGGCGAGGAGGAAATGAGATCGTTCAGTCGAGCATTCGATTTGACGACAGGCTCTTCGTACTCATTATCAGACGTTACTGGGGAGGAGGAAGGAATGACGTTGCGCTTTTGTCTCTTTGCTGGAGGTGCCATGCCGGCAGAAGATGCTTGTAGTCATACTACATCAATCAGGCTTGTAATTCGTCGTCTTGATAGGCCATTTTTTCGGCATTGTTGCCTTGGACTCGTGAATGCAACATGAAGTCCAAGTTGACAGCCGCTATCAGGGTCTCTTATCGCGGCTGTTAGCGCTTAATACCCTGAACGGCTTCAGCGAATTCCGATCACTTCAGTTCTCGAAACACTTCCTTTGATAGATATCTACTTCAATTGCAGGTTCTCAGCAAGATCTACAGTCTTCGTAAGAGGGTAATTTCTAACATTGACAGAATCTCATCTCAGCAATTTTTGGTGCTTGACCGATGGTTACTAAGGTATTTCTGGGCCATGAGAACAACCTACTCAACTGTATGTTCTATGGCACGATTGGGATCTTGAAATATTGGATAATTAAGACGCTGTCTCCATCTAGAAGACACGCAGGTACTGTGAGATGAGTTTTACTACTGTTACTCCAAGACACTTACAGAGGTATTCCGCCCATTGTAATATCACTTTCACTATATCACGAGGAAAGAGAGCTTGTACCATCAAACATTGTCGCATTATAGCTATCACTTTTGGCAGCCCATTATGATACCGTGCTTGTCCCAACCAAATTTTCTCATGCTCGAGAGTGCGCCTCAAGGAGAAGTGTCGACAGCCAGAAAATGCAGTGACAATGCAGTAAACAATGCAAGTGAACGCTCCCTTCTATGTTTGCAACCCGGTCGTCCATCATAACACATGCAATGCTGCAAGATACCTGTTCGCCATTGATGCCGCAAAACAAGCAAAGAGAAATTACAAGTGTGGAAATTTATATCACAGACGCAATGGCGAATGTGAGAGCGCTGGATGCAGTGGCTTATGATTCGTCTGGGCGACGACCACCTCGTGCTCCGCCACGGGGGCCACCACGTCCTCGACCACGGCCATCGCCTCGGAATCCACCACGTCCTCGATATCCGTCACCCCCACGGCCGCCACGACCACGAGCTTGTCCTTCGCCGCGATTTCCACCTCGAGATCTGTGAACTTCGTGGAAGCCGTCATTAGGGTTAGCAGGGGGAGCGGAAGGAGCCTGAAGATACTTGTTAGTGGTTATTCATCCTAAAGGCAAGAGAAAGCAATAGTCGAAGACAAGACTCGGGAGTTCGTGTACGATGGATAGGAAATTACGTACCTCAGTACTGTCCGGTTGGTCGTCAGCCCAGCTTTGGACTTTGGAAGGAGCAGCAGGTGTTGGAGCGGCGCCAGTATCAGTCTCAGCAGGAACACGAGGAACCTCAACCCACTCTTGCGAGGCTGACAGGTCGTTGCCAGCGTCCCAGTTGGCTTCGGCCGCAGCATTGGCAGCGCCATTACCGAAACCAGCATTTTGCGGAACGGCCTGGGAATCATAGTGGCCTTCCTGTCCATTGGTTATGGTGGTGGCAGCGGGAGCGTTGAGTTCGGTAAGACCGGCGTTGGCAATGGTAGGATCAGTCTCCACAGGGTATTGGGTGGTCTCTGGAGCTTCCTGAGCCGACTCAAGGACGCCTTCAGTGACCAAGGGTGGAGGAGCCTGTGCAAGGACGGCAGCCTTGATCTCGGCATCTAGCATTTGTGAGCCTTGTTAAGGAAAAGGGGAAAGGCTGTACTTACAAGTGGTGCTCAGAATCTCGCTGGTGACAGAGACGGTTTTGTCGCTAGAGCCGTGAATTATCTTGAGCATAGTTTGAACCGCCTCTTCATCACCGGTATAGACCTTTGCCAGAACACCCTCAAGTGCCTTATTCTCGTCAAGAGTAGCATCGGCCTCTTCATCCCCTCTGCGAATAGCAGCCAGTCGTAAGAACTGTGAGATCAAGAGTAGATTGTTATGTTGTTCCTTCAGGGCCTCAGCGACAGCCTCCGCCTTTGCAGCAGTAACAGCATCCTCCAACTCCTTGCTGGCCTTCTCGTTGAATGTCTTCTCATATTCAGCCTTCTCCGCCTGCATTCTTGCCTTATAATCTTGGTCGAACTTCTTGTACTGGTTGATCTGCTCTTCGAGCTGTGCCAGAGATGCTTGAAGCTTAGGCTTGTTTAGGATCTGAGCCTTCTGATCAGAATTGATCTTGCGTGCCGCAACCAAATCGTCAAGGCTCTTGTCGGGATTCTCGGCGAGGATGTTGTCAACTTTGGAGGCATTGGCCTGTGATGGCTGCTGTTAGCATTGCTACAGAAAGACGTTTGGAAGAAAACTCACGATCTTCTTGTTGACATTTCGGATGCTCCTGTTGGTTATGTTAGTGGTCACCCATGGGAACACGCTGAAGCCCACGTAGTAGAGAGGGTGGGAGAGTGAGAGAAACGTACTTGTAGAGCTCCTTAATGTAAGGACTTTCGTAGGAGCCATCACCACTGTTGCTCTCGGGAGCACCGTTGGAGGTAGTGGTTTCTACAGAAGTACTAGTGGTAGCTGTCTCCTCGGACGCGGCCTTTGCCTTCTTCTTCTTGGCAGACTTGGATTCCGATCTAACTGCTGGATTCTGGATCGTAGCGGCAGCCATTTTGAATAATGAGCACGGGCGTATTTGAAGGGGGTTGCTTGCGTGGTAGGTATTTGTTCTCGAGACACTTCGAAGGAGTGCCTGTTGAATCGATAGTATCGCGCGAAAAGTTTCTTTTTAGAAGAGTGATGAAGTCCGCAATGAGCGTGAATGGGGAGATTTGTGTTATCAGTCTCGGATCTTTAGGTAGTAGGGATGTTTCGTTCGTTGGAGGTATTTTGAGTGTGATATTGAATCTTGAATCTTTTCCACGCTGCGCGGGAAACTGGCTCAACTTTTAGCGAGAGAAGGCGGAAGAAAAGCGAAGCTATGGGCAAAGTCACAAACAATATTGTCAGATCACAATTAATTTGGCGAAGGAAGTGTCTTGTTATGCACTATCAAATCAATTGGAAGAAAGGTTCAGGCCACAAAGTGTCGATTCGTTGTGTATCTTGCTCCTTTGGAGCAGGAATGGGCGCGTTTTCCCGGCCTCCCTGATTCCTCCCGTCTCCTAGCTTTCCGACACAGCCTTGCGATCGCAGGAGTGCCTCATCCTATCTTACGCTACTCCGTGTCCGTGTCTCCGTCACCTAGGTACCACGAGACTCCTTTACTCATTGTCTTGCGGGACTTGGCGTTATGCAGAGCAAGGCGTAGCTCTGATAGAGGTTGCTACCGTCCAACGGCCCACCTCGCATATTGTATGTGTTCGTCCTCGCTCAAAAGCCAGCGTTCAGCCCTTAAATTTCGAAAGTGATACCTATTCGATCGTACAGCCAGTCAGTGCAATTCGAGTAATACTAGAGTGGCCAATGTGTACCTCAGTGACTTTCTTCACACTCTTCGCGCTGATACCTCGTTCGCCTGCCTGTTTCGCGTTGATGCTAGCTTCCTTCATCAACCTGCACCCAACAATCAGCGTAAGGACTTTGTAGCGAGTGGCTCGTAAAAGATTGGACCCCGGTAAAAGAGCGCCATTCCAGAATGAAACGGTGTTGGTATTGCGTACGTCTGTAGGAAGAGAGCATAATCGAGGAATATCTACAGAGACTGTAAGCTTGGTTCTCGGAAGACGCGTCAAAAGGAGCACCTACCAGAACATCAACATTCTTACTGACATTGCGCTTAGAATGCGCCTTGACAATCTTCTTGACCGTTGCGCGCGGATAGAGTTTCTGAGCGCCTGCCATTGGGTAAGAAAGAGTATGTGTGTGTAGTGACGGACTTCTGTTTGTTCTGCTTCTGAGATAGATTGTCCCTAGGTAATCCAAGTACCTAGCTCCTTGTTGTTCTCCCTCTCACGTGCCCACCTCAGCCTCGTGGGGTCCCGTCGGCAAGGCGGCCAATGAGAAGGCGTCCCAGTCATGATATAATGAGAATGAGACGCGAGCTGCCATCTCCACGAGGCACCTTTATTTAGTCTGATTGTAGAATGTGAAATGCCTTCTGTCCTGTCATTTCCTGCCGAACAATTATTTCTTGCTCGTTTGAATCCTTCTCCATTCATGCTGGGACGCCCCCGGCTCATCTCAACATTCAGACTTCGTCTCCTATCTACTACTTCCCCAGGAAGCGCTCGTCTCTTTTCTGGCAGAGCTCAACTGCAGACCATCGTCCGACCGACTAGATCTACAGCATCTATAACATACCGACCACGCTTCAGACCAGTTCTACCAAGCCAATTGGGCCCAGCAATTCCAAGATATTTGGCAACCATGGCTTCTTCAAGCTTGGACCGAGACATCCTTCCGGACACTGTCAAACCCATCAATTATGATCTCTCCATCTACGATCTTGAACTTGGTGGCGCCTTCAGCTACCAAGGGAGCGTCTCCATCCTCTCAAAGATCACCAGGAGCACGAGGGATATCACCTTGAATGCCCATCAGCTCAAACTTCACAGTGCTGAAGTGTTTGTGGAACAGGCAAAGACTCAACTGCACTTCGAATCTACTGGCATCTCTTATGACGTCCCCAGACAACGTGTCACCATCTCGTTTCCAGATGACCTGCCCGCGTCTGACAAGGCTCTTATTGTGATCAAATTCCAGGGCACTATCAACAATGACATGGCAGGCTTCTACCGGTCAAAGTATAAGCCCTCTGTCCCACCAGCAGCATCTGTTCCTATGGATGGTGAGCATCACGTGATGTTTTCCACCCAGTTTGAAAGTTGTGATGCTCGAAGGGCCTTCCCATGTTTCGATGAGCCAAACTTGAAGGCAACTTTTGATTTCAAGATTGAACTGCCAACCGATCAAGTCGCGTTGAGCAACATGCCAGAGAAGAGCGTCACTAAGACCAAGGATGGCTTCCACCTGGTTTCGTTTGAGCGGACACCAATTATGAGCACATATCTGCTAGCATGGGCAGTCGGCGACTTTGAATATATCGAAGACTTCACTAAACGCAAATACAACGGCAAACCTCTTCCTGTCCGCGTGTATACTACGAGAGGCTTGAAGAGCCAGGCTCAATACGCACTTGAACATGCTCCTCAGGTCATCGACTTCTTTTCGGAGATCTTCGACATTGACTACCCGCTACCAAAGTCGGATTTGCTTGCTGTCCATGAATTTGTGAGTAATCTAAGATTCTTGGACCCCTCTGCCCTTCCGTTTGTGACCTTCTCTCCTAAACACCCAATATAAAAGCACGAGTTCCAGTGGAGTGTCCAAGATTCTCATTGCTATTCTAAAATCTTCTAAGTCTGGAATGCAAATACATGCTAATTACTGAGTCCTAGTCACACGGAGCGTATGATACCCCAATCAAGCACCTTAGTCCCAATATGGACATTCACCCTCCCTACTTGCTATTGACACTAATGATATCGCAGTATGGAAAATTGGGGACTTGTCACGTACAGAACGACAGGTAAGCCGCCTCTTTAGCTTTTCTCTCAAGGAATGTAGCCCTGATAAATTTTCCAGCCGTTCTTTTCGACGAGAAAACGTCGGACGTAAAATACAAAAACAGAATCGCATATGTAGTTGCCCACGAGCTCGCCCACCAATGGTTTGGCAATCTTGTTACTATGGATTGGTGGAACGAGTTGTGGCTTAATGAAGGGTTTGCGACCTGGGTTGGTTGGCTAGCGACAGATAAATTTCACCCTGACTGGAACGTCTGGCCGCAATTCGTATCTGAGGGGATGCAAACTGCATTCACTCTTGACTCACTTCGAAGCTCTCATCCAATTGAGGTACCTGTCAAGGACGCTCTTGATGTTGACCAGATCTTCGATGCTGTCAGCTACCTTAAAGGCAGCTCCGTCATTCGGATGTTGGCTGCACACCTTGGGCGAGAGACGTTTCTCAAAGGTGTTTCCAACTACCTCAAGGGCCACGCTTATGGAAATGCCACGACAAAAGATTTATGGTCAGCTCTTAGTCAGGCTTCAGGCCAGGATGTCAATGCATTGATGGAACCTTGGATTCGAAAGATCGGCTTCCCAGTCCTTACAGTTGGTGAAGAGCCGGGTCAGATTGGTGTCAAGCAATCACGTTATCTATCTACAGGTGATGTCAAAGCCGAGGACGACACCACTACTTGGTGGGTGCCACTAGGCCTCCGAGGCAAAACTGGCGTTAAAGAAATCGCTCCTATCGCCTTGACGAAGAAGGAGGATATTGTCAGGGACATTGATGATTCCTTCTACAAGCTAAATGCAGATAACTCTGGCTTTTACCGCGTCAACTATCCACCGCCAAGACTTGCCAAGCTAGGCTCTCAGATGGATCGGCTTACAATATCTGACAAGATTGGTGAGTCTTTTAATACGTCCCATATATCCAGATATTGACTACTATAACAGGTTTGATCGGTGATGCTGGTGCGTTGGCAGTATCAGGGGAAGCTTCGACTCCGGGATTGTTATCACTTGTTCAAGGCTCTTCGTCTGAGTCAAACTACCTTGTTTGGTCACAGATTCTTGGGTCACTTGGCACCGTCAAATCAGTATTCTCTGATGACGCTGAAATCTCAGATGGCCTAAAGAGGTTCACCCTCAAACTGGTCAGCCCAGCTGTGCAAAAGATAGGCTGGGAATCTGCACCGAACGAGGATTTCCTTACCTCCCAGCTCCGTGCTCTGCTCATTCTCACTGCAGGCATAAATGGCCATAATGAGTAAGCATCCCTGTTTCAGTGGTCCTTCAGATGCTAATCAGATCAGAGTTATTGCCGAAGCTCAGCGCCGCTTCAGACTATACATCAGCGGTGAAGACAAATCTGCTGTTCACCCCAACCTCCGTGCAGCTATATTTGGAATATCGATTCGCCATGGAAATGCCGCAGATTACTCGGCTCTTAAGAAAGAATGGCAGACTACGACCTCCGTTGACGGCAAAGAAATCATTCTCCGTGCACTAGCACGTCTTCAGACTCCTGACCTCTTGTCCGATTATCTAACGTTCCTTTTCACTGATGTCGCTACACAAGATATCCATACAGGCGCTATGGGTCTAGCTGCCAATCCTGTGACCCGACGAGACCTGTGGCTCTACATCCAGAACAATTTCGACGCCATCCGAGCTCGGTTAGGCAAGAACATGGTGGTGCTCGATCGCTTCCTCCGGCTCAGCTTGCAGAAATTTGCTGATCGAGAGACCGAGAAAGAGATTGCTAAGTTCTTCGAGGGCAAGGACAACAGGGGCTACGATCGGACTTTGAACATCGTAAGTGATACCGTACTGGGCAGGGCTGCATACAAGGAGAGGGATGCGTCAGTTCTCTTGGAATGGCTGAAGACAAATGGCTATGCTTGATCGGGCTGGATAAGGATAAGATGAAAAGCACACAGACGGTTGCTTTCGCAGTTTAAATCAAATGTCAATGGCCAGTGCAGGCAGCAACGTGCTGAATTTTCTATCAAGTCTTATCCTGTGATAAGAAACCCCACCATGGCAACGGAAAAATCATACCTCCGCACCAAGAAATCCTCTGTACTCTGTTTACATTATGCTCACACCGATAGTTATTATCGCTATCTGCTCAAATAACTCCCAGCCCCCTACTTCAACAAGCAATACCGAGTACCCGTTTCATTGTTGCAAAACACGTTTACCGTATCCCGTTGTTCCGTAGAGATTCACTTACCGGAAACAAGCAGTGATATATTCAGGGCCCTCATCGATCGCGCCCCTCCATTCGCCAGCTTGGAAGTGCAGTGAACGCCATTCGCTACATCTGATGATCACCCGGCGACTCAAGTAGTGGGTTGACGCGGCGCCCCAGGAACGGTGGCTTCCCCCCGTTCTCGGGACGCGCACTAAGTCCGAGGCAAAAGAAGCTTAATTAATTCGACATGACGGGCGCAAGACTTGCATATGCGGTTCGAACCTTGAATCCAGGAACAGAGCAAACAGATCACAATGCGGCATTGCTGATAATGACAACTTATCATTATACAGATATTTCAGACGAACACTTTGCCACGGTATGTATATATCTTGAACGACCATCTTGCAAGCTCTTTTCTTCAGAAGATGGGTGGACTCGTTATTTCGAGTGTGCGTCTAGTCGCAGACTTTGAGCCTCGGAAACATGCACCCTGGCCCTCGAGAACCATATTGTGAGGGTGGAGCCAGCCCTATCATCGACTCGAGATACCGTACTCCGTAGGGCTGACGCTCCGATTGGGGCGAATGGACACGGCGCGCTGCATCAAACACAACCAAAGAATCGAAGAAAAGCACCGTGGCCCCGCAAGCATGAGGCACGATGTAGATGGTCGATGGTGGATAGACATCAGGACCAGGGCAAACCGAAGATGCGTCTTCAGCGCACAGCAGTCTGCCAAACATGTTGCGTCATCTTAGGTAGGACGGCATGAAGAGAAGAAGACTGTACCTGCACTGTAGCAACCAATTGGCTTGATACCCCACGCCAGACTTCAAAACTGGACAGCCAAGAAGATGCTTGTCCTTCTCACAATATCGCAATAGAGAATACAATACCAAATGTCAATGAGGCCCTTAATCGTTGTGGAAGAGGCTCTCGCGGCGCTGCAAACCCCAAACCGGTCACAGTCGGAACTGGCGCTCGCATAGCTCTGAGCTAGCCCCAATCGGGATTAACCGAGCGGACTGCGATCTCGAGAGAAACGACAACCTAAGGAGATGGCGACTCGTTTTACTCTCCATTACAACCGACAACGATCCACGGACGACGCCCAAATTAACTTGACGGTTCGATCGATAATCGTCTACTATGACCTGAGCTGTAGCTTAGTAAATAATCCTAAGCGCGCGTCTACTCGCATCTGAACGACTGTCGTTAAGTGAATCACCACCTCGATCCCCCCGCCTCCCACCGACCGTCGGGACATCCTCCTGCGACTTGGTCCGACCCATCTCACTATCGCACATGTGAACCTCGCACAATGACCACCGATATGGCTACCATAGCCCCAGAGATGGGCGAGCAGTTGCACTCTCCCCCAGAATCCAGCAAGGACTCCCCTACGCTCAAGCACGATGCATCACCATCCGACTCGGAGCTCTCTGATCTCGAGGATCCCGAAGATGACATCGGGGAAATCACTCCAGCATACTACAGCGATGGAGGCGTCCCTGTGTTTACACCAACAATGGAAGAGTTCAAGTCCTTCAAGCTTTATGTAAGTCTCCACACTCTTCAATTGAAGCCTTCGGTCGCTAATCCATCTGCGCTGTAGATGAACAAAATCAATCCGTACGGAATGAAGACCGGCATTGTCAAAGTCATCCCTCCTCCCGAATGGCGCGCTGATCTGCCAGCGCTCGATGAAGCTATCAAGACGATTAAAGTCAAGGATCCGATCAAGCAAGATATCATGGGCACAAACGGTACATATCGACAGGCCAACATTCTGCATCAAAGATCATACAATCTCCCACAATGGCGTCAGTTGTGTGAGCAGAGCGAGCATCAACCGCCGGCCAAGAGAGGAGAGAGACGCTTGAATCAAGACAGGCCTTCCCGCCCCACTCCCAAACCGAAAGGCACTTCCACACCATCAGCATCGGCATCTTCCAAGAAAAAGGGTCCCGGGCGTCCTTCAAAGAACAAATCGAAAGCTACCACTGTCGAGCCGAAGGAAGCCTCGGCAACTCCCGATAGACTCCCGACGCCAGTCTCTCCATCGACAAAGCCGGAGGACGACGTCGAGTCGATCAAGCAAGAAGTGGACGAGGAGGAGTCGCCAATGAAACAGAAGGGTGGCAGACAACCAAAATCGATTTCTGTCTCTTCCCGTCGAAAATTCAATCGTCGCGAAGCAGCTGCAAAGGTTGATGAAGCGGCCTTCAAAGACTTCAAGTATGAGCTAGAGGGCGAAGACTATTCTCCTGAACGCTGTGAAGAACTCGAGCGGGCTTATTGGAAGACCCTCACATATGCTCCTCCCCTCTACGGAGCTGATATGCCTGGTTCACTTTTTGATGATCGAACAACAACTTGGAACCTTGGCAAACTCGAGAATCTTCTTGATGTCATGGGCACGAAGATTCCTGGTGTTAATACCGCATACCTGTACTTAGGCATGTGGAAGGCTACTTTCGCTTGGCATCTAGAGGATGTAGACCTTTACAGTATCAACTTTCTCCATTTTGGTGCGCCGAAGCAGTGGTACAGCATTTCGCAAGGAGATGCACGACGATTCGAGGCTGCGATGAAAAGCATTTGGCCTACTGACGCTAAAGCCTGTGACCAATTTCTTCGCCACAAGACGTTTTTGATCTCTCCCTCACACCTTCTGCAGAATTACAACATCAAGGTCAACAAAATCGTGCACAATCCTGGCGAGTTTGTCATCACTTTCCCCTACGGCTACCACTCAGGTTATAATCTCGGATATAACTGCGCAGAAGCGGTTAATTTTGCCCTGGATTCATGGCTTGAGTATGGGCGTATTGCCAAGAAGTGTGATTGTAGCCTGGCTCAAGACAGCGTTTGGATCGATGTTGGGGAGATTGAACGGAAACTAAGGGGAGAAGAGACCGATTATGAGGAAACTGAGGATGAAGAGGACGAAGAGGATCGAAATGGGCCAACAGATCTACCCACACCCCCCGAGAGCAGTGGCGATGCGAAGATCAAGGCTCCTCGACGAAAACGCAAGCGGCCTGTCAATGACAAGAACGACAAACCTAACGCTAAAAGGATTCGTGTCCGCATCAAGGCGCCGGTTAAGGAGCCATGTGTTCTGTGTCCCCATGATATCCCGTCCGAGCCTCTGTTACCAACGGAGGATGGTCAGAAGGCACATCGTATGTGTGCTCTATACATTCCTGAGACCTCGATTGAATCAGGAGAAGGAGGGAAAGAAATGGTTACCGACGTCAAATATATTGACAAGGCTCGTCTCGACCTCAAATGCAACTATTGTCGATCGAAGAAGGGGGCTTGTTTCCAATGTTCACAGAAGAAATGCACCAGAGCATACCATGCCACGTGCGCCGCTGCTGCTGGTGTTCTAGTTGAGCAAGGCGAAATTCCCGTTTTTGGCGAGGATGGAACTGAATACAAAGAGTGGGGTATTGAGTTCAGCTGCAGATTCCACCGCACTAAGCGTGATAAGAAGCTCGATGGCGATGCTCTAGGAGACAATGAGCGTATCTTAAAGGCAGCATCGGAGCTTAAGGTGGGCGAGACTTGTCAAATGCAATATTACGGAGGTGATATATTTGCTGGTGTTGTGGTCGAAAATCGCAAGAGCGAGGAGATGATTCTTGTTGACATCTTGCCGAGAGGGTATGTGGAATCTCCGAAACACCTCATTGTTTGTTTCAAGCCCAGTCACTAACACGCATATAGCGAACGCATCGAAGTCGAATACAAATGGCTTCTTATTCCGGACCCTGCAGACTTCCATCTTCAGAAGCCATCCGCGAACGCCATTCCAATGCCGAGGTCTTTCAAAGCTAAAGAATCTCTCAACACAAGCAAACGGCAGGCTGATGATTTACCAAGAGCTGATGATCCTTTCGTCAATGGCTGCACTTGGGCTGAATTCAAAACCGAGAATATTCCACGCAATCCCGCGCAGGTTAAGGTAGACTTTGACAAAGAGAACCAGATCTGGTATTATCTTGGCAAGACCTCTACAGAGGCGAAGGCGCAGTTCACAGAAGATCCGGCAAAGCCTCGACACAATCCGAAGGGCCACTTCTTGGACACGATTCCCAAGCCGATTACTACTGTACCGCGACAGTCATACGCCGCGTCGTATCCATCGGCCTTCAACCAGAATAAAGTGAACACTTTGAAAGCAAAGCCTCGACCTTCCCAGCCTGCAGATTCTACTAGAGCAGAGAAGCCATATGTATACAAGCCTCGCAGTACTGGTGATAGTTACCGCATTGACCAACAAGCTTACCAGTCCCAGCAGAGTTTCCTTCAACGATCGGCTCCTGCTCCTTATAGCTTTGGTACCGATCCGAGATGGAGATCGACTGGTTCTCCGGCGACGGCTCCTTACTCACCAACGACTCCGTCATACCCGCCAAAGACCGCTCCATACAATCCAACAGCTTCTTATCCCAGCTCCTCCGCCCCCGCGATCAGTGCGCCTCAATCGCAGGGTGTTTTGGCCCCTCCCGCACACTTTCGACCTCCATATACGCCTCCATTACCACCACCCAAGCAAAATAACCCCTTCAGCAGCAGGTCTAAACCTTCCCGACCGAATCCTTTTGCAAAATACAAGTACCTGCAAAAGGAACATAACAGATCGTCATTAGAGTATAAGAGTCCTTATAGATACGGTGGTGGGTTCATGAACGGATATCAAGGCAATCTGGAGAAGCACCTGCAACAGACGTTATTTAACAAGAATCGACCTACTACAGCGACTTCAGCATCATCGTACGGCAGTCAACAGTCTCCCAGTCAGGCATCCGTGTCTCCGCCCGTCCATGGATCTTCTGGCCTTGGAAGTGCGCAGAAGCAACCCGGACTTCCTTACCAGCAGGTAACGAAACCGGCAACAGAGAACACCTGGGAGAACAAGGGCTCTTCACAGCTACATCCTGCCATTCGGCAGGAGTATAATCCTTTGTACCACAATCAGTATCAGCCTCAACGTACTGCCACCCCTCACCAGTCGCAAAACCCTCTTTCTCAGGCGCAGAATGAGAGGCAGCAACAACAGATGCAACAACCAGCGCAAAGCAGGCAATTTCAACATTCTTACCAGTCACAGCCACCCCATCCACATACACCTGCAGTCTCCAATTCGGATATACGACAGCCCATCAACCAGCCAGCAAATCAACCGCGATATCAGTCCTCGACGTACGCTCCATACCAGGACGGCAAAGTTATGTATCCGCACCAGCAGTACTTCCAAAAGCTACAGGTGCAGGCTCAGGTCCAAAACCCGCCGCTACAATCATGGGCACAGGCTCAGCCTCAGCCTCAAGCTCAAATCAAAGGTCAGACGTCACAACAACGGGACTTCCCTGATGTCCCGGCTGATTCTACAACGCTGGTTGAGAAAATGATGTTGAACTTAAGGAAGGCTGCGTCTGGCGCATCGTCTACCAGTTGAACGGTGGTCGAATATCAGGGCAGATTTATTTGTGTTCATGGATTATGACATTGGTGGATGACATTGGTGGATTGGGGAATAACGACGGGGACATCGGCGCTCATAGGTTTTGTAACGGCTTGGGGTTGGCTACAACAGGTGGATCCCTGTTCTTTACACTCGGGTATATGGAATAGGCGTTACAGGAAGTCGGCAGATGGAGGTTGGTCTGATTCGTCCACCTTTTTTTAATTTGCGAATTTGCTCTTTTTGCTCTTTTCAATGTTGTAGAGACCGGCTCGACTCTCCTCTCGCCGTAACCGGAAGTTTTGCTGCTTTTCAGTACCGTCCCGTTAAGCCAGGCTTTGTTGGTGTACAAAGAAGCTGGGGGAGGAGAACAATTGTGAATACCTGGGCACTTCTCGGGTACTTTGTACAGTAGTCTAGCAAGCCCGGGAATATATTATATTCTTACATTTTGTGACGGCTGTGTAAGCGGCAGGCTGGTGTTCAACATACCTTAGCAAAATACTAGGGTGAGTTGGCTCTCGCGGGTGGCCCCGAGAAAGATGTCATCTGTCATAGCTTGGTTGTAATAATCGTAGGCCTCCCAAACCACCCCAAGTCTCATCCATAAGGTATTCTCGTCACGCGGTCGTCTATGCACATGATTGACAATCCCACGCGGATTGAAATCAAGTTTTAATGCCATTGAGCCTGTCGTGGGTGCGATGATGTGCAACAGAAGATGCCTACAGGCAGGTGGTTATAAATCCTACCTCTTTCTCTTTTATTTTATTTTAGTTGACTTTTTGATTTGTTAGTGCGAATCCCAGAGGGTGTTTGTTTGTAGGAAGGTGATTGTCTTGGGAGAGAGTTCGATATTTAATGTCTCTTGTTAACCTGAAGGATCCTGCTTGACTGGAAGATGATGGACTGTTTGGGTTGGATGAATCACTAAGATTTATGAGATATCCGGGCGTCCATAAATAAGTATTGCTCGAATTATACCTATACTAAAGGGAACCATCTAAATTCCGCCCCGAAGAAGAGTGAAGATATACGTATATTTTTCATGAGCCATGATTAATCATACTTAATAACTGCCCGATTTCAGAATACCTATAGATATCATACGCCTCAACGCCACCCCCCCGTCTCCTTTCCAACACCCTACACTTGAGACTCTTCAACCTACTAATCCTCATCCATATCATCACCTAATAACCGTACCTCTCCGACCTCCCTAATCTTCTCACCTAGCACAGTCCTGCCATACCGCTCCGCAATCTTACCCGCCGCCTCAAGCATCTTCCCACTTCGGTCCCTGAGCAGCGTGACCATTTCCAGGGCGCGCATGCCTCTCTCCTCTCCCTCCCTACACTCCACGGCCAGCATCTGCAGGAGCGTCTTGTCGATGTCGATCTCCATGCGCGCGAGCGCCGTGCGCTGCGCATGTGTGCTTTTTGTGGATTCGATAAGGTCTTGCTGTTGGGCGGTAAGAAGACTCTTGAGGACGTAATCGCCTTCTAGTTTCTTGAGCTCGTCGCCTTCACCCAGAGCGGCGTCTTCGTCATCGCTGGAGGGTTTGGGAGTCGAGGTGAGTGGAATCTGGAACTCGAATTCGGAGAGGAGGGGACGCGGGAAATAGGGGTACTGATCACCGCCTTTTAGGATAATGCAGTGGAATTTGTTATCTGCTACAGCGACGGGGAAGTAGGTTTCGGTCTTTCGGCCCGAGGCGAGGCGGGAGAGAAGTTTTGTGTCTAAGAGAGGGACCCAGGTGGCTTGGGATGGAGTGCGCCAATGTAAGAGGGTGAGTAGCGTTCCTGTGGAATCGTAGATGCATGGGTCCTGTAGCATCCTGTTAGGCCTTCGAACATTTCAGTAGAAACGGGAGAACTCACCCCATTGTCTGAGAAGAAAACACTCTTCACTGTCTCTCCATCGGGTAGAGCTACAATATCTTCGCTCTGGCACACCTCGTCTCTCTTGATGTTCTGAATCGTGTACAGTAACTTTGTGTTTCCATCCGCTCCTACCGGTCCATTTCCGAGGGTAAGGACATAGTCTCTCCAGCTGGCACATGTGACCGTTGGGCTGCTTTTTTGCCTGTAAACCCTATAAGGGATACCAAACAGTGTGTAAATCCTGACATAATTCGCCGTTGTGGTGACAGTTACGAAAGAGTCGCTCAATGATATGGCCGTCACTTCCTCTCCTTTAGGGAGCTGTGTCCGCCAGTCTGCTCGAGCAGTCCAAGTCTCATGCGGTCGATAGAAGATAGTTGCCGGAATATCTTTGTCAGAAGGACAGGAGAACAGAGTTCCGCTGTCGTTGAGGCATGCCTTGTCATACATGAAAGTGTCGGTGAAATGGAAATCGCGGTGGAACTCGTTATCATAGAACTCCACGGTCACGGTGTTATGGGTGTCTTGGTCAACAGTCCACACAAACCCTATGAGATTGAGACATAGATATTTTCGGTTCCCACGCCAGGGGGTGGATCCTGGCTGGAAAGATTCGTGGTACTGTGGCTGCCAACCGTACGTAGGACGTTTGCTGGCCGGGCCTCCATCGATGAGACCACTAGGTCTCTTGCCATTGTCGTTGAGTCCAAGTGCATATCCAGCACCATCATCATCAACCACAAAGTCATCCTCCTCGCCCATAATATCGGAGCCAAGAATGTCGCCTAAGCTATCAGGCGTTCCTCGTCGAACACCACGATGCGGTACATCTTTATTACCATTAGCAATCGGTCGTCGAATATTTGCTGATACCTCAGAGAGTGGGTCATGAATAAAAGGAGCAGGCTGTGGGCCAAGTTTGACGAGGTGGGCGTGCTCTGCCGGTACGAAGTCATTGAAGATATAGACTTCACCGTCTGAATTCGTAAAGGATAGGAGGTTTTTCGTCGGGTGCCATGCCAAATCCATGACATTTGCATAGTCGTAAGTCGCGATGACGGTCTGGGTTTTAGTTTCCCAGAGAAGGATTTTTCGGTCCTTCCCAGCAGATGCCAACATGGCACCGTTTGGTGACCAGGCCAATGCGGTCACATCACCCATATGGCCGTTGGTAAACGCTCTCTGATTCTCCCAATCACTTCTAGACATGACTTGTATGTCTCTTGTGGCCGTCGGAGCTGCGAACGCCCTTCCATCAGGATGCCATGCAACCTTCGCACTAACTTCATCGTCCGTCTCAAGTGTTCTGATCAAGCCATCAATCTTTCTTATAAGCTCGGGCTCATCATTTACTAGCGAGTAGACGTAGACCAGGCCATCGGTACATGATAGAGCGATGTATTTGGAGCTCGGATCGAAAGATAGGTGTTTCACAGGTTTTAATTGCTCCCTCAGATACATCACTGAGCTCGTATCTGATATTCTAACAATCTTGACGACGAGTTCATCACTTGCAACCGCGCACCATTTTCCGTCTGGTGAAAGTGCAACATCTCGAATTGGTAGAGAGCAACGCAGGAGGAATTTCTCGAAAGACATGGTTTCGAGTGAGTATTTGCTGACAGTCCCATCCTCAGCACCGGTGACAAAGAATTCGTCCTGGGGATGCATTAGCTTTATATTCCCCGGTTCCATGGAATAGCCTTACTGTCGAATCCACCCCCATATTCTGCTCCTGACAATCATCGATATTCGTAGGTTCTCCATCGAATCCTGTCTTGTACACACGCGTAGTGTTGTTAGAGCCCACCGTGACCAGTTTTGTTCCATCCGGGGTATAAGAGAGATAGGTCGGCCCTTGAGTATGAGCTGGCCGGCCTCGCAGACGTATTTGGGTAGTTGTCGCCATTTTAATTGTGTTAAATGGCATAAACTCTGACCTCGTTTGGTGTTGAAGTTCAGGGAGACGTGTTGCGACGCGATCCCACTCAACGCGAACCCCTGTCGGTTTTCAACGGCCGGAAAATCAACCCCGCGGTCGAAAGGCAACTCTGCAAAGCAACAACAATGTCTCGATCAACAGACCCAGGACATTTCTTCCAGACCGATGCCTCGGAATCAATACGGGCTCGCAAGGCAGCCAAATCTGTAAATAAAAATGGCAATCCTATTATCCTACAATCGAAGATTCTAAACGTTATTCCTGACCCTTCCTCCTCGACCTCGATTTACATAGCAGAGAGCGTTGGATGCGTACGCAAAGTCAATGTCGAAGTAGGTATGCGCAGCAATATATACCGCCTCAGAGGGATCCTAACAGGAATCCAAAGACTAGGGACACGAAGACCATCTACAAAGGTCCAACTGCACCACTCACATCAGTAGCAATTGGCGGTCAAGGAGGAGCTTTTGTGTTCGCAGGATGTTGGGACAAGGATATATGGAGTTGGGATAGAGAAAGCAGAACACCGGCCAGGAGGTACAAAGGACATTCGGACTTTGTGAAAGCGGTAGTATGCGCAAAGATAGGGGGCAAGGATGTGAGTGCCCTGTTTCTGAGAGCCTTGAATGATCCTGATTTTTGGATTCCAGTGCCTCATATCCGGTGGTTCAGATGCAAAGATCATGGTGTGGGATACCGCGACTGGAGAACGTCTTTACACTCTGCGCGATCAGACGGATACAATGATGGCAGTTCAAGACCTGACTATTGACCCTGAGGATTCAACAGACTCGGAAGTTATCCTCGTATCCTCAAGTAGCGATCCACACATCCGGCGCTGGCGCATAAGTCTCTCTTCTGCATCCCAAATTCTCGATTCTGCCGAGCAAACTCAGGGTAAACCTACCAGGCAGACGATTCTTGAGCACGAAACCAGTGTTTATAAAATCCTATTCTCCGGCGATGACGATGAGACGGATCTATGGACTGCCAGTGCAGATGGTTCCGCGAAATGTCTGTCGAGAGCAAGGAATTGGAGTACGGAAGAGACGTATGAGCATGGGGATTATGTACGCGCTGTAGTTGTCACTACAGATTGGGTTGTGACTGCCGGACGAAATGAAGATGTGAAGGTTTGGGATAGAGCGACTGGGAAGCTGTGGCACGTGTACGAAGGGCATTATGAAGAAGTCACCGGCCTAGTGGTCTTGGCAGGGGAGAAGAAGGTTGTCAGCGTTAGTATTGATGGGACCGTAAGAACGTGGGGATTGAGCAAGTCCGATTTAGAGAAGGCGATAAAGGAGAAGGAGGAGGCAGCGAAAGGGGGCGCCAAGGAGGATAAAGTGGCGGCGAAGCAGAGTCTATTAACTGCAGAAGAGGAGGCTGAATTGGCGGAGCTGATGGATTCTGATGGCGATTCAGAGTAAGCAATAAAGCTTAACAGAATATATGAGACATTCTCGATCAACTCTGGTTCATAGCTCAGCGCTTGTCAAATGCCACATGGCTGCCACAGCTTAGGGATGAGGTTCCAGAATTCCAGAAACAACAGAAACAACGGTCTACTCCATACTACTCCGTACTACTGTACAAAATCACAAGCGCCTCGGTATCGTCGCAAAGACGCTTGGTGGACGGACCCAGACGTTAGCAACTAGCAAGAGAGTGACAGTAGTTGGAGTCTGTTAGCAACTTGGACAACTACTTGGACTCGAGATCAAGCGGAAATTAAATGCGCTATTGGGCATTTGATCAACGTGCTTTAATTTCTTGTTGCACAGGGCGGATCTACAGAGGGTCTTGGGAAGCTGGGGATTGGACGATCATGAGGCTGTAGGGATCCAGACTCCAGAGCGTCGGGGTTGTGCCAGGAGCGCGTCCTCCTACATACTCGGTCCCTTTTCCAGATGCGTGTACAGTATCTCCTCACATTCTCACCTCATATCGCGGTGCAAGGCAGGTGACCAGTCACAATTGTCACTTACGGTACATACAGAATTCGGATACAGACTAGAGTGCTGCTCCCAGGCTCCCCAGTCGTCCCACGGCCCAGGCGCGCTGCCTCATCGCGAGATATCATATGGCGGTGTTCCTGCCGGTTGCCTCCGATTACAGCACTTCTACTCCGTACATACTGCAATCTCTGTCTGGTAGTCGTGGGTCTTCCGACAGGACCGACACTCTCTTACGGAATACATACTCTGCAGGATATGGTCTGTATACCAGGTTCCCGACAACTACCGGACTACGGAGTATGCGGGCTCCCTGAAACCCACCAGCACAGTGCGGAGTATCCTGTCTTCTCCCTTCGAGTACCGGCTCCTTCGATGCCCGAGTCTTGACCGCTCTGTTAGCATTGCGTTGGCCCGTCGCCCAAGGTCTGGGAGTGCAAGCATTGTCCGTGTGCCTCTGTACGGGACTGACTCTCTATCGTCAGTTCGAGCTTTCGAGCATTCGAGGGCGCTCCGTGAACTTGTGAAGGAACCTTGAACTTTGGAAGCTTTTTCAGGACGTGCTGTCGGCAGAATGCTTGGCTCGGGGTACAATCCCACAAATCAGAGGCTTCTGACTCGTAATTGGGAATGGGGACAAGCCAGGGCACGGCCGACCTGATCCATCCATGCACGCATCATCATGCACGCACGTACAATGTACGTGATAAAGGGGGCAAGGGAGGAGTGATGCTCAGCGGGGATCATATCGTATCATCTATCGTGATCATCATGATCACCACTACAATGTTATAGCGAATAATACCGATCCTAGATCAGATCTTTGAGATCGCATTCTTTCGATTCAAGCGGTCGACGGCTGTCATTCAAGCTAAGGTACTGTCAGAGTTCAACGCCCTTGCCGGCCCGCAACGCCCAACCTTTTTCTCAGACGTGACGGGAAGGCTACTACTGTATCATTACGAGCCTACGAGGGAGCTTACAATTAAGATCGTCATTATTTGGAGGGAAAGGAGCGCCAAAACGCCCAATGATACGGTACGGAATCCCAAGCCCCACGCGTTTTTCGCGCGGCTTGCTCCCAAGAAGAGAAAACGGACCCCATGCCTACTATACTTTATTTGGCTTGGGTGCCAGGGTGCTGGATCGCCCACCAAAATGATTTTCCGTGCAGAGACGCCTACGGAGTAGATATGGAAGTACTCAGATACTGTATGAGAGTTGTACGCAGCGCACAGCAGAGGGGTCATCGACTTGTCGGATCACTCGTTGGCCTTGTCATAACCCATTGCAACACCCCATGTTGGTTGCCGCGGTGCAGCACTGCATTGCGCATCTTTTCCTCGCCGGCCTGCTGCTAATGGCGGTCTGCTTTCAGAGAAAAGCGCAGCTTCCACGGAGTATGTATGTAGTGTCTCGGGAGTCGGGGTGTCTCGTATCGTAAGTCCTGTGAGATGTTGGAACTTGGAGGCTTTCCCGTTCACCGGTTTACAATAGTAGTAGTAGTCACAAGTTGCAACGAACGCTTCCAACACACACGCTGACGTTGTTGAAGTCCAGGGGCTCTCCGCGAAGATCATGGCTTCTTGGGGCCGATCCCCGTGAAGGGTCCGCTATTCAGGCACTTCCCTATGATCATTGGCTGTTCTCTTTGTGTAGGCTTGAACTCCAAACGCTCGCTCGCCGGGAGGAGCTTCATCAAGCCACCTTCTTGACTACCACTACTAGGCGGTCCAAAGATGCATGCATAGCTCAGGGCCCATCTGCACAGAGCCATGCTTTTCACGCTTGTTTACGAAGTAGCGGCTATTTCTGCCCCCTTGCTTTCTTGGGCAACTTGGGGTATGCTGCCTAGTACGTTATTATTATTAACCTCATCCATCCACAAAGATGGCTCAAAAGCCGGTTTTCCTTGAATTCCTTCAAGCCGGAGGAAAGGGCTAGATAGAGGGCTGAGCAAGACTTGCAACCTATGAAATAATAACCCTTCTCACCAGTCTATCACCTGTTCATCCCGATTAACCGCCATCTCTACGGAGCCCTTTTGCGTTTCCCCACTGGACGATCAGTGTTTACCTGCAGCCTTCTTTCCGCAGCGAGGGACCTGTTTCCTGCTTCGATTTTACACATTATTGCCTCCTCATATGCCAACGCTCGCAGGATCGAGTTCTCTTTGCGAATTTGGTGCAGAGTTAGACGCATCGGTTGCATCTTAATATAGCGCACTGTTCATCATGATATCTGCGGCGCCGCAGCAGGAGGTGGGAGGGAAGTTGGTAGCTTTTGAGGGCGATGCCGACACAATATCCACGCAACTGCGACTCCTTCCTCCGTCACAAAAGATCCTCATACTGCCGTCTTTACTGGAGAGTGTACCCAAGACCACGGATAAGCAATCATTCAACGCTCGAGCATTCATCCGCGAAGTACATACAGCTTTTGGCCAGCGAAACGAAACAGCACGGTCCTTCCTGCAATCTTCAACTAGTACACATCCAAGACTTGTTTTCATGAATGGAGGCAGTGTCGGTGCGCGCACTGCCTGTATAACGGCTATATGCGAGAATGTTACAAATGGAGAAATTGGAGAAGCCGAGGCGATTTTCGACGAAATCATGAAGGATGGGGTAGCAGGTTTAATGAAACATGAAGAGATGGTCGTTGAAGATGGACAATTGGAGGAGGTGGATGAGAGTCTCGATGGGACTGAGGAGAGTGATGAGGACCCAACTGTCAAGGCCATGAAAGCTGCGGATTCTCTGGATCGAGAGACAGCGGCCTTACAAGAAGACATGGAAGAGGACGGCGCGAGGACAGAAAACACGAATGAAGACCACCGGCAAAGCGTCTCCACCTTTAATTACGGCGACGATATAGTAACAACTGTCGTCACAATTCCAAATCGAACAGAGGGGGCCTACGGTATCAACACCTTCGGGAGTGGACCTCTGACTACCCCTTTCTCGGCAGCCACCTATTTCACAGGAGCCCGTTCATATCAGTCAGATGACGAAGAAGACAACGAACGGGCTGATAGATACGATATGGGTGCGCTCTCTCCTGGCGAGGATAGTATGTTTTCTGCCCCTACTACCCCTCGAGTCGAGTATGGGGAGGCTTGCATTGTGGACGTGCACGCCGTTATTGCAAAAAATGAGGAGAACGAAGTGAGGAGAGTAAGATCAATGGAGACATTCTACCCAAACAGTTCAAGAGCCCAAGAAATTGATCTGACCCCGAGAAAGCTCAACCACACAAAGTCCGAATATCACTTAGGAGGAAGACCATTCACAACCTATGGTAGAATGGAAAAAGAATCATCTCCCAAATTTTTCCAACTGCCACGGACGACATTCATGAGAGCCTCGAAGACGAATATCAAGAAATCTCCATCTTTAAACTTTTCCGAAAACTCGTCTTCGACATCCACACCTACTGTTCGTGTATTCCAGGATCGTGGCATTGATGCCTGGGAGGGTCCAGCTCAGCCCTCAGAAACAAAGCCTGAAGAGAATGGCGCTCTTGAGCACCCGGTCTTCCCTGTGGTGGAGGACATGATTGTTTACTTTGTTAACAACGCTTCTAACGAAATCCTTGAATCCGTCATTCGCTCCTACAAGAACGGCGCATACCCCATGACTCCATCTCCTGCGTCTCCAGATGCAGAATACCCACCAAGCTCGACGTTTTCCAATCGTAATGCGGATGAGAGTTGTGCCAGGCCAGATTCTCATCACACAGTCGAGACTGACGATGAGGGATTCCACAGGCGCCATGAGTTTGATCCGTACTCTGATAGCAGTTACCCTTCAAGTTCCAAGCAATGGCCACTCAGTGATAAATTAGGCCGCAACCACGGGGTAGATCAAACCACGAAGCCGCCAACACCGACAATGACACCTCCGCCACAAAGCAACGAGAGATTCTATGAATTTTCTCCGGTAAACCCTAGCAGTGTTATTGGTGTTCAGAATTGTTTAAGGTCTTTCTTGAATATGCACTTTCCGGCGGGCGAGAACGGCTACACTCAGCACTATTTCTCGGTCACTCCTGAGGCTGATAGACTCTGGAAACCAGTCTTCGGGAATGATCAAAATGTGAGTACTGGTAATGAGGGCAGGACAGTTGATCAGATCATTGCACTGGGATGTGAAGATGGCGTCAAGAAGGATTTCTTCGCCCAAATATCTGGACAAATTGAACGACTTGGGACTAAACGGAACGGTCTCAATAGAAGTGCGAGGCTTGATCTGAGGTAGGCTAACCCTTGCCATTATACTCGATAGTTACTCACCATTTTAGATATCTCATCGCAAACGCCATGCAAACATATTTGTCCCTCCCTCATGCCACTCAAAACGCCGCCAACCCCTTGACGAACCCGACTCTCCTCGCTACCCTCCTTATTCCCCATCTCGAGGCCCATCTGGCAATCAACACTAGTACCCGCCTTCTAATACTTATCTATCCTTCTAACCACTTGTCCACTGTCGTGGCTCTCCGCAGACTACTCGGACAGGACATCCTAAAAGTCGCTGGAATCCTCGATTCACAGGCCTCCGATCCGCCTACCTTTGGCTCTCGCCCTCGCACACCACCCAACCACCCCCTTTCAAACGAAGCCACCTCCCCGAAAGCTTCCAACTCTCACCAGCATAAGCGTCGGGATTCCTTGAGATCCCTCGTAAGCCACGTATCGCATCCTTCGCTCCAGCATTCCAAGAATTCCGAATCATCCTTCTCAAAAGCCAACTACCTCCTCCCGAGCACAGCAACCGACAGCGAAATTGCCACTTTCTTATCAAGCATCTGGAGGCCGCTGGCGGAGAAATCTGCATTCTATACCCCTGAACCGGCAGTCGAGCCGGTCGTCGTGGAAAAGGTCGTCGAAAAGATTGTCGAGAAGATCGTAGAGAAATCAGCACCGCCACAAACACCGACCGGCTCAAGTCATCCACCAGTCTCCTACTTCCAGGGTCGCGACGGGCGTGATGCTAAGATCGCACGCCTGACAGGCCATGCTTCTGATAAGCGATCCCATCATTATACGCCCTCGATCACTTCGACTATAAGGACCACGGCAAGTGAAAGAGGCCGAAGGGAGGTGCGGGAAAGGGAACTCGAGAAGGCATGGGAAGACTTCTATATCGGCGAGGAGGATAGTGAAGATGATGCTTACGACCGTATGGTGATGGGACGAGCAGGCGCACGGATCGTGCCCGAGGTAGTAAAGCAGATGGCGGGGAAGAAGAGGAGTAGTAAGAAAGCGCTGAAGTGGCTTGGCCTGGCATAACCGTTCTTCCTTTTCACTGTCCTGTCATGTCCCATTCATCTTTGGGTGGGAGTCTATGCTGCCATCGTTTTTTTATGACAACGTCACGTCTGGTCCGATCTAGGGACATTTCCTTTCTGTTATTTGGAGTTCAATACTCTTGTATTTTTAGGGCTAGCTAAATGGTTGGTGTACGTTGAAAAGTCAGCGTTGGAAATATCAGATAATGTAATGTTGTATATATAGAAAACTTCATGTTTGAGCACTTCGCCCTCATCAAAGGTGTGCAATGAGTCAAATTATATGTCCCTGTGTAGTGCCTTCAAGATCACTCGTACATCAGCGCTGATACGGGTCGAGATTCCAGATATACTGGGTCAGTCAAGTAACTAGATATGACTATAGCTTACTTATCTATCACCCCAAGCTGTAGAATAGTAGCACGTACTTGATCTTTCCCGGATCATAGTGGAAAGCCAAAGAGCCATCCTTTTCCCAAGGGTAAGGACCTGGCATTTTGAAGATCATTACTTATTCATTTGAGCGGTGTCTTTGATTGATCTCTTAATACAACATTGAAGTTTTACATACATCATCGGGAGTCTCGACCCGCCAGAACTTATGCTTTTCCCTGAACGCCACATTATCGTACAAATGCAATCCCTTCATACATTTCAACTACTCCTCCTCCTCCTGTAGTCATATTCCTCCGTCCGAACCCAGAAAGCCGGACACGGCGTTCCGTCCTCGCCTCTGCCATTCTTCATCCCACCCAATAACCAATCCGTCAGGCCTACCACTTTAGCTCCAACACCCTTCTCCCAATTACCTCCCTCCTGGACGTGTTCAATCGTATGGGACACAATCCTGCCCTCCTCATCGAACTCAAAGATAAACAACCCCGTGAACTCCTTGCTATCATCCTCGCCCTTGCCGCCGCCCAGCCACTCCGTGATCTTGTCCACGTTCTCACTGGCGCCGATGCCCTTGTAGAAGCCGCCCGTGCCTTTGTTCTTCGTCTTCCCGATCGTCCGCCATCGCACGATCAGTTGTTCCGGCCGCGTGGCGGACTGCGGAAGAGGGGAGTGCGAGAGCCGGGGGCTCTTGATCATACGCTCGGAGAGTATCTCAAGCTTGACATTCCCGACGAGAGGTACGCGGCCCCATGCTATAGGAGAGGTCCAGAGGGCAGCGGAGTAGGCAACACGTCCGGAGACGGTGGGGAGGTGTGGGTGCGTGGAGGGGAAGAGGTGGAGGGTTATCTGGGGTGAAAGGATTTCTTGGGGAAGTGGTGATTGCAGGAGAGTGGGGAGGCGTTCTTGAAGGATTCGAAGCGCTGCAGGGACGGTTAGTTGGCCATGTCCAGCGAGAAGGAGGGGAGTCCTTACTTTTTCCAAGCTTGACTTTTCGTTCATCTGGGGGGTTGGGAGGTTCATTGCCGTTTGGACTCGGAATGTTCGGGCGAGGTGCTGATCCAGTAAACCAGAACTCTGATTGTGTTTTTGAGCCCTGGTTAACCGTAGCTAAACTTCTCGAGCCTGGTTTTACCGTATATATAGGGCTATGCCATCCTCGACATGCTGCTGTGGCGGAGGGGAGTTTAGGGACATTGTGAGGAGCAGAGCGCAAGACGCTGGAAGGCACCGACATCAGCCTGGCAGATTAAGGATCTCTTCAAAAGACATCAAGGTCGATATAAAGAGATGGAAGATATATCAATCTACTAAGCGCTGGTCTGGTGTTGCGGCGTTACTGTCTCGAGTCAAGAGAAGCTTTATCACTGATTGGCAAAATGACCAAAACCGGTCATTCGCCAAAGCGGTCAAGACACAGACAGGTTCACTTGTACAACAGAGCCGCAACTATTCCACAGATCATGTCAAACATAATCAACTTGTAACTTGGTACACTCAAATTCATTGTGATGACATATCCAACAGATAAAGAAACAGTCTGAGAGAAAGCGTTAATCAGGTGGCAGCCTTGGAGAACAAAGGACGTTTCTGCCTCAGGACAACTCGCTAAGACCTCGCATCTGACGAAACAGGGTGAACAGACATACATCTAAGGTTCTGGTCGCGATAACTCCTCAACTCTACCTTTATAATCACCACCATCGCCCCTCCCATCAACCTCATTCACCTCTCTTAAGCCTTCTCCAACGAAATAACAACCTGCAATCATGAATCCAGAGTAGTAAGTCTCCTCCCAAACACAGGCCCAGCCCTTGAATTTGAACCAGGCCCCTTCAAGACGCAAGCCTCCAGCTTTGGTACCTAGATACAGCAACTGACCCATTCTACCTTGCAGAGTCCCTTCAACATGTCCTTCGATCAGAGATACATGAGCGCAAGCGACTATTACCCTCTCCGCGAATCATACCACAACCTTACTCACGAACTTGGCAGATACGACTACCTCTTCAAGCTCCTCCTCATCGGAGACTCTGGTGTAGGAAAGTCCTGCTTGTTGCTGCGATTTGCAGATGATACCTACACGGAGAGTTATATCTCGACTATTGGTGTTGACTTTGTATGTGTCGAATCTTCAGGCTTCAGGGGTTGGATATTGACGTGTCGACAGAAAATCCGAACGATCGACCTGGATGGCAAGACTGTGAAGCTACAAATCGTAAGGACCCAGGCAGGATTATTATGCTGGACAGTTACTGATGGTTTCTGAATAGTGGGATACTGCTGGCCAAGAACGTTTCCGAACCATCACATCATCCTACTACCGAGGCGCCCACGGCATCTGCGTGGTCTACGATGTTACAGACATGGACTCATTCAACAACGTCAAGCAATGGCTGCAGGAGATTGACAGATATGCTACAGAGGGCGTCAACAAGCTGCTCGTAGGCAACAAGAGCGATATGTCAGACAAGAAAGTGGTGGAATACACAGTTGCCAAGGTACGCCCCCTATCACATGCTCACATCACCTGGTCGAAGTCACCAGGCTCCCGCACTATTGCATCTGGTATCCTTACTGACCCATTTCTAGGAGTTCGCCGACAGCCTTGGTATCCCATTCCTTGAGACCTCAGCCAAGAACGCCAGCAATGTCGAGCAAGCCTTCTTAACCATGGCACGCCAGATCAAGGAGAGAATGGGAACTACGACTGCAAACAACAAACCTACAGTGCAAGTTGGGGCCGGCCAGGGTGTTCAATCGGGATCGGCCGGTGGCTGCTGCTAAACGTCTTTCTCCTCTTGCTTGTGCTATGAACGATACGGAACGGCCGGTTGTCTCCCTCCGCACATTAGAACAACTGTCATTTGGATCGGCCTCCCGCATTCCAGCCTCCTCAGCTGCCCATGAATAGGGCATCTGGGGATACACACAGCGTTGCAAAGCATTGCACGCATGGGGGATAGATACGTAATGGCTGATTGGAAGGAGATTGAGTTATCGACTTGGCGTGAGGGAATATGGGGATGGGATTTACAATTTCTTTGCGTGGTTCGTGTTTGCTCTTCGATAATTGCTGCGTCGTCCTTTCCTCCTTGTTGTTATGGCCGTCGGTGTTGATCATACAATCAATAAATCCATCCATCATATCTGAACCTGATTCTGTAGCATTTCTTGGGAACGTCTTATCTGCCAAGTGCTTTTTCCGGGTCCCCTATTCAGAGACCTACTACTACCCGGTGCACAGATAGATCTTCACAGCACGGTACCGTAATCAATCAAAGAAGGGTCGACGGGTGACGAACATGTCTCACCTTGACAGGAGCTATGGGCGGCGTGCAGGATTTAGACCCCTAGTCCTCGGATATCAACTCCCTCCACGCTTGCCTTGCTTGCTGACTTATTCGCGGATGATTAATCCCTTGTATATCTCCAGTTTCTTCTGTCTGTGGATGAGTTTATGGTGAGAGAGTGAGAGATCGGTATTGGAGGTTGTTTGGGATGAGGAGGGGCATGTTGGATGTGGGTTGGATTTATGGATTAGGGTTGGTAGCTAAGAGAGGGAGTATGATGGTGGGGAAGAGGGGAAGGGGGTTTTATATAGGTACGTCAAGGGATAAATGGATGGATGGGTGGGCATCAGATGGGAAGAGAAGAGAGAAAGAGAGACAGCTAAAAGAACAAGAGACCTTACCTTAACGCTACCCCTCCTCTCCTCTTCTTACCTATCTATCTTCCTCCCCTTCCCCACCTACCTAACTTACCGGTACTGTAGTGTACCTAAGTTTATATCGACAAGTCAGTCAGTACCTTAGCTACCCACCTAGTCTCCGGAACCCGGAAATCCCCCTTTTTTGGTCCCATTCTAGATCTTGAATCTATCTGCACTACGAAGGCTGGGGGAGGGGTTTGCCTTCTTTCCCTTTTTCTTCTTCTTCCTTCTTCCTTCTCCTTTTGTTTTGTTTTGTTTTGAAAAGAGAGGGGGGTGAAGGGGTATTGATAGAGGGGGGTAAGGAGGGAAGGTTATTCGCGAGTTAGCGTGGGAATGAATGGATCGAGAGCTGTCTTGCTTGCTTGTATCAGGGATGGAGATATATATATGTTCTTATATCATTTGGGTAGGTAGAAGAATGTCTAGAATCTAACACATGTGTCTCTTTTTACTTGGTACCAAGGATCTTATCTAGGAAGGAAGCCCGAGTCTGTACTTTAGTGAGTAAGTAGTAACTGTTCAGATAGATATGGATGTTTGCTTGGGTGTAGGTATACAAATGAAATTGATGTTACTTACTAGGTACCTTGTTATATATGTATGTGTATTTGAAGAACAGTAACTCTGGGGATTTTCGAATGTGAATGTATAGATAGATAGATAGATATAGGTACTTGTATGTAACCTACCTACCTACCTATGTATAACAGCCTAGCATGTATCCAGATATGTGTATCAATATATACATATGTATGCGTGCAAAGCCGCATCCATCCATCCATCCATCCATCCATCCACCCATCCATCCATACCAGAGCCACCTCCTCCAACCCTCCCAAACCCCACAAGCACCATAACCCACCTCACATCACTTCACATTCACCAACCCAACCAAACCCCCGAGCCTCAAGCCCACAACCCCCCGAAGCTAAAAACTGCGACGTGCGACAAAACACAAACTAGATCATGGATCGGTTTGTGCTACTGTACCTTACCTTGCCTTACTGTGCCTATTATTACTACTAGGAACTAAACCGGGCTCCCCCGTGGTACTATTTACCTTGCCTAGGCAAGGCAAGTAAGTGGCTAGGTAAGGTGGGCAGTGCAGTAGTTAGGTAGATGATGGGATGGGATGGGATGGGATGGGATGGGATGGGGATGGGGATGGGGGGTTTAGTACGTATAGTAAGGTAAGGTAAGGTAAGGTAGGTATTTATAAGTAGGTACTTAGACTGTAAGTATGTACATGTACCTGCGGAGGAGAGGCCTGGTGGGATAGAAGAGAACGCTGCTGGCTAGCAGGACTAGATAAGCTGGTTTTCGAATTTCTAGGTACTGTAAGGGAGGGCAAGAAGAGAGGACAGACAGAGCGGTCATGAATGGAATGAAATGGAATGGAATGGATTGTGATAAGATGATAGGTACGGTGAGGAATAAGAAGAGAGATACTGTACCTAGGTACCTATGTACTGTACTGCTTGGGTCTAGGTCGGGGATAACGGGAAGTGGGCTAAGCATGTAAGGGTGTTTGGCGAATCGAATCGCTAGAGACTTTTAGATTGTTGGAAACTCGGCTTGGGCTTTGAACTTCGGCTTCGACTTAACTTGCTCTCCTCCCCTGCTTTGTGTTGCATTCCGGACGGCCAGATGATGATGGCTCTACTGCAAGACCGTACCTTACTCACCTAAGGTATATATCAGAGAAGTGAGATCACTACAAACATCACCTAAGAGGAAGTCACCAACGCGCAAGCAACATGGGTTGGAAGGAGGTCTCCATTGATTTTTCTACTCCGCTCCCAAATGCTCCCGGACGCCGAGGTCAGGTCCAGCTAGCCAAGTATTCGCTCCCTAGACAGCATTTTTTTCATCGGGAGAAGTAGATTTCTGCCCATGAACAAGAAGAAGAAAACCATAAAGTTATGTACAAGAATGTAAGTTTTTGCGTTCTCTCGGAACTGTGCTTTTATCTCCCCTTTCTTTGATTCCTGCATATCCACAACCGCTCGCTTTGCTCGCATCTATTTAAGAAGAGAAGGCAAAGGTGTTGCCCAATGCCGACAGAGATGAGCCAGACGAGAGTAGGTTTCCGTCCGAGACCATGAAGTACGCATAACGCTCGACGTAGCTCTGGCTATCGAGCCATGGCATCACTGTATCCAGGAAGGTCTGCTGCTCATCAGCAGTACCACTAGCGCCGAACTCGGTGATCCAGAGCGGGCGGTTTCCACTGGCTGTGTAGACGGTCGAAACGTAGCTCATGAAGGAGTCGGGGTCGGTCGCGGATCCGTACCAGTGGAAGGGAACGAAGTCGATGGTGCAGCCGTCGCAGGCCTGGAGGAAGTTGGTGAGCCAGCCGGTTCCCATTCCTTGGTCGGCAGCCCCATTCGTCACAGCTGGGGCGCCCAATTTGGCCTTCCCAGCGAATGGTTGCATGTATGTCTTGTAGCCGCTGGCGGCCTCCGCGTAGCCAAGGTTGGATTGGGAGCTGAGATCGGGCTCGTTGAAGCTGAGGAGATGAGAGGAGCCGGATGCGATGGCGCTGCTTGCTGCGGCGGCCCAGCCCGAGGTTGAACTGCTTGCGAGACCCCAGAGCATGGGCACATATTCAAGGCTTGAGGGGATGATGCCTCCGCTGGTAGAACCCCAGTTGTAGCACCAAGAGGTCTTGGAGTTGGCGCCGAGAAAGCCTGAGAGGAGGGAGGGGTCGTTATAAGCAAGACCACGCTTGTCTCCGGAGCTGGTGCTAGTAGCGGTGCTGGCAGGGGCGGCAGTGGAGGAGGTCGAACTGGGAGGGATCGAGCTCGAGGAAGTTGAACTGGAAGAAGTCGAGCTGATGGAGGTTGAGGTGGAAGAGGCTGAAGAGGTTGAAGAGATCGAAGAGCTTGAGCTGGAAGTGGTCGAGGTAGCAAAAGTCGTGGGGACAGCCAATGTGGTTGACGAAGTTGAGGCAGCGGGTCTTGTGGCAGGTGCTGGGGCGATCTTGGGTTCTTGAAAGAAGACTGCTGCTGACGAGGGAGACGCAGTGCTTGATTCTTGGACCGCTGCCTTGACTGGAGCTGGTGCGGTAGCCTCTGGAGAGACGGGAAGCTCAGTGCTTGAAACGACGACGGGGATGCCATCGATGGTCGTGGTCCCAATCACCACAGGCAGCCCAGTCTCGTACGATCCATCTGGCTCCTCAGTGACGGTAGCTTGCTCAATGACAATAACACTGTCGGTGACTACTTCGAGAAGGGCAGCTCTCTTCCGAACATCATACCGTCCAGCGAGAGCTTCTTTGGCCAGCAAAGAGGTTGCCAAGATGGCAAAGGTTGAGAAAGTTGAAGAACGCATTGCTCAAGATGAGGTTCACGATCTGAATTCTTTGTTGTTGTTATTGTTGTCCGAGATGCGTGTTGTGATCAAGACGCTTTGTGTTGCCTTCTTTCGTCGTGGGGTTCGCGGAGGAAAGAAAGTGTCCAGATCGTGGAAAAGAAAGAATTGGGGGGTACAAAGAACGTAGGTGATAGACCAGGTGGTTGGAGTCAGGATTCAATCAATGAATGAGCGTACACGGCAAGCGTGTATCTTGAGTGAATGGAAGGTGAGTAGAAGTGAATGACAGTGATGAAGCCCGCGCGATCTCCAGAGACGCTGAATCTATTTTGTGTACACAACAAACGCAGCCCAAAGGAACGGAGGCAACGAGAGCAGTGTTGAGAGAAACGAAAAGAGTGAGAGGCAGAGAGAGCAGAGAGGGCAAAGAGACCTAAGAGAGCACAAAGGAGAACAACATCGTATATGTACTTTGTACTTCCCGCAGGGGCATCTTTCTCTCCCATTCTTCAAAAGCGCCACCACGGGACAAGCTCCCTTCGTCTGCCGCCGCCAACAGGGCTATACAGATGTACGCGAGCAACAGGCAAGGACCTCACCTTGCTCCAGCATCCAAGTCTACATCTTTACGAACGGCCCAAGGTCGGCGATTGGTGAAGACCGATGTTGGGCGTCAGGGGGGCGGTAGAATGTTGAAAGTTGAAACATAGACTGAAGCGAGCCCCCTGTGCGCGCGTGCCGACCTGGTCCCGGCGGCGCGCGGTCTGGACTCAGCGCTCTGGTCAGAGAGCAAACAGCAGACTCTGCGGCGCTGAGTGCAGATTAAAGGGCACAGGCGCCATGCCGTGCCCGCGGCCCCCTTTGTGTATCAGGATTGCGTATACTCGGTCTATTCTATCATACTCTTACGACAACTATACGAAGGGCGTCTATCTGTCTTGAAATTGCCATTTTAATGAGCACAGAGACTCAGGGGAGGGATAATGAGGGAGAGGGCGCAAAACGAAACTTGGGATGCATATCTCGGATCTTGGAGATTGAGTCTGGATGAACCATGATAGACGCTTTGTCCGCTTTGTTGCGGTCCGGTACGAGTTATCGTGTAAGAACTTAAGGGGTTGCACACATCCTTCGGTCGTGTAAGAAGTTGAGAGGCGCAACACATTCTTCGGACAATTCAATTCAAGACGTGACCCTGCATACAACAGTGAACATACCGCGTAATCAATTTACTCGACTGGACCCCTTCTTCCATCTCGCCCTCCAATCATCTCTCCTGTTCTAAACGACGGCCGGGAAAAGCCGATCCACCGCGTTCCTGACCGACCGACCCGCACCGCGAGGCCCCCACAGTCGGGGAAGTCCCCAGCAATACTCCGTCGGTTGCATCTTCATCGCGCAGACCAGTCGTGGCTCTGGTATCGACCAGTGCGACCCCCCGGTACCTGCTGCGGATCATCCTCCAGCCACCCTGTCGTCTGAGGATGCGATTTTGTACAGTAGTACAGTAAAGTAGAATCCTACGTAGCCTCCCTTGTCCGGGAGTTGCATGGCTTGGCTACATTCCAGGTAGGTCTCGTGTGCTGCTCTCCCTAACCATAACCAACAATTCTTTTGGGTGATCCTTCGATGTAGGCAAACCTCCCTCCCCTCAATACTCGCTCAGTCTTAGCTTCTTCCCGATCTCCTTCCGTTTTGCTTGGACGCTGGCGCGCTCCGAGGGCTTGGGGTTGTCTTCCGGCCCTTCGCCTCTCGCCTTAAGCGCCTGGAGCAGCATTCCTGCATCAAAGAAGCCATCTGCGGACAAGTTCAGCAATTATTCCAAAAGAGAGGTTCCAAGGGCCGAATTCTAAGAAGGGATGTTGAAGGAAAAAGAGAAGTCAGGTTTCACTTACATCCACCTAGTCCTTCATCGTCACTGCCAGTAGAGCCATCCTCGATCGGTGTCATTGTCCCCGGCGTCCTCCTGCCGGTCTCTGCCGCCTTGATGACTCGGCCTCTCGATTTCAATCTGCTCAGGGCCTTGGGTCGATCCAGACTCGCATCCCTGGCGCGACTGGAATGCGGGCTGGTCGTCCTTCGTTGCGTCAACCGGATGACACGTCGGATCTCTAGCAGATAGCTCTCGAGGGCATCTACGAATCGTTTCGTCTGTCGATGCTTACTGCTTGCACAGATGCTGATCCTATCGTCCTTGATGATATAGCCTATACCAAAACCGTCTCCAGACGTAGGTCCGAAGCCAAACTGCCGGAGCGAAGGGTTACCGCAGTTCGATGTCGAGAGGATGGTGTTGTTGAGTTTGTCCCACCCCGGATCAGCAAAGATGTGGGGCATGGCATCGGCACGGGAGGGCGAAGAGTTGCCACGTGCTCTGTTGGTGGTGGAGCGGATAGAACGAGCATCGTCGCCGTCAGACATGGTAGAGTTCCTCCCGGGAGACCCAACAACGGAGCTTGGGTCACGCTCGGAGCCCTCGTAGACCGGGCTGGAATATCCGTTGCTGCTCAGCCCGTTGCTGCTTGCAGCCTCGGCTCCATCTTCATCCACCGCTCTTTGCCAGACGCTAAAGAGTGCGTAGAGGTGTCGGTCACAACCCTGTGCCTTGGCGCATTCCCTCGTGTTGGCCGTGTGTTTCTGGCAGGCTTTCCTCAGAGCTTCCACTTTCTGCTGCGGTGGGTTCTCATTCCAGAAAATCTTCACAAAATCTACGGCTTCTTCAGTAACAGGCCGGATGGCTTCGGTGCGACCGTGCAGGAAGACTTTCGTCATTGCCGGTTCGTACGTGCATTCGACACGACCATACAATCCGTAGTAAGCCGCTTGGAAAGCCATCTGAACAAATGCATCAGGTGAGAATCCCGCCGATGTCATGAAGTTCTTTCCGTAAGCTGTGAAGTCGAGAGTTTCGAATTCGTTTTGTTGGATGAGATCCGCGATGCGCGTTTCCGCAAATCTTAAGGCAATGCTAAGTTCGGGAACCATGTCCCATTCCAGCTTGTGTGGTGTGGTGCTTACATCTCCGAAACTGGCAGGATCACGTTTCGACGGATCAGGGCTCGTCGAGGCCCAGAGACTTGGAGCTTGACCGTTGATGGTGCGAGCAAAACGAAGAATAGTGTCGGTGTAGAGATCGCTTGCAAAGCGAAGAACTGTATGACCATCTACCCCCGTGTGCTCAAAGTTGATACCTGCACTGCCGCTCTTGCAGACGATAATCTGCAGCTTATCATACCATCGATTTGTGCATGTTCCGATTTGAACTCCCTTCTCTACCTGACTTGTTCCACAGAGCATGTTCTGGCAAAGGTCCGCCTCAGAAGTTGGCTCGGTATAGTCTAAGCAAAGTATGAACAGAGCGGAATCGACTATCCCAAGACAATCTGCATTGTTGGACCCCTCGTCCCTTGTCATGAGATCCCGCAGACCAGACCATACTTTCCGGTTTTCAGTGCTGAGCACGCCGAGAGCACCCTTGGCCGCCTCATTGATGGGGGTTTGCTGAGCATCTTCGACAATGGTTTGGAGGTTGATTGTTATATCCTTCTCAGTCATTATGAGATCTGAGTTGTCGTCCATAACATCAAACCAGTAAAATTGCCCACGGCAAAGGACAACGATATGTTTCGATTCCGGATCCTGTAGGATATGGCAACCATTCTCCGTAGGCACACGTGCCGTACCGAATAATCTTGAGTATTGGTACATACAAAGAGGTGTACCTTTGATATTATCGGGCGGCAACTCCTCCTTCCTCACGGCTCGCACGAATGCTAATGCAGATACCACAAGCGATGCAGCACGGGTGACCTGGTTATTTCTTGCAGGGGTAGGATCGTCTTCGAGGAGAAAGAACGGGTTCAGATTCAGGACAACTGGGTTGTCGAAATTTAGATAAGAGTCATACCCTACAGTGTTTTGTTAGTATTTATATTGATACCAGGTACAACATTACCTACAGAACTGCTCGATGTAGCTAGTTTTTCCGTTGGCATATTTCTTCAAGCGGTCCTGAAGCTCTGGCCCTTCGCCCTTCAGGAATTCCTCCACAGCCTGCTTGGTCTCGGCATGCTCTCTAGGGGTCTGTAATGGCTTTAACGCTGCCAGGTACTTGGCGCAAGTGCTTTCCAGCTCGGGGATGGGAAGCTTTGGGAGCCTGTCCTGGGCGGCGAATGTGATGCCCTGCTTTGACTGATTACTGGTCAGGGAATCCCTTTGGCCTTTCGTAGAGCCGTCGTTGAGTTTCTCGGCTTCCGCCAACGACTCATTCAGTGATTTTGGCATCGTAAAAGTACGAACTGAAGAAGTGGAAGAAGGCATCTTGGTCAGTGTGATGACTTCAAGAGTAGAGTGGAGAGACGGAGGTGCTGATATTCAGACCGCGCAAGGCTGTGCGGTAGAAATAATGACAATCTTGAAGACAGTAAGACGGCATAACACTTGAGTGCCCGGTAGAAACGTTGATACTTGAGGAAGCTTTATGTGGAGAAATGGAAGTCGAACTAGCCAGGTCAAGAGCCGGACCTTGGTTAAATAGATCTGGGGTGCCGAAGTGGACACTGCACAGTGGGGGAGAGAGGAGGGGTTCCCGGCTGTGAGCGCATGGATACAGTAATCGTCACAGTAATCAATCTTTTGCGCACAGAACCCAACTTTCTGATACCGGCCAGAAGACAGATGTAACTCTACATCGTCTCTGCGCGCACTACTTGTTGTGATGGAGATATGGTCGCTGGATTGTCGGGATATGGGCTCCAAGATGTTGACCTCTTGACCTTGGAAATCCACGTACCTTTAGACACGCGCCCGGGTGTCAGACTGACGTCGAAAGCTCTCTAGACAAAGGACCGCCTGGCTAGGAGTCGAGCGGTACCCAAGGCGGCAAAGCAAAGCCGAGACAGTGGACGTATTCCGTGATCAGGAGGGGGATTCGTCGAGGCTTGAGAGCATCAAGGCCCGCTTGTTCGGTCAAGTGGATGTGTGCTTCACACGGGCACGGGTCGAAGGAACGTTGCAGACCTGATGCACGCAGAGCTCTCCAGACCTCCAACTCGTAGGGTGTCTAGGCCGGACCGGTCTACTACTGCGGGAGCGCCGTAAGCAATACCCAGAGGGCCTGATAGGGTAGACGGGTGCCAATCGACGTAAGCAAGAGAAGCGGAATACCGAGGTCGTATCGATAGTGACAACAAGCGCTGGATCGTCAACAATAGCAGAGGTGCAGAGGTTGTCTCTTGGTGTGGAGATATGACCTCACACCCAGCGGCGGGATAAGTTCGCGCCCTCGCGGACCAGCTTCCAGAACAGAACCCGGCAGAAACTGGAGAAGAGAGTTCGGAGCGAGACCCGTTCGACCGGCCAGCACGTGCGCCGATGCGGTCCCGGCGTTGGTCACGTGCCGTACCCCGGATTGCCTTCCATTCCATTGTTCACACTGAGATCACAGTTGCCCACGAGTCGATACACGTGTATTTGTCTCTACTTGGTCTCTCCCTTCTTATTGGTAGATTCGCACTGTAGGTCGCAGATAGACGACTATCAGGGGAGGAGATCGTTGCCATCAACTTCAACTCCGTCTTTTGCTTGCTGCTTAACAGATCGTACTCCTTCACTCCTGATCTCAAACTCCACAGCACGTTCCACTCCAGGCCCAGTAGGGCCTACATGCGGAGCAAACACAACTTTCATCCATCTCCTCCACCTTTTCAAAACTGCCTCACCCCTCTCGTTCCCCTCATCCGCCACCAAGCCTGGCCCATACACTGGTCTCTTGATCAATGCGATCCGGCATGCTACTTGGGTCGTCCAAATCAATCCCAAACTTGGTGTTTTAAGATTCTTCGACGATAAATAGGAAGGATGCGGATCATCGCCCCAACCTGTAAACCATCGTTGTTGATGATCCAGTGACATGGGATCGATTGTACTCGTTGTGAATGATATCGGAGTAGGGGTTCCACTACCAAGTTCCACGGTCGTAGATATACTCGACGTTGGCGTTGAACTGGGGGGGATACCGCCGTTTCTCCTTGCAAGCGGACTGCTCTGTGTAGCTCTCTGTGACCCAATACTACTGATTCCCCCATGACCTGAGAATCGGTCAGCTACCTGGTTGGCAACCACAACTGCGATATTATTTTCCCTTGCAAGGTCCCTCAGCAATTGGCCCAACTTGACCAACTCTGAACTTCGCTGTGCCATATTTGCCCCACTCTGTCCGATAACACCGCCAGCCCCTTGGCGCTCGAATTCGGCACGATAGTTCGCAGCCACGGAGTCAAGGACGACGAGACGAATTCCATACTGCCGAATAGCCACGGGTACTTGGTAGCGCAGGATATGGTCTTGGGATTCGAGGTCGGGGGTTACGATGCTGATTATCGCGTCGAGGGTAGGTTTTGGATCTGCAGAGTGCAGGACAGGGTGGTAACGGAGTTGCTGGGAGAGACGCGTGGTAGGGAGTGCGCTTTCGGTTGATATGTAGAGAGCAGTGCCGGAGAGACCTTGGGGGGATGGTAGTTGTACGGATAGAAGGAGAGTTAACAGGAACTGTGTTTTGCCAGCACCGCTGAGCAGAGTGAGATGTGGCAGACTTGCAGGGTTCCAGGGAGCTTACCTTTCACCCGTGAGTTCAGTAATGTATCCTACAGGGATACCACCTCCCAAGGCCAGGTCAAGTTGGTCATCGAGGGTGCTGATTGCGTTCCAGGAATTTACGACGTCCTTGCCCGTTCTCCTCAACGATGCCGATGTCTTTGTTTGTTGCGCCTCGTTACCCGTGTTGACACCCAGGTCGGTTTGCACCGCTTCGAGAATAGCCTTGCATAACCGTTTGATTTCGAGCAGAGGCAGCTGAGCGCGTTTTGCTATCTCAACGCAATCAAGAGTAAGGAGGTCGGCAGTTGTGACTTGATTCTTTTCGAGAGAAGGGATGAGTCGCGCGTATTGCTGGGTCGGAAATCCGGGCAGAACAGCTGTAAGGTCTGTCATGGAGGCATTTGGAAGCTGGTGTAGGGAAGCAGTGCGTCGAGATGATGATGGCGGGGCTCCACGTCGCGTCTCGAGTCGAACCGTGTGAACGCATGTTCACGTGACCATCTTATATTATGAACATGACCATATCATATTACCTTACTTCTTTACAGTACCTATATTAGCCAGTACAAAACTCCTATTGTATCTTCATAGGCCCCCTTTTCCTGCTTTATGGCTGGTCTTGCAGATTATGTGCCCATGAAATATTCCGATACGGCCTGTTCGTCAGCAATTTATGTAGAAGACTTTGAGTCCTTCAGATCTCATTCTCCCCAATCAATTGCTTGAATCCATTCAAGCATTGAACCCACCTGTCCTTCCCTTCGCCACCAGCCCACCTGCTGGCTAACTCGAGGCCCTCCAAATCTGCCTTCATTCTCTCGAATTTCGTCGTTCCATCCAAGACAGTGACATTTCCCAACCCAAGGACCAAAGCGTACAACGACACTACCTCAGCATCCTTAACTCCCAATATACTCAGTTCTGTGGCCAAATCTATGATAGGTTTGGTCCTCATCATCCTCGGATTGCCCGTAAACGTCCAGAAGGACTGGAAAACAATCCCCCTCTCCCTGCAGAACCTCCTGAGAGGCACCTCCCAGTTCGTGTCTGCGTAGAAGCGGTTCTGGACCACCACTGGCTTAATCGGCATCTCATTGTATAAAGATTCGAGAATGGCATAGGAGGTATTAGAGATACCTAGTGCGCGAATCTTATGTGGGACGTAGGAGGAGAAAACTTCCCAGGCCTTCTGGGTTTCTCCAATGCTTGGCAAGGGGGAATGAAGTACAAGACAATCGATGTACGTATCTTCCGGATTGGTGGATGTCTGAAGATTGGCGAATGAAGAGGCAATCGATGTGTGGATTCTTTCTTCCAGGGTCTGGGAGGTGCTATATGGCATATTGTTGGGATCCTGACCGGAAAGGGGTGTGAACTTCGTTTGGATCTAGGAGAATTGATTAGAACCACGACCAACTTGAGATAAGATAAAGGAAATGCGGACATAAAGCTCTTCTCGGTTTACTATCCCCTCGTTGATTGCCCTTCTAATGCCATCACCAACCAAATTCTCCTGATAATGACGAGGCTGAGCTGCTGTATCAATGCCTCTGAAGCCAGCTTTCAAAGCTTGATACACCAGATCAGCCGTTCGATCCTTCTTCCATGCCGTGCCATATACAAGCTTAGGTATGATAGTGTTTGATGGGTTCTTGAGAACCATCGGTGATGACAAGGCTGAATGAGCCATGGTGCGCACCGTCAGCCTCGTGCCCTTCTTAGCCGTGTTTTGGAAGGCAAGTAACGTAGATAGAGGATTCGATCGGGCAGCCATCAATTGTTGCAGGTTTGATCCACAGTGTGATAACTGTGGGCTGAGATTATCAACTGCAATGTTACCACACGATGTGCACCAATTATCTGTTGCTGATAAACTTTTGGGCGGAGGGTCACTCCGTCAACGTCCCATCGGTCTTAAGGTATTTAGCCGTCTCAACCCCACTACTGACCTGACTGTATAACCAGCTGTATGTGTCTCTTTGGACACACAAAGACTTTTGATTGAATTCCTAGATTCAAGAAATAGACTTCTCATCCCTATATACCCAGCAATTCTAAGTACTAGTCAACGCCATGGCCTCCAAACCGTACACTGTAAGGTGGGGTATCTTGGCAACTGGAGGGATTGCCCAGAGTACGTCCATATATTACCCCGCAGCGTCTCCAGACTGCTCTAATACCGCATAGCTTTCACAAGAGATCTCCTCACAAATCCTGCCGTGCGCAATGTCCACGATGTCCAACATATCGTCGCCGCAGCCGCCTCTTCCTCATCCGCTTCACGAGCCTCCGCCTTCCTCAAGGAGGTCCAGGCACCTAGCACAGCCAAAGCCTACGGCTCTTATGCTGAGCTCGTCAAGGACCCCGATGTTGACGTTATATACGTTGCAACGCCTCACTCGCATCACTTCCAAAACACCATGCTTTGCCTGGAAGCGGGGAAACATGTTCTGTGTGAGAAAGCCTTCACCGTGAACGCTGCGCAGGCAAAGAAGTTGGTTGAGACTGCAAAGGCCAAGAATCTCTTCTTGATGGAGGCCGTATGGACGCGCTATTTCCCATTAAGTATCAAGATCAGGGAATTGGTCACCTCTGGCGCAATTGGCAAGGTGCATCGGGTGTTTTCTGATCTCTCCTTCGGGGAGGCAACCGAAGATGGAGGCCTCACCTTCAGCGACGACCACAGAATGGTGAACAAAGACCTTGCAGGTGGAGCCTTGCTGGATCTAGGTATCTATTCTTTGACCTGGGTCTTCCAGATCTTGTATCACTGCCAGCCGACGCCGAGAGAAGCGCCCCGGGTCCTCGCGGCGATGAACAAGTACAAGACAGATGCAGATGAGATGACTAGCATGATTCTGCAGTGGAAGGAGAATCAGAGTATGGGTATCGCGACGACTAATATGAGAGTTGCTACGCAGCCAGATGGCATGGGTTCTCATACTTCGGGGCCCGCCGTCAGGATTCAGGGGACGAAAGGGGAGATTCAGGTAATGGGACCCATTTTCAGACCCACCCATTTTAGAGTTATCAAGGCTGGGCAGAGAGGAGAGGTGGAGGAAGTGCCTTGTCCTATCCCGCGGGACACGGAGCGACAAGGAGAGAAAGGACATGAGACTGAGGGCTGGGGTCACGGCATGTTTTGGGAGGCGGACGAGGTGGCGAGATGTTTGAGGGATGGGAAGCTCCAAAGCGAGACGTTGGGTTGGGATGAGAGTATCTTAATCATGGAGACGATGGATGAGGTCAGGAAGCAGGGTGATTTGACATATCCTGAGTTGATCGAGACAACAGTCTATGACCCAAAGAGTCCTTTGAATGGAAAGGCATAAGTTAGAAACTTATATATAAAATCAAATACCAGCCTGAAGATCACTGGTAGCTGTTGAGAAATGGCAAATTATAGACTCTATTCTTTCTCTCAATCTATCTGCTTAATCGAAGGATGTTAAGAACAGCCAAAGTGTAAGACTCGGAGAGGACATGGAGTTGATCTTTCATACTTAGATCAAAAACCATGCCTACCATGTAGGGTATTGTTGATACAGACAAAGAATCTGATTTTGATAGAAAAGATTCGGTGGTATCATGATGTAACCTCCCAACCCCCAAAGCCAGCAAATGAAACCAACCAGGGCAAAACAAGGCACTTATCCAGCAAATTTAAATACATCGTCATGGGACGACTGACTTCCGGCGACGAAGGTGGGATGTGCAGTGGAAGGAGCGTCTCCTCATTGACGCATGCGCTCGTAGTAAAGAAGATATGGCGTGAACCCGCCCTCACTGGGCCTCGTGACCTGCGCCACACTGCATCTGGATACCCTCTCATCGTCAAAACGGTACCAGTTCCCATCGCTGTCCTTCGCACTACAGAAGTAGTGGCCGCCTCTAAGATTGCCAGAATGCTTGATGACTGCCGTCAACTCGTACCGGAGGTGGTGTCTGTTACTGACGTCGCGGTAGGGATTTAGGTCGAGGGTGGTAGGTATGCGAACGACGTTGTTGATTTTGTGGCCTTCCCAGTCAAACCGTTTTAGGTGGATTAAGCAATTTTTCGGGCTGTAGCTCAATCGTTCGAACCGGTACTTTTCGTCTTTATTATCTCCGCAGATCTCGCATCGATAGCCCTCCACAATATCAATTAAATAGTTATCCAAGAACCCCATCAAGTGGCCGTCTTTGACTTCGCGGTGGACCCTGTCAATTGGGATGGGAAGATATTGATCTTCAGCCTTTGCGTATGACTCGGACGCACATTTATCGCATTGGACTACTTGGTATATTCCAAATAAGAAGCAAGACTTATAATACTCGAATACACTGAATAGCATTTGTCAGATGTATAAATGATGATTCATACGGCACAAGACTCACTCGGTTGGCAACTCCTGCTCCATAAATTTGGTAATCCATTCAGATTGCTCTTCTGGGTCAGCGTGAAAATGCGCAACGTCTGGTCTCCAGCCCACTTCGGGAATCAGCCTTGCACTGGTCGGATTGGAGAAAGGAAGTAGTTACTTACAGGTGTGGAAGAGGGTCTCTATTGCCCCAAGTATCCTCCCGAGCTTAGTTGGGGATGGAGAAACATTCCAGTATTCCAGGCTCAGACGCCTAAGCCAGCAGGAGACACAGGTAGTTTTGTCATCAGACACACAGAGATCCTCGTGATGAAAGGTCTGAATAAAATTCACAAATGCAGGCATGTGGAGGAGACTCTGAAACAGACTGTGCCGGTAGCATTGATAGAGGGTAAGATTTGGCATGCCCCGCTGGGAGCTGGTTGGCATATTTTCCCAAGAGCTGCTCACCCTCTTTGCCTGAAAAGAAGTTAGTGAAATTCACAGAAACGAGCAAGATAAGGGGAAATACCAGGATGCGCCTCTTCCGGAGCTTATCTGCCTCCTTGATTGTAGGTTCTCGATCATTGTAGCTTTCCAGCTCTGCTTCGGTAATAGTCGTTTGGAGTTTTTTGGTGGGAGGGCCGTCCATCTCCTCGAGACCAGTCGGGCCTATACATGTCAGAGCTATTGGGAAATTGAACAGATCAGGTCGAGTAACTCACTCCATATTGGTTTCTCGAAAGGTACACTCCAATCATAATCACGGGGTCTTTTGGTGATTGGAGACTTTGGAGCTATTGGAAGCATCCTGGAACTGCTGGGGTTAGACATCCTGGAACTGCTGTGGTTCGTAGAGGGATTATCGCGATTGGAATTGGATGTGTTAGGACGAGGATGTTTCTGTAACAGTCCTTTACCAAGTCTCTTGAAGTTCTTGTGGTGTTTATTTTTCGAGGAAGGGATCTTTGAACCAGATGGGAAGACGGAGATGTTTCGACGGTTATGACCGCGGCGGTCCATGGCAATGAAAGATGGCCCCATTGTCAAGGCACAATGCTAAGATCTGTCGGGAAGCGACAATAACAGGACTGACAATACCCTCGGCTGCTTAGCCCGTGGAAAGGAAACAGTCCGGAAGCGGTAATATTGGTTTCTCCGGGTATTGTGCTGAAGGCCTGAATAGAGAACAATAGTTGCTTATTGTCTCCTAGGTACTTAAGGTAGGCAAGTCAAGTATTGGCAATCACAACGCTGCCACGTGATAAGAGCTGCCCGTAGAAGCCAACGCCTCCTCTCAACTCCCACTGACCAGTGGGTTTGTAAAACAATTTCTTATATATACCAAAATAAACAAAGGCATCGGGACAAAATTCAATGTCGATTTTTCGGCAACAGTGTCTCCCTGGCAGGGAGTGGCTTGCCGAGGTTCCCAGAAACCACAAAAGATCCTCTTCTGGGACGGACCTATGGGACAATGAGCGGGTGCTATTGTTGCAGTTGTAGTGATATTGTAAGCATTGTAAGGAGCGCGGAAGTAGTGAATATGAAGAGAGGTCGAATGATTCTGGAATTTTTCGAGGCGGACTTTGAGGGTCGTCCCTCACCGCCAACCGATAGAGTTTAGCGCGCGTCTAACGGCCCGCATTTATCCGCCCGTAACGAAACTTCTGATCTGAACGCAGATATCTAAACGAGATGTCCAGACGTGATGTCTCGGGCTGCCGCTGCAGATCTGTAGCGAACGACAAAAGCTTCTTCTCACGACGGAGATTATATCTAAGTGCATAATCATTATGGATTCTGGATCGGTGGTTGAACCAGAGAGGTACGAAGAGCAGCACGTCCACCAAGTTTACGAACAAATCGCATCGCACTTCTCGTCGACCCGATACAAACCCTGGCCAATCGTCAAGTCGTTTCTCCAATCTCTCCCCCCTGGTGCAGTTGGCCTTGACGTTGGGTGTGGCAATGGCAAATATCTTCCCGTCAATCGCGATGTATTCATAGTCGGTAGTGACCGCTCCACAAATCTGGTGAAGATCGCATCCCAGCATCAACCGCATGCTGCTGTTGTAGCTGACACCCTGGCCCTCCCACACCAGGCTGGGAGGTTCGACTTTGCAATCAGTATAGCTGTGGTGCACCATCTGTCTACCCCTGAGCGAAGAAGGGAAGCCATCAGGGAAATCCTCGAATGTTTGAATGAAGGGGGAAGAGCATTGATATATGCATGGGCCTTGGAACAGAAAGATAGTAGACGAGGATGGGATGAAGGTCATGAACAAGATGTAATGGTGCCGTGGGTGATGAAAACCGGAAAAAAGAACCCAAACGAGGATGGCTCAACAGAGAAGACGTTCCAAAGATATTACCATTTATACCGGTCCGGAGAACTAGAGGCAGACATCGTTGCTGCTGGAGGAAAGGTGGTGGAGTCGGGGTACGAAAAAGACAATTGGTGGGCGATTGGTCAAAGGGACCCTGGGAATAAGCCTTGATATGGAGCCCCCGAACACTTTTCCACAATGGGATTGACAAAGTAGGTCGACTGCTCTTGGCACTTAACAGCCAAATCTTCCAGAAGGATCAGCAACAGTGGGAAAAAGGCAATTCAGCTTTGCTAAAGAAAAGAATCGGTCGGTTTGGAAGAATCGCCTCAACTACGACTTGTCAAAGCCAACAATAATTGAACGACCGCAGCCTGGAAATGTGGCCCATCCTAAGGCAAGCTCTCAAGTTCAAACTTCTTACTTAAAGAGCTTTGAAGAACTAGGACCTAAGAAGCCGTTCAAATTCATCTTGTTTGCAAAAGTCAGTGGTATATTTTACATCCCCCCTAGTACAACCCAGAAAGGAATCCGCCATGATCCAGAACACCAAGTCCTACCAGAACCCCATGCTAGCAATGCAAGTCATCAATGGACGTCGTAACTCATGCAATGCCCCTTCTCAAAACCCCCCAAGCAGACTGGGAAAACGCTACACCTGGCAACACATTCCTCCTCAACGGAACCCTACTGTCTCCTTCGACTCGTCTCCCGTTGACCCATCTCTGGACTTGCCCTCCTCTTACCGTCGGGTCTGATAGGGGTGCCGCCCATCATGCCAATTGCTGGTAGTAACGGGCCGGGCCTTGAATATCCGCCTCCCATAGGCATCGACATCGCATAGGCGGGCGTGTTATAGGGACTAACACCGGTAGTCATCTCGGCCACACTTGGTAACATCGTCCCCCCTCTCCCCATCCCCATCGGCATCCCACCTCCAATAGCTGCCAATGATAAGCTATCATTCGGGCCAGTAGCTGGCACGGTTCTTGGCGTGCTATCTCTCCTTGCTGCAATCGTCCGAGCCGTACTGCCCCCACTTCCTCCTCTTGCGCCGACGTTGGTTGAACCACTATGCGAAGTGGTTGGCCTACTGTACCGCGAGCTAGTTGACCCAGAACCGCTGAGGACGCTAGAGTGAGATTGGCTGTGCGAGTGCCCGCGTGATGGTGAGGATCGGTGGCCTGGGGATTGTGTATCCATTGTAGTGCTGGTCAAGGAGAAGGGAACAACGCCGGCACGACGGGCCATGTCTGCTTCGCCGAGCTGCCAGTGCATTGCCTCCGCTGCGCGCCAAGGAACAGCCATTTCTTCCGCCACTTTGGCCCACATCTCTGGCTTGAATCTAGGAAAAGAATAAATAGTCAGTTGTCTTGCGGACAGATGAGCAGGCAAGGTGGATTGTCTATAGGTTAGCAAGTTAGGCTTTAATTACCTTTCATAGAGTCTTGCAAGCTTGTTCTTGCGCTCTTCATCCCACTCGCTTCTCCTTTCAAGGTAGTTCTGATAGTGAAGGCGGCAGCTAATAGCACTACGTCCTGGAAGTCTCTTGGAAATATCCTCCCATTTCATCCCACCACCTCTCAAGTCGATAATGAGAGCATCTTCCTCTGGAGACCACTTGCTCTGTTTCTTAGACGGTGACTCTGATGGATGAGCAGGCATGCTGCGCTTCCCACCAGCGCCACTGCTGGCAGGGGCATATGCCGGTGGCCCCTGTTGTAGATTTGCTGCTGGGACAGAAGATGCTCTGGTATGATGTTTGTGTGTGGGTGATGATGAGGACTCATTTGAGTCCGGGCCCTTAAGAAGGAGGGAGATATCCACGATGACGGTCTGTAGTCGCCGATACCGTCAAGGCTGACGGATCATCTGCGATGTGAAAGCAGGGTCTGTAGAGATTCTTGCTGCCACACGGATCTTGCACTGTGTTGCAAGGGCCTTGTCGACAACAGTCAAATGAGCGAGGGGTTGCTCGTGCGGCTTGTTAACAGGTTTGCAAGATACAGATAATCAAAGATCGGGTTTCCAGATAGAACGAGTTCAGTGACGTGAAACAAGACTGTTGACTTTTCTAACCTGATGGCTTGGGGTGTCCGGTAGAAGAAATCTTGAGACGGTTCGAGCCACCTCTGATGAGGACAGCGTTCCTATTTCAGGCCTTCATATGAGAAGTGCGTGGCTCGCGTAGAAGATTGGCAGTCATCAAGATGATTGGCAAAGTACGCCTGAAATCCGGCCAATCGCAAGGGAAGCACGAGAGAAGAAGAGAAAGCCAGCGCCAACCGGGACGGTACGTCCAGATATGCTTGATGGACTTTGAGAATACAAGGAACTTGTTCGAACTTACAATCTTCAAGCCGATGCATGGCTGGAGGCTGGACGGACTGTCGGGAGCGTGCGCAGTACGGTAGAGGGATATCCATGGTGGGGGAGTCCGCAGGGGTGTAGCTGGTGTGGAGGTGAGTAACTAGGGCGCGGCCACGAATTCATGCATGAACATGAACCTGCAAATATGCTTGCTATATTGGGCTTCTTCAACAATGGCCTAGTTACAACAGGAGTTACGGGGAGGCGGTTGAAACCGGGCGTGGAGGCGTTGAAACTCTTATATAATCCTCTGCTGTGCGACCCCTTCGACCCTCAGTCGTTCTAGGCGGATGTCTGTGCGCGGTGCGGACATCACATACATCTATCGTTGCACTTTCGTCTGTAGTCGTGGTAGTAGTAGTTGATACTTTGGAACGAGCCCTGGTGGTGTTGAAGCGGAGACTCATGGCCCACGGGTCCTGTTCCATCTGCCCGGCTAGCACCATTGCCAAACACTTCAGATCTACAGCGTAGGCTTGCCTCCTGAGCCGACGAACTGGCGGTCAGGTTTGCGTGGGTAGCGACTCCAGGAAACCGGGATCATGGTGAATGATCTCCATGGCATGCAGCTCCTCATGGAGGGCTGTCGATGAACCACGATCCTCTCGAGTAATCGAGGCGGGCGATTATAAGAGGCGTGTGCGCCACTGGTCTGCTCTATTGGTGGCTTGCAATACATCGTAAAGGAGCCTCATACATCTATAATGGCCGTTTTCTGGGCGCAACTGGGTAGCCACGAGACTTGGTGCCTAAGCAGAAGCCATATGTAGTTGCGTTGTCCATGGCCCAATTCCACAGCCACAGGCTCCGCCGTTTGCAATAAGGGCTTTGAGGTGAGTCCCCGCCAGCCATCATAAAGAAACAATCAAGCCACGCTTGCTCATTGTCCCATTGACAAAGTCGCGGGACCTCACATCTGGCGGTGTAAATCTTCACCCGACAGGTGAAGCTGCGCTTCAACACGGGCCTTGAGATATTCGAATTCGAGTCAGGCAGAGTACATCATGCTGCACATTGGCGGATATGCCATATCATACATGGCCCTGCTACTGCGAACAACACGATAAGAAGAAACGGCTTACGACTCCCTATCTCAGTTGTGAGAGGCTCCACGATGGCGGTGAATGCAAGATTTAGCTTTTGGGCCTGAAGAAAACTTTAGCCCAAGTTGTGAAATGACATACATTATCGATACCTCGAGTCGCCAGCATTAGTTGCGGCACAGCTTTTGACAATGGCCCCTCCGCTCAAGCGATGCCGTGCATTAGTCTGAGCGACTCGCAGTATTTACAACTGTGCTGTGCTGTCATCCTGACATTATTCTCATCTCAACCGCATCGATCTGCAATGCCAGTCGGACGTGACATGTCAAATAGCCAGGACATGGGCCTCTGCTCAGAGCCGTGATGAGCATTGCCCGTTTGTTCGACGGACAATCCTAATTGTTGTGAGGGACCGCGGAGGGAGGGACGGAAAAGCAAAACTCCACAATTGAAACCATGCGAAACAAATTGTTAACGAATTGTCATCCGAATGGCTGCTGATATTGTTATGCCTTCAGCATGCCCAAGCCGCCGGTGAAGCAATAGGAAGCCATCCGCAGGAGTGCAAGCTTGCAATAACCTTTTGGAGTTTGGAGAAGGATCACAGCGTAATTGGGTGGGATCCTTTCTTTTCTTCTGCCTTTGTGAACCAAGAGATTCTTCAGATCCCTCCGAACTCTCGACCGGCCACCTCCACAGGGCTGGAACTTGGAAGAGGCGTGTCGGGACCCATGTTTGTTTGAGCGGTGAGGCAGATATTGTATCGATTCTGGAAAAACCAAACTCGCATGGACCGGACGTCCATGCTGAAGGCCGTTCTGTCCAATATCCAATAGAGGGCTCCCTTGAGGCTGATCTGCAAACGGTGCTTGACTAATGGCGCGGCCCGCGGGAGCTTGGATACTTCCTCTGTCAGAAGCGCCAGAAGGTGAAACTGGACTGAGAAGCCCCTCCTCCAAGCAACACCTCCCTGGCTGTCCTGGGCAGAACTGGTGGAGTTGTGAGGGCAAAGGGAAGCCGGGATGGCCGGACGGGATTCTAGAGTTGTAAGGTGTTGTAAGAGAGTGATGAATGTCGTTGACCTTGCCGTCGATCAGTATCTGGTCGGATACCTACCTAATCGTACCTTTTGGTGGCACATGTGGCTGGTGCATTGGAAATTAGGGGTCCTGTGGCTGAGCCAGGAGAACTCGGATTTTGAAGAGGTCTCTCGTGACGACCACCGCGAAACTAAACCTGTGCGCGTTCTGATACCCTTTACGTGACTGGGACTTGGAATCGTCAAGGAATCTTCATCCTCCCAAGAACTTGAGGTTGTTCGCTCGCCTCCACAGGCTACGCACGGTGATTCTCTACGATCAGCCGCTCTCGGGATTTATTGAAAGTTTGAGGGAACCCCCATCTTGAGCCTCAACCATATCAGTCTTGCCAACTACCATCCGTGCCTGGTTTGGCTCATCCGCAGGACATATAGGAACTTCTTACGAGGAAGCCCTCTCAGGATCCCGGAAGGGTTTGGCCATTTAAATCACCAGGCAACAGCCAATCACGACAGGTCTTTCGGTATCAATATTGAAACCTCAAGTCACAAAGGGTCCTTATCAGACATCGCTCTATACCCCAAAGATGAGCATGCAGACAGCAGGGGATATTCCCCTCCAGATCACGTCCGAAAACTCCGGTTCTGAGCGTCGAATCACACCTTCATGGAGCATCGGCCAGCTCAAGTCAAAGCTCGAGCTCGTGACCGGGATCCCTCCCCTATCACAGAAACTCTCTTTGAGGCGCCCTGGCCAACCGCCAGTCCCCATTGAGGCTATCGATGAGGAGAACACTTCACTTGCTCAGTTCCCTTTAGTGCCTTATGCAGAGATATATGTGAGTCCCAAACTTTATCGGTCATCGTCTGAAACACGTTTTGACACTCTTGTATGTTTATACGGCTGCGTAGAAGTTGACCAGCCCACCTGTTATGTCAGGGGTCTGTTTGGTAGCCGCTGGTGTTGCATCAAGTGACAAGACCCGCGGCTGAATATGGTTGCTTAAGCTCTTTTCAAAGGGGGATGTTTAGGGTGCTCAAATTACAGATGGAAGGAGAGGATGTCTACATTTTGATACACGATTTACCAGCCCGGGGTGGCTTCTCTCACCAGATATTGGTTTCCGTTTTGAATATTTCACTCGGGCGGACGATGGAAATCCAGAAATAGGACTGCCTGCCTCTCTCTACCCAAACTTCCAACAGTCGTATCATCCAAGTTCATATAGCAACTATTCTAATACCTATCTCTTCAGGTTGCCGATACCCGCCCCCCAGGGCTGCGACCCAACTACACCGACGTCTCCAAAGCAGAAAAGTATGAGATGCCACCCGAGGAGTACGAGAAGAAGACGGACAGCGTCCTCGCGTGGAAGAAAGCCAAGAAGTTGGGACGGTTCGACCCCGCGGCGCCCACCCTCGAGCAGGCCAAAATCCAAGCCTTCGAGGCGGAGATCCGGCATCGTGGTATCGAGGTCGGGAAGCGGTGTCGGGTTGGCGGGGAGGACGAGAAGAGAGGCGAGATCATGTACGTCGGTGAGGTGGAGGAGATCCCGGGCGGCATAGGGAAATGGGTTGGCGTGAGGCTGGACGAGCCCGTGGGGAAGAACGATGGGAGTTTGAAGGGGAAGAGGTATTGGGGGACGGCTACCGATGGAGGCGCAGCCAAACATGGCGTCTTTGTGAGACCCGAGAGGGTGGAAGTTGGTGACTTCCCTGTGCTGGATGACCTGGATGACATGGAGGAAATCTGAGGACGCTTCTGTGTGGCTGGATTTGAGATCGTGCCATGAGAGCGATATTCACCAAGCGAAAATCCAACAAAGCTGAAGACTCTCTTGCATATCGCCCTATTACTGGAAGCATCTCAGTGATCAACTATTTCTAGGTACTTGGGAAATATGATGCGACATTCTATGCCCTGCCATTCTATATCTACACATATATAGGAGAAAGGTCTGATTCAAACAACAATACATGACCAACGTCACCCACGACCGACACGTCGGTAAGTACAAAGTAGACATCTTATATCGGACACCGGACAGTGAGTTGGTGTTTCTCCGGTCCATGTATCCCTAGCCGATTGTCTGGAGTCGGCCGGCTTGCTTCTGAGCGGAGGTTGCTCGGAAGTACTGTAGTCTGTCGCTCGCGCCTCTATTTCCGGTTGTTGTTTTTTATTCCACAGGATAGTGGATTAGGTAGGGATACGATATTTCATAATATTTCATGATGGATTATACAGGAGATGTATCTGTATATGAGTCTGCTATGAGTTTCGACGGTTCAGATACCCAGAGAGATGGGTTGCGTAGCCTTGTTACAGAGCAGGAGTCGCTTCATGGACTTAATTAACTACCTACCTACATCTCAGCTACTTAAACTCAACTTTGGATCAGATGCCGTAGAGCAAGCGAGGGTAGAGAATCCATCTTCGGACTAAAAGAAAAAGAAGGGGAAAATTTTGAAAGAAAAGAAAAAAAAAATTGACAGTGCTATCTCTCAAAGGTGGGCTGAATTTGGATTTCAAGAGTGAGACCGGGCTGAGATCTGCGGACTTATGACGGAGCGAGACAAGGGCCCCTTGGAGAGAGGGCGCATCACGTGGAGAAGAACCGACAGCCAGAAATGGCTGCCGTGGCTGTTCTCACGTGGCTGCTCATGGTTCGCGGGCAAGAAAAGAAGAGAAGAAGAAGGATTCTCATAGGGTAGGGATTGCAGGAATAGAAATGCGGAGGAATAAAGAAGCTCGAGGTGAATGGAAGAGGGGGGAAACGGGATGCGGGCCTCGTAATGGGAGGGGGCTGAGGGGGCTGACGAGGAGGTCTCACGCGGTCTCTCACGCGGAGGATTGATTACCTACGGCTACAGTAATGCGTTGGACGATTCCGAAGACTGATTCTGAATCATGACAGAGAATCTTCAAGACTTGATGACAAGTCCCTGATTCCAGATCTACATGTAACTCAAAGCTGACAACAGAGAGAACAGAAGGCCAGAGCAGAGAGACAAGGCAGGAGAAGAGCCGCGTGTGAGTGGCCCATCGTCCTCGGCTCTCCCTCTTGGCCCCCCTCAGGATGGGATGTGGAGGGGAGACAAGGGACAACCAACAAGACAAGGAAGAAAGGACAGGAACACGGGAGTCGAAGAACCTACTATATCAGATGCCATCAGATGCTCGAATCTCTCCGTCCATTCCGTAGATCCCGTCCAATGGTCCCCCTCCTCCCACCGAGTACTTCTTCGAGAAGCAGCCCGCACGGCGGACATCCATCTATCTCACCTTCGACAACTAGATTTACAAACAACTTGGCCCAGACCTGATCTGATTACAAATGGAAGTCTTATCATTGCCTGTGATTACTGTATTTACACATATTTAACACATTTATACCGGCGGAAAAAAGACAAAAAGGTCAACAACTTCTGTGCCGCCGACCGCCGACCGTCGACCGTATCAGCTATCGCATCCCGTCCCGCGCTAAACTGCTTCCGTCACGGCTCACCTCTCCCAAACACCTGGGTTTCACGTCATACGTCTTGTCCAAAATCCCTCTCGTCTCTCGTCTCTCTTCTCTTCTCTCTTTTCTCCCTTAGTCCGTTCATCGCGCAAGTCCCAGTCCGGTCCCACGTCTGGATATGTGAGGGACGGGTACGAGCACAATTGTTCCCCATTCCCTTCTCCTTCGTCTCTCTGGCAGAATGGCGACGTCGACCGTTGCCCGGATCGTGGATGTCCTGTCCGTCCTCCTCCTCTTCTTTACGGCTCTAGCCACGGCTCAATCAGTCCAGCCATCAAATGCCACATTACCGCCCGCAGAGAGTGGCTCGGCGACCCAGCTGGGCTTGACTGGAGCCCCCGCCCAGAGACAGTCGGCTTTCGAGATTGTACCGCTCACAGCCGCCGTTGGCATGGGACAAAATGCTGCATCTGTTGCTGTGCGTACCTTTCCCGTCTATGCAAACTGTGTACACCCCGCTGAATGTCACTAATGGTCTCTGCAGGCGATCACTATCTCTGGAAACCTCAAATCGGCAGATCCCACTAACGAGAATAACATCACCAGCACTGATATTGCGTACATCAGCTGCGATACGGGCAATGATGGCGGCTTCATTGATCCTTCACAAGTAGTAACTGCTGTAGCGAATGCAAGACCAAAGGCTATCCTGCTGTACAGCCTTACAGCTCGGGCGTGCAATTTGACGGGTTCCTTTGGATACGGTTCGATCTACTCCATGACCTCCGCCTCAGACTCAAGCAATCTTTACGACACGATTAGATCGCAACCCCCAACAGATGTACTAGGTGGGATTATTCAGTCGAATTCCACGGCGAATGGACAGGGAAACCCTCCTTCCGGAGATAACCCTGGTGGGGGGCCGGCCCCCACTACCGCAGTCGCAATGAGCATCCTCTACAGCATTACTGGAGTCATAACACTGCTGTTCCTCACAATCATTGCGACTGGAGCTATCCGAGCTTATAGGAATCCAGAAAGATATGGCCCTCGTCCTGCTGGTGTTACGGGTCGACCACGGCAGAGCCGAGCCAAGGGACTTGCGCGGGCAATGCTCGAGACCCTGCCAATTGTTAAGTTTGGCGACCCCGAACCGCTTAAGCCAGGGAATAGGGATATCGAACTCGAGGATGGGAACGCGAGTGTCCACGCTCCTCCTGAGGTAGTCGCTGTGGCAGAAACCGGCGCGGAACCGAAGGAGCGTCCAACCGCAACGGAAGTGGAGTCTGGCTTGGGGCCACAAACAAATGCCGCGTCGACTAATAACGGTAAAGAGCCAGATGCTGTACCACCAGTTGAGTTGGGCTGTTCCATCTGTACAGAAGACTTCGTTGCAGGCGAAGATGTTCGCGTGCTGCCCTGCAATCACAAATACCACCCTGCCTGTATTGATCCTTGGCTGTTGAACGTCTCTGGAACTTGTCCACTATGGTATGTTTCTCTCTTCTCTCTCTTAAGTCACGCATACTAAATAACTAAACCAGTCGTCATGATCTCCGACCGCCTCAACCTGAAGGGGCTGAGGGAGCTGAGGATGACGAGCTTCCACCTCCCCTCTTCCCCCACGAAGGTGCCGATGATGGCACTGAACATCATGGCGAGCACGAAGCAGACACGCACCAGCGACGGGGTGTTACACGGTTGTTCGACTTAGCCGGCCTTCGGCACGCACCACCCGAGGAGCGCATCGCCGCACTTCGGCGTTTACGAGAACAATCCCGGCGTGAGGGGAACGCCCAGGACAGCGAGGAGACACACATGGGAGCACGGTTAACAGGACACTTGAGGGATGTTCTTCGGATTCGGACAAGACCGCAACACGACGCGGCTCCTGAATAAAGGATTTTGACAATTCATAAATCGGAAAAAAGAGAAAATTGGGGGCTGGACACCTTAACAACGCTCATGAAACAAAGGCATTGATGAATATGGATAGGATTGGGGGAATTAACGACGGGGCTGTGCATACACGCGTTGGGGGGTGTTCTGAGGCGTTCACATAGGCGGCGTGCAAGGAGCAACTTACGTGGATGTTTTCTGTTTGGGTGGGACTCGGGATGGATCGATTGATCTACGGGAAACAAAGCTGTTTATACCGGGTTCTGGGAAATGTACTCTTGTTCTGTGTATTGCAGTATACCTTCTGCGCGATATCCTCGTCGTGAATATAAAACGCTATACAACGGCCTTGAGATCTCCAAATTTCTCTGAAAAACGTCATTTATGAAATATCGTAAATCGTGACTGCAAAGCAAAGTAAAGCGAAAGGGGAAAAAAATAAGACCTAAGGAATGACAATAAACCCCTCCCTCCTCCACGCCTCCAAACTCCCAGCTATCCACTCCTCACACACAGGTCCACACTCACTCAACGACTTACTCAACCTCCTCGTCTCCGCCGTCTCGAACACCACACTCCCTCCCTCCCCCTCCCCCTCCACCATGCCCTCAAAGAAACCCAGTAATTTCAACCCCGGGACCTGCTTCGCATCCACGCCATCATCATCAGCCAAGCTCTGCAACTTCGTCACCCACTCTCTGATCGGCAGGTCCGCGATTGGGAACGAAGGGGGGAGTTGCGCGTGCAGGATCGAGAGCAGTGAGGTCCAGGGGATGGGTGTGGGATTTGTTATGTTGTGCACGCGGTATGCGGCTTCTGTGGTGGATGATGATGGGGAAGGGGAAGAGGAAGAGAAGAGAAGCTCGGTGATGGTGTGAGCGGCAATGTTGACGGGGAGCCAGGAGATGGGGGATGGTGGCGGGAGACAGGGGAGACATCGCATGAGAGGGTGGAAGGAGGTGGCGAGTAAGAGGGGATACATTTCTTGCGTGTTCCACCTGCCGGTTAGGGAGGAGCCGCAGAGTTGGCCGATGCGGAGAAGGAGGATGGGGATGTTTAGTGATGTGGGATGGGAGGCGGTTTGGGTTATTCTTTCGACTGACGCGGGTTTTGGTTAGACCGGTTGAGACATGGGAGTGATTGGGGAAAGGGAACTTACTGATATATTTACTTTGTGCGTAGCCGGTGGTTTGGGCTACTGAGGGGTCGTTTCCAATAGGCAATTCAGGAACACTGGAATATGTCTGCCCAGGCCCCATACAAGTGCTGATACTGCTCATGAAGACCATTCTCTTCCGTCTTCCTGCGTAGCAAAAGCGGAGCAACGACATCGTACCTATCACTAGAGTCAGCTTCGACCTCTTCTCTTTTTGGACAGGGGATAGGAAGGCAGGAGCTCACTTCTGATGCAATCTCCCTCGAATTCCTCAACGCCCATGTTAAAATCCATCTTCCACGCATTCTGCACCACCGTTGTCACGCTCGTTGCTAATCTATGATATGTGTCGATATCCAGCCCCAGAAGTGGATCTTGCATGCTAAAGTTCAGTACTTCTATCTTTCCTCCGTCCAGAATAGAAGGATCCATTCCTTTCCTTTCCAGGGAACCCTTCACTCTAGCAACGTGGTCAGGACCGCGGACCATGGCGTATATCTTGGTCACCTGGCGAGAGGAAGAAAATGTTTCGAGCAAGGAAGTTCCCAGGGACCCCGTAGAGCCCGTCAAGAGGATAATCTCACCATCGTCATGAGGATGAGAGGTGGTCGAGGATCGAGGAGCCCAGGTCTTGAATTCTGCTTCCAGCTTCGAAATCATCTGATTGATAACTTGGGTGGAAGAGTTCTGTGTGCTTTCGGACTTTGAGGAGCTAGTCGTGGTCTCGAAGACCGAAAGGAGTTTGGAGATGGAGGGATTCTCGAAGATTGTGTTTAGGGAGACGGGTTTCCCTAGACGTCTGGATAGAGAGCTACGGATGTCCAGCGCGAGTTGAGACTCGATGCCCAAGTCGAAGATAGTTGTCCAGTCATAGATGTTAGTGACTGGAACCCCGGATAATCTCGCGAAGAGATTGCGCAGGAAGTCCACGAGGGATTCCTGGGATGACGAGCTTGAGGTCGAAGCAGAAGTGATATCCCCATAGAGTCGTGCAATATCAGACGCGTAAAGCTTTTCTGCTTCCTTGCGTTTTACGTTTCCCTTGGGGCTAACCGGGAGAGTGCTCCCTCTGGGAAGAATATAAATCATGGGCCGCATGATTTGTGAGTAGGTAGGATATTCGGCATTGACCTTTTCAACTGTCTTCCAGACGAGCTCCTCTGTCGCAGGGGATCTTGGATCGTACTCTTCATGAACCTCGATTAATAGGCTGACGCAAGGCTGTGAATGGCCAAGAGCTAATGCACTTTTGATAACTTTCGAACTTGTTTGAATTTCAAGTTGAAGTGCCCCAGCATTAGTGTTCTCGCCATTCGAATGGACTAGAAAATCGTCTCTCCTACCTTGAAGAACATAAAAGCCACTTCCAGGTGGGTCTTGAGCAAATAAATCGTTGGTCCGAAATGGCTCATCATCAGGCTTCCCATCCCATAGATTTGCTGCTAGTTCAAACCCCTTATATACGACACATTCGTACAACCCTTCTCCAACTTGCTCCATTTTGAGGAACGGATTGTCTGGGTACAGATTCCGAAATGAGTAACACTTTTTATTGCTTGGCATGGGGAGTGACCTAAAAGGAGGTCCAATCTCAGTACTGCCATAAGTTGACTTGACATTGACGCCGTGCTCAATTAGATCTTGGATTATGCTGTCTGATAAGACGGCTCCGCCAGGTTGGAGAAGTTTGAGCGATGCCAAGGGAGTAAAGTCGCCTCCGCCATCCACGATATGTTCATACATGTTTTCGATCAATATGGGAGCACAGTGAACGCAATCGACGGGATGGCCCATTGATGATAGCGTTTTCCATGCGGTAAATATTGACGAGGAAGTATATGGCGACAACAAAGGCGGGAACGATACGATCTGGCCATTTGGAAGACCTGAAAGCGCAATCGAAATGCCCGCAATGTGGTATCTGACTGGTCAGCCCCTTTAGAACAGACATTGATAAGTGCTGGACTCACAAGGGAAATAAGAGAAACCAGTTCTCTATTTCAAAGTCTTGGAATAAACGATACATCCTGGCAATGAGCATCATACTCCTATTCGTATGCACAATCGGTTTTGGCATGCCAGTGGAGCCTGATGAATGGATGATGAAGGTGTGACGTTCCCACACATCTCCAACATCTTGGAACTTGACAGCATCCACTTCTGTATACTGCGTTTTGGAATTTTGAGGTATAGCATCTATCATATGCAATTTCCGAAGGCCATTCGTGTCCACACCTGAGTTTTTCAAGTCTGTTATCACAGCCAAGGCTTCGCAGCTCTCGAGAAGGTGGTGTAGCGCACTCAAGGAATTGGACTCTGCCAGTAGAAGTACTCTCGCCCCAAGCTTCTGTAGAGCTAATTGAGTACAGTAATACTCGAAAGACTTCCCAGCCCCAAGCAGGGCTATCGTTGGCTGTTTTTGGATCTCGTTTGCCCTTTCAAACTCTAAGTGAAGCTGAGAAGCATACGACAACGCAATAGACTCTGTCGCCGCGTCGAACTCATCCCAGGTCAGAGAATGATATGGGGTAGTGGCCTTTGCACAGACAGGATACAGAAACCCCTTTTGTCCTTTGTATACCTGGCCAGTATGTCTGATGAGAGCTCCAAGGCTAACAAGTTTTGGATCAGAATAACGTTTCGAATGAGGATGGCCATGCAACCACCAAAGGTCTCTCGTTCGCTTGGAGGCTTTGTCTGATGGAACAACGGACGGATCGGAGCATATAGGCACGGATCTTGTAGCCAAAGCTTCTGTATTGGGAGGACTAGATGATATTGACACGGATTCTTTGGCAGAAACAGTCCCAGGGGGTAGAGATTCGAACAATGCTGGTGCCATTTTAAAGAAGAACAAGAGCCTTGGGAGACAGAGGTTGAAGTTTGGCCCTTCTTAATGGAGAATCAAAGAACTTTGAGGGCGAATCTTGAGACTTAAAACGCTATCATCACTTGATATCGGGATTAGAGAAGACGGCTATGGAATCGAGCTCTCCCCTCTTAGTTTCACACTACCTATCACCGAGGCAGATATCTATTGTATATCCGGCCATCAACTCTTGGTCCCAGCCCACAAACACAATAAAGCAGAAGCAGATAGCAATTTGATAGGCCATAGGGCTGCCCCGGTCTGAGACTACGGGGCAAGCGATAAGACGCAATCCAAGTGCGATGCTATTGATGAAGCTGGCCGGAGATCCATTACCCACTTGAGCTTGCCGTGACGACGGGCGGGCTCTCTGCCGTGGGATGTCACGATATCGTAGACTATCAGTACCCATTTGTGCTCGAGCTTAACCTCGATGGTTCTGGATCAAGAATGGATGATCCATTTATAGAGGACGCAGCTCAAACTTGAGCCATCAATGTCCCCCGCCCATGGTCGACGTCCCTGGTAAGGTTGCAGACCAAACCGATTGCAGATCAAGTGCGGGGATGCCTTCACGCGGCGGCGGCGGCGCGATCCTGTAATTCTCCATCGAAAGACGGTTCTAATTCTCGGGCAATGATCCGACGCGGTTCTCCTGTGCGGCCAAGGTCGAGTTCGTCGCGATAAGAATAACGGGTAGCCTATATACTACCGAGCGTACCACTGAGTCTGCAATATGTACGCCAAATAATGGTGATAGAGTAGTTATTTTGGAAATTCTCCACGTTTGAGTTTGACCAGGTTTCTGCTGTTGAGCAAATCTTCATATATAGTGACCCGGAGCTGGGGGCAGTAATTCATCACGTGAGCGTATATTCGCTCGATAAGATCCCGTGACCTGCACTTCTCTCGATGCCTGTGGATGTCATGATTGATCCTTTTCCACTGCGTTATATTGTGTTCTTAATCCTACGACTCGACAGTCAAGGACCCGCTTGACGAATCCTGCATTTGACATCTTACCAGGAACATGGTCAACTCGCAAGGGCTCATGGAGATGCATCTCTCCATTGAGGCAAATTCCCAGCCGAACCGCTCAACTATGTTTAGTGACAACGGCGGTTCTGATTTTGAATATCGTATCGCTGTGCTGTTTTGAGCCAGAATTTGACTTTTCATCTTCTACAGATGTGCAACCTTTTTCTCGCAAGAGCTATTTCTATTTCTCGTACCGGGACCCAGGTAAGTCAAAATTGTCACAGATGCCGAGATGCCTTTATGTTTATTTCCAACCCCCTTCTACTCTGTACTGGCTCTGAACCAGCCTTAAACCCAGTAATCTCTTTCTCCTGCCAGCATACCATTTACTTCTCCGCCGGTCTTCCCAACAACAATCTTTCCCTTGCCTCTTTTCAAAAACTTCCCATCTGACATACCTCCCAAAATACCTCCGTTATCCCTATCCCAAACCTTCTTGCCCCTTAAAATGGTGTACCTTGGCCAGTTCTTGACCTTCATTCCCTCGTACCTAAAGTACCGGAAGATCAGTAATTGTTGGATCAAGATAGGATGGGAATTGTCGAGCATAGCCCATGAGCCGTGAGGCATGTTCACCAGCATCTCGGGGGTAAGCATAGCTTCACAACTGGCGAAGCCGGCCGTCTTAAGAGACATTTTACTCTTTAGTTGAGACTTACGGTGTATAGTCAACTCCGTGATGCAGCATCTTCTGTTCAATATTCACACCGTCCTTCAAGTCTTCCTCTGGATACCAAATAACCAAATCGGCATCGTACCCTGGAGCAATATTCCCTTTCGTTCCATCTAGCCCATATAGCTTCGCCGGGTCCGAGCTTGTGAGCTGCACGAACCTCTGCAGACCTAAGCGCGAATCTTTGTCTGAACCAGCGTAACTGAATAACAACGGTAGTCTTGTCTCCACTCCTGGTACGCCATTAGGAATGTCCCTGTACCGCATAATACCGCTCTTCAGTCCCAGCTTCTTCCCGTTAGGGTGGTCATATGACGACGGTGCGTGGTCCGAACTAAATGTCGTGAATGTTCCGTTCGCTATGCCGCGCCACATGGCCTCGAGGTCCTTAGGGTCATGGCGTAAAGGAGGGGAGCAAACGCATTTTGCGCCCTCGAATGCGTCGTGGTGACTACCCTTTAGTCTCTCACTCAGCAAAAACAAATATTGCGGGCAGGTCTCTGCGTGGATTGGCAACATGCGTGTCTGAGCCTTCCTCACATGCTTCACAGCGATCTCCGAGCTCATATGGACAATCAAAATCGGGCTGTCTGTCAGTTCAGCCAGAGAGATGATCCTGTATGTTGCTTCGTTCTCCGCGATCTGTGGGCGCGAGATGGCATGGAAATAGGGATCCGTGTGACCAGCAGCTTCGAGACGGTCGGTGATGAGCGAAATTATATCACTGTTTTCGGCATGGACCATGGTTGTAAAACCCAGGCTTCGAGCTGACATCAAGACCTCGAGAAGCTCGGAATCGCCAAGCTTCATAGGTTCGTATGTCATATACAATTTGACACTTGTGATGCCTTGTTCGATCATGAGAGGCATTTCCTTTTGCATGATTTCAGGGGTGGGGTTCGTGAGAATCAGATGAAATCCATAGTCACAGTAACTTTGGTTCGTGGCCTTTGTGTGGTACTCTTCGACCACTGGGATAACACTGGTTTCTGACTTCTCTTGAGATGCGAAAGCGAGAACTGTAGTAGTCCCTCCAGCGATCGCGCTGCGGCTGCCAGTGGTGAAGTCATCGCCTGTTGGGCAGTTATCTTGAGCAAAGTGGACGTGGGAATCGACGCCTCCTGGGGTCACATAGGCCCCCTTTGCATCAATAATTTGAGTGTTGGCATCCCGAGGGAGTGAAGATCCAAGGCAGGAGATTTTCCCATCTTTGATACCGATTTCTATTCCGAGAGGAAGTACATCGGAGGCCGTGACCTATATCAAGTTAGCATCAAGTCAATTCTGACAAGTCTGTAGCGGTTTCAGGTTGTTTTATTATGCGCTCATGGGTTGAAGCCCTCTTTGATCGATTTTTGAGGTGACTCCTTTCCTCGAACCTATTTTGTATTGAGCATTTTATCTTCTGCACTCTTCTGCTGTCACTTGATAGCTCGGCGCCGAGGCTTAGCTGAAAATGTAGGACAGGAAAGATCACAAGCAATGATATTAATTAGCCTCAATCGTAATGATACAATGAAATCTCGGAGGAAGACTTCCTGGGGTTCTCAAGGTACAACTTTGTAGTTGTCGTTTCCGTGCTCAGTCCCTGCTGGAGAGTATAAACCATAAAGCAATGCAAAGCGTCAAAACTCTAGTGATAGGAGATAAAATGCAACATACAATTATGCCATTCACAACGACTAGATCAAAAGCCATGATATTGAATTATCGAATCTTGTAGCGAATTGCTTTGAATCAATCAAAGGCAGACGGGAAGCTTTCATTAAATATCAACGTACCAAGCTTCATAGATAGGTCGACGACTTCACATGTTATCTCCATAGCCTCGCACTCCGCATTTCCCATTGCCACGGTATTGCCGCTTGCCGTTTGATGGTGGCCTGGTATACAGAGGCAGTGAGGCACAGAACAACGCGTCGGCGATCGTGGCTCGCTTCTCCTATTGATCAACAGGGGGGTCTAGTTGGCCGACGGCCAAATCGGCGGAGTACTATACTCCGGAAAGGGGCACCTCTACCCGATCGATAAATGGGGGTCGCACCGTCGCACTCCAGACACTCGGTTCTATAAGGGCCTGCACCTTGGATGACAAGAAGTGTTTGATATGGAAGAATTAATAATAGTCTCAGGTGTGCGAGCAAGTCACAAACAGTGCACTGTGCAGATTAGCAGCGCCAAGGAGCAACAAGTGTGCGACTCCGAGATAAGGCTTTCGGGAGTTCATCGCCGTGATACTCACGGCCGTTATCACGTTGATAACTTGGTGGTTTTGAAAAGTGGGAGACAGGGAAAGTGTTGAAAAGTTGCGGCACTTCTTTCAGTTCCTCTCGAAGTAATATTGTATGTACATCCAATCGAATCTTTCCGCCCAGCTTCCGCATTGATACCCTTCAAACAATTCCACAATGCCTCGTCTCCTCAAGGTGGCAGCGGCCCAGATGGGGCCTATCCATCTTACTTCGAAACGCGAAGAGACCGTCTCGCGGATGATCGCTCTGCTGCAATCCGCCTCCTCACTGGGAGCCCAAGTAGTTCTCTTCCCCGAGACAGCACTCACGACTTTCTTCCCCCGCCATCTCATCAACTCGCAGGAGGAACTTGATTCTTATTTCGAGCACTCAGAACTCCATGAGTCGGCCAATACCAAGCCACTCTTCGACGAAGCGAAAAAGCTCGGGATTGACATCTCAGTCGGCTATGCGGAGCGGACGCCAGAGGGCAAGGGGTATAATACTCAAGTGTATTACTCAGCCAAGAAAGCAGCCATCATTGCAAAATACAGAAAGATCCATTTGCCGGGTACGAAAGAGCCCTTCGAGGACCCAAACGCTGTCAACCAGTTGGAGAAGAGGTATTTCGAACCGGGTAACTTGGGATTCAAGGCTTTCCGAGTACCGGATGTCATTGAGGGTGTGAGTAAGAAGGGTAGTGGTGAGGCAGCACCCGGGAAGGGGGACCCAATTATGGGGATGATCATTTGCAATGATAGACGCTGGGCCGAATCGTGGAGGACTTATGGTCTTCAAGGAGTTGAAGTTGTGCTCTGTGGCTATAACACAGTCGGTTGGGCACCAGACTTATGGGGAACCAGGAAACCGATGACGCCGCAGCAGGCAGAGGAAGAGGCCTTGTTCCATCATAAGTTGGTAATGCAAGCAAACTCGTATATGAACAGCTGCTTCTCGATCAGTGCTGCCAAGGCTGGCCTTGAGGATGGGAAGCACGATTTGATTGGTGGTAGTTGTATCACCTCACCTGAGGGACACATATTGGCGGAGGCAAAAGGAAAGGGTGACGAGATCGTATTTGCGGAAATAGACCTGGAGGATTGTAGACAAGGAAAGGAGAAGGTAAGAAAGAACATATTGTGCGTATTTGAGACAGCTTGGCTAATATTTCTTTTAGACTTTCGACTTTGACCGACATCGCAGAATTGATTCATACGGCCTCATTACTCAACAGACAGGAATCGTGGAACCAGAACTTCTGTGAGAGGGTGGGTGACAGTAGGGGCTACATATTTTGTCGATAAGAGTATATTGTTAAATAAAGAAATTTCCAAGACTCTTGCTACACCTTTGTAGACGCTTAGAATCACTAGGATATCAGTATTTGACGGTAGCCTCAGCGTGGGCCATGATGCCTCGTATGGTCAAATCCAACGCAAACCATTGTCGAATCGAAAACTAACGCACCATGTATAGATAGGAATGCTCCATAGGCTCGGTGTAACCTCGATGACAGTGAACTGGCACTAAGGAAGAGAATATTCAACTAATATCCCTGATCTGACCCTTCTGATTTCCTGAGATGGAAGATCCATCTAGCCGGAATAAAGAATAGGCCAACCTTGTGCGATAGAGACTGCTCGAGAACGGTGTATATGCTGTGAAACAATGGGAGTAAGAGAGGTGAACTGGTTGGAAAGGATCTAGCTTCACTGCCCTGTCACATCCAATCTTGGCCCCTGGCTCTTCTTCCCTCCGCTGCGCTCCTGTAAATACCCCCCTTTGCCGTCACGTGCCCTTCCCTCACCAGCCCAATCAATATCTGAACGCCAACACCTACTCCATCAATGACTTGCGCATATGCATCCTTCGTCCCTACGGACTCCTCACATCTGAGTTTCATCTCTGTCATCCCTGCACAGCCTAGAGTAATGCAATCTGCGCCCTTTTCATACACAAGTCTTTTCGCGGCCTCGCCAACGAGTCCCAAGACTTTGTCCTTCGGCAGTGTTTCCAATTCCAAGACACCCAAGCCTGTACTTTCGGCACCAACAGAGAAAGCATCCAAGCCGTAATGTCTGATGGCATCTTCATGCATGTACTTACTCCTCCCGCCTGTTGACACAACACCCAGCCTGCCGCCAAGCATCCGAGCCGAATAGAAAGCAGCTTCCATAATCCCAATCACCGGGCCAGAAACTTCTTCTCGGAGAGCGTTGATAAGAGGATGTGCACTGAAGCAGGCGACAAGGAATGCATCATACTTTGAGGCAATCGGTGCTACAGCCCGAACGGCCGCGGCTGCCGATAAAACACAATCGAGATGGCCTTCAATGGCTGAGGGAGTTGGATGGGGAGCCGTGAAGCCTGTAACCGTGCAATATGGTGGCAGAGTGGGCTGCAACGAACGGAGGCAAGCTTCTGTCATAGAGGAGGTGCCGTTGGGATTAATGAGAAGGATATTGATGGCTTTGGTTGATGACCCCGTGACTACGGGAAGAGACAGGGAGGAGTCGGACATCTCGACCGAAATAGGGGTTCAACTGAAGGATGGTTGTGGTTTGAGACCGATGGTGGATACTCGAGGGATAACTGCCAACGATTCGGTACGGGTCAACCAATAAGCAAGGAAAGGGAAACAAATGATCCAAACAATTGAAATAGTGACATCTTAACGTCAACAGAATTGAATATAAGGCCTGCGGGTGCCTCAAGTCTCCTGGCTCTGTTGATTGTGCTGTGTGAATAGCGAGTGCACGGCGATGGGCGTCGTGAGAGGTCAATGGTGGGATGATAACACGGCCAACTTGGCCGTAGGCCACGGACATGGGCGTTCGCTGGAACCCTGGGACCTGGAAGAAGACAGCCGGGCAACATGTCCACAACAGTTCAAGTTCAAGTGACAATGCGACTCTGCCCCGCATTGCTACCTCCGTCCGGAGTGGGGCTGGGCCTCTCGATCAGAAGAATATTCCTTGATGGCTCTCCGCGCGAGTTGACGCCGCGTCGCGCCCTCCCCGAACAACGCGAGAGCGAGGAAGAGAGAGGAGAAGGAAGAAGAGGCAGAAGCAAGAAGCAGAAGCAAGAAGCAGAAGAAGAGTGGGCGTTGGGACAAGCCATATCGACAAGACAGGAAGATCCACCATCACACTCACTGTCCGGTGCGCCCCCTTATCCCCCCCCCCGACAAGGGGTGTAAGTTGCTCTGGAAGAGCCTCCCCCATCTTCAGCTTGCTTCTCGGGCTGCCTCTACCCCCCCCCCTCCCCTTAGTTGAAGAGCCTCGAGATGGATTCTCAGAGCTTCTCACAGCCCTCATTGTCTCCCACCGATTTCTTCAATGGCTTGGAGTTGACCACCCCCGTACAGCCAGGTCCCCGGAGCTACAAGTCGCGCAAGTACCGGCCATGCGACTTCTGCAGAGCACGCCAGGTTGCGTGTAAAATCGATGTCGCCCCGCCTTGCCAGCTGTGTTCGTCCCATGGCCGACAATGTACCTTCGTGGAACGGCCAAAGAAGAAGAGACGGCCGAATGCCTCGAACAGCAATGGGGAAGCAGAGGTGTCGTCTGGAGCCTCAGGTACGTGAACCGGACGACGGAAAACTTTGTCTAACCCGCGAGTGTTGCAGGCTCTATTAAACAACAACAGTACGATGTCTCTGCGACCCAGTTAAGCCCGGGCTTCATTGTACAGTACAGCAGCGAGCAGTCCTTCAATGGCATGAATGAGCATGATGGATTAGACGATTCCCCAACCCAGATACAGCCGCTTGGTCCCAACCAGGATGCCGAACCGATATACAACATGGACCCCTATCTGCACATGATGCCAACTGGAGTACGGATTAGACCCTTGGACTCGCAGTCCACTAAATGTGCTCGGTTTATCGGAGAGACTGGAGAGTCAAATCCCTACCTACTACGGCATTACCGCTATGATGAGAACGATGAGTGTACCATCTCCAAGTTGACATATCGACGAATTAAGACTTCCTCGAGTCAGAACGCCATGCCCGGGGAGAGAGGAGAGCCACCGGTTGTGTTCATGCTCGCAGATGACAGTTTGGCCCAGAAAGGAGAGCCTAGAGTTGAAGACGACGTTCTGGCTAAAGCCCGGTCAGACGTTGCAAACATGTTCACGGAGCAAGAAGCTTTGAGATTGATTGGTCTTTTCTTTCGATTTGTATATCCGTATTTTCCTATTCTCTCTAAAAGCGAATTCTTCTCTACCGGATCTCTCTCTCCGTCTCTTGTCCACACATTGCCGCTCTCCTTGCTATCGGCCATGTATGCCACAGCGTTACCATTTATGCTATATGACGATCTCCTTGCTACGACCCTCGTCCATTCACCACCTCCAGCACACCAACTCTTTCGTATATCTTGGCTTGCAGTAACCCAAGAACTTCACACTCCTCGTCTAGCAACTCTTCAGGCGTGTCTCCTCCTCTTGCAAAGGGCACCTACCAACCGCTACACCACCGACACACCTTGGAAAACTAGTCTTGTAGGTTGGACAGTGAGCATAGCTCAAATTCTTGGCCTATCTCACGAATGTGGTGATTGGAGCAGCATCCCCACCTGGGAGATGTCTCTTCGAAAACGTCTGTGGTTCGGCGTCTTCATTATGGACAAGTGGGCATCCCTTGGTGCCGGGATGCCCAGTCACATCCGGAATGAGGACTGGGATGTTCTCCCACTCACTGAGAACGACCTTGAACTACCATTACCGTCTCTCGACCAGAACTCCAACGGCATCCCGGGCTTCCTAGATGCCGAAACGGATAGCCATCATTTCCGCCTCCTGGCTGAACTCACGATGATATTGAGCGATATCATGGATTCCTACTACTCGCTGCGAGCCACTCGGCAGACGTCGAGGGATTTTACACTCTCTTTGGATCTGGCGCGGCCTCTGCGATCACGATTAAAAGCGTGGAACGACTCGTTACCACCGGCATTCGCTCTCCGACAGCCGGAACGTGTGGATTCAAGAGGCATGGCTTGTCTGAGCGGGAATCCATCTCTCTCATTAGCCTACATTGTCGCGACCATGACCTTATTCCGGGCTCTCTTACGACCACTAGAGAACCTCACCAGTGTAGTAGAAGAAGACCACGGTATCGTGGGCAGCGGCCAGGCCGTGCGAGCAGGAGCCAAAGAATGCGCCAAAGAAGTCGTTGAATTCGTAGAGAATCTCGGCCGAGGCGCGTTGGATGCCTTCTGGCATTCTTGTAAGCTTTACTCCTCCCTTATTTCCACCCATCATCTAAAAGCCATTCTTAGGGTCACGGGCGAACTTCGCTATAGCCTCATCCTTCCTTATGCAGCTGTTATTGACCTCAGAGAGCGAGGCGGAGTCTAATGAGATTAATGATTTGGTAGGGCGCTGGAGATGGGCCATGCGCATTGGGAGCGGGAGTACTGGGAATGGGCTTATGAGTTTGGGACTTCTTAGACTGGATGGTCTTTTATTAGAAAATGGCACGGTTCAGCCTAATCAATAACTGAACAGAAGGTTTGAAAATGGAGTTAGAAGCATTCCGGGTGCCATGGAGTCGGTATCTAGATAAAATATATCCACATTTATGTATTGTATCTATGGGCGTTGTCCGTTTCAGTAGAATCACTGCCACTAAACCTTGAGCCACCAGATACAATCTCATGGAAATCATTTCCTGCCCCTTCTATTCTTTCTGACCATATTCCATTGATCGTGGTATCTAAGAGTACCTAGCAGTTACCTTGTCTAGAACCAATCACTCCATGCTATGCTTGAAAAGTTGACAACCAGGCCACCCCAAATTTTGTCTTCCAAATGTCAATCCACATCAGCTCCTCATCCTTCGGGTTCTTACACCTTGGCCTCTTTCATGCCTCAGGTTCTGTCTTGACCTTGGCCCTGAATACAAAATGGTCATCCTATGATATCGTCAACCAACACTTAAAGACGTCTGTTTTCGATGCCACTGACCTCTGCCTTTCGCTTTCCTAATATTGGCTCCGGGGTACCCCTCTTAACTTGTGAATTCCCGCCATCCTTCGTAGCCTCCGCGTAGCAACTAGCATGGTAAATCCGATCCCCAATTTTCCTTGCATCCATCCACACAAATTCCTGAGCGTCATCAAGCCACTTCATCTCAAACTTCTCCTGACATATAGGACAGATACTGTTGGCAAGTGCTGGATCATCCGGGACTGCTAAATATTGTAGTTTGGGCTCGTTGGCTGTGACCGAGCCTGCAGCACCTGGTCCGCCTGCGATGTCTGCCGCACTGGTGTTTTGGTCTTCCTCAACTTCACGGGACTTAATCCAATCCTAAGCGACAAGCTTCAGTATTGAAGGTAGAGGGCTAGTGGAAGGAGAGTGGCATACCAGTTCATCGACGTACCAACTGCGATGTTGGCCTCGCTTCTCTGCTTCCGTCATTCGTTGGTGAACTCGAAAATGCCAGTCCATATGAGCCGTCTTTTTTTTTCTGCCTTCATCATCTGATTGAAACCGCCGTCCACATTGAGTACATGGCGAGCCGAGACGCTCATAGAGATTAGATATGAGATGAGGGCGGGGACTATAGAGGTTAGTAGAACATCCATATACCCAGGGCAGACGATCCTTACATCTTGAGAGACGCAGGCTTCAGCACGACATCATTGGGGACATCAGCTAGTGGTGTTCTTGTGGCATTGGGAGGTGTATTGATGAAAGGAGGGGGAAATCCAGGCGGGACACTTCCCACCAATGAACCTATAGGCAAAGGAGGAGTGCTCGTTGCAGCCGGTACTGCCGGTACTGCTGGAAGCATGCCCGCAGCTCGTAACTTCTCGAGTAAGGAGTTAGGGTCTGGAACGGGAGTAGAAGATGAAGCAGGGGGCGCAAGGGGATTATAAGAAGGTTGGGCACGGGTTTGTGGTGGTGACCGAACAGGAGCAACAGATTGAGCTGGGGGTGTTGGTTGCGGGGTGGCAGATTGTCTTGCTAATAACGCAGCAAGAGCGCCAGACCCTAATATTGAGCTCAATGAAGGCTGCTGCGCAGGAGGTGGAGCAGCTGCTACGGGTGCAGGTGGAGGTGGGTGTGCCGGAGGGGTTTGGATTCTAGGTTGCGGTTGAGAAGCTTCAGAGAGTTGTGCAACTTGGTCTTTAATGAGCGCTATCTGATCAGGGGGTAGCTTTTGACTCGACAAGATTGTTTGTAAGTCAAGCAATGCCTTCAATCTCGTTTGTATACTGCTATCCCAAGGATTTTGCGCGAATTCTGCTTTTGAGGCAGTAATAAGGTTTGCAATGTCACTGTTCAATGTGTCTATGCTATTCTCAGGCGCGCGATATCCCATCATCTGTGGCTGCTGCCAAGATGATGCACTTCCAGATGGTTGGGAGTAGTGTTGGCTTGGGGGTTGCTTCTCGTCATTCAGCAACGAGACATGGCAAGGGAATGGAGAGGCACATACCTGTGGTAATCCATACTGCTGGTGGCCGTTCATCTGGTTGGAATACTGCTGTCCGTTCGCTGGAGGGGGAAACTGTTGTTGGCTATAACCCGAGGCATATCCCGGAGGGACTTGGGTCTGTGGCCGTAATGCACCGGGTGGAGTTGGAGTATTACGATATGGGGCAGGAGACGCAATGGGACGGCCTCTACCCATAAGCTGCTGCTGGCTTCTGAGATGTTCCTGGTGAGCCTGAACAGCCGATGTTCTAGCCTTGATCAGAGCATTTTCGATTGGACGTGTCACTTCTGGTGGAAACACTGGTCGCGTGTCTATCGATCCTGGTACTGGCTCCTTCCAAGTCTTCAGCATCTCGTCCATTTTTCTCCTCACGTTATTATCCACCAAAGCGTACGCTTCCATGAAGGTCGAGTATAGCTGCCGACCAAAGAAGAGGGTGTAGGGCGTCCCGACATTCTTCACCACAGAGTCGAGAACATAAAAGGCAGGTAGTTTCTTGGCCGGCGAAGTCTGCTTGATGTGGTTCTTTAATGCTTCTGAAATAGCCAGCGCGTGCTCTGTATTCTCCTTCGCGATAACTGTCAAATTGCTGATTTCGTATCGCGAGTTCATCGTCAGATCCTCGAGCGCCTTCCTGTAATCCTCCGCCACCTCATCAGAGGGAGAACCGTATGCGAGTCGGGAGGAGTGGGAATCGGCCATCTTGGACGTCTTTTGTTTGTGCTGGTCGTGGTTGGGGCTTTGAGGAGGCTTGCGTGTGGCTATTGTTGAGGAAAGAAGACGGGGCTTTAGGGGAGGTCAGAGGAGGGGCTGCGGAGGTTGAAGACGGACATTTGCAAGGGCTAACCCATCGAGCTGTATTGAATGTGTCGAAGGCATCTTGATAGGTATTCAGCCTTGCTTCATTCATGCCTTCTGAAGCCTGAAGGTAAACGAGGCATAAAGTGCTTAGTCACGCGCGCTACAGCAAATCATGATCGTATAGACTCAGCTACCTATATGTACCTAGGTATCTAGGTAAGGTACCTTACCTTAGGTATCGCATGGCGCTTAAGGTAAGATACCGTGGGTACCTACAGTAGACATCCTCATATCTCCTCACGGTCTGCCCGCGACAGCTGCACCTTCACACAGAGGAGCATTGAAAATAGAGCCGCCACATCCGCGCAAACATGAAGATTGCATTGTTCTCCATCCTAGTGCTCGTTGCAGTCGTCCTCGGCTCACAGGTGCCACAGAAGGCTGTCATCGTCACTTATCCAGACAATACTCCCAACAGCGTCTTGGACCAAGCCAAGGATGCCATCAAGGCTGCTGGGGGCATCATTACACATGAATACAAGCTGATCAAGTGGGTGTACACTCTTCCTCCCTCCCATGCTCATCTCTAACCTCTCTACAGAGGATTTGCTGCAGAAGCACCAGCCAAAGTTCTCGAAACCGTCCAGGCGTGGGGCAGCGACTACCATGCGGTCATTGAAGAGGACCAGATGGTATCGATTTCTGGCAGTGGGGACTAGTTCTGGATTCGAAAGGGTGCAGGCGAGGGAAGGCACCGGCGTTGGAATTGTACATCATGGCTTGCAAATACTGGGTTTGACGAGGCGCAACTGATATATCACATGCGGCGTTCGGACAGGCGAGGGGCAGCGTCCTTGTAGTGCTGTAATGGTAGGGACTTGAGGCCTTTTCTTTTCCTTCTTTGGTGGTGCCATCATTGGTGCCATCTGCTGTATCTATGTTATTACTGGATTACCCCTCGTGCTACTCTTCTGGCGTGGCATTGCTTCTTCCTGCTATTCACCCCAACCCAGAGACGTAGAAGGTAATGAGCAGCGGCCTTTCAGGACTTTCCTCACATTAAGAGCGCCTTTGAAGGACAAACTAAAGACAAGAAGAGCGAGAGGACAAAGCCGGGGAGGTAACAACGTATTTAGAGATTGGGGTTCTTTGACAGGGCCATCTTCAATAAAGAACAATACTATGAATGAATGCTTTGTTTAGACACAAATGCTTTGTGCAATAGAAAGAGAATATTGTGCTGGGAGATGGCCGTCTCTGTCCCTCGGGTAAGGTAGGTCGCGTTCACAAAGGAGCTTCCCTAGAACGCGATATCTTGAAAGAAGCGACGGCAGCAACTCCAGACAACGAACCTTGCGCATAAATCACCTGCAACGCCCGCCTCTCCGACCAAGATGTCAGATAGCTCTCGAACAATTCCACATAAACCGTATCTCTTTTACAATTCGTCCTTTTTCTACGTCTACTCGTAAACCGCCGAGCCGAACACGAAGGGGTCCATCTCGACGATGCCGACCATGCCATATACTCGGGGTACAGAAACAGCTCTGCTGAAATGGGTATTTCTTCTTCGAATGTTCTGATATACATTGTCCTGTGCTAATCATGATATGCAGGTGAACACATTCCCCCTCGACTCCAAGGTCGAGTCCCTAGCAGAGCTGAGCGATGGTCTTGCCTTGGGTGCGATGCTGGGTGGGTGAACCGGAAACCCCTTTGACTCTATTCCTTCCTTTGACATACAAACGCTGATGTTAAATTTCTGCAGAGGATATCGATTCCCACTACTCCATAAATGATCTTGAGAGACATTCCAGTCCTTCTAAATGGCTGAGTAAGAAGAGGTGCCTCGAGGCCGTTTACAGATCACTACTTCGATATATCCGCAACCACACCCTAGACCTCAATTATCTTACACTCGAAACCACAATAGATTTTGATATCATTGCAGAGCACGATGATGTTCAGGAAACGATGAAGGTAGCGGCGCACATCTCGACGAACCTATCGTTGTCAGAACTCGAATCAAACCTGACTAACACATGTATCCAGCTCCTCACGATTTTTTTGATGGCGGCAGTCAATGGCCCTACGAAGGAGAAATACATCGGCAACATCATGAATCAACTCGATGAGTCCGCGCAGCTCCAGATTATGGATCTTATACAGAAGGCAAGTTGACAACTCCCTACGATCCTTGTCGTTTACTAATTTGATTACAGCTCGGAAAGCTTGAAGAAGTACACGCAAGCTCCAATTCTACTGATTCAGCTCTCCCCCAGAAACTGACCAACGATCTCCAACTCGCATTTGAAGAAGAACATGCGACTTTACTCCACGAGCATGAAGCTTTGAAGAAAAAGCATGCTGACTTTATCACTCGGTTTGAACATCTGCAAGCCAAAAATGATGATTTACACGACCAGAATGATAGGATAGAGGAGCAGTTGCGGTCCCTTCAGGAGTCAAACAGTGGAGATCAGGCTGAATATATAAAGGCCTTGCGAAAGCAAATCGAAGAGAGAGACGAGCTTATTGCAACGCATGAACAGGAAGCGGAAGCCAGTCGAATAACGAAGGAGAAGCAGAGCAGAGAACTTGCTTCCCTGAGGCCCACTGCCCAGCGACTTCTGGAGCTCGAGGATGAGGTTAAGGTGCTAAAGACTGAAAACGCTTCTCTAACCAAGAAGGCAAACATGGTGGATCATTTTCAGAAGAAACTCGAATTGCAGAGTGGTATCGAGAGAGAGAACGCTAACTTGCGAGAAAAAATTGATATTCTCCAGGGAAATCAAAAAGACTTTGACAAGGTTTATGCAGAGAACGATGCCCTGAAGACGACAATTGGCGAATACAAGAAAAGGTTTCAGGCTTATGAAGCTGAAGTCATGACATTAACAACCCAGAAAGCAACTCTTCAGGCAGAGCATCGCTTCTCTTTGGAGAGAATCGAAGCGCTCACTGCAAGCAAGCAGCATGATGAGGAATTTATAAGGGGCCTACAGGAGCAAATTAACAGTGGCGACCAGCATCAGTCTTCCCCCAAATCACCAGGCAGATCAGGCGGTCTGACCTTAGAAGAAGAGCTGGAACAAAGCGATGATCCAACCCCTAACTATCTGCTAGAAATATCCAGGCTGAAAGCTGAGAATCAACTTCTCAAGAGCAACACTGCTGGAACCTCCAACGCTACGCTTCGAATCGATCTTGAAGAGTCCGAAAGAATTCGTAAGAGGCTTGAGGAGAATCTCCAAGAACTCACTGAGCAGCATGCTCTTGCGCAAGAGCAATTACAAGCAGTCATCAGTACCTCTTCACCCGAAAAGTTAGTCAATATCATTAACGACGCCCTCAACATTGGACCACTTCACATACTTATGGAGGGTTTCTATAGGGACGATGCCGTTTTACATACTAGAAAACTATATCTTGAAGCCAACCGAGAACTTTCGTCAACCAAGAGCAAGCTGGCCGAGCTCGAGGCTGCCCTTTCAAGTCGGGATCGAGAACTACTTACCACGAAAGCAGACCGTAAGTCATCTGGTCATAATTCCTTATCCATAGTACCTAAGCTAACGTATACGTAGTTGCCGCTGTTGATCGAGACGAGATTGAAGCGTTAGATGATCTCAAAGCGACCAATCAGATCATCACTTCATCACTTCAAAATGATTTGATGGTTCTTGAGAGCAAATACAAAAACATAAAAACTGATTACGAGCAGCAGAAATCGCATCTAGTCGAAGCCCTCCTGGCGAAGGATAAACTTCGGCAGGAGCTTGCTGGCATGAAAGAAGGAAGAAACTCGGTCGGTGAGAATGACGCTCCCGCAGCAGGAGCCCATACCACGGATGAACAGACGAATACGGAACTACAAACATTGAAAGAGGTAAGCAATGAAGCTGTCCCTCTAAATGCGCAGCTTTCTTTTGAAAGCCCCGCATTGTTGCATCTTCCCTCTCATCTTTGTCTCGATCCGTATACCTCCAAGTCCGAGCAACTCGACAACATTGCCCAAATAGATGAGGCTGCTCTACTTATACTTGAGCGCGAGGCAATTGGCGCCCTTCAGAACTCAAAAACGGATGACACCCAGATCGCTGTTCATATCTCTCTTCCTATGTCTCCATCAAAGCCCAGCCCGGTTCGGAAACAAATTTTCCGTGCGAGGAAATGGACTAATGATGAATGGGTAAATTCCACGACGGTGACTGACGATACTCGCAGCAAACCGAGAAACAAGAAAGGGTCATCCAAGACCTACAGCAACGGCTCAAAATGGCCGAGGAAGGCGGTGTAGATGCGCAGAAGGTACCGTGTCAAGTTTTCCTTGTTATTACTAATTCCGTCGATTTTCTAAATATTATGAACGTCTCTATTGTAATGGACTCCTGTTTTATCTCGCTGGCCTCTCCCCTACAAGCAGATTGATCAGTGCTACGTGAGAACTCAACTGATGAATGAATGTGAAGGCTGCGAATGAGGCCCTGATAAAGAGCCTGATGCGTGAGAATAATATGATTGCCACAGCTTGGTACGATCTCACGAGCCGATTGCAGAGCAACAGCGTGGTGCTGCAGCGCAGACAAGATGCGCCGAGGAGCTGGTTGAATAAGCAGAGGCAGCTGGTGAATGCTATTCCTAGACGATGATGAAGAAGGATGAGCTAGCGGGTATGGTTGTCTACTGCATCAGGGGCGCTAGAAACTGGCGGACGGTTACTGGCTCTTGTGTCGGCGACTGATTTGCATCAAGTAGGGGAGGAGAGCATTTTATGCGTGCATAGATGGATACATGGTCGGATACACAAGTGGTACAATTCCGCATTTAACTTTGCGTATACCCCTCTAGGATGATAGGGTGTACACAACCTATGTTAGTTCTATTCTTTTAATTAATATACGGCAGGGTCGTATTATATATTCTTCTAATAAAGACTAAAATTCATTTAAGAATATAAGCTGTTTATGTCTAATAATTAATAGTAGTAGTAGTAAGTTCTTACTCTATTAAATACCTATATAGTTACTATAAGAGTTATCTATAAACAATTTCTATATAGTTCTATAAGAGGGAAAAGAAAGAAAAAACCTTCTTACTAAGGCGCTATAATATTACTACTCCTTTTACTCTAGCTTATCTATAGCTTTCTTATAAAACAAAGAGTACAAGTTAGACTAGAAAAATTAACTACTTATACTAGAGTATAAGGTCTTATATAGTACCTTATAAGGCTCTTTACTCTTACTAGTACTTTATATAAAAGATAAAAACAAAACTTGTTGCTACCCCTCTACTACTCTAAAAACTTAAAAACAAATAATAGATTTAAAATTAGTGCCTTTAGATACCTCTTAGAGCGCTAGTAAACTATAAGTAAGCTTATAGTAACAGATAGTAGGTATACTAGACTTAAATAGAGCTAGTACTACTTACTTATAAGTAAGAGCTAGTACTCTTATTTTCTAGTAGAAAACTATAGTAAAGAGCTAGTAAGTAGTAAGAGTAGTAGTAACAATAAGATAAAGATAATTCTATAAAGAATTAAGGCTTACGTAATACTAGGTAAAGAAGAAAAGGCGTTACGACTCTTATATAACCTTATTATAATAATAATAATAGTAGTAAAAACAAAGGTAGTAAATATAGTAACCTTCTTATATACCTCTAAGACCTCTTTTAACGACAACTTAGTAATAATTAGATAGTTAAGATTAATACTAAAAGAGGCCCTCTAAAGGCTAGTAGTAATAGTAGCCTTTTAGGCTACTTATACATTAGTAGTAAACTAACGCCTAACAAGAGTATAAGTTATACTAAAAAGATAGATTAAAGAGCTATAGATTAGAGTAGATAAGTAGATAAAAGACCTAGTATATTATAGTACTATAAAAGTAGTAATAGTAGCTAATATAGTAATTAAGAGCGCTAAAGTAATAGTAACTTACTAGCTACTTAGTAGCGACACTATCCTTACGTTTAAAGAGTCTATACTAAAGAGCGTACTCTAAGACTAAGGCTAGGTACTTATAGAGAGCGTTTAGGCCTATAGCCTAGCTCTATAAAAGTAAGTTTATAGTAATTATAAAAGGCCTACTAGCTAACTAGATTATATAAGTAAAGGTAAGAGTATTACTAGTAAAGATTTAGGCCTATATACTATATATTATAAAGGTTAAGGTTAAACTTATTAGGGCCTTTATAGTAAAGTTTATAATAGTAGTACTATACCTTTAGAGTACTAAGGTAGTAACGTACTTATATAACTAAGGATTAATCTAGTAAGCCTAGATCTTTAACTATAAGCTATATTCGGCTAACCTATAAATCTAAAGATACTTTTAGTACTACTAGTTTAGTTATATTAAGTAATTTTATAAGAACTAGGCCTAGTATAGCTACTATATAAGTATAGTATACCCTTAAGGTAAAGAGGACTATCCTTAACTTAATAGTAAGAAAAGATATATTAACTATAGTAGACTATATATAGTATAAGACTATTAATGTCTTAAAGCCCTTAAGGTAAAAGAGTAAGTATATACTATATACTAATAAAGGCTTAAGTAGTTTAAGGTATCTAAGAGTAGCTTTACTAACTAGGTACTTAGTGTTACACTAGTATTCTTATAAGATAGTAATAATAGCTTCTAGATTATAGTAACTAAGAGACTATAGATAAGTAATAGTAAGAAGCTTATAGTAAAGGCTTTAGTAAGAAGAAGACACTTCTTTATTAAGGTACTAGATATAGTAATAGTCTAAAGCTATAATATTATAGAGATATTAAGCTAAGGAGCTAACTAAGAGTCTAGTAACCTTTTTATAACGTAAGACTTATAGATCTTAGACTTATAGTAATAAAATTAATAATAGTATACTAGAATACTATAAGAAAGAATAGCCTTACTTTAATAGTACTTTATAATTACTATAAAGCTAACGTTATAGTAATTTAAGAGCTATAGTATAATACTTAGATAAAGATAGTCTACTACCTAGTATAAGTAAAGTACTAGTAAGTCTATAAAAGTAAAGACTATATAGTTATTTACGTTTATAAGTAATACTTACCTCTTACTTAAGTAGTAAAGACAAGTATTAACTAGTACTACGTTACTTTATAAGACGTTATTATCTAGTTAATATACTTACTAATTCTTAACTCTATAGGCTAGACTAGCCTACTCTAGCGGCTTACTAGAAAGGACCTAGTAAGGCTATAAGTTATTATAAGTAATATAAACCTTTATTACTTACTCTAAGACAGAGCTAGTAAGACTACCTCTAAATTAGAGACCTTTCTTTATCTAGCCTATAAGTAGTAGCTCTTACTATATACTCTCTAAAGAGAGCTAACTTATTAATAATATAGTAAATAAGATTTAACGATTAATTACGTATAGACTATAGTAACACTCTAGTATACTTACTAAAGTAACCTAGGATATAAGAGATCTAACTATTACGCCTAGCTAATTAAGGTTATTACCTAACTAAGAGACTACTAAAAGAGAGCTATAAAGGCGCTAGAGTAAAGCTAGACCTTAATAGACTAAGAGCTTATAACTATTAAGGCTAAAAGCCTTTACCTTTCTTTAGAGCTACTAGATATACCTTATAAGGTTAATAAGGTAGTCGACTTACTTACTACCTAGCTTATACATATTACTAACATATTTAATTTAAGGAAAAAGGTTAGCTAAGGACGTACTAAGCTCTAGTAGAATAGTAAAGTCCTTAATACTATCTAATAAACACAAGTAGTACGTTATTAATACGCTACTACCTTAACTAAGCTCTACTAGCGCGACCTTTAATAGGCTAGTACCTAATAACTCTATATAATCTAAGACGTAAAGACTAGAAGCTAGTATAGTACCTTTACTACTACTTTAAAGGACTAGTAACAACTCTAGAGCCTTAAGAGGTAGGCTAGGCTCTATAGCTATATGTCTCTAGAACTAGCCTTACTCTTGTCTCTTTAAGGTACTAATAAAGAGGTACTAGCTATAAGCTACTATAATAAAGTAGTAGTATTAAGTCGTTAGTTCTTTTTAGAATTAGTAGCTAATCTTAGTAACGTTGTCTTAGACCTTTAAGACAAGTAATACTAGTAGTTTACTATTAATAATACTATAATAAAGGTAGAGATTATAGACGTCCTTTAAAAGACAGGTACCTAGAAAGTACTAAGGCCTTACCTACTACTTACTAGCTTTTTTAAAGCGTATAAGCGCCTTTTAGCTAAGCTCTTTATAGTAATTATAATAGTAAGCCTCTAGCTAAGGTACTTTCTTATAAAGTTTAAAGTAGTAAAGGTAGTAGTACTATATAAGCTTAAAAAGACCCTTAAACAGTAATAAATAGCTAAGGCCTATAGGCTAATTTTACTCTTAAATATAATAAGTAAAGTAATTAAGTTAGTAGTTAGCTAGTACTTTACTAACGCTATAAAGTCGTAAGGGCTCTTTCTAGAGATATAAATAAGGAACTAGCCTTAGCGCTTAATAGACCTAGTAGTTAAGATAGTAGTTAATACTATATATATAATGTAAAGCTATAAGGCTATTATAACCTTCTTGCCCTCTCGGCAGATGCCCTTAAGAAGCACTTGCTCCTCTATAAGCACGAGAGCTCTCTTTTAACATAGATCTAAACTAGTAAAGTTAGACTCTAGGCTTTCCTTTTTAAACGTAGAGTACTAGAGGTAGCGACCCCCTAGTGCCCTTATAGTAAGGCCCCTAAGATAGCAGCTTACCTAGTCCTTGACTACTAGTAGCTTAATTAATAGCGGCAGGCCTTATAGTAGGCGATCTACCTAAGGGCGCTATAGACGTTCCGCGACTTCGCGGTAGTAATAGAGAGAGGCAAGAGCGCGCGTATACTAATCTATTAGCTACTATCTACTAGCTAATTCTTATAGTTCTGTCTAGCTAAGTACTACCTAGTAGAAGAGTTATAAGAGAGGGAGTAGCCCTAGCTAGTAGCTAGCGTCTTACCGGCGCCTTACTAGTGTCTTGTTAGCGTGTTTAGTATTACTAGGCTAGAAGGTTAAGTTCTAGTAAGGTAGCGATAAGGACCTAGCGCCCTAGTAGCGCCGCGACAGTATAAGTACAAGTAGTAGCACGTAGGTTTTTACCCGGCTCTAGTACGGTTTTACTACGTGATTTATATAGTATAAAGGTTCTGTATACGTTAAGCATAGGTAGTAAGAGTAATAATAATAATAATATTATAACCTTCTTTTAACTTAATATTAAAGGCGCCTTTAATATAGTAAACTATATACGTCTTTTTTATACTCTTTAATACTAAGGGTTCTTTATATAAGCTGTATAGTAGGTACATAGCTTTCTTACTAACTAGATAGCTAGTCT